ACTCCTGTGCAAAATTCAACAACAACTTGGAGCAACGTTCAGTGGCAGACGTCTTTTTGCAATCCCCATCCAAGCTTTATAAGAGCTCACAGGTAACACAAGTATTATCTACACACATTTTACTGACCAGTAAATGGGATGCGGTTAATTTAATACGAAGTTTCACCTCACCTCACTTCTCTTCTTCATGCCTCTTGGCACATAAGGCCACCACAGACTCCCTCCACTTTTCTCGTTAGTCGCTACGGTGTTCACTTCCTATTGTGAGGAACGGCCAGGGCCGTAGCTAGATTCTTTGTAATAAGGGGGGGGGGGGGGGGACATTATCTCGAGTGCCGAAGGCACGAGCCTTTTAAGAGGGTATGGGGGTATCCTCCCCCAGAAAATTTTAAAATTTGGAAGCTCCAAAACGCTATTTTCAGCATTTGTCATGAGATATGTATCCGAAAAATCGACCACAAAGTCTAAAGAAAACAAATCCATCCACAGACTTGATATGTCTGGCTCAACACGTCCAGGTAGGGGAGGGGGGCTAAAGTGCCCCCCCCCCCCACCAGCTACAGCTCTGGTTGCCACAGTGTTCCCTTGGTAAAGTGAATTTTCTTTGCTTCTGACTTCTGTAATAACAGGGTTTTACGGAAGAGCGTTATCAGCCCTCAGCCCAACCAGGAGACCACACTTAGGCTGGTCTCTATCCTTCGACCTCTTCGGCATGTGTGGCCCTACTAGGAGTCAAAGACCCAGCCGACATAGCTCTACAGGTCATTGAAACACACAAACCACTCCACCACGGTGAGGTGGTGGTCCCTTTGGAGTGGTGATACGAATGTTACTGTGGAAGAATTGTGCGCGCGTGCGAAGAAACATTGAACTTTTGCGAATCCGAACGGGAGAACGGACGTACGCGTTTACTTTGCCTCACAGCTGTCTTACTTGCGGGAGCCCGGTCATACTTCGCGTCCAGGGCGCAGCGGGTAAAATGATTTTGAGATGGATGGTCATAAGATCAAATTCACTTGTTACTTGACGTACTACAAATATTAAACATTGTCTTTAACAATTGTTTTTTATGCTCATAAATATGTATGAACAGAGAAAAGTTACTTTGGTTTTTAAAATTAGTGTTTGATTCAATAAATCGACTGAAGGTGTAGCGAATGAACATATTTACTGTCGTTGAATTTTAGTGCTTCAGCTCATTATCCTGGATCGGGCGAAAAAATGTGTTGTGGAATCTACACTGCACCCTCGTCTTTCTTCGAGAATTCCGGATGGATGAATGTGCATGGACACATGCAGTTTCTTTACATGGAGCCCACTGTTGCAGAGTCAAGTGCAGTACAACAATCAACGATCAATTCATCTAGCCAGGAACGAGAGATTCAGAAGAACAAATCGCGCAAACGACAGCGACGCACGGAATGCCCTGTGTGTTTAAAAACCTATGCCAGGCGAGACACTTTGAGGGTAAGAAAAAGTACCAACATAAATCGCGATGTAAATTTAATGTCAATTCTGTACATCGAGAAGAAACATTTAGCCACGTGACTAGGAAAGCTATTTTGAGAGGAGCAAGGTGAAGATATTGTGCTCTTTCCAAGACATGGACTGTTATATATACGCCATATTGAGGCTGTGCTTGAGACTAGTCCCCAGGGTTTTTTCCTTTAGAAAAACGGGAGGAAGGAAAAGCCCTGGGCAAGAGGTTAGGTGTTGTGTCGAGTTGCACTATGGGACTGTTTTGGGAATTCACCATTTTCACATAGACCATAATGCACCTTGTCTACCACCCCCCCCCCCCCAAAAAAAAAAAAAAAAAAAAAAAAGAAAAAAAAAAGCAGAATCATTGCCTTTGATTTCTCTTGGAGCGACCGTAACACCCAGGAGAAATAGGGAAAAATGGGTCAATTAAGCCCTGATTATTGTCCGCGACAAGCACTGATCAAGAAATCTAAGGTCTTCACAACAAAAAGGCCTGTTCAAATTATAATTTAGTGGCCAAATGGACTTAAGCTAGAGGTAAGACGGTAAAAGCCATTTCGTTTTCACGTTTAAAATTTACACTGAGTAAGGAAAGAGTTGAAGAAACACAACAAATTTTAAACACTGATTCTTTTGACGATAGGTTCACATGAGAATCCACAAAGGCGAACGCCCGTACCAGTGCCCTTGCTGTTTTAAAACCTTTACTCAGTCCGGTAACCTTAAGGTGCACATGCGCATTCACTCTGGAGAGAAGCCGTTTGCTTGTGATTTGTGCGGAAGGCGATTTACTCAAACCTCTGGTTTAAAATCGCACTTGGAGGTCCACAAGAGGCAGTAGACGAGTTTGGCTGCAACAGACGAGGCAAACAAAATCAAGAATGGATGGCATCCAAGAGTAAAGACCACCGTAAATGATGATTTAGTTAGAAGCTGTGCATCATCGAATGGAAATCCATTTGTCACTTTATATATATTTTTTGAAACAGTTGGGAGGCCCCGTGCGATGCCTTTTTCTCTTCTGTCCAAAGCTGCGATCCTTTTGGCCAGTGTCACAAAGTGGCGTATGCTTCGAGGATCTTATCACACAGATTGCTTGATATGGATCTCAAATCTGATTTTCTGGGTAGAACATCACCATTGCTACTGACCCTTTCAAACCATGTTGCTTACAAGCAGGTTTTCGGTTCACATGAAGTCATCGTGCAAGTAGTCATCCCCAAACCGTCTAGCTTCATTACGATAGGGAGTGCTGTTGCCATTTTGAATGTAAGAAGTCAACATGAACAGCCATCACACTACATTTCAGTGTTTCTCTTTTCTTTCTCTCTTTCCTCTTTTTTCCAAATCACCAGGCTTCAAGCAGTAGTGCCAATATCAATATTGGTAGCCATAAAGTATGCCGTAATTGCAAGAAATTTCACATTTTATGTCAAGAAACGTTTCATGGTTTCTATCACTAAGTAAAAATTAAGTTTTTAAGACTATTCATCACAATTATCAGGATGTTTTCCACTTATTTTATTATAAAATATTAGGATCGGAAATCAATCAAATCAACTAACTCACTATCATCAAAAGCCCAAGCATCTTTAATAAAAAACGTACAAGTTAGGTCATGACTATTAATAAAAACGCTAGCCAACCGACTGATTTCCTGTGCGCAAATCGGACGAGAGCTATAGCCTTTTCTCTGTCTCTCGTGCCCGATTTTTCACGAAATTAAGCTTTGCCGAAAATGGACGTTACAAACATTTACTGCTAAATAAAACAAAGGAGACAACCATTTTCCGTCGTTTGGCGATTTAGACCCAATGACTTACGTCAAAAAAACACTTTGCAGTGACTTGAGTTTTGACGTCACTGCATAAGATTATAGACAGTGGACAATTGTTGAATATTTGTGAAATATTGTTCAAGTTAAAACAAGGATCAGAATTGTAAAGAAATCATGGACACTTAAAGCGATTTTCGTATGACCTTGAAAGGAAAACGCGCGAACAAAACAGAAAAAACAAACGAACGGAAATAGAGCGATTTGATTGGTTTATCGAACGGATACAAACGCGCGTGGCTTTTGGTTGGTTAAGCGAACGCTCGGGTGAAAAAACTTCATGCCCGAGAACTTTCTGGAGATCAATCGATACTTCTTCACTTTGACGTCATACTGCAACACGATTGGCCAATCGAACAATGCCGTCTCTATATTAGGGTTTTCTTTGGCGGGAAAACGAGGATTCCATGTTTTGATCTCTGCACCCATTGGCTGATAAAACAAATAACGAGCACCTACCGAAACCATTTTTCAAGGTGATACGAAAATCGCTCTAGCATGTCTCCAAACGGACTTGCTCGTAACAAAACCTGACATAATGATCTTATTTACAAACATATGAAAGAAAATATTAAATAACTCTAATTTCCAGCGTTTGCGGCAAATGCCCAGAGCGAAAACGTCCCCGCCGTCATTTACAAGGAACTGTCCCTAGTTCTTAAAACCCATTTTTTTACAGAGTAATTATAAAGTTAACGCTATAACGCTGTTACTATAACGTAACTAAGAATTTAATTATGACCAGCATCTAGCTTCTCATTGAAGTATAGCTGCCTATCCAAACAAAAGCTTATGACAATAAACAAAATGATCACCTATCATCCTAGCGTGTCTTGCTCTTCAATCATTGTTCATATAATTTATTGGCAGCACACCCTTTGGAGAAGAGAATCAAATAATCCACCCCTCGTCTACTTTCTCTAGGACGCTCGATTTTCTACCCTGCGAGCACAGAATTCTTTCTGGCATGGTCTTTAGCATTAACGAGGTCGATAAATTACGTGCAAACGGACGCAACAACTCCCAACGCTGCTGACTAAACGTTTGACCGGTTCAAACTTTGCGCAACAACTCACAACAACATGCAACAGGGTGTGCAAACCGACGCGACACGTAACATCCAACAATGTTGGGAGCTGTTGGCCAACAATGTTGCGTCCGTTTGCACGGGGATTTACAAAGCATGCTCAAAGAAAACCACAAGAAGCTTGCTGCAGAGGTTTCTTTCGTGGCGTAAACAAACCAACTACGCGACTAACAAGCGACCGGAACAAATGGGTAAATGCCAAAAGCCATGCCAGAAAGAATACACCGCTCGCAGGGTATTGATTTTCTTATGTGCGTTGACTATGAACAAAGGCCCGACGTCAATATTAAACAGCGTATTACGCCCCGCACGTTATCTCTCTAGGGCAAACCACCTGGGTTAATTACTTGAGGAAAAAGCGCTGTATAACCATTTGCAGGTATCCTCAAGTAGCCAAATCCTTACGGCAAATCATGTACAACACTTGAAGCGAATATTCTTGAGGGAAAACAAGAAATGAAACTAAGGTCCAGGAAATAAGACATTATTCTCATGGCAATAAAAGCACTAACAACGTCCTCTAACTCGACTGACATGTCTTTGTTTGCGATCGAGTCTTTTTGTCTTTCTCTGTCTCCTGTTGCCTACTGAACAACAGCGGGTTGTTATCAGTATCCAAAGTTCTTGAACGTTTTGCTTAGCGTCATAAAGTATATCTGACCACTTGAACTCGATCGAGATGCAAAGAAAACCTACAAAAAAGCAAAGACTAATGAGATGTGCGAAAATCCTCGTTATAATCTATTTCGCTCAAAACGTCGAACACCTCATTACGTTTTAGACCTTATGGAGAGAATAGGCGACTACAACCTACTGAAGAGACTTAGGAATTTTTCTGTTTTATCCGGGATTCCCTTGTAGCATACAATTTTAGATTACTGCAGAACATTTTGCACGAAAAGCATATCCACTGGGAGCCAGGTCACGCTAAAAGCTATTACAGGGCTCATCAGCAACAAGCTTGAATGAAGTGTTTAATAGACGCTAAGAGATCCCAAGCAATAAAGAGAAGTGATGACGTCACAAAAATGTGTGAAATTATGGGATAGGTTAGCATATTCAGAAATAAGAAGATGAAAAATGTTCGCTTGCCAAAAATCAGCCTGTTAATGCAAAGTGGAGGAGGGATATAAGCACCGTTATGTTCTGATGACTCCATATAGTCCTTCTAAACACTAGGCCTGGATCGAAAGCGTCACGAGTCCAAGCCAATCTTACAAGGATTAATGTATGGGTCAGAGCATAATGGTGCTTATATCTCCCAACCAATTTGTACTAACAGGCTGATTTTTAGCAAGCGGGTATTTTTCTTCTTGCTCTTTCTGAATATGCGAACCAATCTCATAATTTCACAAATTTTAATTTTTGTGACGTCACACTTCTCGATTGTTCTTGCAACTTTTAATTCGCACCAAAAGTTTCCTGGTGTCAAAAACTTATTTTCCCTGAAATAAATGTCTACACACCTTTTCATTTCTTTCACAGAGGAATCTAAATGTCTGTGCTCTCTTATGCATGAACACGCCATCCAGAAGACCATTCTCCACAGAGCGCACCTCAATGGCTTTTTCTCCCCAGCCCATAATTTGGCCTGATCCTATGTGAGCTAAAATGGCAGTTTCCAATAGAAGCAATTACTAAAAGAACTTGCTTTTTTATAATCAAAGAACACCTGTCTGACTGATTGACTGATAACAACAAACAAGCCAATCAGAAATCAAACAAAAAAAGTGCACCCGGTAATCTACGCGGGAAATTTGTGCAAACGGATCTGAAGAGCGGGAAAAAGTGCACCTGGTGCCAAGCGCGGGAAAAAGTAACAAGGGTGCCAAGCGAAAATATTCATCACACACAATTCCCTACCCCAGAAACTGCAAGAGGAATGGGTACAGGCCTTTGGCGAAACGGTTTGTCGGATCGTTTGGGTGGATAAGCGTTAGTCATGATTGGTTAATGGTTGCCTTGAGAACCATGACCAATCGTAACCAATCCTTGTCCACCCAAACGATCCCACAAACCGTTTCGCCGAAAGTTTGTACCCATTCCCCATAGAGTTTCTGTAGTGGGGAATGGCGACGCTTTATCTGTTTGGTTCAAGCCATTTGTTGGGTAATTTCTACAATGACTAAGGGATGGACCATTAGAAAAGTGAGGGGGGTGGGGGTGCTGGGGGTGTTGGGAGGGCTTCTGCTTTGCACGTAAATTTTTTGGGTTCGCCATGTGTACATGATGTTTATGACTAAGGGATGCCCATTAGAAAAGTGAGGGGGGTGGGGGTGCTTGGAGGGCTTCTGCTTTGCATGTAAATTATTTTGGTTCGCCATGTGTACATGAAGTTTTTTTCTAAGCTTGTAAGTATTTTCTTTTTGCCTTTTCCTCCTGTATGCATTGTTTCACCTGTCTTCTATTGTCCTATTAGCAAATAGATAAACTTACCAATGGCATAAGGAGTTTCTCCCCACTGCAACACTGCATGTCTCACAAGTTCGCCGTTAGTATTCACGTATACTCCTTCATCTGTGCAAGAAACCAGCAAAGGTTAATTAAAACTGATTTAACGAGCGATGAATTCTGACAAAGTCTAATGAATTATTACTTACTAACAACTCTATCGTTACCTTTGATTCTCAACACACACGCGTCAAAATACAGTCACTCGCCGAAAGTGTAGAAGTTTCGTCGAAAATGACGATTATTTCATACGTTTGTGAAAGACGTGTGACCTATAATAACCTTCACAGCCCTCAGCCTTTAACAGCAAGTATTTCGAACGTTTTCATCACGTTTTCCGAGGAAGGACTTTGCAGGCTTCCCACGGGCTGTTCTTCCCACAAACTTCACTACTTCTTGTTACAGAGGTAATGTTTGGAGCATAGTTCACTTTAAAGGGATGATTGGGTTGGAATTAATAGAAACAGCTTAACATTCCGTCAACACCCCTACTCGCCAAGTGCGTTGCACAGGGAGCGAATTAAAATAAATGCAACTAAACCATAAGATAGAAAGAGAGTTCGACTTACTATTGAAGCAAAGGAGAAGTTCCAAACCACTCGAACCTGCAATAAAGTAACGCAATCTTGTACAATTCATTGATTATCTCCATGACCAATCAGAAGGTTTTATTTGAGTCACATGTATACCTCTGTAAAGCCCAATACAAATCAACAGGCCATTTGCGAGTTCCTCCGGGCCTCCGTATCAAAACGAGGTGAAGTGCTCATTCTTTGACATGGAAACGATTTTTCATTCGCATGTAAATAAAACTCAATTTCACAAAAGAGGTTGCGCACTTGGCCTCATTTTGAAAGTGAGAGTTTTTCGAACCAGGAAGTGGCTTACTGGGTTGATAAATTACGATGCTTAGCAATCAATATTCATCATTTTTTGATACAGATCTCTTCTGATCGTTTCATTTTCCTGGCATAATAAAAATTCTCTACTGATTTGTATGGGCTTTACAGCTCTCCCGCACATATTTTATCTGGTGCTTATTGTTGACTTGAAATTCAATAGTAACTTAACACAGAGTAACGAACTTCGAAATATTCCTCATAGCGTAAATTTTGGAAATCTTAGGATGCAGTTAGTAATATCTTGAAGTGCTGTAGTACAATTAAGTCCTGTACATGAAAATATAACATTTGATCATTCAACTTGAAAACTAGTGGGCAGTACTTTCCCAAGTTGTTATTATTCAGTACTATTTTCGTAAAGTGGAGATAGCCAACTTAGAAGTGGGCAAAACACTTACTTGGCAAAGGAATAATTGCGTGAGGCTGGAACTTCTCTTGAAGCTGTAAAATGGAGACACAATTAGGGAAATAACAAAAATAAATTATGCCAAAATTTAAAACCAACCAAAACAACATAACAGTGATTCTGAGGATGAAATCCTAGAGTTTGACCATACATATGAAAGTTACTGTGCAGTCAATACTTTACTGTGGTACTGTCTATTATGCTGCATAAGGTCGTTCTAACTCTTGAGTCTGCTGATGAAATCCTAAAGTGTGACCATTCTAATGAAACCTACTGAGCAGTACTTGCCTGTGGTACTGTTTACAAGGCAGGTTCTAACTTTTGACTTCGTGGAACAAATCATACAGCATGACCATTCAAATCTTATGAAACCATCTTCACCATGCAAAGCTTTTCAATGGCAACATTTCTTCCATTAACACAGAAAATGACTGCACATATTTTCCCTTTTTGGTGCTCTAGGAAGCACAAAAGATACGCTTAACTCTCTCACCTGACTTGGTATAAATAAATCATTGACTGAGGCCGAATCCAAATCTACTGCATGAAAACCTACAAAAAAAAAATCGCAGGAATCTCGTCAATTTTCGCTATCGATGCTAAGAGGTATTATCACAAAATAAACCTGAGCCAACACTTGACTTTTCTTACCTATTTCTGAAGAATAACAGACTTTTAACCTGCTATTTTCAGCCTCTATTGTCACATTCAACATCAGAGGTCGATGAACCAGATAAGGAAAAGACTGCGAAAAATAGAATACGGTTAGGGCTTCCTTGGAGCTTAAAATACGGCGAACAGACGTTATAGTCTCTCTCGAAAGACGCGCGCGCGAGTTTCGTATTAAACGAGCGGGCGCGAAAATGCGCGAATCGAGACTCGCGAGGGAACGCGCAAAAATTACCACACAGCACACGCAACAAGAAGGGATCGATCGAAAAAAAAAAAGAAAGATTTAGTGGCAGCAGTTTCACCGCGTGGTTATTCGTCGAAAATTCTGGACCGAACTGAAATTTGGACAAGAGCTTAACAAAAAGAACAGGCTGCTTAACCTTCAAAGCTGCAAACGTTTGATGAGGAAAACTTTAATTAAATTTTATTAAAAGGCCGCTGAAAGACAATGAGTGTACTTACCTTAAAAGCCATAAACTTGTGATAGGGTTTTGGTGCCCACGCGTAAACTTCAATCTTGTCTTCTGTCGCGATAGCAAGAAATTTAATGCGATGGAAATTCACTGAAAGACGACAAAAACAAAGAAAATCAAATATTTCAGTCACTTCTTGATGTTTTTCGGAGCGGTCTCACATAAGCAACCAGAAGGAAAATTGTTCAGACTGCTTTCATAGCTTTGATAGCGTTGACAGCCACAGGACTCCTGATCAGGGGTATAAAGCTGCCTACGGAAGGTGGGAGGGGCAACCAAGATCATTCTATTTTCATAATTTTGCTTCAGGAAGTGTAAAAGGATGTCTCTCAAAATACGTTTGTGAAGGAACCGTTTCACCGACTTTTGACGCAGATTGAAGCTTGAACTTCTTTTGAGGGGGATTCCCCTTTTGCTTTTCTCTTCAACTTTTCCCCAAGAAACGCTCAATACTCGTGTTACAAATTACAAGAAAACATAAGCTCCGCAAAGCCAACTCAGGCTCAGTCAACATTTGTCTTACATACGGCTGTTACGTTCGTATCCAGAATCCTGTATGACCTTACGAGGGCACAAAAAACTAAAAGAACCTGTAGAAGTCAATGTCCAGATTGCTTCCCGGCAGCAAAATACTACCATTATTGCTTGGCCAATATAAGTCTTTTTTCCCGTAACACAGAATGTAAACCCCTTTGAATTTCGCAATTGCCGAGCCTAAGGGTTAAGTTGTAGCTAGGCACCTGACTTACCAACTTTATAATGGACACATCCTTCAAGATCGCCCACTGTAGTGTAGCCTCGTTGTCTTCTATGGTTTTCAGCCTGCATGGAAAAAAAAATATATTCAAATAAACTTTCTTTGATCAAAGTGTTCTGTCATCAAAGAGAAAACCCGGGACCCGCTCAACATCACAATGAATGTAGTAAGAAGGAAAGTTGTAGTTCCTTACAAAAGCTGCATGACACAATACATAGTGTGGTTTTCGAGCCATTTTTCTGTGAAAGAGGTGATGATTGACTTGACCCACTAAACCATTTTAACATTACACTTCCTCATTTCACCGACAAGTCTCGTTTGTGAACAAAATTTCTTTTCCTTTACCATGTTTGTGCAACGGAAAGTTTTTACTGCACGTAAAATATTCCTTTCCACTCCGAATAAAGACTGAACATCAGTTAATACAGCTGTGTAAAATACCTCTTCTCCTTTGAGAATTTTTGCTTTGAGCCATGATAGATAGTACACACGGAGTTTGTTTTGTTTGCCTGGGAGAAAAAAAAAATCAATATTTTATTTCAACATTCTTAAGCAAATCATGAACAGAAGTTTCCTAACAGAGTGAAATCACATCCTTACCACTTATGGAAATAAGCACGTTTATTCCTTCGAGAACGTCTATCTGTTGAAATCTGCGTCTTGAGATGAGTTGAAAAACTGAGGGGCAAAAAAAGGAACCAAATTATTTCATATTTAAACCCAAATGCCGAAAATAAAGAGCAAAACAAAAAATAATGGTTACACGACAGGGGTACCCATAGGAAAATGTAACAAAGGAATTTAAAAAAGACATCATTTTTAATATGTAATTTCTGATCAGCTTTGAAAAGATAGTCCGTTTGCAAAACTTGACTGAAAAGGCCATGGGCTGGAAGTGGTAGGTAAAAAAATCCCCTTAGGTGAGATAATGACTTTCCCTTGGCCCCTTAATCTGCCCCTGGGTCTCCGAGGATGGAGCCACATCAGACACTGATTGGAACTCGTTAATGTCTGAAAATCAAGAGCCATGAAATTTGGTCGTATTGACCAGATAGTGCTTTTAAAAAAATAACTGATTAAATGCCAGGTATCTTTTATGCTCCGTCAGAGAAATGTGGACATAAGGTACGGTTCGTCATTATGTTAGAAGAAGGAGAGAAAAAAAAGCACGAATAAGATTTTCCACCTTTTCCATATCCACTTCGGTCCAATAAATACAGACCAGTTTCTGTGCCGACGATAAGATTGACACCTAAAAAGAGAGATTATCAGTGTTAAAATAAATGACAAAATTTTCTTATCACAGATACATTAAACTAGAAGACCTTAAAAATAAACAGCAGTGTTCTTTTTCTCACAAATACATTAAACTAAAGACCTTGTTTCTTGTTGCAAAGCCTGACATAATGAAAACTGAGCCCAAGACTTAATATTTTCTGCCATTGTTTCCATTCTTGGCGAGACAATGACCAAATGAAGGATCTTGCAGATCATGGCAAGTTGCTATTCACAAAAAATATGAGAACTTATCACAATAACAACCTCACCCCAAAGAGCTCCACATAGGATTTCTGTACGGAATTTGTACTTGTATTTCCTTATCTGGGGCATCTAAAATAAAAGTAACAAGCAGCAATTTGTTTTTTTAGTAAAGTATAGTCAATTGATTGTGTCTCCACACCTTTAAACTTTAAATGTACTGCTTTACATGTACGTCTCCCCATATCATCACATGTACATACATGTACTCCCATATAATCACATGTACATCCCCCCATATCATCACATGTACAGTGTATGTGCCCCCATGTCATCACAAGTACATGCCCCCATATCATCACATGTACATATCCCCATATTTGAAACCAACATTTCTAAATTCCAATTCGATCCGGAATGCTCGAGCGTTTAATACATGAGCCCCTGGCTCGGGAGATTGGGCAACCACTCCTCACGCTATCGAGCTTAAATAAAATTGATTTGATTTGATTTGATTTCGATATCATCACATGTATGTACCCCTATATTATCACATGTACGTACCCCCCATATCATCACATGTACATACCCCCATATCATCAAGACTAGCATTTGATGCTCTGTCTGGAGCTAAATTGACTGACACCTCTGAAGGGGCTTGTGATGGCCGACCGAAGCCAAAGCTTCGTTGTTTAGAAAATTTTCGGTCCTTCTTGGAATCTTGACCTGCAGTTGATGAAGCAATGGAGTCATCTGATGCCTTCCGCTCAAGTTCAGCTTTCTAAAATTCAAGATAAAATACATAATACAACAAGTAACAAAGTTAGTACGACAATAATGCAAATTTTTTAAAAAAATTTGGTCTTTCAAAAGTTAACTCTTCATATCTCCAAACCATTTTAACTCAAGAATGCAGTATTGATCTGCAGTTCAAGGAATTGCTTAATGCTAAAATTCCTTGCTGAAACTTGTGTACAAATGGTGCAGTAAGATACGTTTCAAACCCAAGGGCCTGAAATTTTCGGCAAGCACGTATGTAACTTATTTTTTAATGCAGTGTAACATAGAAATACCAGAATCCCAAAATGGGTTTTACAAGATGAAACTTGTGATGCTATTATGCCTAAAACTGGTGAGTAAACGTCACAGGATGGTCTCCCGTCCTGTTGCATGACTTCACTACTGACACAGAGGAGAAAGGCGGGTCTAATTTTTGAACGGAAACTTTAAAACGTTCTAACTGAAAATACCATGTTACAACTGGCATGGCAGCACAGTTGTGAGGGCATTCACCTCCCACCAGTGTGGCCCAGGTTTGAGTCCCGGCATCAGTGCCATAAGTGGTTTGAGTTTGTTGTTGGTTCTCTCTTTTTCAAAGGTTTTTCGTGGGTTACTCCGACTTTCCTCTCCCACAAAAGTAACATTTTCTAATTCCAATTCCATAATGAATGGTGGACGAAGAGCCATTTTGTGGATGTGTACTACCTCCAAATCGTTATCTACTTAGTTAATTAAAGTTTTCATCAACCTTAAGTTTCTGCTGTTGTGTTGGAAGAACATCAGGCAGATTGTTTGTTAGGGGTCGAGCGGGGCTACTTGCTTCTCCAATACTTGCAGTGGATGCACTGCCCTGAGGATACAATTTGAAAAAAATTTCAGTAGTGAACAACATTTTATTACCCCGAATAATACAATGACCGTTTCTACTGAGGACCTTCACAAGGGCCATACTGTTACTTTAAACCTTTTCAGCGTTTCTGGAAACAAACTAGGCATATTTTAGAAGCAACAACCTAAGGCTACAACAACAGTATGCATATGAGATTGAGCTGGACTTAATGCCAATAATTACTTGATAAAAAATCACCAGAAATTGCTCTTACATTTGCAAAAGAATACAATAAGCAAACTGTGAAAAGATTGAGCTGTTTCTTATAATAGATTACAACTTTATGCTTTTGACTGGGACAGCTGATATAAGCACTTTAGATATGCGTAGCCAATGAAAGGTGGTTGGAGATGGAAGGCTAGCATCTGATTTCTATCAGTGCCACTATGAGGGTCCACTGATCAAAACCTTGATTTTGCGTCTGATAATAACTCGTTGGTAAATACAAGAATGGAAAGTAAGATGCAAGCTAGTCTGTCTAAAGGTTAAATGTCTGACACTTTTCTGATCATCTTTACCCCTCTTTCAAGGAATAGTTATTGAGGAACAAAGATCTTACTTCTGAATCATTGTCATCTTCTTTAACAACCATGGTATCAAATCCATCAGCATCTTCATCTTGAGCTTCAGGAAAATTAAACAAAACATTACCAACACTTGAAAAATATTCACCATACAAACTATAAAATTAATAATGGTTCTGGAGGTTGGTTGAATGCAGTAATTCCAGTTAAATTGAGGTTTAATACAGAGAAATCCTGCAAATTCTAAAACTCTTGGGGAAAAGAAAATTGGTTCTAATTTTCTGACTGTCCATGAAGAAAATGGGGGTAAAATGGGACTGTAAGGGGGAGGGGTGGGGGATGTAATGGGTGCAGACCAAAGTGATAATTTACCTTCTCGTTGTGGTCTTAAAGTGAGCTCTCCATCATCTGGCACATGATGATGCCCAAAATTTGATGCACTGTAGAAAATAATAAAAGACTGTCACTTCTTTCCAGTTCCCTACTGAAAGTTTGAAATAGTCACTGATATCAAAATAGTGGCCTTCTAGTAGACAAGACGGTATTTTGTGTTGAAGTTACTGAAAAATGATGAATGCCATAAAAACTTTGGATAGGTGCTTTGAGGGGAAAACAAGGAAAATACAAGTGGGAAAGGGTGGAAGGGAAATGAAGGGGGGAGGGAGTTAGAAAGGAGAGAAGAAAAAGGGAGTGGGAAGATGGGGGATGGGAAAGGAAGGGCAGTAAAGAAAGAACAGAAAGGAAGAAGAGAAAGAAGAGGGAAGAGGGGCCAGAGAAGGGAAGGCAAGAAGGGAGGGGAGAGGGAAAAGGGTTTTGGAAAGGGAAGAAAGCGAGGGAAGGGAAGGGGAAAAGGAGGGGGTGGGAAAGGGGCAGGGTGGAAGAGGGGGGAAGGGTCAGAGAAGGCGAAGGGAAGAAGGGAAGGCAAGGGAAAGGGGACGGGTGGGAAAGTGGCAGGGTGGAAGAGGGGGGAAGGGTCAGAAAAGGGAAAGGGGAGGGGGTGGGAAAGGGAAGAAGGGAATGGAAGCAAAGGGAAAGGAGACAGAGTTAGAAAGGGTTGAAGAAGGAAGGGAAGGTGGACATTGTAAACAGGGCACAACAAACGAAGGAGGGTTAGACACAAGCCACACTCACTGATGTCTTGAATGATTTGATGCTGTTAAAGTGTCATCTGTGTTAAGTGTTACAAAGCTGTCTACACTGGTGTCAAGGAAGACGTCATTGTCATATCCACCAGTAGCACCTGCATAATGCGGAGGAGCATGGTTCTGATTCATTTCCTGTCAAGAGCATAATGCATCAGATCCAAGTGGCATGCACAAGAGTTTTCATAAAGAAAGATAACAACTACATAAATAAGTTTTCAAAGACTTGGGAAAGAATGTGATAACACTTGAAGGAAAACTGTAGTTTAAGTTCACATAAGTTTATGATGGTAATGGTGACATACTTATAGGCTCCATACATTCACCAATGGCTTTGTAAGTGAGAGGGACTGAAAGATCCATTATTTTGTTTCTCTTCTTTCAGCCAAAAACTTAAATTATGCTAAATGTTAAATCTGTTGCATGTGTCTTTAGGGAAATGGCAAGAGTTTATTGTGCATTTAAAGAGTGTTCACACTTACTGGACTACTACCACTGCTACTCTTTCTTGGTGGATAATTACCTGAAAAAACAAAACAAAAAACCATTTTCTCTCTCCATTACAATAGGATAAAGAAATCCAGATTAAAAAAATCTCAGACTAAAACTTTTTCCACCCTAGTCCATCTGCCCCTCACCTTTTCACTACAGTTTACCCCACCCTCACACTCTCCTCCCTATTATAGCCTCCCTCCTATTCCCATTCTATTTCCCTCACTCTAACTCCCCTCCCATTCCATCTTCTCTTATCCACTTCCTACTCTTCTTCGCTTCCGCTTCAAATTAAAATTTTCCATTCTATATCTCTTTTCATTACAGAAACCTCTATTTTTTACTAGTTTCCCATAAATTTATATGCTGTTACACTTACCCCTTCCAAATGTGCCTCCTTGCATTAAGGTCAGATTCCTTCTCAAGGTTGACTGTACATTGACAATTCTGCAAATATGAAGGAAAACATTCAGTGAAATATGTCAAGTGTAGGAATCTCCGGGACATATCTGTACAAGGACAAAAAGAGGAACAAGAATTATTAGACTTTAAGATCTGAATTACACAAGCATGAAGCAGGTTCTCACCCCATCTCCTCTGCGATCATTCCTGCTAAGAGCTGTTCATCTTCTTCCTCACTGCCAGAATACCGAAATTCTTCCTCATGATCAGGTGAAGGAGCTAAAATACAACAGATTAAAATTTCATTTTGTGAAACACTAATTATCATGCAGAACCCAAAGGTATGGTAAGCAGCCATATTTCTTTGAGTCACAGAGGCTATAGCTTGAAGAAGATTTTAACGACAGCAATTGTAAAAGTGGAAAATGCACAGAAAAATTTGTGTGTTGTACTAAAGCCATGGGGGCCCCAGGGTAAAAGTGTGATTAGGTCAAGGTGTTTAATGTTCTACTATAATAAAACACACTCATCTGCAAAAGACTAACCTTTCTTCTTTTTCATCCTGTCAATAAAATCCTTCAACTCTATCCTTATTTTTCTTTCATGTGACCTTGCATCCCGTATAAACTCATGCTAGAAAGTAACCACAAATAAGTAACATTTAACTTGAATGACCCAGCCATGATTTTCTACCTAAAATATCTCTCATAAAATTGCACAAGTGCTTCATGACCCACAAACCATCATTATTTTAAAGACATCCAAACAAAAAAGTTACTTTAGACTCTTTGATTACAAGTAACAATCTCTAATGAAGTTTGTCTCTTTCGTCAGAACACATCCTAATCTGGCGTTCCTAATTTTCGAGCTATCATGGGTGACTGAAAATTAGCTGCCCCTATTAATTTTATCAGGGGCACCTCAGCCAGGAAACTGGACTCCTTTCGACTTGATTTCATTTCCGTAATTTTTCTGTATGTGATGAACGCAGATCTGTAATCACTGATTACCTCTATTCAATTATATATAAACTGACTTTGGGTTCATGAATCAAGATGTGGATTTCCCCCAAAACACACCCACATTTAGAAAGAAAACAAAAAAACAAGAAGACAAATAAATACCTGTAAGAGTTGGTCAGCAGTAGGTCTTTTATGATAATTTATGATAACACGTGTTTGAAATCAGACCAGGCCTTCTTGGACTTGACAAAGTTGGAATGAAAAATTTCATTGGACCAGGAGCTGGAATTGCAAAGTGCAGAATTCAACATCAATTTGGATTTGTAGTTCAAAGAGGATCATTCATGTCATCATTGGAATGAGAAACAAGGCTCTCATTGGATGCATGTCACAGAGAGCTGGAATTGAAAAGTGCACGATTCAAAGTCAATTTTAAACATTGGACAAAAATGTGGCGGGAACGACGTAATTGAAAGTCAAAAGGTAATACGGAAAATCATCCACGGGTCCCGGATTACTACATAAAGGATTATAAAAACATATAATAATAACAAGGATGTTTGAATTATGATTTGACAAATACAGCTGTTTGAAGAGGATCTATCAGCAACACCAGCACCATTACCATCATTTTTATCATAACCATCATTTTGCAGGCCTTGAAAAAAGTTCTGTCCATTAGTCTAGGACAAGCAGATCTTCTTGATGGGAAAGGAACTTTTAAAGCTCACTTGCAAAATAGGCAAGGGTATAGGCAAGTCATCTTTCAACTTACTCAAAAGGGAGTTTTAGGAATGATGATAGTGACGGCAAAGAGAACGTCAAAACAGCATTAGGCTTATTAAGCAAAACAGCAAGTTTGCACCTGCATCACGCTTTTTTGTGCATGTCTTTGTCATTATTGCACAACCACCGATGTGAAAATGCCTAATTTCACATTTTATGGAGGATTTAAACAAGCAAGGACGAAATTTTCTTTCTCTTTTTAAACTTGAGTGCGGTCCCCAAAAAATCAACTCCAGGGAAATTAGCCTACATAAGACATTTCAGTGAATAGGAATAAATGCAACAAAGTTTGAAAAAATGCTAATTCATTCTAAAAGAGATGTTTTCACTGCCGTCACCATCATCAACACTAAAACTCCCCAATAACTAAGACAAGCAAGCCACTCCCTGGGCTGCTAGCCCAATGGACAAGTTGGAATTCAAGTTTTTTTTTAACCCTAATTTGATCATTACAAGTATGATATTCTACATGACTGCTAAAGGATTATTTTTATCATTCTTCATATAATTAATAAAATGGCCCATACTGCCATAACCCCTTCATTTCTAAGTGACACTCACGGGGTTGTGTTTCAGCCATCTCAATAGAAGTGATTCCAATTGACCACATGTCACACTAAAAAGAAGAAAAGATTATTACAATTCAAAATAATAACTACCAAAAACCAGTCCGTCCTAGATCAGCCATAAAGTGAAGACAACACTACAACTCTCTACCACTTAACAAAAGAACAATGAACACTCGATGGCAACATGTAGGGGATCAGCATTGTTTATTGTTTATTGTTTATTGTTTTGTTAAAACAAAAAACAAAAAAAAACTTTTGAAACTCTCCTAAAAAAATCTAATTAGAGCTCCATCAATGCTAGATGCAGTTTTTCTTCCTTTCCTTAGCAGACAGCGAGGAAGCCCAAGAGAAGCCACCGGGCTTATTAAAGGGAATGGGCTAACGGAAAAATTTCAGTTAGATAATTTAGAACAAAATATTATCATAATTACACAAGAACGATTTTTTACGGAAAATCAATGGCAAAACTTCAGTAAATAGTTTAAAATAAGTATATTAGATATGTCTCTGGTCGAAGGTAATCATAGTCCATAGGCATTTTAAAAAAAAAATAAAACGTTTTAACGTGGTTTTCAAAAAGAGAAAAAAAAAAACAAAACAAAAGAAAATAAAAGAGCAAAGGAAGCATACCCTGTTGTCATAAGTAGCATCAGGTTGTTCATCACAAGCAATAACTTCTGGAGCCATCCTAAAATACAACAAAACAACAAAGAAAAGATTTAACTTTTGAAAATTCACCTAAAAGACTCCAGTCAACAGAGCTCCATCTTGGTCCCAGCCACAAAACAAATGCTAGCTGCAGTGAGTTTTACTAGCTACCATATCCGATTGATTTCAAATATAAAGATTTAAAACAACTGAATGATTGCATGGTTTGCTTTTTTAATCTAGTGCCAGCTGGCGACCAGTTCTGAAAATTTAGTCGCCAGTGCTCAATTTTTCTTTGATTATGTGCAAGGCAGTTTTTAAAAGGATGAGATCTCAATATCTGAGTCCTGGTGAACCCAAGAAGGAACCACAGAAAATTCCTGTTTTAACCTTGCTGTCCACTTGTTTGCTTCTTGTTCCAATTTATTATATTATACATCAAGATAATGCAAAATGATTATCCTCACCAGTATGGAGTACCAATGAAAGTATTTCTCCTTCCAATGGTCCTGTCAAGTTGAGCACTAACTCCAAAATCAACTACAAGAAAAGAGCATTGAGATATGTCACCCTAGAAGATTACTACAGTCAGTTAGTGTGCAACCATACTAACAAGCTTGTTGAGGTGTCTATGTGCAGGGACTAGAGTCTTATGACACAATTTCTGAGGTTCTTTATCTTACCAAGCTTAACTTCTGCCCCATCAGTCAACAACACATTCTGTCCCTTGATATCTCTATGTATGACGTGATTTTGATGAAGATGGCTCACACCCTGCCCGGGATGAAAAATGAAAATAAGAAATGAGTATAGTACGTCTCCAGAAAACTACTAAGAAGTAACATACAACATAGAGGAACACTCACATTGAGTACTTCATGGCAGATGTATGAAATCCACTCCTCCTTTAATGCTTTGCCCTTTGATGCTATGAAGCAAGAAAAGGGAAAGAAACAATTTGAACAGTGGTCAACAAAAAGTAAAAATCTAAAAAGCAATAGATGCATGTGGTCTCCTAAAAACATTCAAAAAGAGTAGATTGCTCTCAGGAGAAAGCTGAGCTGTACAGAGAAGGAAACTACACACACACTATACTTTATTTTCATACACATCAACCTACTGGTTGTGATGAGCTGATGCATGTAGCGCTAACAATGTATGCAAGTCAAAAAATCTTCTTTCAGCAGTTTATGCAAGAATTGCATTATGAACCCAGTGAAAGCCTGACTAGGAAACTCTACAGTCTATAATTAGGAGATTTTGACGGTCACTATCACTATTATTATCCAATGAAAATAATTTTTCCACACCTTTTACTAGGTCTGTTATGGATCCTGCACCACAAAACTCCATCACAAGCTGTTGTAGAAACAAATTGAGACATTTAAGGAGACAATTTATTTTGTACTATAATAAGGAAGATGAATGAATCCCCAAACTTACCCACAGTTGATCCTCTTGCCCTTGCAGTCCCTTCTTAACAAACGCTCCATAGTAGGTTGCTATATTCCGATGATGTGAAAACTGGAAACAAAAATATTAAACGAGTGTATTTTAGCACACTATAAAATACACCTGTTAATACTTATCTGTTGGATAATAATTTATCCAATCTATCCTTTGGGTTGGTCACCAAGATTTCAAGTTGCCAGGTACATACAACAAGTGGGCCGGGAATCAAACAGCTAGGGGTTTCTCTTGGTTCTATTTTTCTTCTATTCTCCAATGAAAGTAGCCAGGGACCATGTTTATAGTGGCCAAGGGAAATCCCCAGCCCCCGGCTCTTAATAACAGCCCTGAACAACTGGAGCCTGGTGTTAATAAGAGAAATACCTAAAGAACCTTTTAACCTGAACAAAGTAAGTGCAAACCTTTCCATTACATGCTTACCTTTCTAAGTACATTTATTTCTAGTTTAATTTCTTCTTCCTCATCCTAATAAAAATACAAGACTGTAAGTCAGTCTTACAGAATGTAAAATTGCATTAATAATATGAAATTATTGTTTAAAAATAAATTTTAAAATTTACTCAGAATCATAGCTCTAGGCTAAGAAGGTTTTCAAGGCTGTGACGGGAAGAGCATCTGCAATGAAATATGGATTGGAGTACGTGGTATTTCAGCTTAATTGATGAAGTAAATTCTTGAAATAATTATTGCGATGAGCCAAACTCTGATGTCCTGAGGCTCTTGAAATTTCAGAAGCTCAGCCATGCCTTCAACAGACGGGCCAAAATACAATCTGATTTTTAAGACTTGAGAAACTCCTGAAAATAGTAGTAATAAGACAGTGATGACATGCAGACATTCATACAGGAAAGAAACTAACCTCAGTGACATCCATGATTTTGATAGCAGCCAGTTGTCCTGTCCTCTTGTGACGGCCCTGTGTTCAACACAAATTAATAAAAGTTACTTTGTTGCAACAATGGTACTTATCTATTTCCTAACTCAGTTAAAGAGAGCGGGAGTTCCAAAACAAGATCTAGCAAGTGTTCTACGCATTGTGTGTGAGATCTGTTACTGATTATGCAGCACCTGTCTTTTTCAATGGTCTCCCCCAGTACATAAAGAAAGAGCTGGTATGGCTCGAGAAAAGAGCAATATCAATAATAACCTCAGGATAGCGCAACTCAGCAATAGAGGTGGGGTTATCACCCATTTTAAAGCATTATTATGTTCTATGTAGCACGCTTTTTGATAACATTGTCAGTGATCCAAACTATAAATTGAAGGTGCTCCTTCCACCAGACTATGACAACTCAGGCCTCAGCCTGCGGAACCCTGTGATGGACTAGTATCCCATTTGAGAAGAAGGGGGGAAGGGGGGTGAAGAGGGGGTTGACAATTCTCCACAAAAAAATTGGTGGCAAAACTGTATAGTCAATGTCATTAAATGGGGTACTTTGGAGCACAAAACAAACTGCAACCCTCCCCCCTCTGCTCAAATGAAAGTTGGGGTGTTTGCTGTTTCTCACAGTAAGCTCTAATAGTGGCACAACATTGCACAGAGGGGTGGGGGAGGGAACGTTGTGTGTACATTGTCACACTGTGTGAATTTAAATGAAGCCTCTTTGGTAGTACATTTAAGCACTGTACAATTTCTTTTTGAGGTAGTATTTTTTAAAAAAGAAATTTGGAATTTTTTGTTTTAATTTTGACTGCTGAGAGTAAAAGGAAGTTCTTGCTGATAGATAGTGTGCACCAAGTGTAAAATTGTAGTTACTACCTAATTGCAACAATAGACACATGCAGTGTTTTTAATCAATGATTCGGAATGACATTACATATAATTACCGTACTTCCTCAAATAATAGCCGTCCCTCGATTAATCGCCTCTCTTGAATAATCTCCCCCTTTGATAGCAATATTTAAAATAATCACCCCCTACCCCTCTCGCCATTTTCTTTCTTTTATCAGGGCTGCCACTTTTCAGAAAGTTAAAAATTCCCCGACTTTTCACTGACCTTTAAACAGCTTTCACTGACCTTATATTAATGAGAAACAATCCATGTTTACATTCACTTTAGCCTTTTTTGCAAGCCATCCATAGTTTTCTCTTCATTTTCAACCTCTTTCCACTTTTTGCAGAAAGAGAAAGAACGAATTTGGAAGAAACCATTCACAACAAAAACCACTGACCACAACTACTACATGTCTCAGGTGTAGAGTGTCAAATTGATCACTTTACTTGCTTTGCAGCATACGTTTTGTCTTTTCCACAAGAAAATGATTTCAAAATCTTGAAGAAAACTTATGAAGTATAAACTGGAATACAGAATTCCCTGACTTTTCACTGACTTTGACAATATCAAAGATTTTCCCTGATGTTTTGAAAAATTTCCTGACTTTTCCCTGACCTTGAAAACTGTGGCAACCTTGTTTATCCTGTCCCTGTCAATTAGTCCAGCAAAACTGATAACTGACTATTAATCAAGGAACTAAATTTGGAACAATTAAAAAGCCCATGTTCAGTTTATTTGTTGTGATAATTTTTGGATTTAACAGGATAATGAAACAAAATATTTAGGTCATGACTTCCAGTGAGCAATATTATTTTGAAATAATTGCCTCCCTTGAATAATTGCCCCCTTTTGATGCGAAAAAAGAAATAATTGCCCCTGGCTATTGTTCGAGGAAATACGGTATTGGTGGTCGAATTATCAGACAAAACTCGTCAAAGGACCACTTGTTTATGTCTCACTGAACACTATCAGAACCCATCATAGTTTCTTGAACTTTACTGCATTCCCACACATATACATAAGGTAAACATAAATTCCTAAATTCCATGATCACACTGTTATTTTTCACCATAAAAATTATCATTATAATGAGTTAACTGTAATGTAAACTTCTGTGAAGAAATGCTTGAATGAATGACAGTTAATGTTACATAAAAAATGGTATGTATTCTTGATAATGTTTATTTTTATGGTTCCCCAGTGAGAAGGATGTTCTAGAGAAGCAGAGATCTGAAATAACACTGTCAACAAGTGGTCGGCATTGAAACTAATCTACTCTAAACCCTAAAATCATTGTAAAATCTGCTCAAACGCTTTATTAATTTTATCACCAAATACACTGCACAAAAAAAGATCCCACAGAAAATCCATAAATAACTTAAGCTTACGTGTTACATAAATTATACCCTATAAGAAATGACCAAAGAGCCAAAAGAAGTAACAAAACACCCACATAGACCACATACAATCCAAGTAACTTCAGCCAAATTACGATCGCTTTTCAAATATAATCCTGTCATAATTTACTTAGCACTCATTGAAATTTGTTGAAATATGAAAGCTTCATAAATACAGAAATAAAACTGTAAAATAAACAAACATAGAAGCGCAAGGAAGGAGAAAGTTTTAACGCTTATGTGATTGTTACAATTAGTACCAACCGAGTGCAACATGTACAATCTGATGGAATGTTGTGAAATTTATTGAAAAGAATCGAGTTTGAATAGCTCTTAGGCTTTCGCGCGAGCAATTTGCGGAGTCCTTACGGTACATCGACATATAAATAAAAGACGTGAGTAGCATAACAAATCACTAGAGAGTTTATGCTATCTTTAGTTAAAACAATTTCTTTCAACTAAGTGTTGTATACACTGTACCTTATGAACTTGTCCATATGTGCCATTTCCAACTACTTCCACCAAGTCGAAAATTCCGGCAGGATCCTTTCGAAAAAACGCAATTTTCTTAGCAAGTTTATTTTTTAATAGATCACACAACACAATAATGAAAAAGATTAATCTCACTAGGTAGGAAAAACCCCAGGAATTTGTGTTTACTAGCCAGACGTCAAACGACAAAGCGACATCAGAAAGACAACCACCGTAAAATTTTCAGGTTCACTTGTCTTTAGATAAGCTGCTTCGCTCAATATGTTCACGAATCGTTGCCTACATAAATCCTCTCTGACAAGAAATAAGCCTTCTTCAAAGAACCCGACAATTTTACAAGCTCAACAGCTCAAGGAATAATTATCGCAGAATTAGAAACCTTTTAATCTAACTTTTCACACGAAGAAACTAAAACATGAAGGAATACAACACGCCAAAAAGTGAAATTTTACTCACCTTTAACGATGCTAGGTCAATATCGTCCAGTCCGTACGCCATTTTACATGTAATATAAGTGATGCGATTTCCACCGCAGTGTTATCACCAAGCTTTTTTGAGCCAGTTCGACTGCAGATCGCGTAAACCTTCTAAGCTGCGGGAACTTTCGTCACATCCGACGATGATCACTCTTGACGAATCGTCCTACGCCTTGTCCGATTTATACGCTCCAACGTTCATAAATGCACTCGTTCACATTAGGATATTTGATAAAAAAGTGAACACACTAGTTTGGTACAATCAGTGCTCATGAATCAAGAACTCCTAAAGTTTACAGAGCAAAACAGTGAGGAGCCATACTGTATCTCTCAAAATAACGCCGGCCGAGGGAGGAGCTTGGGTCTGATCACGTGATACCTGCCGCTGACAGTTTTTTGTTTCACAGGAATCACAGCAGGATGTATGTCACAGATCATGTCACGTCGTCGAATTCGCTTCTAGGCGGCGAAAAAAGCCCCCCGCCCCCCCAACACTTTTTTTGTGGGGCGCAGCCCCCTATTTTTGTAGAATAATAAACAACTTTCTTACATTTTACCACGGTCGACTCATTAGGACTTAAAAATACTATTTTTATACAAAACTTTAATTGAATGGGTTTCCAATGAATCGGTTGGGTCAGTTCCGCATTTAATTTTGCTGTATGCGTGACCAACTTCCATTTTTTAAAAAACATGACTCTCTACATCGGAGAGAAGTTTTTCCGCTCTGAGACGCCTCGGGGGAGGGGAGGGGGAAATTGAATGCCCAAATTTGATTGTCAGCACCCCCCGCCACTTTTTACTTTGCCCTGCCGCCGCTGAATATGGGTCTATCCCTGAAGAATTTCGTAAGAATTAAAGCTTTAGCTTTACCCCAAAACAAATCCATATTTTTTTCACTCTACCACGAAAGAGATCCCTCAAATGTTTATAACTTACCCCTGGATGAAAAGATTCCCATTAGTCCACAGCCAGGAAGGGAAAGATATTTTATGCAATAGCCTTAGGTGCAGGCGGCTTTCAACCTTGTCGCCAAAGCTTAATGACAGCTTTGAGGCATCTTTATCAAAACTAAGAATGCCAAAACGTATCAGGAGCCCTCAATGGCTCCTTTAGTTGCTGATTACACAAGGTATGGACTAAACTAACCTGCGATCAGGCAGTCCTTCTTCCCTTTTGACTTTTGTGCTTTCCCGAAAAAAAAAAAAGGAATTAAAAAATGCCTGATTGCAGGTTAGGACTATAATTATTATGGACCCAAGTGATCTCCACTCCAAACCAGTGGGGAGGGAGGTTGCACCTTGATAGAGTTACTTGGGGTGAAATCCTACTGAGGGCTTCTGGCCCCCTCGGAAGTTCTTAGTTTTTTTATAAAGATGACCGACAGTTAATGAATAATTTATCAATCTTGGGACTTATCCTAACCATTTGACATTTGATTTGGTACAGTGAATAGACTGCTTTTTGGTCAGATGTATTCAATAAATTGTTGATCAATCAAATACATCACTGTTAACACAATGAATTCACCGAAATGCTCTGTTGAATAATAAATAACCCCAAGAAATAATTATTGCAGTCACAGTGAAATGCATTTCACCAAAAAATGGTAATCAGAGGAATACATTGCTGTTGACACATGTTAATAAAATACATACATTACTGTGACACACAATGTATAATAGAAACCTCAATCAAAATAATATGATACACCATATTTGCTAAATGATGTATTTGTAGAGGTTCAATTTTTGTCCTTCGTTTGCATTCTATTTTCTTTTATTTTGGGGTGGTAATGTATGATATTGTATTAAACACAATGAAAAATAAAAGTTAAGTCAAGGATCAAATTGAACCACAGCATATTCACCAAACTGCTAAAAAACTGAATACAAATACTATTTACTGCAGTAATGTATTCACCCGAAATGCTAGTCAACCAAATACATCAACATTGTCACGTTTCCACCAGTCATTATCGTTTGAATACATAATTTACAGTGCAATAAAAAGTATTTCATTCCACCAATTAATTATTAAAAGAAAAAGAGACAAACACCATGATAATCACTGCAATGTTCATAATATATTGGCTTCTGACATCAAATACAAATAACGTGACTGCCAAGGCAGTGAGCTCTCCCCCAAGAAATGACCCATATCAACAAAATAAACATTAACTAACTAAACTTAGGCTAGTGACTGAAGACTGCACACTTCACTGAAATATGCTGTCCATATACACCATTTCTTGATCTGCCAGCAAAAGAAGCAAGGTAGAAGTAATAAACCAAACCATCAGGGGATAGATGTGCTATGGGCAAGACGATAAAGATTAAGATTCCTTCGCTAAACAGAAAACAATATTTACGTGATCCAACCAAACTCACACTGAACCCTAGTTTTGCGTCACATGAATCTGCTTTATAGGACCACAGTTTTAAGTAGAGTGAGGTTATGTTCACACAAGTCAATCTGTTTGCACAAAAACTTCCACATTTTTGGCTTCCGCTCACTCTTTAACAACTGCTTATAAAGGTACCATCTCAGTATTTTGCAAAAAAAAAAAAAAAAGTTCAATGTTTGGCATTAAAATTGACTTCTACCTTGCATGGTATTACACTTCTTGATATAGTATATCTAATTTAATTACTGACATTTACTAGAAATATCAGTCATTACTTTTTCCTTAATAATAAACATCCAAAAGGGAAATTTGTTTGGCCTGGTACGGGAAACTTCTGCTGAACTCTTTTCATAATTTTTGAACAAAATAAATACTCTAGATATGTGAGCATATTACATTGCGGAAACTTCAAATAGATGATATTATTATTTCTAGACATTCAGATGGATAACCAGCTATGCACAGAAAGTGAACATCATTTTCCATGATGAATTGAAACATTTTATTGTAACCCAACATGATTTTTATCAAATAACATAGCATCTTTGGGCTCTTTAATATGTTTTAGTTCTAACATAAAAGCCCACAAAAAATGTCAAAAGCACTTTCCACATTTGAGGGATGCTTTTTTATGTAAAAGCTTGTTTGAGATGTTTTCCTTAACTGAATGTTAATACAAAAGTGAAGTTATAACCCTGAAACTTTTTTGCCTAAGTCAGCTCTAAAGGATTTCATAAACTACTACTGTACAATTCTATTTAGTGCGTGTAGGAGAAAATTTTGTATTGTTAAAAAAAAATATTGATACCACTCAAGTGTGAGTCAAGTGTAAAACCTCTCTGATGTTTCAAAATGGACATTTTTCTCTCCTAGCAATTCATCATAAATACTTTGGCGACAACTTTTTTGGGGTATAAGGCAGACAGCTACACTATCACAACAGAAGACAAAAAATATTATTATTAATAATAACTCAGGAAACCATGCGTTACCTATGATTCTGCCTCTAAGTTGCAAAAATTAGACTAAACTGAAGTTGTAACTCTCTAGAGTCTGTGAATAAAGTCCAGAAGACTGTCCTGTGTGAAAGTTTTTTCATCTGCTGTCAATTCAAATTTTCTTTAACTAAAGGTAAATTTTAGAATGTACAGGCAACCCCCTGAAAGCAGAAAGTTATCTTTTTTTAAGTCAAGGAACACTAAAATATATTAAACTTCTTTAGCGGGAAGAAGAGAAACTTGATTATATACAAAACCATAATTTGGTACATGTTTCGGATTTACAACTCACAGCTCTCGTCGTTTCTTTATCCTCAAAATAAAGGTGGCCAAAAACCCAGAGTATAAAATTATTCTCTATTAAAAATTAATACTCTGACATATGTATCTATAAAGCCACCAAGCATGTAATATTACCATTATTCTTATCTCTTCTGCTGTGAATGTACATCGTTTTGCATATGTGAGAAGCTTTCAAATGACTGCCATTTCATCAAGATTTGCTGGTAATAAAAATGACACAAAGGAAAGCCTTTTAGATTCCAACATTACATGCATGCTCATTGTTTCAGAAAAAAGGGCATTTTTTTTTTCTTAGAGTCAAAAACCTGCTGATGTTGCAGATCCTACATTTTTGAATCCAAACAAAATCCTGAGGCATGTCAAGATATCTTTTTTCTTTTATCTCCCTGTAGAACATGCCAGCCATAATGAAACTTGAACAACAGACACATATTAAGCAAACTTCAAGAGTTCTCAAGTGGTTTTGAAGACACTTCTGGTGGTGAACCTATGCAACACAGCAACCACCTTCATTTGATTGGGCTTCAAGGAAAGCCTAACCTTGTGAGTCTCTCACAACTAAAGCTCTAAATGTAAATGTAGTCATGGAATCATTCTCATCAAGTACTTTCAACTAACTACAACAGTTAATAATTATTATCTGTTTGAACACATGTGAATTACTAATAATATTCATACATGGACGTCAATCTAAAAACGATGCTAGCTTTCAAAATATTGTCACCAAAGATGTTAAATATTTCTTTTGATTTTCTCATGCCCATTTCTGTGTCTGCTGCAAGAAGTCTGTACATTAAGCATGTTAAAACAGGCATTTTTGAACTGTGCCCTGAAAACAATAACAGAACATGTCTCTGGGTGCTTTGTGGCAGTAGTCTGTATAAACTGAACCAAGCCTTTCCTTGAGGACATTCAATGAAGAGCCTTTGTATGGATGCACTCTGGACCACTGCACTTCCTAGAGTAAACTCTACTAGGTCATCCTTTTTTCCTTTGATCCCTTCTAGCCTGGGATAACCAAGTCGCCAAAAACTGCTTCATCCTCGCCATTCCATAACCACCAGATGCCTTATTTGATGCCAGATATTGCCAATGCAACATTTCCAATTTAACTTATTTCATCAAAGACTGAACAAAATGGGTTAACTCCTTCAATGTTAACCAAACAAAGAAACAAAATAACTCTTGATAGTAGCAGCAGCAAGACATGCTCTAGTTCCACCAATCGGTAGCTCCAGCACTGTGCCCATGATGGCGGTTTTGATTCCAGTAGCCCATGTTGCCATACCCACCATACCCCCCATAGTGTGGGCCTCCACCTCCACCCCCACGGTGATGTGGCTGCTGCCTGTAGTCACGGGATCCAAAACCACCTGGATGCCTATTGGAAAGTTAGGATTTTCAGTGAGTTTCTTTGCTAATCATCGTGTAATTCTGGACATTAGTAATGATTCAACAGAACTTCAAAATCTGTGAATGACTATTTATACAAAACACAGGAATAGTCTTGTTTCTGAAATGCTGCACTAAGGTGTTTTACTGTTAGGGCTGGGGGTAGAAATGAATTCAACAGCAAATCGTGGTTTGCGAAAGTAATGGACTTCCACAATAGTAATGTGTTCTCTGTTGTTTGCTACGATAGGCACTATGTTTTGTGTACTAAAACATGCTTCCCCTTGCACAATTTACTCCTTCTTCACAGGCAAAATTCTGTTAACAACCAGAGTCTGCTGCCAGATTCATGATCATCTGCCATTATCAATCATGTAAAGGAAACTGAGTAATTTTATTCTGCAGTGGCATTGGAGGAGAGATCTCATATCAAGCTAGGGAAAGCTCAGGGCCGGGTTGTTCGAAGCTGGGTAAAGGTAACCCACCATTAGTGCGAAATTTGAACTCGGACATGAGAGCTTAAAAAGCAAATTCAGTTTAATTCTCTTTGCCTACAATTTGATGACTGGATACTCTAAAAACACTAGAGAAAATTATCTGATAATATGCTTTTGATAAAAAGAAAAAGAAACCTGGGTTAAAATTTAACCCCGGGCTAGCGCTAACTGGCGTTTGAACAACTGGGCCCAGGGTTAAATAATAGCCAACAAACAAGTGGAATGGAGTCAAACCTCCGCTGCCTGTTCCTTCCAGAGTTCTGATGGCTCTCAAAAGCAAGAGACTCCAACCAGCCTGGCACTTCCTGCCTGGTGTCATTCAACAGGTCAACCATATCCTTGGCTACATTACGGTTCTTTTCATTGATGAATGATGTTGCAAGACCTGACAGAATATAGCATTCAATAATTTTTTTATTTAAGGGGTGCCTGGATGTGGACCTAAGTGACTTTCATATTAATTGCAAGGTTTCTCCTTCCAATTTGCCTTGTCAGTGCTTATAAATCAAAGCCTGGTAGATTTTGATATTAGACCAGGAGTCATTTACCACCATATTCCATATACCGTTTCAAAATAACTGACTTCAGGACAAAAAATTCCTTTATTTTCTTAATTGGACTTCACCTCTGGCTTTTCTGTTAAGACTGAAAAAGGGGCAAGACTCGAATTCAGGACCTCTGAAGTACGAGTCTATGTATAAATACATAACATGGTTCAAGAATCAAAAGTGGGAATACTCAAAAGAAAAGACATGAACAGGGCACTTTGACCCATGCATGTCATGTATGGCTCCACACAGGGAAGTAAAAGGGTTAAAAATTATCTGTTCAAGAAAATACAAGACATACAATAAGTAAGATAAAAAAAAAAACCTGCATAAAAAACTAGAAAGTCTGCCATAACAATCACAGAACTAGGGCACCACAACTATCATTCACCCCAAAAGTAGTATTACTGCATCTACATATGCGCAGGAATAACATTCAAGTCATGCAGTTGTATTGGTTACCTGTATGCCCCACACGGCCTGTGCGTCCAATACGGTGCACATACTCCTCGATATCTGTTGGCATGTCAAAGTTTATCACATGGCGCACATTGGGAATGTCCAAGCCACGAGCAGCAACCTAGAATGAACAAAGTAATAAACAAATCCAAATCAAAAAAAAAGAAAGAACTCATAATGTGACTACAAGTACAAGCACATGCAAAGGAATTACTGTACCTTGATCCTTGTGCTTATTATGCTGATGCCTATGACACTTTCAGGGTGAAACTAAGAACTCTTATACTTGTACTAGTGCTGCTAGTGAAAAAATAAATTACTCAATAAAACTTACAGCAGTGGCCACTAAAATTGGGGTGACACCTCTCTTAAAGGAATTGAGGGCTGCTTCTCTCTCACGCTGCGAGCGATCACCATGAATAGAGGTTGCAGGGTAGCCAACTTTACACAAGTACTCTTCCAAGAGATCAGCGCCCTTTTTGGTCTCCACAAAAACAAGTGTCAGGGCATCAGGACCTAATAGAAGTAAACAACCACAGTCAATACCAATAATTACTTGCCACGCGAGTAATAAGAATTACTAGGCTACATCACTCATTACCAGAATAGACATATAGTTGAACTTAAACAAAGGTAAAGCATGCACTCTGATTGGTCAATAACAACAGTGAGTTGTACTAACCCATGCTTACACTTTGAGAAATCTGGCATGCCTTTAAGGCAGTATGAATCAATCAAGATTCACTTTTTGCTAGCAGTGTCTCTCAGGATGTGTACCCTGATAGTTAGAGCAACGTGCAAAGGGAAGAAAAGAAATTTTAGTCTTTTAGTTTATCACAAAGTATAATGACCAGAAATGACTGGTTCAGTTTTAGAAGTTGTTCAACAAGTTTCCACAGCCATGATTTGAATGCTCCTTCCTAACAGGGAGTGACTCAGCAGCTCATGGTTCCACTTTAGTTTTGAACATTAAGATGTCATTTCACGGTTGATCAGGGTTTTCATTAAGAATTCTAGTAGCAGGAAAAAGGTGTTATGTTACAGGAGAATATTTGAAAAGAGACTCCACATCTGAAGAAAAATAGTCAGAGGCTACCAAACGTTGGCCGGAGAATTCTGTGTAGTGAATGGAGAATTCTCCACTGTTCAATGCCTAATAAACATCCTGCTTGATAAGAGTACACACCATATAAAATTGTTGTTGATTTGCTAATAGACCTTTCCCGCATTCATGTGAACAAAGGCACCAACTCGAGGCTCGGGTGGACAAAATACAGTGATTTGTATGAAACTATCCACCCGAGCCTCGACCTCATTTCTTTGTGTTTGCTCACCGGAGTGTAATGCGGGAAAGGTCTATTGAACAGTTATGATCATTTTAAAGCGCTGTAGGTCTTACATGTAAAGAGATACCAAAACACCAAGAATCTAAACCAAGGCAGACACTTTAACAACTAAGCTCTTACCTGAAGCATTTAACAGATCCAGAAGAAATGACCTCTTGTCTGGTTCATCTACCCACACTGCTTTCTGTGTGATGTTCTCACTTGTGGAACCCACACGTCCCACAGCCAAGAATATGTAATTCACCAAGAAGTCTCTTGCAAGCATCTGTAAGAAAATTTCCACAAAACTGTCACCTTGAACAAGAGTTCTACCTCTAAATGTATTTTACCTAACATGACTCCTAACATATGTCAGTGATTAATGTAATTTCAACTGTAGCATATGTACACAAGAACATAATAACATAACAAAAAGGGAAAACAACCTTTAGGAAGAACTAAAACTCATCCAAGAAGACTATTATACTATTCATAATAACAAGCATAGAGAATAAATAATCCTACCCATACTTTTGCATGTATAGGTCAGATTGCGCATTTCGATAAGGTCTGAATAATTTGCTTATGCCATTTTCTGTAGTTATGAACAATAAAGTATTAATCATTAGCGACCTCAGGAGGTCATAGGAGGGGCTTGTTTGTGCTTCTGCTCATAAAATGGTTTACAGCATCAGTAGCTAGCACTGATTAAGTTTAGATTCACACACATAGCAGACTGCAAACAAACACTAGTCAGCTGCAATAACTCACCTGGATTTCTTTAGGGAATGTGGCACTAAACATCAGTGTTTGGCGATCACCAGCTTTAGGCATAGTATCCTGATCCACAATACGACGTATCTGGGGCTCAAATCCCATGTCCAACATACGGTCAGCCTCGTCAAGCACAAGAAACCTGATGACATGACAATTTGAATCAAATACAGGTGGAAACTTACAGTACAGCAGCGAAAAGTGCTGTACTCAAAAACTTTGATTTATATGAATGCTAACAGTCTGGGGTTTCATCTTCAGTCTACTACAACCAAACCTTTTATGAAAGACCCCAATGAAAAGAATTAATACCGATGCAAGGATGGACATCTGGGCTAGGCTGATTCCTCCTTTCCTTTTTCTTGAACAGTTGACAATGACCAACAGTTAGAATGTTCGAGCAGAGAGGGTTGAATTATCTTGAAGTTCAATTTAAGATGTGCACAGAATATGGCCAAAAGTGAAATTCCTGATCTAAAATTAAATTCTCCTTTTAATTTACAAGCATGAGGATGTATGATCTGATCAGTGACAGTATGAATGTAAGATCTTGTGACTTGAACTTACTTGCAAATGTCCAGTCCAATGCGTCCCCTGTCCATCAAGTCGACCAGGCGACCGGGTGTGGCCACCAGGACATGACAGCCCCATTCCAGGTCTCTTAGTTGGGAATTAATGTCAGCACCACCATACACAACAAAGGGACGAACGTGTGATCGGTAAGCAAACTGCAAAGGGTTGAAGAAAAAATATGAGATTGACAAGGCTGTGTTCTAGTGGTACCCAGCGGCTAACTTTTGCTCCCAAGTGACTAGAAAATCTTAGTTTTTTTTCATAGAAATCATAAGCTGGGCACCCTGGATTTCACATGTTCAGATCACTGGACTCCCTTCAATTTTTCTTAGGACACAGTATTGATTGAACTCAAGTAGAGGTCCCAAGACTTCTTGTAGATGATTTATGGCAAGGTCAGATGTTATCTTGAGTAGTTTCTAAGAAATTTACCCTATCTCCCTCCATAAAACAATGTGCACCAACTAACAAAAATAATATTGTGACAAGGTCTTTTTTCTTCAGCTGTTCTTCTCTGCGTTATTTAATAGCGCCATAATGCAAGCACAGCTGAACTTCAGAGTTTGACAGTCTTTTGGTTATTTGAAACCTCATTGACCTGACTCATTATGTGTACCCAAAATACAAACATGACTCTATGAATTTAGTATGTCCATTGGATAGTTCAAACATCAAAACACAAAATGGTAAAAACACTAAGATCTGATACCTTCTTGGCTTCATCATAAATCTGGACTGCAAGCTCTCTTGTGGGTGCAAGAACCAGACTGATAGGGAAACACTTTCGTCGAGACTGTTGCCTCACCTAAAGGAAATTGTCCGCATTTTCATGAAGTCTTCAAGTCTCAGTTGTTGAAACAGGACAGGCCAGGTAAAACGAAGCTTACAGGTCTATGTCACTGAACTGTACAATGGTAACTAACCAAGCAAAATGTAACATTGCACAACAGGCATCTCTGACACACCTCACAAATCTAATAAGAGGTTCCAAGTTTGACTGGGAAAACAGCACCCATGTAGATTCAACAGAGAAACACATAGATAAAGCCCTACTGTAGGAAACAGTAGGCTTGCAGGTGTTGTCAACTTGGGGGCCGTTTTTTCACCTCTCATTTTCATCCTAATCCAACTTTGTTTTAAGGGTCTATTCCTCCCCAGGGTGTAACATTTACCAGCCCAAACATCATTTCAACTAGCCCCAGAAACGTTTTGATGAGCAGATGGATTTCACAGTTCTTCTGCAATATGAATTCCTCAAAAAACTTCACTTGCCTGTCGGGCAAGTTAAGAACAGAATTTACTAGCCCAACAGCAAAATCTACTAGCCCCAGGCTATCAGACACTACTTTCTTTGCACACTGCTCCCATACTGCTAGAGGCCAAGAAGAAGAGAGTCTCTTGGAAGGAGGTTTTAAAATGCGTCTAACATGGGACATGTACAGTGGACTTGCAGGTGTTGTCATCATTGACACGCCTTATTATTCAAAGCAAACAAAAATTGAAAGGCTTGCTTACATCAGGAGGGGGCGGTGGACCTTCTTCAAAAATCCTGCTGAGAATTGGGATCAAAAAGGCTGCAGTTTTTCCAGATCCTAAAAATCAAACAAGTATGACAGTTACATTGTAAAAGTAACACAGCTCATCTTTGTATTTCATCTTTCCTGCCATCTATTTTTCTCACCAACAATAAGTAACATTGACATTTAAGGTAAAAAGTAATCACAAGGAAGTAAATTGAGACAATTTACCAGTCTGGGCGCAAGCCATCAGGTCTCTTTTGGCCTTAACAATGGTTATGGCATACTTCTGAACTGGAGTAGGCTTGGAATAGTTTGCCAACTATAAGAAAAATTAATAAACAGCAAAATCTAACAGTTTCTCTGCAAGCTCAATAAAATTGGTCATTTTAAAGTTAAATCAAACACTGGGTATTTCATCTGGCATCTTAAGTCTTAACATTGGTTTAGAAAAAACTATAGAACAACTAAAATTTTAACAGAAAATTCTTGATGTAGTATGTCAAGCATAAGACACAATCTGATGATGAAACATTGTATTGGTTGCTTGATATTATTTCTCAAACGAAATGATTTTAGAAAGAGAAATTAAGGATGGAAAACTTGAGCAGTTTTCCATCTGATTTCGAAACACTCATGAATTTCCTTTCTATTTTCTTTACGAGTTTGAGAAGTCTAGACATCATATGAAATTAATCTTGCGTATGAAAGTAGGACACAAAAAACAATTACCTACCCCAATATTGTTGTGTAAGATTTCACCGAGGTTGCAGTCAGTAAACTAATAGAGACAAAGGAAACAAATTATGATCATTTGCTGTAACACTAAATACATGTACAGTAAACACGTTTCCACTCAATTGTGGCATCACATTAATGAAAGCACTGCTATGGGGTCAGTATCCTATAATGTAATCAAATTAACAGACAACAGTGGAAATTTGAACCACTTGGGCAAATGTGTTTCTTCAGGGCTTCTGATATTTCGCGGAAAAAAAAGCAAAATTTCGCGGAAAAATCGGCCGATTTCGCGGGAAAAAAAGTCAAAATTCGCGGAAAAATCGGCCGATTTCGCGGCATTTTAGCGGAAAAAAAGTAAAATTTCGAAGGATTTTCAGGGGCAAATTCATAGAAAATTTGGCCGATTTCACGGGAAATTTCGTCAAGAAACAATCAGTAAAAAACAGCCAATTTCGCTGTTTTTTGGGGGGCAAATTTCACTAAAAACGATCAATTTTGCGTTGATATGACCAGCGTTGTTTAACCTTTTTTTTAACAGGGATAATCATTTGCTCTTTCAACAACATTTCGCTCGAGAAATGAGCGAATGCTATAAAAGCTGTTAACATTATGGTTAGTGCCCACTTTTTCGCAACGTTCATCTAAGAACGCCTGGTAGTTTTGGGACGTTGTTTACTCGTTGCGGTGACGAAGTTTCAAGACAAATTTGGACGTTTGGGGTGAATAAAACAGGTCTAATAGCCAAGATAAGTATTAAATATGTTTTGCTGACATGTATTTGGAAATATTTCTGGTGAAATTTGCGGTATTTCGCGGAAATGCCTGAATTTCGCGGGTCCCCGACCGCGCGAAATATCAGAAGCCCTGTTTCTTTCACCCCAGCTTGCATATATTTTTAGCATCTTTACCCTAACCCTTGTGCTTCTTCAGCAACACAGGCTACACAGTGGCAGATCCAGGGAGGGGCCAGGGGGACCCAGGCCCAAGGAGACTGCCCCCTCCTCCTCTCTTATCTCATGGGCTGGATCCGGCACTGCTACAGGAATGCAATCAACTGGACAGGACTGAAGGCTAAGATAGTCCAGGCCCCAGTTGTTCAAAAGGTGGATAACAATATACAGTGGATGAATCATAACAATTGATTTCCCTAATATTTACCCACTGGATATTGCTTTATCCAGTGAATAGTACTATCCAATGTTTGAACAACCGGGGCCAGGTGTATGTACATGTAATCATCATAAGCAAAACCAGGCTTTCAAAGAATAATTATTTTCCTATTTTTTAAGCAGGGCTAAAAAAGGTATCACTGTGTTTGTCTCTTGTTTTTCTTCTGTTTGGTTGATAACGTGACTTGAAATGGTGCAATTTCTCAGTGCACAGTAACATAAGAGATAAAAACAGTTGTAAATTTGCAAACAACCCTCTATAGCACAATTATTACCAATTCAATGCACTTGGGAACATCATTTCCAGTAGCTTCAACAGGAATATCCTCATACTTGTCAAAGTTTATTCCAGTGTTATGCTTGTTAAAAAGTTCCCTGAAATAAAAATTAGGGTTAAGTTAATACTAACCATAAATTTCTGTTTTAGAGCTTTTGGGCCTGTTACCTTAAACTGTTATTCTTACACAGTGGCACAGCTTAGTTGTTAATCATATTTCAGGAGAAGCATACAGGCACACTTTTCAATAACATATAATCTATACCTTTCCACACGATCATTTTTTGGCAACAACTTAGACCAGTCTTCTGGTGGTGGTTGAAAGTTTCTTCCATAGTCTAAGAAATAACATGAAAAAAATAAGAAACAGTGATCAGTTTCAGGTAGAATAGTTTTGGAATGATACCACAATTTCATTTCTGAGTGTAGCAAATACAGTAAATATGTATAACTTACATGTGACACGAGAAACATTATAAATTTTTTTTACAAAAATTCATTTGAATTGTCTTAAATCTACCCTTTTATCAGGGTTGTTTGGTCCTACATTGTTCGAGTTTTAAAAGTTGTTAAAGTTTTTATCATTATTTTACTTGGCATACTTCTAAAAGACTCATTTCATCAATCTATAGACCACACACACTTACAAGTATAGAAATAACTGCTGACTTGTTAACCCAAAGTCTCTATATCCACATTACAAATTCTCCAGACCGATTTCTATACATTTCCATAAAAATTTAGAGGAGAGAATTTGATAAAAGATCAAAGTGTTTACCCTTAAGTGATCATTTCATTAATTCTCAAAAACATTTCCTTGTGATTATGGATTTATATTGTTGGGAGGAAAAAAATGTTGGTCATAACTGTTGGGGCTTACAAGGTTACACAGGTATTTCAACTCTTACCACTGTTGGCACTGCCTCCTCTATACCCTCGGTTGTCACCTCGTTCTCGCCAACTGTTCCCTCCTCCACGGCCATAGTACATACCAGGGTTACCATACCCTCCTCTTCCACCACCCCTTCCGTAGCCCCCATAATAGTTTTGTTGATAAAATCCATCTGGAGAAAGTAAAGAACATCATTGATTGATTTTGATACATTGGCAGCCACAGCTTCAACAATACTGGTAAATTTCACTTGTTCTTTTGACTTTACAAGAGCCTTATTTTGCACAACTTACTGTTACCGACTTTAATACAACAATGAACATGCAAACAAACCTCTGTAAGGATTCCTGGGTCCAAAGTCTCGTGGTCCAGGGTTGTACATTTGATCCTGATACCCATCTCTACCAGAAGGGGGACCTTGTCTGTTGCGAAGGTGGGGAGGTACATATCGTTCTACATAACAACAAAAGCAGTCTCAAAATAAATGTTGCAATAATTAATGTTATCATAAGAACTTTTCTTTACTTGTTTCCTTCTTGTTCTACGTTTGCCTTTTTGCTAACCAACATGAAAACAAAGGGCAAATACATCGCAGTCTGCAGTTTCCCTTGAAAAACCTGATGCTTAAGGTCTCAAAAATGGGGGTCTATTTGAACTCAAACTGGCGCCTAGCCTTAGAAGACAGCTAACATTTCAGAACCCCACCACAGGTTTCCCTGCGAAATGATGTCCAAGGAAACAGTAAAGAAATTCCATACTGCTGATGTGTTGCTACCCACATCTGGGCAGTCACAAATCAGCAGAATGGAATTTCAGGGCTCGTTCCACAGACGACATTTCGTGAGGAAACTAACGGTGGTGTTGCAAAATATCAACTGTTTTATCAGGTAACTGTCACTATTCAACCCAGATTTTCACTTCTAGTGCATCCAAAAGAAGGCACCGTTGGTTACCTTATTCTCACTTAATTTCGCGAAAAATCATGAACCATATTTTGCAAGTATTTAATTTTGCGATTTTAAGGGATTTATATTTTAGAGATTTTTAGAGAATTTGTAGGGATTTTTAGATTTTACGAGTATTATCAGATTTTTTCGAAATCACGAGATTTGATACTTGTAAAATTAAGTGTGAATTTGAACTTCAGAGTCACATGTTATTGAAACTCGAGAGTCTAAGCACTTTTTTATCTTAAAAAAAGTTGATCTCCTCACAAGAGATACAAGGATCATGATTGGAAAAATGAGTTTGGGGTGCTTGAGATGTTTTCAGAGGCTGAAAACCTCAACATGATCCCACATTTTACAACTAACATGAGGAAGTAAATGCTGCATTTCTCCTACCATCCTAACATTAAATTCAGCTGTCAAAACAACATTTTCCCAATTTATATTCTCATCTTTCACAACCATTTTTTAATCATACAGAAACATCAGGGACAAATAACCAATTTTTTTGTTAACAGCAACAAATAAACAATAGCATCAATGAAATTGAAGTTTTTTACAAAGGAAATTATCAAATTTATAGCACATTTTTTATGTGTTGATGACAATCTCAAATCTCAGTGAGCCTGCATAAAATGACGCCCTTCTGGCATATTCCAGAAATCTATGCCTCATGAAAAATTCTCGGCGAAAAGGAAAAAGAGTTCAGGAAAGATCTACAGTCTCATTAAAACTTAAAACAAAATATTAGACACAAAAAACCAAAACCTGAAGTAGAAGTTAAAATGTTAGAACGGTCTAGATCTATTACATAAGACTCGCTTAAGTCTAGTTTCAAGAATGATTTCAGCTTAAAATAGCGAATTGCTATTACTAACTGGGAAACAATTGGAAGCCAAAAACACTTCAAATAAATCGATGTTCAATTTTTAACCTAAATTTTTCAACTTCAAGTTAAAATCGTCTCAGACGTGAGAAAAAAATAACGATATCAGATAACAATGTTTCTTTTAGAAACTAGCAGTAAGCTTACACAAGTCACATAAAATCAAATCTTCATTTAAATAAAAAGACTGGCAAAGGGAATAATGCTTGATTACATAAATCGTAAAACCCTGGCGACAAGGAGGAGAAAATTAGGAAAATCTACCAACCAAACATATTCAACTCTATAAAGGCCATATTGTTCTGTGGAAAAGACGCATTAGAGCTCCTACGACGCCGGTAAATCTCATCTTTCTTTCCTCACTTGTTAAGAGAGTTGTTTTGCTGTTAATGGGTCCTGAATTACCATTTAACCATTTTTTTTTTCACCGTAACATACCTTGTGGCTTATGATCGACAGCGCGCTGGTTTACCGCGCCTGAATTCAAGTCCAGACCAGCGAACTACGGGAAAAAGACAACACAAAACTCAATTTAAAGCTCGACCAATACTAAAAAACAAAACACAGGCGTCAGGAATCCATCTTCTGAACTTCGAAGTAACGAAATTCTAAAGAAACATCACAATGTCTGCCATGTGCCTTTGTCTTCAAAGCCGACAATTGACATCTTTTCCAAATGGAAAATTCTCACTTACCCGCTGGTCTAGAGCTTGAAAGTTTGCTGGGGACACATGACTCATAACGAAAGAAACAGTAGATTCAAGCTTTCGACTGAAATGATGACAATGGTTGTTGAAATTCGGCAAAAAAGCGAACGACAATGAACTTTTTGCACTCAACGAGATTTTTCAACTCCGGTCGAGATGTCAGTGGACGGCCGGTTGAGTAACCACGCACTGTGACGTCAGGTAAGAAGCACGTGGCTTGCATTACGACATGTCGGGGGTGGGGAGCGTAAACGAGGTTTTTAAAATTCTTCTCCACCGACGTATTCCTTTTGCAATCAAAAGTGATGCGAACTCAAGAGCAAACCAAAGAAAAAGCTTATGTGAACTACTTCAACTCAAACGCAATAGGGCAAATGCCAAAACAAAATGAAAAATTGTCCATTTCGTTGCGTTTGAATCCGCTAACGCGTTTTATTCTCTTTTATTTCACTTATGTTTTGTCGTTAGGTAAAAATAGTACACACCAGCATTTTTGTGTGATGAAGTTAAAAGAAAACTGGATAACCAGGTGTTCAGCGTCGCTGAAGCCGCCTTGATGATTACACGCGTATGCGTGGTGGTGGTGGTGGTGGCGGTGATAATGATGATGATGATGAAATCAAAGGCACATGCGTATTACATCGTGCATATGTGTGTATTACTTTGCTTATTGGCTTAGAGCAGCTAGCTAGCAGGGTTACCGGGAGGCGGGAGCCGGCGGGAGGTCCAAGTTTCCGCTTCCCGATCCTCACATTCCTCGCTCCCGCCCCTCACATTCCGGGTTCCCGCTTCAGTTTTTCCTTGTCCTCCTCCTTTTTGCCCTTTTTCGATTGCGAAATATTTTAAAAGCATTGTTTCATTATTGCGTATTTTCTCCCTTCTCTCTCGCTTCCCGCCCTTTCAGAACTCCCATCTTCCACTATTTCCTCTCCCGCCCCCCCTACCCCCCCCACCGCCAATTTTGTCCTTGTCTCTACCCCCCTGTCCACTATCCTCTCCCACTAGCAGTAATAACCGGTTTTTTCGCTTCTCTTTCTCATCTTCGTTCATCCTTTTTTCAATTCCTTCCAGGGTCTCTCTTCCTCAGACAGTATAATCTTGTGAGAATCAATCACTTTGACAAACAGCAGCAAAGAGAAAGTCCGATCTTGGCGAAGCCGAGCAGAATAAGCATTATGAAATACCTTTAACTTCCGCTTATAACCCCTGGGATTATACATCGTTGTAAAAGGTTTTTAGTAGGGCTTATAAACGGACGGGTTTATCCGAGGGGGCTTATGACCGGAATGGAAAAAGCACTTCGAAGCAAGCTATCAGCTGAAGATATAACAGTGCTAACCAAAGTACGTTTTGCATTTATCGGTTCAAAACGTCAAAAACTTCAAAACGTCATTGATACTAAATCCAATTCATTTCAATACATTTGGAACAGTTACACGTAGCTCCTATGTTTGTTTGCGGGCTCAGCTTGGGACAGGGACGTATGAGAAAATAGCCAATAGAGATCATGAACGAGAAGTTCGAAGACTACAGCAAAGCTGATTTAAAACAACCTTCTATTGTTTTTTATAACAAGATTTCGGCTGGCCATACCAGCCTTCTTCAGGTTTACAGATGTAACATCTGTAAACCTGAAGAAGGCTGGTATGGCCAGCCGAAATATTGTTATAAAAAACAATACACGTTGTTTTAAATCAGCTTTGCTGTAGTCTTCGGACTTCTCGTTCTTGTTCTTTATATTTGGGCTGATTTGATCTCTTCTCTAGAGATCCAACGTTTACAACTAGCAGGATCTTCGTCCACGGTTTTTGCAGTTAATTTAATCCAATAGAGATCAAGGGTCACCTGTTTAAGACAAAATGCTTATATTTTTGTCGAAGTAATGGACAGTAAACGGAAAGATAAGGGAAACCTTGATCACGTGGTACAGATTTACGTTTAACGGTACTTTATTTTTGTTATCAATGTTCCTGCCGTAAGGATCAGTTTACTGTTTTAAGCTAAAATTTGGTACTCAAGATTTTACTGATCCAGGTCTACTCAGTAAAGATCCGGGGAACCCTCACTGGTTTGTCGTTGTGGTCAGGGGCACCCAATGGACTGGCTGTTGCTCAAAATATCTGTTCTTCTAGCAAATTTTTGCTGGCTGGGAGATTTGGGAGAAATAATATGTCCTTGGAAGGAAAGTGTTGCTGGGAAAAGTCAATTCAGGACATTCAGGGTGTCTGAGGGGATTTGATGTCTGGAATTGCGTCATCTTCCATCATTCTTGCTGGGAGTGAGGAACAGATAAATTTTCCCAGCAATCTCCCAAAATGCTTAAAATGGCTTCAGAAAGCTTTTATTCATGCTTTGTTGTTGTTTTTAGGTCTTTTTCTCAAAATTTCCTGTTGGGTGCCCCTGTTGTGGTTTTGCCTTCACAAGTGTTTGCCGTAAATGACACTCTTAATCTCTCTAATAGCTGACTGAAGTGGCAAATCTCTCAAAATTCAGTGCAATTTGAAAGTGCAATCGGAGGCAACATAACAATGTCTGACCCAGTACAACTTGCAGTTTCAAATTGGCCAATATTATAGCCTGCGAATAGAGCCGTTTCTCCTAGCTCCTCTCCGCCCCTCGCAGACGTCTCCTGGCGAAACGCCGTTAGCGACGAGTAGTAAGGAGAAACGGCTGTATTCGCAGACTACCAATATCCTGTTACTGACTAAACATTATTTGTGACTGAGTCCCCTCGAAGAGGCTGTTTTCTTTAAGTGTCCTCGTTCAGCTTTGGGGACATAACTCAATTTTATTTGTGTGTTTGGATAAAAAACCGGTTCTACTATTTAAAAAAGTTCGGATGAAATAAGGTCGGTCGTTTTAGCTAAGAGGCAAACTTAATACGGAATTTAAGTAGTCCTAAATTGTGAAGCGAAGTACAGAAGTAGTGAACCGGCTCGGTGCTTGCCATGTTACCGCGCGGGCCAAGCAAATCATCAATGAAATAACTGAAATCTTTTCTTGGTGCAAATAATAATTGGCCCTTGCGCTCAGGAAATTTAACTAAAGTGCCCCCTTGATGAAACTTTCCCGGCACGTAAATCTGTTCGGCGACAGATAACAAGGCATGATTATCACTCTGATACTGGACATATTTCAATGGGACTTCCAGCTCTTCAGACATATATTTCACAATGATCGAAATGCCAATCATTCTGTTTTGTAAGTGTTTTCAATCTCTCGAACTTCGAAAAGTACGGATTTAAAGTTAATTCGTGCGCTCCTAGATTTTGAGTGTTTCAATTTTCAATAATGTAACTTTTTAAAAAAAAAATGAGCGAACTAGCCTGATCAGTTCGGTATTGTCGGAAAACGTTTTTGTTCAATCAGAGTGCATTATAATTCAAAGAGTTACGTAACAAACCCCCAACGTGTAATTGTGAAGATATAGCTTTTATAGCCATTAGATTTTTCGATTTATTATCCTGTCAAGTTTGTTGTTTGCGATATAAGTCGAGTTTTGTGACAAACGAGTCGTTTAAATGTACTTACTGTAGAGAAATAAAAATTTTATCTGGCTAAACTATATCAGTCAAATAACGCAGATTGACTTCAAACGTTTTTTCTTTAAACTTGACGATCGCACAATGAATACATATAAATAATGCAAAAGTCAAGAAGGCAATTCAATAAATTTGAGAAAGTCAAATGGAAAGGTGAGCGAATCTGCCGCTAGATATTAATGAATCAGTTACTATTGACTCAGTCCACACCCATGCATACTACCCATCTGAGAGCAAGTATTACAACATAACCTTAGAAAACCAGGACGCCGCCATAGTAAAGTAATTTTTAAATGTTTATGTATCGAAAGCACTCCGTTATTAAAATAGAATATGTAACCAAAGTCTGAATTCTAATTTAGGTAAATATATTCCGGCACAAAAAGGCCGAAAAGTAAATATATGTACTACAATGTTTCCATTCTATAAAATGCTTTTTAATATTGCGTACTGAGATCCTGCACAAAAATTTTCTCAGACGCGTAAGGAGAGTTTCTAATAAGAGCTAACAGGAGCTAATATGGCTCACAGTTCCGTCCAATCCTCTTGGTAGTAATTGTTCGTTAGAAATCAAGGTTTGTAATGATTATTTTTCTGCTAAGTTACTTGACATTATCATTTCTAGAAACAAGTAAACTGCTGTTTATTCCTTTAATCAACAGTTTGTTCAATTTTTGCCATTTCTATCTCCACAGTCAGCAAGAGATCCTCGATAATTTTATCCAGTTCAAGTTCTTGATCGTCATACTCAACTGAAGACAGTCTATCTCGAGTTGACTTAAAATGTTTTACTTCGTAGACGGATTCCACTGCAGAATTCTCGAAATTTGGAGATAATTCTTGCGTTGGACTTGTAGCAGGAGAAGAACTGCTAGAGCTACTTCGTTCCCAGTTTTCAAAGCTTGCTTTTCGCCCGAAGTTTTTCTGTTCAAAGGACTTTCTTCTCTCTCTTCTAAGCTTTTGAAAATGGCCTTCGCGGAAGGCTGCATATAAAGCCAGTGCAATAGCTTTCGCTTTATCTTCGTTTTCACAAGCGACGGCATGACATTCGACTATTGTAGGACTCTTGTGGTGATTGAAAGCAAAGATAGTAGTATCAATTCTGTTTAAAGTACAATAAGAAATATTTTCCAGTGAAATAAACTTTGATTCTTTCGATGAAGATTTGGTTTGTTTGACTTCCTCGAGTTTCACTCCTTCGGCCTCAACATGCAAGAACATTTTAGGCCATGATTTCTCGTCAAATTTTGCTTCATCTTGAATCTTACGTACAGCATTCTCGATGCCTGCAACACCGGGCTCGTGGGTGAATCCACTACCAAGATATTTCACTTGAAAACGGGTAGCAGATGTTAAATCAGCCTTACCGAATTTGCCCTTAAGCATGATTAAAGATGTATCAATGGAATGACTCTCTCTTGCAACACGCTACACAAATAAAGATCTCCGTCCGCTTCTGCCAGAGACGAGGTTTTTAGTGGGGTAACTAACTCCGCAGTGCCTTGAAGTACCCCTTTTATCCTTGCTTATGTTTATCACTGCGTGAATTTCCCTTTCTTTTTTAGATCCTCGAGGTACTAAAGCCCTGATTGGATTGTATACAATATTGACAATATTCACCTGCTAATATCGACCGACAAAACCATTGAAATGCAAATTCGCTCAGTGTTCCTTAAGCGTGGAACTTCCGAACATCGCACACATAGCGAACTGCGCTTGCTATTAGTCTGACACAAAACGACTCCTTAAAAACTAAAATAAATTGTGTTTCGGCAAATGTAGTTTGTTTTTTTTTTACACCTTCAGCAAAACTTCACCTGCTCTTCACAATTCTTCGGAGTTCTGTTGTCTTTTTTAAATCAAGGCGACAATTTTCCCTTAATTCACGCGTTTAGCGTTCATCTCTATTTCTTTACATTGTTATTATTGTTATATTAGCGAGCGTCAACTTTTCAATATTCTCACTTAGAAAAACCTATACAATTAAACTGAATTATCAAACTTGATATGTTGGCTATTGAGAGAGTTAAATTGGCCTTAATTGTCCTTAATTCTAAGCACTAGTTGTAACATCATGTATAAGTAAACCGCAGTATGAACAAAGGCACATCTTTTGCTTTCTGAGGGCTAATTTAAATTGGCAATTTGAACAACCTGGAACGCTAAAAAAAGCTGCGTTAATTCACCCTTGCGGCAATCCAAAGTTATTTTAAGGAGAATTACAGTGTATTTCCTCTAATATTTTAGTCGTTGTATGTGTGCATTCAGATGAAAGCTACTGAGCAGTACTTTCCTGTGGTACACAATGGTACAGTTCTCCTTATGCTGCCGATTGAAGGTGGTTTTAACTTTTGGAGTTTGTGGGTATAATCTTCAAGTATAACGTTCCATTTAAATGAAAGCTACTGAGCGGTACTTTCCTGTGGTGCTGGTTATTATGCTGTACAAGGTGGTTCTAAATTTTGAGTCTGTGGATGAAATTCTAATAAAAGCTACTGAACTGAACTTTCTTAAGGTACTGTTGATTATGCTGTACAAAGTGGTTCTAGCTTTTGACTGCGGATCAGTGTGGATATAAATCAGTTAAAACGATAACCTTTTAAATAAAATTTCTTTGGCAGCAATTTAATTAGCTTGGTACTGTTCGTGCAGTTCTAAGCTTGAGTAAAATGTTGGCGGAAATTCATTGCGCGAACGGCTAGAGGCAATCATTTTCAACATTCTTGAACTGAAAAGATACCATATTACTTGAGTTATGCAGGAAGTTTACCTGACGTCAACAAAAGAAAAAAGAAATATGCAGAGATAAGAAAACAAAACTTTTAGGCGTGTAGGAGTTCACTTCATTGGTCATTTCCTTTTCTTATTTGGCTTTTTCTCATGACAGAGGAAACGTTTCCCTTTTAGGCCTATAATACGTGAGGCTGAAATACAAAGGGCCTATACTAACTTAATTAAAAATCGTATTCAGTGCTAATTTGTTCATTAACGCTTGACCACAAACGACAAGTACTTCCAGAATCGTCTTAGCCAGCGAGCAGCCATTTCCGATCCGATATGAATTTACTTAACCAAATAAGTAACTATTCAGGTATCAGGTCTTCGTCGTTGCAATATCTATAGGACGATTTCCGCTATTGCTTAAATAAGTCTGGCATAAGAAAGAAAGGTTGATTAGTTTGAGTCTTCCGAGATGTTACGAAATAGAGGTGTTTGTTGGTAAACTAAACATTACTTAGCTCAAATCTGCCCGTAGCTGCCTACTTCAGATAAGTCATTTATGGAAAAGGCTATTCATCCTAGCCGCACACTTTCCAAAAGTCAGAACTGGCCTCCGGACCATAGCGGACCAGCCCCCATTTGACAATAAAGAATGATTTTTTTCCAAGAGTTTTTGTTGAAACACCTTATTTTCTTCGTGCCTGCTATTCGGGATCTGACTGATCAGATTGAATAGTTTTGATTAAAAGTGAAATTCTCATTATCACTGGAATGGACTGGCCCGTCAGTTCTGACAAATGGAACGTCGCCCTTTAGACAACCCGGTCACGTGTTAGTCATTTGATGTAAATGAATACGCTAAGCACTCTGCCTAGTTCCCAGGACTGTAAGGATCCGCCTCGGTCACGTGATATAGTTCCAGGAAAATTCCTAACATGAACACCGTTACACTAAGCAAGGTATGTTATATTCTCCCTCGACTCCTCAAAACGTCTTTTAAAAAAGATCCTGTTGTATTTAGTTTAATCATAAATGCTAATTTTTTTATGTCGAAAACAAGAAACTTTTAATGTTCTACCAAAAACGCAAAACATTCCTAATTCTTGGCTTGCACTGTCACGCAATGAAAAATAAAAATGCAAACCATTCAGTACAGAAGGACTAGAATCTGGGAAATGAAAAAAGATAAATATACAAAAACCCTTGCCAAGAATCAGGTCTGTGAAATATTTCAAATGCGAGATATTGGGAAAAACGGTTTACCTAAATTTATAAAGCTTTGTATGGAAACGCCATGTTGGTGTCCCTTTCAGGAACACCAATATAAGGGGCACCCAACGGCAATTTTTGGGAAAATATCTGTTCGGAAGACGATTTGAGAACTAGAATTTTCGGAACATTTGTTGTAAAATTTCTTGCTTGCCTGCCTCTCTTAGGATTTTCGAACATCTACAAAATGGTATAATTACCCATTTTACATGGATATTTACCCTAAAAAAGGCCACCTAGAATTTTCGGGAGCCTTTTCCGGGCTGAAATTTTCGAAAAGGTAAGTTTTGATCCCTATAATTTTCGGATCACTAGACTTTCAGCTAGGAAATCCGAACAGATGACAAGTTTTTAGGGGATAAAAATATGCCTATATCTACCGTTTAAATACTAAAATACGTTCAACAATGCTATGCTAAGTGGTTTTGAACTATATCCTCGTTGGGTGCCCCTGCAATATGGCCGCCGGATACCAACAGAAACATCTGTTTTCGAGTTTTCCTACTAATGCGTGAATTCTTCGCTTGAGGAACTCATACAGATTACAGTAATATTTATTCTGAGACAAGGAATGTTTAGATTGCAAAATCTCCCAAAATCGGTTATGTTTTTAACCCAGGTAAGAGCTTTCCCGGCCGCCAGCTAAGGGCCGCGTCACGCAAAAGCCTGGAAATTCAAGCGTCCTCTCTCGCAAAACGAAGAACCCTTTCGAACCAAAAATTTTTTTATGTAAAGGTGTTTAGGTACTGTAATACCTCGTGAAAGTAGAAACTCAGAAGAATCGATAGTTTCTTAGTTTGATTTTTGGTGACGTCACGTGCAACCCAAGAATAGGCTTTCTTAGCAAATTCTTCCATACTTTTTCTATTCGTTAGAAAAAAAAAAACACTTAGCTTAGCTTCGTTATCGGCAGATTGACACCGGAAAAAAAGACAAAGTTCTTTAAGCAGGGAACACTTAATCTTTATTTAAAGACAATAGCAGGTAGCAATTAGGTTTCTAATTTTAGCCATGCACCTGTTAGGAAAACTCTGGTTCAGTGTTAGCTAAGTGAAAACCTTTAACTTTCATTTCTCACGGAGACTAATAAAAATTTCAAGTTCGATATCTTGAATTAGACAAAGAAAATAGGACAATTTCACGTCCTCAGTTCTAGCATTGTGGGCTTCTAGATCTAATAATTACGAAATACAATACTGATATCTTAAACTATCTCCAAGCTTTTCGAATTATTTACACTTACAATAGAAAAGGTTCTTGTAAAAATACTTTTGCAAGTCAAACCTATTATAAATATTATTTAAGAAATTTAGTCTAGGATAACTTTTTGGGGTCAGAGTCTATTGTTGTGAAATTTACTTCCAGAAGTAGAACTGGGTCCTTTTGTTCAATGAGATACTGTAAAAACATTTTAATTTATTCCCTGATAATTATGTATAAAAGCTGTCCTCTTGAAGCGATTGTTAATTTAAAATCTTTACAAAAGATTTTCTATTGCAATGCATTTTATACTAAAGATTTCATTTGAGGCTTTACTTCAACTAGAAATGTGCAGCAATTTTTTAACCTAATTAATGTATGAAAATTGCTCAAATTTTAAATGTAAAAGTTTCTTTGTTATACTTAGTAATTTACAATGTATAGTGTTTGTGTGAAGTAATGGCTTTAGTCCAACTTCAATCCTGTTTGATTTCATTTAGATATTTCACTTTTTAGTGCATCTGCATCGTCTTCTTTTAAGCATTCTCTCATTTTCTCCCTTTCTTTCCGAAGAATTCCAAAATGGTCCGTTTTGAAGGCTGCGTACAGGGCTTCGTTTATCTCTCGAGCTTTTAGCTCATTTTCACAGACAACCGCGTGGCATTCGACGTGGTTTTGTGAAACATGGTGATTAAACGCGAAAATGTTGGAATCTTTTTTGTAAATCAGCCCATAAGAAATCTTCCGCAGAGGCATAAATGCCAAGGAAACATCTTTTTCGCGTTTCCGCTCCACAAAACTAACACCTTGGTCGCTAATTTTGATGAAGTTCGTCTGAATTGTGTTTCTGTAATCGCGGTGGCCTCCCGTTTTCTTAATTTCATCCACGGCAGTTTGAATTCCCTCTATTCCTGGACACGAATTAAAACAAAATCCCAGATACTTCACACGAAAAGCTGTTTCTCGAAAAAGTGTTCGTGAGTCACTTCGACTTAGGCCGATTCCTCCAATTCTCTCCTTAAATGTTTCCATCTTGATTCCTTAAATTCATCAGTCTAACACAAATTAACGTGAGTTCGTTGCTGCAGTTTCCATACGGAATACGAGTGGATGGTACTCTCCAAATATTTTCAAAAGCTAATTTAACCGCTTGCGCACTCTGAAACTTTGGACCAACTGACATTAGCGGTGAATTTCATGAGGAGATGGCAAGGTGAACATACTGGGTAAATGCAGCAATATTAGAATTGCAAATTTGTGGCTTTTTTACTCAGGGACCCCGGAAAGTTGAGAACTCATGAGAAAAAAGTAAATGTTTGTACAACAAATGAAAATTGGCTATTATTAAAATCGAAGTCACTTCTGTCGTTCACCAGACAAAATGTTGCAGGCGTTAAAACAACTCGTAAAAGAAATGTGATTCACGGATTATGGAGCGTTCAGTTTCTTTAATGTACCGCTTTGAATACATCTAGCCGAAAAACTACAATCGTACAGTATTATTTCACATTTTCAACTTTATAACAATCTTTCATTTTTTACATCTTTAAAAAAAAAAGAATAACAAAAGAGTTAATTAGGATTTGTTTTGGCTGCACTGGTAACTTTTCCGTCCACTACTGAAAAACAGCGCCGCGCGGCCAGCATGAAAACAAAATTCAGTTTCAATTTTATTGGTCTGTATGAACAGTGGCGGAACTTGTGCGGCAAGGGGCCTGGGCCCCACCTTAATCTGAGGCCAAAGTGGAACCCGCACGGCAGAAAAAAAAAATTGTGGCCGGGCTCCCTCTTGTCTAAAGAATGAGTGGGCCCCCACTTATTCACCACTGGTCCATGTATGATATTCTTCAGGATCGGACCGAGTTATACTTGTTTAAGAGCTGTTCTTTGAAAGTGTGCAAAGTGACAGAAAGGGAGTAACACAATTACTTTTTATAATGTTTCTTGTTCATTTACCCTGGTCATTTTTCTGTTCAGAGTTTGTAGACATAGCAAATGAATTCCCGGAGCTCCCGTCGAGATTTTAACCGCGGTGGACTCAGTACTACGATGTTCATAGTTGCTGTGGTAACATGTAATTACGGTTCATTCTCCTTATTTGGATGAATAATTACCTTTTTGAAAAAACTGAAGCAGCTGTTTTATTGACATTCCATTTTAACGAATTCGATATTTAATTGTGATTTTAACACGATGCAAACGAGATCAAACAACTAAGATCACCCTGCTTAAGCTATTCTTCCGAGGTCACAATGAAACGATGTGATAACAACAGAAAACACATCAAAGATTTCAGTGGAATTGCATGGGTGTTATAAGATCCAAACAGCGAACAACGAAAGACTGTGAAGAGTATAGGGAAGGAAATCACGCCATGGTTAAACGCCTAAGTTTAAAAAGTTTGAAACAAGAATACGAGTTAGAGCCCTCGAGAAGTTTCATAGTTCGCTTCGCAGGGAAAACAGAAACATCGAAGCCCGGAGGCGAAAACATGGACAAATGTCTTAAAAAACTTTACAAGGAAGTTAGCGATAATTTAAGCAGTCTTCCAAGAGTTTGTTTAGAAATTTCATCTACGGATGTTAAAATTCGATGGCTGCAAGTTGCTGGTGATCAAGAAGACATTGAAGTGCCATTCAGTCGGATCTCATTTGTCGTAGCTGATAAAAAACACCAACTTTTCGCATTCAATGACTTTGTTTCGCAGAAACCGAAGAAGGCTGAATGCTACGCTTTCATCTGCAACGAATCGGAGAAATCTGATGTGATTGCAAATGCTTTGTCGGAAGCCTTTAAAAGCGTTCACCAGCGTCCACGAAGGGGATCGACTTTATCCGCAGCCACGGGATCTGCAAGAAACGTTTCATCGTAGTTCGTAATAATTTACCCAAAGACTATGTATTAATTTCGAATGTTTTCTTAGGAAACAAGTCAGCTGACAAGTTACATCGAGGCCATCCAAAAAAGTAAATTTAGTGGAAACGCATTTTTAAGGAGGTGAAACATTTTCGACTAATTTTCTTCCGTTTTGTGTTCAGTGGTTGGTTGATTGTGGGTAGTATTAAAACGATACTTACGCGTAGTGTATTTGCACAGTATGACTCACCCACCAGTTTTGATTATGCTAATCTGAGGGCATAAAATCGTGCTTCGTTCAAACGAATGTTTTTCTTTTACTCAACAAATTAGTTTAGTGCTTCGTGAACTGATTAGCAACTAAGAACTGTAAAGATATTAGCACTTAGAAACATATATTGTCTCCGTAAAATACGTGTTTTTGGTTTCGCGTTTAGTTTTGAAGGTATAATTTCCACGATGAAAAATCTTGAACCTCTAAAGATTTTGTGTTTATAGTGCATTAAGGTTTTATTGTCTGATGGACAACTGACAGAGCGTGAAATCTAATCAAAAACAAATGAAATTATTTTTTCTCCGTTGATTCAAAAATGACCAGATTTCAAGACTTTAAAGCGGCGAATTAATTCATAGGAAAAGTAATAAGACATTGATTTAATTTTGCAGTAAAATCATAGATGTAATTTTCTAACCGTACATTGTACAATATTACATGTAAAACACAGTAATAAAAGGTTTGTAGAATACACTTCGCTGTGTAATTGAGGTAATGCTAGGTGAAGGTTGGTTTTTTCTGTTTGAAATGCATTCTGGTAAGGCAAATCCCAAAGCAACGTTTAGAAAATATAAAATCATATACTGTAGAATGCATCTTATAGAACACCCCTCTGGAGTGTTCACATATTGAATCTTCCTCAATTGATTAGTGGGGGTGAAGCGGAGGCCGCTTCAACACAGGCATCCCGCAGAAGTAAGCGGGTCACCCGAGGGCAGCCTGTTACCCCGTAAAAAATTGCTAAGTGACACTCGTCACAGATCTGGCGTCACCCAGATCGTTATTTTCCTTACTCATTAGTTTAAGGCAACCGGAAATAAGTGCCTACAATATCTTTGTAATCATTGCAAGTTTCTTGACTTGTGGGATGTTTTGGTAATTTTTTGCTTAATTATACCTGCGCTTAAGATCATTTGTTTGTTATCTATGACCGGATGAATCAATGAAATGTCTGTCAGGGGAAATAACAACTAAATTAATACTTGATAATCAAAATAACCCGCTTTCTTGACACGGTCAATGCGCATGCGCAGTATCACTTAAAACAAATCACTTACTCAAGTGAGATCGTCTAGTAATGCTTTGTTAAAGCGTGATACATACAGGTAGCTGAATTCTATAGTGGAAACATTTTGAAAAATCCCTTGTTTTATTTAACGGCCTGAAAGTATGCGAGACTTACTGCAGCCGTCGCTCAATAATCGTCTTATCAGTCTTGTCACAGATACTCGAATTGAGGAAGAGTCCGCCGTCTTGATTTTCTTAAATAAAATAGGATTCGCTCCTTAATTCCAGGTTTGTTTAGTAATAATTGGAAGAGAAATATTCCCCCCCCCCCGGGGGGGAAACTGAAAACACGAACGGCCCTGATGTACGTGGAAGTCGCGTCAGCTTCATACCCAGACTCCTCAGCGCGCTGTTCGGTTGGTAGTTAAACTGCCACTTAGGTCACGCAAGTTCGGATAAGTTAAAATTAAGCAACAAAATGAGAGAAGTTTGGCTCTCTTAAACAAAAGTGGGGCGTATCGCGAGAATGAAAACCCGAAATTACCTCCAGCGGAGGCGATAGAAGAAGGCTGTATTCGCAGGCTGGTCGTCATATTAACTGATGAATTCGCAAAGACAACGCGGCTATGAAGAGAAATCTTTTTGGGAACCTGTTCGATTTGATATCACCCATCTCCAAATTTGCACGTGCACGGGGTAGTTTTTGATCTATGGGTTCCTTTATATTCAGCTGTAATAAAAGAGCAAGTGAATTCTTCAACGAGAAGCTATGGCAATGCATGCAGGCGGCCTCTAATCACATGGAACAGGGGTTAAGGCATTATAACCTTTGTAAAGATTACCATATCATAAAGTAATGAGTTCTTCTGGTGTTAAAATTATATATATATTATTAAAAATGTGTGGAAATTTATGGCTGTCTCAGTAAACTGACGGTTCAAATAAAGAGTATTGTTTTAAATAATTCCAGTCAATTTAAATTACCGTAAAATTCCGAAAATAAGCCCCGGGGCTTATATTTTTCAAGGCCCTTTTTGAGGGGCTTATTTTTGGAGGGGCTTATATTCGGAGGGGCCTATCTACGGAAGGAAATTTGGGTTTCAAAATCGATTGGGCTAGCCTTATAGTTGGAAGTGAATTTACCGTTTTTGCTTTGTTTTACTTTGTATTTGAGGGCAATTTTCAAGTACAAGCCCCCGGGGGGCTTATATTTGGAGGGGCTATTTAACGGAAGGTTTTTTGCGTTACCGGTTTGGGGGACTTATATTTGGAGGGGCTTGTACATGGAGGGGTTTATTTTCGGAATTTTACGGTAACTTATTCTGCTTGTTTATCAGATTAATAACTGAAGGTAGAATTTAGAAACTCAATGCTTAAAATCTCGCAAAACCTCGATACGTTTAATGTACAGTTAAAAACATATCATGAAACTTACAATTCGCGAATGTAATAAACAATTCGCAAATGTGATAAACAATTCAAAAGTATCTTTCCCATTTTTATGAAAGGGTTTTCGTGGGTCAAACCATCGAGCAGAAACTGATCGTGGGAAAATCTGTGCTTGTTAATCTCCAAACCATAAACTTTTTAAAACAGTCTTTAGTTTCTTCTTTGAAAGGATTAACGCTTTAGTCGCCTGAAAGAGGCTAATGATCGAGGCGTTTTAGGATAATTATACAATTAGTTATTCCCTGTGCATAACAAGCTTACACTATTCAATGATCGACTAGCCGGACTATATGTGCACGCTAACTTTAACGAATATGCATTCAGTAGGAGAACGAGAGGAACTTATAGTAACAGAAAATTAGATCGTTTAAGAGTACTGTAAGTAAATAATAATTGTTTTGGGCTGTAAAGTTTACTTTTCCTTGCAGAGATGACGAAGTTTCCACAAGTCAAAATACTTGCGATTGGTGACGTCAGATCCTTCCGGGAACAGAAAACCAGTGACGCAAGCAGAGTAGTCGAGTAACCACTGCTCATTATGTTAAAAGAATAGACACCGCAATATCGTGAAGTAAATAAGTGCCATTTACTCTTTCTTGCGTTATTTATCAACAATAACTTTGTCTGGATTTTTCTATAAATTGAAGCATCATTCAGTTAATCTGCTTTTATCACGTACCCTGCGACACAGAAATCGAAAACACTGTTTCAAGACTGCAGCTGTTTTTTCGTCTCCTGGTGACTCTTTCCAAGCAAGGTTTTGTCTTATGAGACTGTAAGTACATTTGTTATGTGCCCAAAACTATTACAGTTATTTTTGGAAAACAGCTTCTGGCATTTATAGGTTGTTAAATGAAGCATTCACGCTTGGGCAAATATATGAAAATCTCCGTACTCAACGTTAACCCCAACTGAGCCGATCCTGTTAAGACTTAAGCTCAGATCAGTGTGATCAACTAAACTCACTATTGGCTCCGTGTATACAGCTGCGCTGGTGTCGGGTTCAAACCACAAACTAAAGACTATACTCAACATACCGATCTGAAACTATCAACGTGTTCACTTAGGGATTTTGCAATATATTGCTGTGACGGAGGTAAATATAGATCTGCGGGAGTTTTCAGTTTATGATTTGCTGCTCTACCGCAAAGTTTTGACTGAGTTGTTTTCAAACTCACGGACGCGAACTGATCTTCTTGGTCAGATCCTTGCCCCCTTTTGGTAGGCAAGCTTTTCAAATCTCGAGAAGTCAAACTTGTTGTTGATCTCACAAAAAGCAGTCACACTGATTTAACCGTTCATTGCTCTATCCACACCTCCAAAGCCGGCTTTTTAATTTAAGACTGACCTCCCTCTAAGTTGACAAAACGGTTCCAAATATTAATGTTTAAAATAGTGCCTACCGACAAACAAACACTACCCGAATATATAGATGTCTGTATTGTTCTGATCACAGTTCGGGGGAGACTGGGTTTTTGTACACATGCATTTATGAATACTTTGGCGGTACAGTCACGGAGATCTAACGTTCTAAAGCTTACATTTTAATAGCCTCACAGAAGACGTGTTTGGTTTAATTTATGAATAATTCATTCAACTAAAATTTCTCGAACTGCATCTCCGGTTTCCGGCGAAGCAGCTCAACCATACTAGTGTATAAATTTGTTGTTCTAATTTTGAGCAAAGAAGTTTTGAATTTCCTAGTCTTCTGCAAGTAGTTTTAAGTAGGGTGTTTTTCGCAATAAACGTTTTCTTGAACAATTATCTGGTACTCGACAACTAAATTTAAGTAACATATACCCAAATCATATGATTTATAACGGAGTTTTGTCCGGGCTTTTTGTCACAGAATTTTCCTGTAGGGTATAGGAGGTATTTTTGATACTAATTTTTGCTGAGGTCGTTTTCACGCGTTGCTACAAAACGGTACTTATTAATTTGTTTTATAAACGATCAAGAATCGAACCTTAAAACCTACCAACCCCAGGGGTAAATTTTATTGCTTTCATTAGCAAAAAGTCAGCTAAATATTGAGCGCAAATAAATTTGATTGAAGGTAGTTCAATATCGTGACAAAAAAACCATTAAACGCTCTCCTGCTTCCCATATAAGGAAGCCTCAATTAATATTTGTCACTTTCAAATTCCCACCGGGGATGCAGAGGAAACCATTGAAGGGCAATCGAGCGAACTGGTAGATTATAAAAGACATGTAAATTAGTTGTCTACATATTTCTGGGTTTGCATTGTAAAATGTACATTGTGTTTACGGTGCTTTAATTTCCTTAAATATGTGAAGGGTGTGTTCTGCTTCAAGTAAGACGCAAGACATCAAGTTGTTGTGACCGGAGAGGGAATAACGATCTAACTTTAGTGACCTGCAAAGCAAACATGTCTCTGTACGATCGGGAGCGTCAGGGAAGTATCACCTCTCCTATAAGCCCGGCTATAAGCCCAGGACCACGGAGAGAAAGCAGCGCTGCGTTCTTTAAGGGATCGCTGTACGTCGCTAATGCTGAGAAAGACTGGATTGATATCCAAAAGAATACGTTCAGAAACTGGTGCAACGAGCAGGTTAAAGATTATGGCGTGGAAATTACTGGAGAATTAAGCGAAGCCTTTGAGGACGGTACCTTGCTTGTGTACTTGGTAGAATCGATTTCTACGAAGAAAGTCGGAAAATACAGCAAGCATCCTAAGCTGTACGCACAGAAACTTGAAAATATAACAGCTGCTTTGAAGCTTCTGGAAAGTGATGGCATAAAACTCGTGAATATAGGTATGTGTACGTATAGCGCGCGCGTGACAGTTGACAGTTTTCCTTTCTTGCTTTATTATTCCCTCGCATTATCCAACAATACAAACGAATGTTAAGTAAACATATCGGGGAAGTGATCTACAATTATGTAAAAAGTATGACAACAATTCCTCGTCTTCGGGTCACAAAACTCGATTAATTTCAATCATAAACATTCTTCGCGAAGATTTTTCCTTGTAAGCGATAGGTACGGATATCACACAACAACAGAAAGCGAAATACATGTCATTTTCATCACCGACTTTGTTGTCAGTTATAAGAATTGGAATCGTTGTTCACTGCTCGATTTTACTGTAATTTTTTGTTAAATAACTATGTCAACCTGTATCTTTGCAATTTCATTTGTACTTGTTACTTGTTCCTACCTATTGATATTGCACGTGAAAATTCACGCACGCAATCAGTGCAAAATTAAGCGAAAAAAGGGATATTTAAAGTGAGTTTCGCTCCAAATCTCTAGAGAGTCGACCCTGATGAACAGAATTAGTTAAATCCATTATTTCTATTGGAGGTAAATACTTACGAAACTTTCATTTAAAGCTCGAAACTCATTAAGTATTCATTATATAGGTCTACGCGCTTTGCGATTAATAATATTTACGTTTTTCTCTTTAAATCGATTTGTGATCACAGATGTCAGATTTAAAGGATCGCATTTTCAGAAGAGGAAATGGAATGTTATTTTTATGAATCGAGTTAATTTAGTTTTTCGGATTCAAACAGGGTCAAACAATAAACTTTGATTTACGACCTACTTCATCACATTGATTCCATTCTTCTAGCTTCCGTTCAGTTCATTGATCTATCTCTGTTGGCGTGGTAACAAAATATCAGGTCAAAGTTGGCTGTTGTTTGCTGGCCACCTTGAAATTTACTAAAAAACAAGAGAATTTAGCTCTCATTTCAAAGAAAATTTTAACAAATGCCTGAAAGATTAGAACCGCCTTGGATGATAAGTTTCAGTGATAAATATAGAGTTTCAGTACCCTCCACGTTTAAAAAACCTTCTTTCATAGAAGATTTTTTTCAGACTTTTCAAGCAACTTCAGATTTCTAATTCCTTTTAACATATTGAACTGATAAACACTTTTTAGACAAACATCTTTGGATATAACTTGAGTTTTCACATGAAGAAAAAACTGAAGTTTTCTTAGCGGAAAGAGAACTAAACTTTACCTTCTCAGTAAAATATATATTGCGCTGGATTGATGATTATGAATATTGGCTTACCTTAGAGCATTACTTTTGTTTTCTTTGTTTTCACGCAGAAAAGAAATCTGGTATATTTTCCGTGGAAGCTACGGCAAGCTAAGAGAATTCAGAATTCAAAAGATCTAAAATGTGGTCGATTTTGGAAGTTTTGATGAGCTCTTGCATGTTGCAGTACAGATTGTAACAAACAAGAATAGGTCCGCAATAGCACAAAAAGTTATGACGAGAGGGCGTAGCACCGGGGTTTGTTTTTGGTTAACTATTATTCGCAAGTTCATTAATTCCTTTCAATAACATTTCGTTTTACCAGGGTACGAGTATGGTAATAATAGCTTGACCAGATTCAGCAAATAATTAGCACACAGTACAATTCCGCGTTATGGCCAGTACCTTATGCATGCGCACAGCTGCGCACACATGCGCACAACTGCGCACACCTGTTTTGACCTAATTAGGACACATCAGCATGGTGTAGCCCTTTAGGCGAAGGGTCTCGCTAGCGATAACTGATCCCGCCGCTTATTGCAAAGACGAGTACAAAAGCAATCCTTTAAAAGCCAGCTTTTCACCGTACACATGGCTATGCCTTGCTGACGAAACAAATACCCATGGCTTCCACTTCCCGGGTTATTTGGCTGTGCGCATGCCAAAGGTACTGGCCACGCCACGGAGTTTGGAGTTTAGAGTCTTGTTTAAGAATAACTATGAGTTTTTCCGATTACTTAGGCAACGAGGACATCGCCAATGGTAACGTCAAGTTAATACTGGGATTATTATGGAGGCTGATTCTTCATTACCAGATCAGCTCCAGTGGGAGCACATCCGGGAAGCAGCTTTTGCTTCTGTGGCTCAAGAATGCTATTCCAGAGGTGGGAATCAGAAACGTAACAACAGACTGGAACAATGGCGTGGCCTTAAATGCGCTGAATGACTTCTGCCAACCAGGTCTGTGCCCAAATTACAAAAGCCTTAATCCTGATTCAAAACTCTTCAACTGTAGTGAAGCAATGGACGCTGCAGAGAAGACCTTTAAAATTCCGAAGGTGTTGTCTCCAGAATTCTTGTCAAGTCCATATGTAGACGAACTGAGTATGATGACTTATCTCTCATATTACACGCAGCCGGGATCGATCGGAGAAAAGAAAACGTTGGAATACATCAACGAAGCCGCGCCGGGACTAGATGTTGAGAACTTCAACACGGATTGGAACGATGGAAAAACGTTGTGCCGTTTCCTGGAAGCACAGTGTCCAGGCATCATCCCGGATTTTGAAAACATCGATCAGAAGAGCCCCTTGGAGAATGCCAGTACAGCTCTTAGAGTCGCTGAGGAAAAATTAGGAGTGAAGGCAGTGCTTACACCAGAAGAAATGGTAAGCCCGGATGTAGATGAGCTCAGCATAATGGCCTACATGATGCAGTTTCGCAACGCTGAAAAGCTACAGAGCCAGGCGCATTTGTTCGTTGCTGAGGGCTCAGGAATAAAAAGAGGAGTACGTGGTAAAACATCAGAGTTTACTATATTTGGACGGAAAGATATCGGGTTTGGTGGAATCCGCGTCCAAGTAAAAGGCCCCAGCGGGGAGAAATCCTGCCCGGTGGAGACGTATACTGATCATGACGGTTCCCTTAAAGTTCGATTTGTTCCCTTTGAAACCGGTCCGCATACCATATCAGTGAAGCACTTCGGCAAAGAAATCCCCCAGGGGCCATTCAATGTCATGGTGCATGAGAATGTTGGAGACGTTCATGTGTCCGGTGCAGGAATAAAAAACGCGGTGGTTTCCAAACCAGCAGAGTTTATTGTTCACACCAACGACGAAAATTCGCCTCCGGTCACCGCTTCGGTGGAAGGACCCACAAAAACCGCGACCTGTAAAATTGATCCCCTGGGAAATGGAAAGTGGAGGGTAACATTCACCCCCAAGGAAGTGGGCGAGCACAAAATCCGGGTTGAGGTTGGTAGCACTCCGTTACTTGGCAGTCCGTTCACGTGCAAAGTGGGTGATCCCTCAAAGTGCAGCGTGACAGGGAACGGTAAGTAGGTTTGGAAGTAAGTTGTGACGAAATAGTTTGTAACGCAATCCTCCAACTTATGTACTCTGTGTCACACATTCTGTTGGCAGATAACTCAATTGACCACTCCAGAAAATACATACCATAATGCTCTATGTTTGTCACTCCAAAATTTTGCATAAGCATTGTCTTCAATTTCTCTTGGGAGTTAAAACTTTACAACTCACGCATCGTTTCCTCCAAATAAAAGGGTCATCATTGAAGAGGTTCGCTTTCCTTTCAGAGAATTCACGGCAGTCTGCTTTAGGACGTCCGACCTCCTACGAAGTGGACACCTCGGGAGCAGGACTAGGGGAATTGGCCATTCAGTGCCGGGGCCCTGGCGGAAATGTTCCCGTGGATGTGCGCCCAACTGCGCCCGGGAAGTATAACGTGACATTCATTCCGAACAAGCCGGGAGAGTACAGCACTCATTTTGTGTTCAACGGAGAGGATATCCCAGGGAGTCCTGTAAAGTGTCTGGTGAATGATCCCACTAGAATTGTAGCGCACGGAGATGGACTTCATCAGGTGACGCATCACGTGATATCACAGTGGCAGACTTAGGGGGAGGGGCAGGCTCTAGGGAGGGACGACACTCCTTCGTTGAAGCCCATTTCCCTGAAATTTTCTCGATTCGTCCTGAGATTTCAATCTTTGAAGTAAGAAAATAGCCGCTTGAAACCCTTTGAAACAGGTATCAAAAGTTATTTTAAATTCGTCGAAAAAGCAGCATTTGATCAAACATGTTCAATAAAATCAAATTAGCCAATAAGAAAGTCCAGCGCGGGAAACATACGACCTTTGTTAAGTGCACCGAACATGTTGCCGGAGCACGGAACATGTCGTCCGAATCACGAGCAAAAAAGCGTTCGAATTGTTTTGCACACGGCCCGAAAGCGGCCATAAATACCAAGTGTGGAAAAGAACTGAACATGAACGATGTAACCAGTTCAAAGCGTTAAGAATAGTTTTAGTGTCAAACGTTCTCTCCTCAGGGGCGCTTTTCAAGATTGTAGGAAAGATGTAGTATATAAAATTCCAACTAGAAGAGCAGAAATTTTAACTCTAATTTTGATCGCCATAGGTAACCACGGACTCCGAGGCAGAATTCTTTATCACTCTTCAAGGCGCTGGTGATGGGGAACTGAAGGTTTATGGAGAGGCACCATACGGACACTTTCCTGTGGACCTTCTACAGTCCCCTGATGAGAAAGATACCTACATTGTACGATACACTCCTAAGGGGGTAGGGGTGCACAAAATTCACATCCTCTTCGCTGGTGAACCTGTGAAAGGCAGTCCCTATATAGTGAAGGTACGAAACTATAATTAATTATAATAATTATTGCATTAATTAATTATTAATTATTGATTATTAAATTAATTATTTTTAATGTATTATTCACGAATGGTGGAGAGGCGCTGTTATGTACGAATTCGATTTAGTTCGACCCTGAGAAACACTAATGGTAAAATAAATCAATGATGCGTGAAAATTCCTAGCAGAGCGCTACTCAATAGCTTTCAATTTTAGAACCACATAACATTGCTCATGGTTTAGATGATCGAGTTAACTCCTGACCTGTTTATTTTCTACCAGGTTGCTGACCCCAGACAAGTCACAATCTTATCACGTAAGGTGGGACAGGAACCAAAGCGCTTCACCGTGCGTCACGAGGTGGACATACCCGTGCAGGTGCCTGACTCGGCTGGGGAGGGCCAACTTGAGGCATCTGTTTTAGGTCCTGATCAGCAAAGTGTCCCTTCTACCGTCACCAAGGAGGATGATGGGTATCATCATATCCGGTTTGTACCTCGTCAAACAGGTTTGCACAAAGTGCGGGTCATGTATGGTGGCAAGGAAGTATCCGGTAGTCCGTATGATGTTAAAATCCGCGACTCTACAAGCATGAAGGTTAAGGTGCAGGAAATGGAACAGATGAGGACTGGGTATGCGACTCGCAAAGAGGTATGGGAAAGTTCGCTGTATAACAATATCAATAGCAGTGGCCCTGAAGAAGACTATGGTGCGAGAATTCCCCCTTATCAAAAATTCCCGGTTTCTGTAGCAGCAGTAGATCTCACAATTAAAATCTTTCGATTGTGCCCTGTTTAATGCAAGGTTTTTGTCTGTGTTGAAGGTTGATGTTCCTATTGAGGTACCGGAGGAAATTGACGAGATTTCCGCTACGGTTCAAGATGAGGATGGTAAAACAGTCAAATCGTCGCTGACTTTAGAACCCGATGGCTTGTACCACGTAAGGTAAGAACTCCAGCTAACAAACCCGCAATTGCCTGCGTGCGGACGTCTCCTAGATTGCTTGACCATTATTTTTCTTGACGCACCCAGACAGTAGACAAAAATAAATACCTGTTACATGCTGGCAGCTACAAAACGAAAGATTAGTGAGCGAAGCCAAGAATTCGTCGAAATCTTAAGAACCTCGTTCCCAGGGCTGTGCTCTTGTAAAAGTGTAAAGCATTGGGGCGAGGTTGGGTTTAGCCTAAAGTAAGCATAAGTTGAAGTTTTCTCCCTCCTTGGCTCAACGTTACTTTTTTCTCTTTTACACGTTATTTGCTCCACTCCCTAGAAGATGGACTATATATAAGATGTCAATATCAATGTGAACCTCCTCGGACACACGATCAATTTCTCTCTTAAACGGTTTCTATACATCGTTAACTTCAGTTGAGTATTTGCGAAACACTTAATCATGTTGAAACATGTATCCAATCATCAATGCAGCACTTCAAGAACAGCGAAACACTATGGGTAGGTGTCTTTTCGGTCTTCTTAGTCTTGGCCTTTTATTTTAATCTAACGTTGACAAAATTGCACATTTAAAAAACTCTGGTTCCTTTTCATGCTGTAAAACAGCAAAAACGAACAATACCGAAGGGCTTTGTTAATTGAGTGATCAAACCAAAGGATTAACATAGATTTTAAAGGCGAGTATCTCATTTCACAACATAAACTCTGACACCTGGATTATGAAAAGGTCAACATTCTTTGGCTGTTTAAAATTAGTCAAGAGATTATAAAGCGTCATTCGCACTTGGTCCGATAAAAACGCAAACGGAAACGAAGAAAGGATTGAATTCAGGTTTCGACCAGGGCAAGCAGTTTGCAATATCTCAATATCTAATCCCTGAAGTTGAGATTGATTATTGAGATGTGACAATTGCAATTTCATTCTGCGCTTTGCACTTTAGAGAATTTGATTGTGACCAAGATTATATTGATTATAACTTCAGGTGAGCATAGATTTTCGTGCATATAACAGTTGATGCAATAGTCGCAGCGTAGTCACTGTAGTAACTTAGCTCTCTTACAACTACTATAACGTGCGAGAAACTACAGACATTTTGGCACTGTCAAATTTCGTCTTTTGAGAGCGAAGTGTCAATATCTTGTATAACAGACGACAAGAAATCCTTGGTGTGCAAGTCTAGTACCAACATGCACCTTTCCTCATCTTTCCTCGAGTATTGTGTTTCAATAATATCTTTAAGTGGTCCATCTTTATTAGCTCCACATACTCTTGTATTGGTAGCTACTGTTTCTCTCTTTCAGAGAGTGGAACCTATCATTCAGATACTCCAAACATCGCGTTCTTAATTCTTTTATCTTTCACGTCTATTAACGGAAACTGTCTTAATATCTACTGTAATTTTCGTACTTAAAAAATCTTGAAAGTTGTTTACAGTTTAGTCTCTGAAGCCTTCCATTGTTGTTTCAACCCAATATTACATTCAATATAACATGTCTTTGACACCAACAGTAACCAAGAGACTTGCTGCTATTAATTGAGAATAAACGATATTTCGACATAAAATTTGAAAGTAAGCTTAACCTCTTGTGTTGATCTTTCTACCCTCTTGGAACGTAATTTCCGGCACAATTGTATCAGGTACTAATCACCTATATCATTTAAAACCTATATTGAATGTAAAGGTTGAATACGGCACACAAATTTATAGAGAATATCTTTAACGAGCCACAATTTAAACCAAATTGAAAATCTCATTTCGCATTTGTGCTTTTGCGAAGAACACATTGCTGCACAGGATGCCCATTGTAGACCCCAGTTTCAAGGGGTCAAAACAAAGCATTCATCGGAGGCAAAACCATAGCAACTGTTCTAGCCAATCACAACGAACGATTTTAATATCTGCAGCAGGCTGCTTAGCGCGGGAAAGCCAGTAACTCACGTTTCGCGTCCGCCTCTATGCGAAATACTAAGCTTCTAAAGAGGAGGACACGGCGATACGTAGGGTCTCCCAGTTGGGTACTTCAATCCCTACATCGCGAACGAAAGTTTCACGTTCAATCCCGTAATCCCGACGCTTTTTATCGTTTTATCCTGATCCCGAAAACGCGTTTTAAAAAAATTCTTTGCAGACGTTCCAGACAAACACTGGAAGGTAACGGGATGAAAGATAGACACTTGACACTCAACATTTCTCCTAGAATTAAGAAATCCCTTATTCTGTTCTTAATTAGAATTCCGAATCTCACTCCCCCTTAACTGTGAAATCCCGAATCCCGCGGGCTTTCAAATAAGCCAAATCCGGGATCCCGAAAAAATATATTGGAACTCTCTCAATTGGTTTCAGTTTTATTCTCTTTTGATTGGTTCAACGAACTGAAGAAGTGGTCCGAGGATCTTTTTAGCACCAAAATAGCGCAATCACGAAATTGTTTTGGGCTCTTCTTTTAAAACAACTCTTATAAACGATTAATTGAGTGATGTTATTAAATCTTTTATTTTAGATTTGTTCCTTACAAGCCCGGCCGATATACCGTGGATGTCCGGTGTGGAGGAGAGTCTATTGAAAACAGTCCTTTTGTAATGAAAATTTCAGAGGCAGAGACAATGTCTGTAAAACTCAAAGAGTTTGAAAAACCGGTATGGTATAGATGTTTTCCTTCTCCTGCGTTCTGTTCTTGTTTGTGTTTAAATAAATAAACTGGCGTCAGATTTTTTGACGATACTCGTGTGCAGTCAGTTCTTTCTGAGACTGAGCACTATGGAGTTGGCAAAAAGTTTCGGTTCGCGTCTCAGAGATGTTAGGGACTTTAAGATTCAACGACGCGACGGCAATGAGAACGTCGCTTAAAAAGTGAATTTGCGTTCTTTCAGTCTTTATCGCAATTATTTCTACCCACTTACTTTGTCAAATGTAGGCGGGCGAACCCTCCTGGAGTTGAATTCCAAGTACAGACTGAGAAATTGAATATCGTCGTTGCTTGTTTACGTTCCCATAAAACGCCAAATTAGGCATTTTCACGTCGTAGTCGTGCAAGAACGGGCAAAGAAATGTACCAAAAAGCGTGATGCACGTGCAAAGTTGTTGTTTTGCTTATAAAACCTATTGTTTTTTGACGTTCTTGTTGCCGTCCGCGTCGTTGGATATTGAAGTCCCTTGTTGTCACAGCTTAAAAGAAAATAACTGAACAGGGGGGACCCATCTTTTAAAAAGCAACTATTCAGGCTACCCGACTGTACTCTTTTTCCGATTTAAATTTGACTTCAACTAAAGGAAAATTACTTGAGACTTCCACACTGTTTGTCCAGGACCCGAGGCTGCGTCATTTCAGACGAAGAAATTCCCTTTCTTGTGTAAACTCCATTCAATCGATTAACCATTACCTCTCACTCCCCAGGGTGAAAACAAATATTACGTGGGTCGCGAGGTTGACGTTCCCATGGAGATCCCTCCTGGGGTTGATGATGTCACTGCCGCTGTATATGACCCGGATGGAAAACTAGAGAGTTCTACCTTCCAGAGGGAGCCGTCCGACGGTCTATATCATTTGAGGTTTATTCCTAAGAAGGCAGGGCAGCATAAGGTGAGGAGAGTCTTGATCCAGTAAAACGAAGCACGTTAAACGAGTGCGCTGGTCTGGCTAGCCGAAGTATTGTTTGAAAACAAAACCAATACACGTGCGCTGGTCTGGCGTTGTTTTTTTTTTTAAAGCCGAAATATAATGTTTGAAAAAAGTTTATTTCTTTATCAAGTGCAACTGTTTGTAATCAGCTTTGCAGTAGGTTTTGGATTACGTAATGTCGTTCTCTTTATTAAAGTGTCTTTTTTAGCTGATAAGATCTCTTTTCTTGAGATCTAATGTTGACAACCAGAAGGATCTTCGTCCACGGTTTTTGCAGTTTATTTCTTTATCAGTGCAACTGTTTGTTAAGTTGGTGTGTTTAGCCATAGCTCCGGTTTTGTCGATGTTACGTAATGTCGGTCAATTCTGCTCATCCATTACTATTAATATTCTCCTCGTTGATATTAAAAATATCAATTTGGTTCACTGTTAGTTTGTTTTTTACTTTAAACATCAAAATGAGTATAGCAACCCCTCAGATAGTAACTTTCGGTAGGTATTATACACTAACTTAACTTGTAGACGCGCCAAAGACTATCAGACGCAAAAAAAAAAAACTAGGGGGTGGGGCTGGGTACAAAAGTAACTTGGCATTTACTGGCATAAGATTTTTTTTATTTTCCCGCCAATGTTCGTATATGATCTCTAAAGTTTAGGTTTTCATCTAGGTTTACACCTAGGATCTTGATGGGACCCGACTTTTCGCCACATATATCCAGATCCTGGAACAGGTTGGTGATATTTATCGCAATTGACTTTTAAAAGATTAAGACAATTTATTAAAAGATTAAGACAATTGACTTTTTAAAAGATTATCTTGATACCATTTAGTCATCCTCTCTCCATTGTCTCATCCATTCGTGCATCAGTAGTCTGTTCCAGGCATGACATCCCGGGAAAAGAAACTTGAGACTTGGTAGGCATGACATCCCAGACTTGATCTTAGTTTCTTGAAATCTAAATACCACCGATTTTGCTACCTCTCGATAAGTTCAGCGGTAGTTCCTATTCGGATCGATTTTGATGACTCATTTTAAAGTATTCTTTTCTTACCTAACTTTTATCCGAAAATCTGAAAAAGCAACGAGTATCTGATCAAACATTTCAATGGTGAAGCGGCAAACTGATCGATGTGTGTCCCTAAATGCGATGCTATGGCGCAGAAAATGCATGAACCGAAGTCCAGTAGTCCAGTTTACAGTTTTAGCTAAACACTCGAAAAGAGAGTTTCTCACAAAGCTCTTCCTTATCCTCTCTTGATTAGAGTGACCTTTTCGACCGAAAACGTCAAACGTGAATTTTCAGCGCGTGACAAAGCTTTCCCTTAACTTGCCATTTACTATACATTATAACTGCACGGAAATCAATACATTTACCCCAGTTTTATCCATAAGAATTGTTTTGAGTTGTTTCATCTGCTCATTTTCTAATTTGAATATTTCTCATCTTTACGTTTGCCGTAAAAGCGACTCTAAATCTCTTTGTTCCCTCTCTAATTACTTCTCCCTTAAGATCGACATTAAAAGCGGAGGACGTTCCGTGGAAAACAGTCCGTTTCCCTTAAATGTGGTTCAGCCCAATAACCCCGTGGTTCGGTTACGCCAGCCAGAAGAGGCCGACAGCGAGTACCTCGTTCGTCGGGAACTCGACATCGCACTCGACGCAACCGAAGGCACTCAGAACATGTCATCGTATGTCGAAGGCCCCGATAACGAAAATGTGCCGTCATCGTTTGACAAAGGGGATGATGGGTTGTACCATGTTAAGTTTGTACCCTACCAGCCAGGAACATACAAGGTAAGGGCTCAGTTTGGTAGATAGCTTGGATTGCAGTTGGACAAAGGATCGAAAAATCTTATGAATTCTAACAGAAAAGTATTTATAAATTTGTCGTCTCGCACTGGCTGCATCCTTGCTAAAAGTGATTGTGTTTTTTTTTGCCAGTCTAGCACAGGGCTTTATTTTTCTTCGCGTTTCTATCGTACATCCCTTCTCGCTTGGTGGTAGCTTCATAGTCCCCCTGGATAGATACTTGTCTCAAGTCTTCCCGTGTCGGGAAAAATGCATGTTTTGCAGCACTACGCAGAAGAGACACTGGACTCATGTTTGCCCGTTTTGTACCAGCTCCATGTCTTCATACTAAAGACAAATTGATAAGCTCGGAGCAATATTTCATCTCTTATGTTTACTCGATCTTATTCCCTTGGTTTAAAAACGCTCAGTTAACGATTTATTCTGACGCTTTTTATTTTCCACTCAGGTTCATGTTAATAGTGACGGCGTTCCAGTGGTCAGCAGTCCTTTCCTAATAAGAGTCGGTGATCCGGCCAAAGTTCAGGTTGCGCATGTGCGCAGTGAGGAGCTGCACGCTGAGCGAATTATCAAGAACGAGGTGGACCTGGCAGTAGAGACCCCGTACGGCATGGATGAAGAGGAAATAACCGCCAAAGTGACCAGTCCTGATTTGGAGAACGTGCCGTGTTATGTGACCAGAGAAGGCGATAATCGCTATCACGTGAAGTTCACGCCCCACAAACCTGGTCCATATAAGGTAAAGGGATCAAAATCTCTCCAGGTCAATCACTTAATCATCAGATATAAATTCTTGCTGCTAAGTGTTAAGATAGTCAAATGATTCTTAACTTAACATGAGGACGCGCGTGCAAGAAGGGAGAAAATGAGAAGAGGCTTCTTTCTCCTTCGCGTGTTCCCCTTGCGTGCGCGCGCTCTATAAAAACTGACCAAAGAAAGGAACCGTCGCCTGCCACGCAGGCTAAACTTAACACTTTGAATTAACTTCATTCACGCGCGCTAAAAAAACACAGGATAACTCCGATCCTATTGTGTTCTCAGGTTGAAGTCCGTTATGGCGGCGTTCCAGTCCAGGGTTCTCCATTTACAGTTAACGTAACAGACCAGACACAAGGTGTTCAAGTTGTCAATTTCAACGAAGGAGATCGCTTCTTCGAGAACCGTGAAGCCGATATCCCGGTGATGATTCCAGAAGGCGCTTCGTCATCTTATCTTACCTGTCGGGTTACTGATCCTGAAAGGCAGATACTTCCCAACGAGTTGGTCTATGATCCGCAAACCAACTTACATCATATCCGGTTTGTCCCGGTTAGACCTGGGCGCCATAAGGTTGAGGTGGAATATGACGGTGTACCAGTAGAGGGATCGCCGTTTATTATGAACATTGAAGGAGATGAGGGTTATAAAAAGGTCGTCGCCTCAGGCCCCGGTCTACAAGGAGGTGAGAAAAATAGTGATAGAAAGTGGGATAGGCTATAAAAGACTGACCGACTAATACTAAGCAGTGTGTGCATGTGAACCAGCGTCACTTTTGGCGGGAAAATGTAGCCTGCGTAGCGAGCGTTTCCAATCGAGTAATAGGCCATTTGCACGATGGCGTCATTTTACTACTAGGACCAGAATCCCTCACGATTTTTCTTTCATATTTAAATTTGGTAATCCCAGCGAGGATTAAATAACAAAAGCCCTAATTTGCACAAGAAAGCAAAACCCTGAAGGATTCTGGTTGTAGTAGTAAAATGACGCCATCGTGCAAGTGGCCTATTGCGCGAAAGTTAGAGCGGGAGCAAAAAAAAAGAAAAGGTGGAAGGGGGAGGGGGAGGGGAGAAGAGTTTCCTTCTTTCCCCTCCCCCTCCCCCGTCATTCCTTTTTTTTTTGCTCTCGTCCCAAACTTTCTCGACGAACTCGCGCGGAAACGCTTGCTACGCATGCTAGGAAAATTCGATAGCCGTCGTTATTCTTTTCGGGGCTTTAGCGAGAATGTCGCAGTGACGGAAACAAGTTATCAAACTTTAGAAGTAAGAAATATAGGAGGAGTAGTGAGGAAACGGCTCAAACGTTTTCATTCATTTTCTCTGCTTTTTATCACAGGCAAAGTAAACGAGAAGATAGATTTCATGGTAGATGCACGTAAGGCAGGGCGTGGCAGGCTGACAGGGAAGCTTACTGGCGTGAAATATCACACGGATGTAGAAGTTATAGACCTCAAGGACGGTACATATGCATGTCATTACCTCGTGCCTCAACCTGGAGCTTATGTGTTGTCACTTATGTGGAACGGACAGCATATCCCTAACAGCCCTTATAAGGTTACGATCAAGGAGCCGCAGGTCATGAAGGCCAGCAGTTGTCTTGTTGAAGGTAAAAAATAAACAAAGATTCTGTTAGAATAGAGTACACTAAGGGCCTGGTAACCCTTTAAGTCCCAATGGCGACCAACATCAATTTTCTCCCAACTATATCCATCGATTGTCAAGAGATTTGGTTATGAGAATTAATAAAGTGATCACCTAAGAGAAAATGCTTTGATCTTTCATCAAATTCTCTCAACATATTCTTTAAGAAAATGTATAGAGAGATAGAGATCAGTTTCGAGAATTTGTATGTGGATATTAGGGCTTAAAGGGTTAACAAGACATGAGTGAGCCGAGCTAGCCTGGCTATCCCGGCTGGTCCAGCCCATAAAAGCAACCTTCGCATTGTTCAACACAATGTTTTATACATTTAACAATTATTCCTCGAGCCCGAATGGGCTCTGATTCAATAGCTCATGAGGCCCAAGGTCGAACGGGCTATTGACTCAGAGGCCACGAGGGCGAGAGGAATAAATGTTTTAGTAAAATCCAACTAGTTGGTCAAAAATATTGAGAATAAAAAATTTTAGCTAGTTAAACTAGACTTTAATCCCTTTTTTCCGCCAAAAAGCCCGCGCTTTTCGCTAGTAGTAGGCTATAACATATAGCGTAGTAGTAGCTCAACCAATCAGAACTCAGCATTGATAATAGACCACTAGTTGGATTTTACTAATTCCAGATACGTTCAACCCATTTCTTAGTGCTTGAATATCGAATGAAACTCTCCTCGGATTTGATTCGGGTGACTCGCTCGCTAAGCAAAGAGGTACCAAGACCTTGATCTCTTTTATTCTCGCCTGCAGCTATTCGTAAAATTAGAATCTCTCACCTCATAGCCAATGAAAGTTTGACAAGTGAACTTTAGAACTGAACTACAGACCAAAACAAAATTTAAATGGCGATAAAAAAAAGAACGTCAGCTTTAGTTTCAAACATGCCTACTTTAAGAACCGACTCTCTAGTTCAAGTGATCTATAAAATAGACGACACTTGAATTTACGGACCTATTACAAAGACGATAACACTCAAAAACCCGTCAAACTTGTTTTTATCACCAGGGAGTATGCTAAAGGAAGGAGGATCAGCTACAGTAGGACAGGCCATGGGGTTCAATATCAACAGCAAAGACGCAGGACCGGGACAATTATATGTACGCTGTCAGGGACCCTCAAAGGATTGTGACGTCACTGTGTTTGATAACAAGGACTCTACCTACCAAGTTCAGATCTTTCCTACTGAAGTTGGGAACCATCTGGTGTACGTGGAGTGGGGTGGAAGGCCCGTACATGGAAGTCCCTTTTTGGTACGCGTGGGACAGCCCCCTGATCCTAGCAAAGTCCGAGTGTACGGTAAGTGACTTTCTGCCAATGAAACCTATTTGATTTGTGACGTAATCACAGGTAGGTGAACGTGAAGATAGCAGGAAACTGCACCATGCAGTCTCTCGTCAAAGCAAGAGCCCATTACCACGGAGCATTCATTGGTGACTTGTAAGTTTCACAGCGCGGTTAATTTTACTTTTATCTTTACTTTTTATTTTCGGCAAAACTTCCTCTGTCCACAACGAGCTCGCATAATCCATTGTGGTAGATGATCTTTTTACATGGAGGTTCACAAGTCCTTCTTATGTTCTTCAAGTTTTAAACACTCTTCACTCGACAAGTAGTTGTTCTCACCCGACATTACTGGAAATTTAACTCTATTCAACCAAGGAGATGTTTGTCTGATTGGCTGTTGGGGATTTTAGTCTCCAGTCTTCTTCCAGCACGCAAATTTAAAGTAAACAATCCTACTCTGTTCCTATTGGCTAAATTTTTTTGGCGCCACAGATGAACCTATCAACAGTCAGAAAATCTAACACAATGCAACCCAGGCCTGTATGAGAGATGGACGCCTGGGGTCATCTAATCTGTTTTGCTGTTACCTTTCAATAAAGTGCTTTTCTTCCCAACAGGCCCTGGGCTAGAGAATGGATTACTGAGGAGTTTCAAAGGTGAATTCCTCGTAGAAACCAAAGGTGCTGGACCTGGGACCCTTAAGATCAGAATTCATGGTCCTCGAGGAGCCTTTAAGGTCGAAATGTACCGGGACACTTCAAAGGAGCGTTCTATTGGAGTACGATACAACCCCACCGAGGTGGGGCGCTATATAATCAACATAAAATGGGCGGACCAACATATACCAGGGAGCCCTTTTGACGTCACAATAGTGGAAACCAGAGAAGAGCTGGAATCGATTAATGAATTAAAAGATAACGCAGTAATATTGCAGCAAAGAGATGCTAGATTGTAGAATAATGGTAACTAGTAGTATTCTCGAACGTATTACCACCTTCTGGGTCAAAGCAATCGATCCAGCACTGCGTGCGTTAGGTGAGCGCGACTGCCGTCAGGCATGTTAAAATTAAGTTGGCGTATAGATGAAAAATTTCATTTCATAGTCCGGATTTTACATTTTACAGTCAATTTAGGTACTTATATGCCTTATCTTAACTTCAACATCTTTTGTGTGGTATTGGTAGAATAGAGGTGTAAATAAAGGAGGTGGGGGTTCGGGGAGACAGTTTGTATCCTTCCCGCTGAGGCCGTCACTGGTCCCACGAAACGTGAGAGGTGCAGGATCTAGAAGAGTAGTCTGAGACCAGGCTCCGTAGTGGGCGAAAAAGGCGAAAAAAATCGGCAAGCGAAGCGAGCAGAGGGGGAGGCTTGGGAGAGGCAATAGCTCGCGGGCAAGCTCTCCATTTCGAGTGGCGAGCGAAGCCAGCCGCGAGAGAACGCACGAGCGAGGAGAGGCAAGGGAGGCGGCCGTCGCCCTTTCCCCTTTCCAATCCACCGCTGGGCTCACCTCGCTCGACGGTTTTTTCACTGTTCCACCCCGCTCTTTCACTTTTTTCCCGCGCTACGAAGCCTGGTCCTAAGCTACTGGAAGAAATGCAGCTCAACCCAAAGGAGAACGTATTACTTTGAGATGTTGTCTTCAAGTTCTCAAGTTCAGTCCAAACCTAGCGACAAAATATTTCGAAATGTCAGAATTGGGCTAGACGTTAGGTCATATCAACAATTAATGCCTCGTAAATATTTTAGCCAACCTTCATCGCGTCAACAACGTGAAAACTTACTGTAACAATTTATAACAAACACAAAGTGGAATGCTTAAAATATAATAGTGTATGTTTTAGTTGGTTGCAGTTTAAAAAACTAAATGCAAGTCTTTATGACTCAGGAATATAAATTTGTCCTACGTAATTTGCCTTGCTCAAAACGGTGTTATTTAAAGTAAGGAAGCGATATATTTATAAGTTACTAAATTTAATTAAATTTACTGGGTCAAGTATAAATAATTGGTATGAAGCGTCATGATACGTAATTGTAATTACGACATCTGACGTAAATGGGATGTTTGGTCGGCGCGCAGGTATTTCTGTTGGATAGTAGGGTATCGTACCCTGGATTTCTGCATATACAGGGTCAGCGTGTTTGAAAATATATGGTGGGTTGAATACTGGGAAGAAATTTTTAAAAAATGCGAAAAAATAATAGGTGACCAAAGTGAATAAAGCTGTGTTCACATTAGTTCCCAGAATGATGGCAGTGGCATCGTTCATGGTTCTATAGTGGATTTGTTTCTTGCGTAAAGAAAAGAATTTTGTTCTCGTGAAGACAGCATTAGAAGTGAAATTAATTGTGAGCAGACAATTTTAACTATTTGTTCATTTTATCGTCAGCTGTAATTTTCGATCGAAGTTACTAATTATTGAATCATTGTTCAGTCTGGACTTCGAATGAGGCCTTGGTTTTTACTGTTAACATTCAAATAAGCTTGTTTGTAGGTGCTCTTGCTACTTTTTACTGGCTTAAAAAGTCTTTTTTAACTTAGTTTTGAAGCCGGTTTTTACTCACCAGAAACTTACATTATTCAATATGGATTGTGAAGTAGGAAATATGCAATAGTCATGTCGAAAAATAGAGTGGAAACAGACAAAAATTTACTTAGCTTTTTATACCAGCCAGTTGAAAAGTGTCTGCTAGATTTGTAATTGTCTTGTAAATAAAGAACTATTTTGGCCATATCTATATTGCTCTTCTTTCTATATTTCCATTGATAGCACAATAATACTTGAGTTATGTTGAAATCATTTTTGCGGGGTGGTAAGAACTGTTTTTGCTTCGCGTCAGAATAATTGAAAAAATCAGCACTTTCATTCGACAGCAAATAAAAAGAAAAGAAAGAAGTCATATTTTTGGCTTCTTAACACCAGCCTAACAGAGGGGACATGCATTATTTTTGACATTGCAAGTGCCTTATCGTGCAAAGGAGTGACGCGTGCTACAGAAAGAGAAAAAAAAATGGTCGGAAGGGCATCGTCTGAATTTCTCTGTCATTAACAAAGGAAACAAGTTGCCCACATACTTAAAGACTGATCGACCATGAAAACAAACATTCATTGAAGTGGTCCATGACTCACGTAGCCATCAAACTGGGGCTAATTTGCAAAATACCTTAAGAAAGAAACAATGAAAGGCTACATAGTCAAAAAAGAGTACGGCAATAGCAGAACATTTACAGAAAAAAGATCTAGATGTCATGTCGAAAAACATCATTCAATATTGCAGCTAGTTCTAGCATCAGCGAATATAGTGAATATTGCAACTATTACTTTAATTTTGTGGTATGGTTGCTAAGAATTGAATCTCTCCTCTTCTTTTTACCCGCAACCGTCTCAATTTCACCAGGCAAACGTGAAAGTGATGTTTCTAAGAGCCTAACTTGTGAAACGCCTTCAAGCAGGTCGCTCAAAGTAAAGGAAGGCGCGCGCGTGTGTGGTCCGTGTTTTGTAGTGCAATGCGGCGGGGTGACGCTATGAGAGAAACGACTTCCTCTAAATGGAATCACGGTTGCATGGTTTAACACAAAAGTGTGCAACCAAATGTATCATGTCAATCACAGAAGTAAAATATAACCTGCGCTTAAAATAGCAGTAAACTCCCCCAAGTTCATCTAAATTAAGATCTTCAAGGGTGTTTTCAAAATACTACGAATATTTTGGGCTGTTTGGCATTCTCTAGTTCGCGCGCAAATATAGCGTAGTTATGAGCGCAGTTCACACTATGGTTGAAACAACATATTGCGCTGACACCTGAGTTGGGTGTGACTTTTCTAGAGTCGCTCTGTTTTATGTGGATCGTTCATTCGATGAGCCTGCTTGAGGGCAACTTTGTGTTTTTCGAAAGACATAGCAAATCTGAGGACACGTCCATACGCAAGCGATCAAAAGGGAGCTTAAGCCCGACGAAGGCAACAACAACGTCAAAAAACAACAGCTCTGCACTCACTTGCATCACACTTTTTAGTACATTTCTTTGAAGTCCGTTGCACGCGGACTACGACGTGAAACCTCCTTATGCCACGTTTAGGGGAAACCGTGAATATACGACGACGAAGTTTCGTTGTCCTTTTTTAGGCTAGATTAAGTCCTTAAGGATTCAACTCCAGGAAAAATCGCATCAAATTTTAAAAAGTGAGCTGGTTCAAAAGACGCGATAAAATTGAAAGGACGCAAATTCATTTTTTAGCGACGTTTTCACTGCCAACGAAAGCGCATCACCACCTTAAAAAAAACGCAGCTCCTTAATAGCGCGTTTTTGACTCAACCTCACTGCTTAGGAAAACGAGCGACAAAGCCCAAGTTTGGAATTTTATAGCTCATGTTCCTGATGTTAACATTGCTGACCTCTCAAGCTTTTTCCTCGGTTGCTCATAAAAATGAAAATTCGTTGAGAATTCCGCAGCCGGGTTATTATTTTGAACTCCCCAATCAATAAATTTTGTTAAGTTTAAATGAACCGAAAGGCGATAAGATTGATCACTCAATTCAATCTCGTATCACTTAGCGTCCTTTTGAAAATCCCGCCTTAATTATTTAAGCAGCGTGGGCAAGAAAAACTCTTCTTTTGTTTCTTGACATTCAAAAATGCAGACTCGGTTTTTTTAACTAAAAGATATTCCCAAATGACGCATTTATCTGAGAAAGATATGAAGGTAACCCATTCTTTCTACATTTATCTGCTGTCTTTTCGATTTAAGATTTTCTCTTCCTATGGTTACAGCAAAAAAAACAAGGATGTTGAACTGTACCAGCGCACTGTTAAAATCGTCATTCATTGTGTTTACTAGTATATAAAAGGAAAGAGGTACCTTACACTTGAGCTTTACACGAGAGCTAAGGTTTTTTTTAACCAAGGCAATATGCAGGAAGAGTGCAGAATTATACTGGGAGACCGATCCATGAAAGCTAGTTTAAAGGCACGCAATATTAAGTACATTGTGTTAATTTCAGTGTCAAATTAATTTGTTATCTACCAGTTAAAGTAAAAGAAATTTTTAATCCCTAACGCATTAAAAGCTAAACCAAATCGAAAAATGATTCTATTGTTCCTCGGATTCTCGCCTAACTGTCTAAGATTTCTTGTTCTTTAGTTGGAACTTGTCTTATATTAACCCGTCAAAACCACCCGATAATTACTGCTTTCGAGAAACAGTAAGATTAAATCATTGATAGAGATCGTTAGATTGTTTTCTAACCATAGTCACTCTGTTATTTATCGCGGCGTTTCCACCGAGCTTCGATGGATGATATTTTCCATTATATTGATAAAAATCTTTATTCCCCGCCGACAGTCAGAGCTGTATTTTCACTTGAATTCGTGTGCGGCTTCGTGCGGCTGGTTTCAGGGTACGTACTACGTAGACACTGACCGCAGAGGGAGTTCATTTATTCAAAGTGTAGAAAGAGACTGAAAGTCCTCTTTCAAAAGCTTCCTTCCTGGCTGAATGCAAAATGAAGAGCGTCTAAAAAGATCATTATCGAAAATTCAATCTATCACGTATAAGCTTAGTGTTTTGGGAGATGCTTACGAGTAAGTGAGTTTTACCCGAAACAAAGACGACGACTTTTCTTTGCTTTCAAAGTAAATTAAGGAACATTCACTTTGCACCAAGAAAACTCCATTTTTGGACAAATTACCTCCTGCGGACAGCGAATCCTGATTTTTTAAAAAGACTGAAAATGCACAATAGACAATCACAAATTGTCATAGTCAATTAGACAGTCTTTTGGAAGATGTTTCCTGCTTTTTACATTAGTTTATAAAACGCACACCAATTCTTGCCTTTCACTAAGGCAAAATAAAAACTGCTTTTTCTGTAACTGCGAAAACTCTTCAACGACGAATAAAAACTTCGCAGCTTCTGGACATACCTTCCAAACTTAAGTAGAAGAACCTTAATTCTGTATATTGAAACTTGATTTAATCAAGTCATTTGTTTTAAAACGTAGCAGATTATTTTTGTATTGTTTATGTTCGGAACTTAATAAAATTATAGTTCAAACTTATACAAAGGTCAAATGACAGGAATATTATAATTTTTGAAATTTATTTTTCATCTTTTACAAGTTCGTGCAAGAAGCGACAATATCTCTTTATAATTATCTGTGTACGCCATATAAAATATTCACAATTTGTGCTATGCGTACGTTATGACGCAAAGAAGAACATAATTCTGGGATAGAATTCGACGAAACACATTTCACATTTCCTATTAAGTGTTCAATTGATTGTTTTTTTTTCCGACTTCCTTTCGCCAAACAGAGTCACAATAGAAGTTTTTTTTTACTTCGTTTGCATTGCTAATGCATTTGTTTTTGTATTCATGAGTGGAATATGTTTTCACCAGTGAGCAAATATCAATGAATCGTTGCATTTCTATGCATGACGCGTGCTGACTTATATACAAATATTTCTCGAGAATCTTCCAAGTTGGACAGAAAGGAAAGATTTAAGCTAGAATACGAACTTCGGTTTTTCAGTTACAAGTTTCTAAAGTTTCATGACGTGAGCCAAGCCTAAGTTGGTCATTGTTGTTAAATCTTTTTGTCCGAATCGCCGAACTCCCAAAGGAATCACAAAGAGAATTCAGCTGTTTTTAAAAGATTTGTGAATCTAAATAAGGATGATTGCGTTAATTGTTTGACGGACAGGCCACGGGGGAAATGATAATATTAAGGCTATAAAGGTGTCCGCGCAAGATATTGCCTAAAAAAGCTGACTGACAACAAAGAACTATACACTCTCAAACAGATCTGATTAAAGCCACAGCAAGCACGGTTAACTGAAGTCCCACAGCTAGTAGAGAGTAAGAAGACATGGAAACGCAGTTATCGAAGCCTATGGACTTTTCTTGCAGTGTGAAATATCTTGGAAGTCAGAATGCGATGTACGCGCAAACTGGGACGCTGGAGAACATCGCGCGTCTTTACCAAAAGGGTTGCGCTCTAAACGAGAAGGACACAAACGCAAAACTGACGGTAGGAAGAGACAATGTGACAGTACTATGTAAAAACACAGAGAAAACGTTCAAGTTACGGAAAATTCTCTTCTGCGCAAGCTATAAGAAGATACCCAAGGTGGTCGCGTTTAACTACCAAGTGTGTTCGTCGCCCAAACGGCTTGAATGCCACGCGTTTCTTTGCGCTTCGAACGAGGATGCAAGATGCGTCGTCGCCGCGCTAACGATGGCGTTCAGAATGGCTTATAAAGATCGGAGTTCGGGCGGAGTTTATGATGATCAAACTACGATGAACCCCAAGGTTTGGAACGTGGATTCGGCTGAGGAGAAAGAAATGAAAATGAGTTTCGCTTTGCCGAGGAAGATAGGTGAAATCTTCGATTCTCTAACCAATTGTATCACGATATCAAGTTAATCTCAGGCCTAAGAGAAACTTTTAAACGTGGGGAATAATATAATTACGCAAGAGGGATGATCCTTTGAGAAATGTTGCGGTTAGAAGACGTCTAGGACATTGTGCGAGCCGGTTGAGCATGTAAATCGAACGTTTTTGCACCCCAAAAGACTTCTTTGCGCCAAGGAGTGGCTTAAATGAACTAAAGACTCTTTGAAGAAAGCAGTTTGAGCATAGACTTTTTCTGCTAGCGAAGAGACATTCAGTTGTGATTTTGCAATTAATCGAGAACAATTGTTAGCAGTAAGCATAGGCTGCGGTTCATTTCACGTCACGATTTGCAATAACAGTAACTTCGACCTGTTTTGGAAGCGCTATATATGGCGGTAAAACAGACGCGTATCAATATTTGTATCTTAAAATAGTAAACCAACGCGTTTTGAGAGTCAAATAAGACATTGGATAGAGACCTAAGCAAATAGAGGCTATGTGTTCTGCGAAAAACAAGATGGATTGTTAATAATGTAAATTAAAAACTTACGAGCCTTGTAGCGAATTAGGCTGATCGAGAACGTTCTGTTGGATACGGTCTGTCGGTCGAATGTACCCCCTGCATTAACTTGTGGTCAGTCAAATGTCCTAATTTCGCCCATGGGGATATGAAGTTTTATACAACTGTAACAAAGGATTAAGCTCGGAATGAGCTTTCATGTACTACTTCAGAAAAGAGTTCGAGGGTTTTATTTGTAAATAGAATGTCAACCGCCCTAATGAAAATTGAATTAAATATAAATGTATCTAAGATCGATATTTCGCATAATAAAATGGTGTGTGAATAGTGAATAAACTCGTAATTGCTATACTGATCTGTCTATCCTCGGAGTAGTAGGGGAGTCTTCTATACTCGATTAATGGTTAGTGACAAATGAAGTATTTTGAACATCTCATGTTGTCTTGCTAAGTTAGAATTTCAATTTTTTGTCTTTTGAAGGAACAAAACTGATGCATAAAGCGCGATCGATATTCTTAAGGTTTAGTTAAAATTTAATCCATATACCATGGTTTAAAAACTATTGCGGCTCAATTTTTTTATTTTTCTTTATTTCTTCACTCATATTCCAGCTGGTGATTTTACATGGTTTCAATCTTTCGAACACGTAAACAAACTAACTACAAATAATGACGCTTTATGCCCAGTTCTTCTATTTGGCAAAAACCAAACACACAACGAAAGAGAAACTGATCACTACAACTTTAAAATTCTTCTGCTCAGTACCTTTTTCAGTTTAACTATAACTTTTCCGCAGTCGCCAAAAGCTTTAATAAGAATTGAAGATCATTCCCTGTTCTAGTCCGAATATCGCTTCTAGCCACACCCTCCGTTCCCTCGCCGAGCGTAGACGGTCGACTCCCTTCAGGAAAGGCAGGAATCTCAAACTAGACAAGGGTGACGTCACGTTACCATGGTAGCACTATTTCTGGATGACAACAAAACCAACGACGACGGCGACGACAAGGAGGATGACAAAATAATATGCTTATATTAACAAACAACAACTTTGCACGTGCACACGCTATTTTGTACATTTCTTTGCGTTCGTTTCACCACTACGACATGAAACTTCCTAATTTCACGAGCTCGCTTTATGGAGTAGGTGAACACAACACAAAAATTGTCGCTTTCTTTTTCTAAACTTAGATAACGATAGATACGGTAGCAAGGAAAATTTCGCCAAGAATTGCCAAATTAAATGAAATTGAATAAGATCGGTGAAGTTTGAAATAGCGCGGATAGACTTTTAAGTGACTTTTTGGGTATGTTGTCATCCAAAAGTTTTCGCTACCATGGCAACGGGAGGTAACGACTTCTCCGCTCTCTATAGCAGATAAGCTAGGGGCCCATTTCCCGAAAGCCTCAGTAATTATCGGTCTATCGTGCCTGCAGAGCTGGTCTGTGTTTGTAGGAAAAACTGTTTGAATGCAGAGGTCCACGCAACGCCTAAATATAACTGACTGGTTCCTCTTGTTGGATCTCTAATTAAAGAGTGCTGTAGCCAGACGTCACTTAAAGTGTGAAATAAACAAAACTGAATGCAGGGCTACAAAGGGCTAATTTATTATAGACCAATATTTCGGCTAACAAAATTAGCCTTCCTCAGAGCCCGAACCATACCGAACACTCACACTTTTTAAACATTAATAGAAATAGTTATTTATACTTATAGCTTTTTATTGTTTGTTTTTTTTTTTCTTTCTTCTTGACAAAGGCGATAACTCGTCTGCGTAGCGGCGCAAAACATGTTTTCTTAGTTCCTGTGGCACAAAGGCAGAAATTTTCGAGCTATCACGGGAGACTGCCGATTAGCCGCCCCCATTAATTTTACCAGGGGCATCTCGGCCGCAGGAAACTGGACTCTTTTAGACTCGTTTTCCTTTCCTTCAGTCTCGTTTTCGTGCAGATGTCATGCTTGTGATCACGTTCTTCGACCTTCACTTAGCTTAAGACCGTAGGCCTCGGTATTCCGCGCGGCCAAAGCGTTTTGGGTCACGTGGTTCAACTGAAAACGCGAGGCCTGGACAAAAATCCTTAAAAGAGAGACAAAAGTGAGACAATATTCTGATGACTTTTCAACTGAAAGCGAGTCGGCAAAAGTCGAACCCGCAAATATCCACAAGGGGTTTTAAAAAATCATAATTTCCGGTAGACTTGCTGCGACCGATTCAGACAATTTTTGCTTGCTTGTTTCCTATTTTTGAACAACTGCCAACTTTAAATCTTTGCCGTTTGTCGTAAGTAGACGTGATTCTTAAAATCTCTGTAATGTTTCCACCCTCATTAAAATAAAGCTTCTTCTCCTACTACTATTTCCAAGATTTAGATTTTTAACCTTAGCTTTGGACTTTCGAGAAACGGCTTATTGGACATAAACAAGCATTAATGAATCAGTACACTCAGGATTTCAATGGCACTTGAGCTCAACATTCTCCTACTCAAATCCTCAGTACCGAAGGTTCCTGTTATCCTATTCAAAAACGGCTCAACTTAACATCACATGGCAGTGAGTGTTTTCTGACTGTATATTTTCAGTGATAAAGCGTTTTCTGGTATCAGGCATATAAATTCAGTACGTACCACAATAACTGCTACACTTTTAGGAAATCAAATTGCTAAACTAACTACAAGAACCGACGTTCTATTAGGCATTAACCTTGTAAAACAATATCATGTGGCAGGGCGTTTAGTACGATTACAGGTGGTTGCAGTCATACCGTTTTGACAGACAAACTATGCAAAAGCTTGTTCACCGGGATTGCCGGTCTAAAACGTTAAAATATTGTGGTTAAAAAACAACAGCCAACTTTGCCGGGAACTTTGTCATGGATAACCCTGTTTACACTTGGCAAATCTGACTCGGCTTTGGACTTGGTATTAAAGTTAATTTTCCTTTTAGCAGAACTTCATTGTTGTAACAGTCCATGACCGCTGGCCAAACACAAACGTTCATGGTTTGTGTTTTCTCTTTATTTTCCTCAACTTCCTTCTCAAAGTATTCGTCTAATTTCGATCTGCTTTCAACTTTATCTATTGTCACGATCTTCAGAGGTGGAAGTAAGTTTACCATTCGCCAGGCGATTCTCAGACATTCTTTGATGAAACTCTTCATCCTATCGCTTTTCATCTTGTTGTCTTCCAGGTATGGCAGCCAAGGATATTGATCTTGCCAACGGTCACGAAAAGATGTCAACTCAGTCATAAGTTTCTGCGAAAAAAATCGTTCATGTTTCTGAGAGGGACGTATCAGTGGTAATGAGAAGATACCTGATTTTGGACATATTGACAGCTAGCCACAACTGAAGGCGTATAAGGATCCAGTTATCAACCTCGTCCGCTTTATTTTCCCTTTTCTCTAAGGGAAGCCCTGGGGACGAGTTTGTTCAGTTATAATATTGTTTGATGTGACAATGTCAATGATCATGAGATGAATAAAGATGAATAGTAAAGAATGGTGTTTATTTTATAGTTATGATGATTGTGATTATCATATATCAGTCATGACTATGACTTCGTTATAGGACGCAATCGATTACATCTTAACAGTCACCTCTGTGAAAAATGCAACGCCTCTCCTAAACCTGACACCTAGAGTTGTTGAACCGCCGTTCTCCAGTTCGTCCCTATATTCAACTCTTAATAAGGCTGAGTCCTTTATAAAGGCAGTCACACAGTCGCCAAAAGTATCCCATGCTCTTGTCAGAGTCCTCTCCTGGGTGTCCGTCTTAAAGAGAGTTGACTGTATAGTCTTGGCCGGGGGGATACTCTGTTAAAATTAACTAAGGGGGTGTGTCGCTGAGTCTTTGAGACTCTGGACCTGTTCCTGACAAAAACATTTGCTACTCTGCTCCAGACAACAAAAATCGAAAAATCAGAAATCAGAAATCAGAAATCCTGTTCAATGGTAAAACGACGAGGGGAGAGTACTTTCGCACCTAAGCTTGATTGAGAATAATCACGGATTAAGAATGTGTGACCCTGTTCTGAAGTAAAGCTGAAATAAAATGTACAAATCTTTCAGTGATAAAGGGTGAACTCTATACCCCTGTTCCCAGAGTCAGAGGCAAATAAGCATACCCTGTTGAGCGACACATAGCTGTATAACTTATATATGGAAGTCCCTCCGAGAATCTCGGTTACTATTAGAGTCCAAAAAATTAAAATCATTACCTCCTCTAAGTCTGTTAGATCACAACTAACTGCAAGTTCTTTTAAAACAGAAGAACTTGCGATTTTGAAGGAGTCGGTTGAAAGTAACTGTTGCATTTCCTCAGAGATTTGTTGCTCAGAGATCCTTTTTGCCTGTTTTAGAAATAGAGCTTTATATTAATCGTTAATATACAAGCCTAACCATCTTATCGTTCTCCTATTGTCATCATAATATTACTCTGTAGAAGGGTGTACAAAATACTTTGTTTACTCCACAAAGCACTCTCTCCCCCCTCGGCGTTGATCTTCCATTCGTAAACAAACGGTCAATGCTATCGTTGGTAACCAGGCCTTAAGTTGAAGTAATGATCTACAAGGGTTGTTACAAAATAGACATAAAAAGCCTTACCCAAAGTTGAATTTACGTTAAAAGTTCGGGAAACAGCAAGAGTCACCTCTTATAAAAGTCTCATTAATAAAAACAGTGATGATGATAATAACAATAATAATAATAATGGTAATAATAATAATATGCACTTTATGTTTCGGTATCTGATAGTGAGTGTTAAAGGACAGAGGTTATCATATATAAGAAAGGCTCTATTCTGGCTTTTCTCCAGTTTGCTCACCTGCGGGGGGATTTCTTTAAAATGCACTCCGACAAAGGGTGCGCTCTGAAAAAACCTCGGTAAAGCCTGTTGGATGAACTCTTCTTTTGTACGTTCCGCAAGTTTGTAAGCAATCTAATTAAACAACAATACATAGATGACGTATATGATTTGAATTCAAGTTTCAGGACAATATTCTGATTTTTGATAAAAGAGGTAATCTCGGCATGGAAAAACCTTCCGAACAAGGATAACGGATGGACCATTAGAAAACTTATGGGGTGTTGGGAGCGGGCGAAGTACAAAAATATTCGCGCAAGGGAAAATTAAATGAAAAAAAATTCATGCACGCTAATTAACCTTTCAGACTACCAAAACTCGACCGCCGCCATCTTGAATTTGCTTTCCGGGATTAAAGAAATGATCTCAATTTAGAAATAGTGCGCAGGATTGATTTCAAGAGGGGAGGTTAATCACACGTGAACATTTGTCTTAGAACAAATGGTAGTTCGGTTTGCAAGCCTGACCGCAAGACTTTCAAACAATCTTTTTTAACGACTTTAAAAATAATGTGTTATTTATGTATCGCTTTGGAATCGTCATAGTGCTTGATCGCTGTAGGCATTTTGAGGTTCACCGGGTGGCATATTTTAGATCGTATAAAAATAATGACGTACCATAAATATTCGGCAAGTCAAATCCTTTCTGTACCAGTTCTCTGCCCTATCAGGTTGCCTCCCAAACACTTCCATTGCTTGTCGACGAATGGCCCCGTCCAATTTTTTGCACTTCTGCAAGACATCACTTCGTTTGTTCCTGCTTGTAACATCTTCAGAACTGCTTTGATGGCTGCGGTGATTCATTTCAGAATCGTTACTTATTCTGTTTGTTTAAAAGAAATGATTGATTCGATAAAACCGAGAGCGAACGCAGGACTTAGACATGAACTAAAGCAATGCATCTAAAACCACGTTACTTTCCTCCTCTGTTCTCACAAAGGTCTTAGCTAGGGACTTCGTAAACCGGTTTACCAGTAAATTGAACACTATTCCACATACCTTTGCCTTAGGTTTTCATATTGAGCCGTAATCTCTTCGTTTCTCTTTCTCAAATCACGATTTTGCCTTTTCAGCTCGTCATGCTGGTCATATTTCTCCTGCGCCATCTTAAGCATGCAGTTGTTGGCCTCCAAGAAATCGTTGAAGTTCGATCTATCGCCCATTGCCGAATCTGTTGCTTCTATCTGAGATGGCTGTCGTTGTTCGAATTCTCGATGAGGAATCAAGCCACCTTCGATTGCCTGTGACGAACAATTTCCCATGCAAAGCCCAAATTTGTACCGAGGCGATCTTGATGTGAAAACCGATTATTGTTATTTAAAACTTCTTTGTTTGTTTCTGAGAAAAAAAATGGGTGTAGCAATTCCAAGTGGAAAATGAATTTATTCAGTCAACCTTGAAATTCTTCAGTCAGCCGAATTGAGTTTCGAGAAGATTTATTCATATTAACGTTTTTGTTGCGTCCCGTGAGAACACTGATCCTAACTGATATAGGTAGAAAAATGATTGTATAAGTGTTTCAAGTCTCGTTTCTACCGACTGGATTCGACAATACTATTTAATCCAGAACTTAACAAACCTTTCAGGAAAACAATATGGCGGCAACAAATGTTCCCAAAAGGGATGTGATTATTGCAATCGACTTTGGTACTACATACAGTGGGTTTGGCTACGTTTTCACCAACGCCTCCGAAGATCATATTTATATCTTTCAAAAGTGGGGACGAGGCCAAGGAATGACGTACAGTAAGACGCCGACGGCCCTTTTGTTGACAGAGAAAGGCGAACTGCACAAATTTGGGCATGCGGCTGTGGAGATGTATGCCAAGCAAGCAATCTCAAAGACGGACTGCAAGAAACTTTTGTACTTCGATAAATTCAAACTATTACTTCACTCAAAAGAGGTAAGTCTTGGTCGACTGATGCTTGTGTGGCCAATATTCTCGTTTGACAGTAAAACACAGCCCAGCAAAAAATGGTTCTGAATAAATACTTTCAAATACGTTCTTTAAAGCTGATTTCGAGACAACTAGTTCTTTTTGCTTACTTTAATTAGGACCTAAATGAGAATACAGAAGTGGAAGCAAGGAATGGCAAAAAATGGCCGGCTTTGGAAGTCTTTGCAAAGTGTCTTGAATACTTGAAAAAAGTGGCAACTAATGCCATTAACGAGCGTCATCTTAAATCAGACAAGGACAATCCAGGTGCTGAAGTGATGTATAAAGATTCACAGATTCAGTGGGTTATAACTATTCCAGCAATATGGAGCATTTCTGCGAAAGAGTTTATGAGGAAGGCCGCCTACAAGGTGATAACCATGTTTCAAAGTTATTCGGCATTATAGAGTTTTTACACGGAAACGACTAAATGCTTTCAAATTGATTAAAAATATAATTGCAGTTGATAGCATATGCAAAGATTTCAAAATTGCAGATTATTCCGTTGTATGGAGGAGATATCTTACTGAACTTGATTTATAAGATTGTCCAAGTTTTTCTTCGATAAGAGATATGTTCTTCTCTAAACTAGAACCTAAAATACCGTTTCTGCGACTACAATCACATGAGTCCTTATTATCACATCTGATGAATTCTACTGACTATTTCATTAACATCCAATTAATTTCATTTATATCAACTTGCTTTGAATTGAGAGACAAACTTATCTCCGGAATAATTAATCCTACTGATGGTTAGAAATAAACAATGATTAATAAGTTTCAAATTATTTTAAATATTCAATTTACAAGGAATCAATGAGTAATTTCAAGTAGCTTTTGCAATACTGTAATACTTTGTTATGGTCATGCAAATAAAGCTTATTGTTGTTGTTGTTGTTGATTTGTATTCATAGGCAGGTATAGCTAGCCCTGAAGATCCCGACCAGTTGATCCTCGCTCTTGAACCTGAAGCTGCCTCGTACTACTGCAGAAAACTGCCCTTCAACAGGTTCAAAGGAAACCGGGGAGATAGTCGTGTCGTGAAGGAGACTCTGGACAAAGAAAAAGTTCCATATATGGTAGTTGACAATGGAGGTTAGGTTTTATGATTTTTTAACTAGCTACCAGAACAACTATTATAATTATACTATGGTAACGATAATGACGATAGCGATAATGATGATGAGGGTGGTGATGTTAACGGTTATGAGGGCGGTGACGGTAACTATGGTGATGATGATGATGATAACTACAGAGTGGTGGAGTTGGCGGTGGTGATAAGGACGGTTGTGAGGTGATGTCAAGCTGGGTGGTGAAAGTGTTCATGATCTTGGTAATAATGACAGTTATTTTGATGGTGGTAGAGGTGCTCATGATGGTTAGTGGTAATGTAACAGCAACGACTACGATGAAAAAAAGATGATAACGATGATAACAATGGTAATGACAATATAAAGTTTTTTTTAACAGGTGGGACTCTGGACATAACTGTTCACGAAGTTGATGCTGTGGACGGGCACATTCTAGAAAAACATTGTCCTTCTGGTGGTCTCTTCGGAGGAATACATGTTGACAGAGAGTTTGAAAACTTAATGAGCAGAGCATTTGGCGAATTCTTCATGAGACGATTTAAAGAAGATTTCCCAAATGACTGGCACTCTATTATGAATCGCTTTGAGACCCACAAACGAGCAGAAGAAGACGTCGATAATGACGAGATAAGTATTCCCCTACCTTTAACCTTTATAAGGTCTTGCAACCAAGACATTGGAAGCGATGACGACATCAATAATAGGATAAGGCGTTTTTATAAAGACCAAGTCAGTGTTAGTAGCGACTATCTGAATATTACCATGAAGACTCTTGGTGACCTACATTATCCAATAGTGACCAAGATTGCGAACCATATCCGTGAACTTCTTGCCAAAGATAGCCTTCGGGATGTCAAAACAATGTTTCTCGTAGGAGGGTTTTCTGAGGCGCAGTTTCTGCGAAAAGAAATTTCCCGCCGTTTTCAAGAGAAACGCATACTCATCCCACACGATCCCGAACTTGCCATAATTCATGGCGCCGTTGAGTTTGCTCAAGATCCCAGCTTACTTCGAGCCAGAGTCATGGGCAGAACGTACGGCGTGGACACTTGGACTGGATTTGATCCTGATGAACACCCTCCTGAGAAAAGAGAAATTCGTCCGCACAAGGTATACTGCCGTGACATTTTTGAAACTTTAGTGGCGAAGAATGAACGAATAGATATCGAGGAAAAAAGATCATACACGTTTTTCCCCATCAATCCAGAACAGACACAAGTCCGTTTTGAATTTTACAGCACAAACGAAGAAGATGCTCAATTCATAACTGACCCCGAAGTGGTAAGCGAAAACGTTGCGATAGTGGTTGCTAGTCCTGACACCACAAAGGGGTGTGACAGAGAATTGAGACTAGATGTGATGTTTGGTGGCACGGAATTAAAAGTACAAGTCACTGACGTTGAATCAGGAAATGCTGGGACAGCATCAATTGAACTGGTGTCCAAACCCGTGCTCCACTCCCGCTTTCACTAAAAAGACGTTTTCAAGCACTATCAAAAGAGACAGACCATGCTCTGCTTTGGCAGGCAAATAAATAAGACAACAATAACTTTAAAGTTAAATACGCTGTATTTACTTTGCATGAAAAGAAGCAAGACGTATTCGTAGAAGCTCTGCCAAATTTAGCATGTGTTTAGCAATAGCTTTATTGGTATCAGGGACTGACGGCAGATAGCCAAGATGCATGGAAATGTATAGCAAATTTCAAAATTTTGTAAGCGACTGAATGACTGAACGTTTTAAGTTCTTTCTGCGTGTTTTGTTTCCTTTTTATAGTATGACTTTACTGTAGTAGCTTTCGAGTGTAGTGTTTTTAGATTTAGGCAAATAATATCGATTTTCGTGCTGTATATCATCTCCACATTCCCCTTTCTAGAAAGGAAGGGTTTTGTTTGCTTGTGTAATAGGTGTGATAGAACACGTAATATTGGTATTAAAAAAAAACGGCCCTTACTTTGTGTACCGGACACAGATGACGTAACACAAAAGAATAAAAACCATGAAACAATATCAAGCAGATTTTCACTGAAGGGAAAACAGAGAGGTCTTTTGTAGGTCATCTGTGTCCGATACAAGACGTTTTGACCAAAAAAACAAACGCCGCTCGTAAGGAACGGTTGCTTATTATTTACACAAAGTGTCGGTTAAAAAATTCATGCATAAACATTTACATTTATTTTTGGGAGAAGCACTAGCCCCACGGCAAAAGTTTAGGCAAGCCAGGTAAAGTTGAAAGGATGAATCTTTTTGGACAGCCAATACTGTAGCTTACTACTATGGCTGTGCCCTGATAACGGGGTACGTATAAAAAAAGCGTACAATCCTGGTCAAAACGTTTGGGACGCTTAGTTATTTAAATAGAGTGATTTAACTTTATGCACCTATCAATGTAAAGCCGGCGGGGAGGCAGGGCATGGGGTGGGGATTTGATTGTCTCTGTTGTCCCTGGGGTACGGCATTTGACTGATCTTGTTCTCCCGGGGAGGGGATATTTGAATCTTTCTTCGCCCGATGTGGAGATATTTGACTGCCGACTCGGACGAAAAAGACTGACACGGAACATATGTTTCCCGCTTCCACGCTTCACGCATGCGCCGTACGGTTTGAGAAAGATCAGGAATTCATGGAGGCCAATGAGAACAAGCGAAGGCTGAGTGGATTTCACTGTTTTGTCTTCAAATTTCGTTTGTTTTAGCGTGTTTTTGATCAATTGAACCTCTTAATATACTGTGGTATCAAAGTAAACGGAAGTAAAGAGAAACCAAGTCAATTTTTGCAAGTACAATTGATTAGTGTATGGCTCATTCGCTACAATCACTGTAAACTTATAAAAGTGACTTTCTTTGTACCCTTTACTAAGAACTTTCTCCTAAAGGTTTATGTATTCTACGCAGAGTAACACGGATTATGGTTAAAACGTATAATTGCAGCTGTAACAGGAACATGTATCTTTGGTGATGTAGAACGTTTATAAAAGATTGCAGAGTTTTATTTGGAGATATTTTTATTGTACCTTTCTTAGGTTCTGCCTTGGGATTGACAGCAATGTGCAGCCTGGGGTGGGTAAATTTGGTTGCATTTGACTGGAATGATTTGCCCGTGGGCAGGGTATTTGATTGCAAATTTTTGAAAAAAGTCAAATCCCCACCCTATGCCCTGCCTCCCCCCCCCGCCGGCATTACATTGATAGGTGCATTAACCGTGAAATATAATAGGTAGTAGAATCTAGTACTACGCACTAACCCCACTAATTCTATTGTCTTCTTTTGTTTACCTCTCGCTATTTTGCACTATTTGTCTGTATCTGTTTCACGGTTATAGTAAAATCACTCTATGATCTGTGCATTTTCCAATAACCCCCCTTCCCCCGGATAGTGTTGGGTGTTAAGGTCAAAAACTTTTGAAAAATTTTTCAGAGTGGGATGAACTTCAACTTTGTTCAGAGGAGGGGGAAACCTAGGCAAAGCCGTATTTACAACTGTATATTGACGGTCACTCTCCAATTTCTTACCAAAAAGGGGAGGGAAAAGAGAAGTGTCCCAGATCCTTTTGGCCACGATTGTAGTTTACAAAAGAGGAACGTACATATTGAACCAGATTAAGCTTTAGCGCGGATTATTCAAATTGCAATGCTAGTATAGAATCCGGATTTTGGTTACTTTACATTTAAAGTATATACACTTTCTTTTCGAAGTAGTTAAAGTGATTTACGGAGGATAGAAATGTATACCTAAGCCTAACTTCTGAATCACAAACTTTGAATCAGAAATAGAATACAATAGCTCAGTAAAACGTTAAGCACATAACATTCACCAATGTATATCAAATTAAAAATTTTTTCCCTTTACAATCATTCTTAGAAAATAGATTTATTGCGCACTTTGGGCCGCTACAACGTGCGACAATGTGGTTCCTCTTTGGAATATGTAAGACATATCTTAATATCGGACGTAACCGCCAATTCCGACGTTGACCAGTCAAAAGGCACTGTATTTTAACGCAAAAAGCAGTAGCTATACGTCTCACATAAGAATTTTTGCAAATGACTCCAGGAGTTGCAAACAGAAAGTCTCCGATAGCATAAAAGCAAAAAAGGACCCAACTACTCTTTTTTTTCACTTCATATTTCATTTTTTTATCAGCTGAGTTTTTCAGTGTGTAGCGGCAATCTGGCAATGACCACACGTAATCATCTGATTTTTTCCTGTGCTACTAAATTTAGGGCGTGTGCACGATGGAATCTTTACCATATTACGATTATATTATATTATGTAAACAAATTAACCCCTCTAATCCTGAACGTCCGAAACCCCTTCGCTTCTTGCACCACCTGTGAGGACATCAGTGCACGAAGGAATCTTCCGAAGCATGTCCACACGAGAGGATTTCGTCGGACACAGATACAAACACAGAGGAAAAAAAGGTGTTAATTTGACGGGTATCTTTGAATCAAAATCTTGACCAGCCCTCACTCGTACTTCTCCAACAGCCTCTTCCAACAGGAGTGAAGCCTTATCAGCCCAGGAAAAGGCGAAAAGGGAAAGGAAACGAAAAAACGAGCAGAAAAGAAAGTGAAAAAAAGTCGACATTTATCTTTCGTTTCCTTGTCGGAGAACTATCAAGCATGATACGTATAACTATCGCGCGCAAATATTTAAACAGAATCGAATCAAAACCACCTTGATTTCAGTCACTAAAATTTAATTTTCCTGTAATTAGACGTAATTCTCTCTCGTCTGTCCAAAGAGTTGACTCGCAGGGTTGAAAATGGGTTTCTTTAATTGACATATATCGTTGATGACCGCGCACTTTAAAATTTAATACATGACATTACTTTAAAAGTACAAGCTATGGAGAGGAAAATTGCATTCAAGATATTATACAACTAACATTTTAAACTCTAGATAACACATTCTGACCAAAAAAACTTCAGGAACATGAAGTCTAAAACCAGAGGATCAAGAACCTTAATTCAAGAACATGCGAGGAATTTTGATTGGTGGAGGTTTGCCTCAGGGGGTATCTGGGTTTAAGTGGGAATGTATCTATGGTAAAAATGGGGAAACATCGGCTTCCAAGAGAGCTCCCCGAACCCCCCCTCCCCGTTTTAATCCCCGAGGAAAGAATTAAGTAAGATTTCTTTGTCCGCGAGTAATATTTCAAAGGTGGCAAAGAGCATCTCATTCCAGTAAAATGAAAGTGGCGCGAGACTACATATTTAAGAGGTTATTTACAAATAGATAAGTGGTAACGACATATAAATACTCTATATGCACTAGGAGAGAGATATTTGTCTATGAGAAACAAGCAAGTTTGAAATTTGACACTTGTGTTGCATTTGAACCGGCTGAAAATCACAAAATGTTACGTCTGGAAACAGAAACTATTCAAACAAATCTTTTCACCCATTTGAAGAATTAAAAATACTTTAGTTCTTTGAAAACGTAAGGTGAAGCTGAAGTTGTTTGATTATACAGATGAATCTGCTAGTGGGGCAATTTCAATGAAAATTATGACTTTTACATTACAGCAGTCTATAAAATCCTGCAAAAGAAATTTGTCAATTGACAAGGACCTTCTAAATAATCTTTGAATCTGTGGATGAAATCCTGGAGTGTGACAATTGAAATGAAAGCCTCTGAGAAGTATTCTCCCACACAAGATGGTTCAAGCATTTGAATCTTAAGTGTGACCATAAAAAGGATAGCTATTACAATAACTTTTACAATACTTTCCGGTGCACTGTGTATATCTCGATATTTTACAAAGTAGACTTTTCTAGGGAAAGTGATTTCACTTTGAACGATGCCACTTTTAAGTTGAACAGAGCTGCACGGCGTTACACACACAAATGGCTTCAACCAGTTGCCAACAAGGAAAGGCAACTGAGTTCACAAGTAAAGGGTTATAAAATTCATCGTACTATACACTTTGGATCTATTCCTTATTACAAAAGAATGGAGAGAAAGCGAATGATAAGAGTACACGAAAAGAGTAAAAAAGGAGGAATTCAAATAAAAATAAAAAAGGAAATTAAAAAATTGCACTCCTGGAAATGGGTAAAGAAGGTGATTTGTAGAGAACTGCAGCCCATCAAACTCTGTGTTTGGCTAAGTTCTGTAAACCATTCAAATGCCACACGTGTATGCCTCCGCTTGCTAAAGCAATCAGAGCGTCTCATCCTTCTAAATAACACACGCTTTCCTCCGCTTGTTAACTTGTCTTAGGCCGCACGCCTTTGCCTCCTCTATTAGACTAAAAAAAGTTGCTGGTTTTCAGTTTGGTTACTGTTTTCTTTGTTTATGCGTAATCACTTCCCGGTGAAACAAAAATCGCACTATTCCTCTTCCGTCGTACAAATGATCTCTGAAACATTTGTTCATGTTTACGCGTGAATTGTAATGGAATGGCGTTTGATAAGGACGTCTGATGCTTGAGAAAGATGTTCCGCTTGCAAAAGAGGTGTTAAAAACGTCAAAGGTTCCTGACATCTAAAACGCACAGCTGCAAGGAGAAATGATGTACATGAACAAATTAATCTGCCGCTTACAGCGAAAAGTTATCACCAAGGTGACTAGCCTACCCAATCACAGTACGGGTAGAAAATCAAATAAGCCAATCAGAAGTAGGAAAATGCCTCCTCTTGTACTTGCTGTTTTATGTATTTGAAATGTTTTTACAGGAAAGAAGGAAGAAGTCATGGATGACAGGACAACAGACGTACACTCTTTACAATATATATTAACATGTTAACAGTACTGAAGCTCAGACGTCAGCACACAAAGGCGCCATTGGCGGGCGCTATCGGTCCATTTTTTATGAGCTTACTGTACCCACCCAACCCATGATGTGAATGACGTGTGAAGGTTGGTCACACCACCGGGGTCTACGTCCCCTATTCTTTTCGAACAGTGGTGTGGGTTCTTTTACCTCCCACAACAGCAGGCAAGTGTAAGTGCTGTGAGGCGGGACCTATGGTTTTTCGGCCTTATCCGAGAAGACTAGAAAGTCTAACCGTTTCCAGATGTCATGGTGTTATTTTCACGTTTCACTCGGTTTGGTGGCAGTTACGACTGTTTAAATTTTACGTAAATTTCGTTACACAGCTCCTTTAATGGTTTCTACAAGTAGGTTGTGTTACTTACCGTATTATCTGAGAAACATGCAGCTACTTTGTCGCCTCTTGGACTCCACTGAACCTCAAATATTCCCCCATTACCATGGAAACTACTAACTAAGGTTCCAGTCTGCGTACATTAAGACAAAATATCAGAGAGGATGAATCACATACGGAAGAGCTGGAATCGTGAACGCCTTATATTGAATGTTGACTTTTTTCTCTCTTAAATTGCGCGGAATTAAGGCCCTGTGGACAAAAATAATTTTTCTAAAACCTCCGTTCTAGTGTTTACCAAAAACGCATGGAAATTTTCCCGTCCAAACTACAGTTGACTCCCGTTAACTTGAACCCTAGCTAACTCGAACCAAAATCGATTTCCTCTGGATTTCCTTCAAACATTTACTGCATGAACCCAAGCCTAGTAGGCGTGCGCTTGATACAGCGGGCTTAGTTATGGCCAGCGGTTTATCTATAAACAGATGCGCGCACTCGAAAAACCAGTTTGACGAGAGGAAACAAGATTGACTAGTCCCGAAGTTCAGGCGGGCTTGACTCGATTCAGGCAGAGCCTTTTTTTTCCTCCTCAAGATTAACCCTTTCAACCCTAATATCAAAATTCATATTCTCGTTTGTTATCCCTATAGTGAGGAGAATTTGTTGAAGTATCAAGTAAATTAATCTTGTGTGATCATGTCCTCAATTCTCATGACCACTGTGTTTTATAAAGCAGTGATATTACATGGAGAAATTTGATGCAGATCACTCTTAGGGGGCTCTGCTTGCAGGGTGAAGCTGCTGATGTTAATCAACTTTAAAACAAGTTTAAATACCTGTGTAGACCAGATGTTTATTCCTCTATCAAAGGACCCTGACGCGATATATCTCCCATCAGGACTAAACGCCAGTGAATATACAGGCTCCTGATGCTTAGCAAGAGACAAAACACAGCTGCCTCGCTCAAGCTCCCACAGTTTTACTGTGGTATCATAAGAAGCACTGAAAATAAGAGGAAATCAATTCAAATAAGGCATCAAATATCACAAAAGTCTTAATCGCTTTCATGACATTTTGCAGCCTGTTGTTCCCATTTACAGAGGAATGGCAGAAAGAGGTGGGCAGAAAAAGTTTTAGATTTCTGGGAAACTGTCAACCTAATCCTCCCCTAAACCAACATTAACACTTAGGGCAAAATGTTGGCATAAGGGAGGGGTAGGTGGGCAGTTTCCCAGAATACACCTAAATTGTTTCAAAAAAATAATCACAAAAACACAAACAGACAAAAAAAAAATCTCAAAAGATGAGGGAGATGGAGAGTCTGTTCTCTTGTTCCCCTCTCTCTGTGCCTCTCTCCACTTCATGCTGTACCTACTATCTGAAGGACTGGAATTAGACTGGTACACAATTCTACTTTTTGAGTGACAAAAAAATCACAAAAATGGGAAACGAAAGTCACAAGAAGCTGCAATCCAGGCTTTTAGAAAGTCATTAGAACAGGCTACCTTAAGTGAGGCGCCTCAAAGACCAGGTGACCACGACAATGATGACGTATTAATTTTAAATTTCAAAATGTTGGGCTTTGTGTAGGGAGCAAAGATGTTTTGAAAGGTTTATCAAAACAGACTGTACATATTATATGATTATTAAATTGAAGAGTTTTGAAACCTACCTAGCTAAAATAAGAGGAGCATTTGGACAAGCTGTTGCTGGTCCTGTAGGGCTCCACGCTACTGTATAAATTCCTTTTTTATGGCCTTGAAGATCAAACACCCAACTATCTTGTTTTATACTCCAAATCTAAGGGAAAAGTTCAGAAACTTATAATTCTGAAGTGGACTTGCTGTTGTTGACTACGATTAGAAAAATTAAATATATGAAAGAAGTACACAGGTAAGTGTTAAGAAAATTTTTTGCAGACAGCACCTATGGTAATGACAGTTATTAAAATGTGAGAACTTATAACGTGGAACCATATGATATGGTTGTTACAATAAATTAAGTTCTAAAGTAGACAGCTTGGATGTAAAAGTAGACAGCAGTCGAGTGCTACTCTAAAACAGGGGTTGGGGGGGGGATGCAGTTTAAACCAAGGATAAAATTGAAACGCAGCATATAAACTCGACCCTGGTCTTGTAAACTTATACTTTTCAGCCCTCCAAGTTGCGACCATTTTAGTCGCCATGGCGCCTAAAACGTGAAGCTGGCAACTTGATTTGCAGAAAAGTCTCCCTAAACCAAAAGAATAATATTGGTCGCCATGCAAAAACTTCAACTTGGAGGGTTGACTTTTATACTCTGAGGGAGCCCAATATCTACAGGCCTTATGGTTTCCTTTTAGGCATTGCTTCTGTGTATTTTCTGTATTCTCATCTTTTGTTTTTTTTTTTCTGTGGTGAAAATAAATAAACTAAACTAAACTACACTAAACTACCTTAGCTGAGAGGTCATCTGAACAAGATGCTAATAACGACCCTTGTGGATCCCATTTGATTGCATTAACATCGCTCTGCAGTTAAAAGAAGAGAGCCAAGTCATTGCAAACGTTTCATCAAAAAAGGTCAGCAACAGACCAATGTTTCTGTTGGATTCTCACAGTAATGAACCAATAAGAACGAAATTGAGCAAGAAACACTCAAAACCTCCAAACTCCACCAAGACTAGTTGAAGCACAAAGACACATTCCCAGGGGTCTTCCTTCTTCCCATCCCACTGGGTCGGAGAGATAAACGATCAGGGGAACAGGGTTGCAGTTAAAAACCCCAAACACAAAAACGAGAGTTTCTGACCTATGATAAATACTTTCAAGATTTTGAGATCAGATCAAAATTTACCAGGAACTGTGATTTGCCACCCCTAACATCGTCAGTATCAGGGACAGTGCAACTGGGGGTGGAGGGGTGGGGGGGGGATGGGAAGGAGAGGGGAGGGATGGATATTGTATTATTGCCTTGTTTAAGTAAATAAAATGAGCAGGAGATTAAGGCGTTCTTCAGAGCAGAAAGTAAACTTACAGTGTGTCCTTGAAAAGACTTGATAGGTTTATCCACACCTATTCTACAGATGTGAATAATTTTATCTGTTGAACATGATGCAAAACTACTGTTGTTCTGCCAGTCTACATCCAGTGTAGGAGCTATAAAGAAGATATAACATATTTATTATGACGTCTATTTTTGTGTCTATTTTTGTGTACTAAAAATAAGGTTCCAGTCTAGGTATAAGTTCTGATGCATTTATAGAAAGATCATGCAGCTTCTAAAAACGTTTTTCTTTATGTAGTTAGTTTAGGGTAGAGGCACAGTAGGGGGTGAGGGAATGTGGTAGATCCCTTTGATACTTTGTAATGACCTTCAAAATAACGTAGCAGGAATAGAAATTGACTGTATGTATGGAATAAAGAAGATTTCAGACTCTCTCTCACCCTGGTGGAACCCGAACTGTTGCTTGACTTCCCAGTTACTGGAATCCCAGACAACAGTACTCTGTTAATAGCAGCAGAAAGTAAATTTAAGGTTAATTCTGACATCCAAAGTTATAACTCAAGAAAGTTTTCAAACTGCACTGATGTTGCTTCCAACTCATGTACCTTATCTACGCCAGCGCTAAGTAAATAATTTCCTTTTTTGTTCCATTTAATGGAAAATATAGGACCTTTGTGTTCACACAGTGTTTTGACAAGCTCCCCTGCAAAAACAAAAAAAAAAATACAAAAAAATGATTGAGTCATCAGAGCAGGGTCCGAAATTGCGCTTTCCTGGTCGCCAATGCGACTAGAAATTCAGTCCTGGCGACCAGAATTTCATAGCCGGTCGCCAGCTAGCGACTTGTAAAGCTGGTTGTTACTGTGGACTTTAATGTTTGGAGAAACTTCGAAGCTATTTGCCAACAGGTGTCTTACTTTTTGTCCTGCTGATATTTTTTAATTAAAAGTGAAATGAATCTTCCTGTAGTAATACCTCCACAACAGCTACGATCAATACGAGTTCTATGTTTCCAAGCCGCCATGTTGTTTTCCATAGCTGAAATACAGTAGGTAAATTATGTAGAGTAATGTGGCACAGTTGTGGCCTGGTACAAGCAACATGGCGGCTTGACTCGTGTTTATGTTTTGTGTTTCGTGGTAGTTATGGGAAGAGAATAGAGTTTTGATATGATCAGTGCAGTCAGGGGCAGACAGCTTTCTGTTCCTACATTCTAGGTCAGATAGCTTTACATCTCCAAAAAGTAATTTGTGGAAAAAAATAAGACTTCACTCGTACACGTATGGTTGCTTTCTAGTATCGGGAGCGGGAGTAGTGCAATTTTTGAGCATAAACATGTCCATACCATGCATTTTTTATTCGTGTTGTAACTTTTAATATGTGAAAAAAAAGGGAGAGGGAATTTTTGGCGACCACAATTTGCCCTCTGGCGACCAAAAATTTATACGTGATCACCAGTAGGCGACCGTATTAAAAAGTTAATTTCGGACCCTGCAGAGCAGGGAGGTATGCAATGATGGCTTGGATAATGGTTACATCACAGTAATAATGAAGTGAGTAAAGAAGCACCTAAATTTACCTTGTGATTTTTTTACTGGAATTTTTTTCTTGGATTTTTAGCTTTTAAATAATATCTTTAACAGTACAGATCAACTTCTGCATTGTTATGTTGACTCATTTTCATTATTTTTCAATACAATTTCTTATTACAGTTGTATTATTATTATTATGAATATTATAAACTTGAGTAAATATGAAACTTGAAGGTAAGTTTGAGTGTAAAATTATTTTACCCTCTGGGCTCCATATTCTAGCTTGCCCATCATAAAATCCAGTTGCTAAAAGCGTTCCATCATTCTAATTAGAAGAGGACAAAGGACAAAATATATTAGTTTTCTCTCACCTAAATGGGTAGTCTCATTACGGGAAAGAAGAACACTGACAACAGTGCTACATGGTTTGGTCACAAACATTAATCTGCTAGTTCCTAAAGAGTTATCAATGTTTAAGTGAATGGTGATTGTTCTGAAGTTTCAATAACTTTTAAAGACGTTTGAGAGCAAGGTCAAGCACTTACATGTAGTGGTTTATGATCAGAATAGTAATCACTAAGTTGATATAGTCAGGGGAAAGTAAGGCGCCAAGTAAAAAAAAATACCCGCCATATACATGTAGTTCTGCCAGTGTTGGGGTCTTTGGCAAAAGTTGTAGTTTTTGTTCACTTACATTCCACTCTAATGATGTTACATCCTTGGTAGCATTTTTATGGTTTTCAATGTCTTTGAACTGATGCTGTAACACAACGGGTGTCCCAACTCCTGAATCATTAAATGGCCACAATCTAGCAGTTCCATCACCAGATCTTACAACACAAAGACACATGAACTTTCAGTAACTAATTAATAAAAACTATCATTTTTAAAACTGTCTTTCACACAAAAATACCTTTACATGTCAAAAAAACTAAAAAACAGTGTCAGCTTCTGACAGACAGACAATTATTTAGTCATCAACAAACAAGGGAAACAAGTTTAAGAGAGTATAAGGCAACAAAAAAACAAATTAAATAGAAAATTTCTTTGAGACACAATAGTGAAAATTAAGCTTTATGAAACAACACCTACCCAGAAGCTAATAAATCTTGAGAAGGATTCCAAGAACACACAAATACCTGATAAAGAAGGAATTTATAAAACGTTATTAAATCAATTGCAGCTGTATTTAACAAAAAAATACCTTACTTAAATAAGTACCGGTATCTCAATTACCATCAAAGGTGTATAGCACAATACCAAGGCTCTGCTCTAGCAGAGCCCGGTGGCTCCTGGCACCTAACTTTTGTTCTCAGGCGACTAGAAAATCTTAGCTTTTTCATAGAAATCATATGCTGGGCACCCTGGATTTGGCTCCCTTCAATTTTTCTTAGAGCACAGCCTTGAATACCCTCTAGGAATGGAACACTTTTCAAAGCTCTAACGTTCAGAGATGGCCACTGTTTGAAGATCCCCAAATTTAAGTGAATGACGAAAACATACTGTTCAACTATAATGCAGAATTAATCATTCAACAATTATTTTTTTCTCCCTTTTCAGTAAAAAATAGCTACTATTGACCTAAAAGTGAGAATTTTTACATTGTATAATAGCAACTTTACACTACTTGTCAGTTCTGGGTAAAAGTTAACTCCTGGTCTCAAATAAATGAAACAATATGATGCAAATTAAAAAGTATGATGCAAAAGAATCAGTATGATACAAGGCAAATTTATTTAGAATATCTGTTGTTTCAAATTAAGTACAGTGGAACCCAGTTAATATGGTCACCAATGGGCCAAAAAAATTTGGCCGTATTAATGGGTGGCCAGATTAACGAGGGTTTTTTTTACAAGAAAATGAATGGCAGTATCTGCCAGGCGGCCAGAAAAAGTGACCTTATAACGAGGTGACCATATTACTGAGGTGGCCGTAAGGCGGAGTTTCACTGTATATCATTACCTCAGATTCATGGCCTTTCAAAAGTGTTGCTTTGTAGTTTCCAAAATCGTTAACTCCCCCATCAATGTCCATGACTTCACTATGTCCCTTGTAACTATCATTAGGGTAGTGGCTGCCATCAAGATTTGATTCATGTTTAATCTCTCTAAGTGGTTTATTATTTTGTAATAATGTATGCCTTGTAGCAACAATGTCTGGGAGGACAGCGTCAATAAGTGCTAGCTCAGTGTTGTCATCTAGTATTGTTCCATCCTAAAATAGAAGAAAAAAAAAACACATTTGTTTTACTGATTCAAGTGCACAAGACATTACTGGTTTTCTTTTTTTTGCCCTTTTACTCCCAAACAAAGTCAGTTTTGGAGACAAAAAACAACATGTGCTAATTTATGGATTAATTAATGCTCTACTTATTACGGTAATATCATTACAACAACAACAATTTTAACAATAATAATAATGGTAATAATTGCGTTTAGCCTCTGAGCCAAGTATCTTCAAAGAGACACCCTGCACCAACCTCAATTCCCATGACCAATGTTCAAATGCATTTATTAATCCCTGATTACTTCTAGCGATAACAATAATAAAATCTTACCTCACCAAGTGTCACCTCCGCCTCAACATACTGGACACCTTTTTGAATGATTGACACCAAAGCCCCAGGGGGTACCACAGATCCATTGATACTGGATTGGTCAATATGACTTTCTACTCCAAAGGTAAATGCTGAATGTTGAAATCCTAGTGGTAAAATAGACATAATAATGAGTTTAAGAGCATTGATAGTCCTTTATTATGTACATGTAATGTCATTTAAATAATAAAAAAACAGAGGAATTTATGATACTTTTCATGCTGATATTCTCCTTTGGTGAACACAATTAAAATATGAACAACTCCAGGAGCCAATAACAATTAACCTGGAACCAGCAGCTCCTTATGCCCATGAAATGGTGTTTTCATAGAAGAGTTTGTTTTTACATTAATTTTCCACAAATTTTCAGACTAATAAATAAGTGGTACAAAACAGTCAGCAAAAGCTAGAGACCAGATATAGTATTGCTGATATTTTAATGGCATTTACTCTTCCCTTGTTTGTCGTTCCAAATAATTTTGTGACTGAATCAATTAATGCTACATTTTCCAAACCCTGTTTTAAACTTCTTGATTAAGCATCAAAGCCACCTTTGATCCTTCACCAAACATGGGTGGTGGTGGAGGGGTAATTGGTGGAGGTTGGGGGTCATTAGCCTTTAGTAGTGAAAGGTTTAATTTCAGTAGCACCAGTTACGCATATGGTGACCAAAGAAAATATCCACTGGTATAAGCAGTCAAGTGAGTTATTAAAGAATAAAAGCATTTCCTTGGGCCCATAGAAGTTTTGTAAGTGGATACTGTGATAAATGCTTTGTTGGTAGAAGAATAATACTTCAGTAACATCCAGATAAATACAACAGCCACAGCTTTTAGATTAAAAATTTACTTTATTATTGTAGTCTCTGTTGATCTAGATATCAAAATATTATTATCCAGTAACTTAATTCTAAACATGACATCACATCGTCCTGTCTGTCACGTTATGAGGCATGATTTTTCAACACATCTCTTGAGATTATGAACTCAAAGATAACGCATTATTATGTTCCTTGAGATCTTTATCAATGTAATATTTTACGTTAGTGAGGCATCAATGCAACATGACAGAATCAAGAATAAAAACAAGTATAATTTTCTCGATTTTAAGGTGTGAACGCCAAATAAAAAATTCATCATTTTCTTAACAAAGAAATAATCGGTGAAATAATACCACGACTTATTTTATGTATATTTACTAAAGAGAGGTTGGGCCTTCTGATAAAACTTAAAACCACTAAAAAATTAATAAATTAAGATTGATAACAAATGTGTTTTTAATATTTTATGTATAACGAAAAAACTGTGTTAGTCTAAGCTTAGTTTTAATTTTTACTGACCTAGACAAAACAATGAAAGATCAAAGCGAGAGATCTTGCATTTTCTTTGATCATAAAACAGAAAGTTTCGGTTTATTAACACGTTAATAATATAATATGTGAGCTTACCTGACTCCTGAAGATATCTGTAAACTAGAAAGTTGACCTCATCGCTGCTCATAGACATGATAAATAACACATAATCTAAACAGTGGTAGTTCTATTTTACGTAGTTAATTCAGACATTGATTGATCCCGTAGGGACACGCGGGAGACTCAATAAATCGCGTCAGACTATCCACAATTGCAAAAATAGGACAATCAACCGATCCTTGAATCATCCAAAGTTACAATAGGATTGCAAAATCCCACATTTGAGTCGCTTCAGCTGTTCTACGATACAAAATGCCAATAAAATTGAAGACTGTTTGTAGTCAAACCATTACTGGTCCGCCATATTTGTTGAGCGCGAAATGTCACGTGGTTAATGGCAGCCATTATTGTACTACCGTGACGTCACGAAGTTTTAAGAGAAAAAAAGAGTCTGAGGACCAAATTCTATGAGAAATTTCTCGTTAATTGTAGCAAAGAGAAGCTGTATATAGGCATATTTGTTCCGTAACCCAAAAAATTCACGCCGAAACAAAGTCGTTTAAAAACATGGTTAAAAAGGCGTTTTTTGGGGGGTTTTGATCCAAGTTCGAGGGAGGTATGGACACTAATGAGTAGCCAATAGCCTCGTTTTGATACATATTTTCGTCCTCTTTGCCATCCGTGGCCATATTGGTAAGGAAGACCTACTATAGATGAAGAAATCGGTTTGATAGTGGGTTTTGTAATGGCCATCGGTCGAGTTTGTCATCATATATTAAAAAGACAGTACCCCTTCTATCCCATAAGAGATATATTTTGTTGTCTTTTGAGGTTTTCTCAGAGCAAAATCACAGATAGTGTCACGTTCCAAGAAGACACTGCATTTAATTTACAGCAACGTAGAGTAAAAATATTCTATTTTTATGACAGTTTAGGACATTTGATGTTAACATGGAGATTAAAATATTTTTATTTATCACGACTCTAGGAAAGTCTGCTTTTGAGTAAAGTTTCAGTAATTTTAGTGTACAGCATTGTAAAATTCAGTTGCATATGATTCTTGCTCTTCGATTCAAGTCAGCTGTGAAGTTTTTTTTTCGAAGCTCTCCTATTTTTGAAAATAAACTTGTTTAAGCCAAATATTTCGTTTGGGCATGCATAGTGCATGCTGTCTAGTTTTTTATGAGTTTAAAAAAGGCCCAAGATGAATACAGTATTCCAGTTATCAATAGAATCTGAGTGTTCAATATTCAGAGTAAAAGAACTCGATGATATGTTACACATTTGAACATTACTTTTTATCATTTTGTATATCCTGTAGTTCAAGTACATGAATTTCATTTATTTACCTTTTCAGTACTTTTTACATTGCAGTAAATATGGGTCGTGTTATTAGAGGCCAGCGTAAGGGTGCTGGGAGTATCTTCAAGTCCCATACCAAACACAGAAAAGGAGCTGCAAAGCTTAGGCCACTGGACTACTCTGAACGTAATGGTTACTTGAAAGGTGTTGTTAAGGAGATCATACATGACCCTGGACGTGGTGCTCCGTTGGCAGTTGTTAGCTTTAGGGATCCTTACCGATACAGGCTGAGAAAGGAGATCTTCATTGCTACTGAAGGGATGTACACAGGACAGTTTGTGTACTGTGGTAAAAAAGGTAATGTCTTAGTTTTTGTTAAACATAAATCAGTGACAAATCCTTGTGACAAGTTTTTGTAGGCACGTTCATTCAACCATACTCTGGAATAAGAATACGTGGATTCAACTCTAGAAATCACTCGGTTGCTACATTTGTTACATTGTAGCATCTACAAATGTGGCTGAAACACAATATTGAGATGCATATAGTATTTCGTTGATCCAAATCCCCAAGTAAAATGGATTTGTAGCACGATTTCTGTGCATTCTTGTTCCAGAATACAGTCAATCAAATGTACCCTACAAAATGGGCACTTTGGATAGATTCGGTTAGATATTAAAGCTAACAGCACATTTTTCCTCTATCATGGCATTATATTCATTATCTAAATCAACTTTCCGTATTGGCTTCTTTCAGCGGCTCTCCAGATAGGAAACTGTTTACCCATTGGCACCATGCCTGAGGGAACCATTGTCTGTAACCTTGAAGAAAAATCAGGCGACAGGGGCAAGGTTGCTCGTACCTCCGGCAACTATGCTACAGTAGTATCACACAATCCTGAAACCAAGAGAACACGTGTGAAGCTGCCCTCTGGTGTAAAGAAAGTCTACCCCTCTGCCAACCGTGCTATGATTGGCATCGTTGCAGGTGGTGGTCGTATTGATAAGCCCATGCTCAAGGCAGGGCGTGCCTATCATAAATACAAGGCTAAGAGGAACTGCTGGCCTCGTGTCCGTGGTGTTGCTATGAATGTGAGTGTCATTATTTGGACATCTGTGACTTCTGGGGATTTATTTTACTTCTACATTAAAGGGCTACAGAATAGCCATTAGGCAACAGGTCTTTTGAGAGATGATTCTTCAATTTGGTGTATAAATTACACCAAAGTAATTAAGTTCAGTAAGTTGTCAGTTTTTGGCCTCCATTTCTTAATTCTTTCAGGACCCTTTCATTGATCCCTTCGATGCCGAGTATAGCTTAGTAATTCCCCTAATACCTGTTGTGGTTTGCAAGTTCAACAGACCTTATTAAGTGTTTTCAATGTAATATCCCTTGTGTGTTGTAAAAAAAGAATGCATGCAAGTGTAAGCGGGCCACTTTGAAGGTTTAAATTCTCCTCAGGTGTACCATCCCATGATCTGAAATTAAACAACAGAACAAAATAATGCATTTATACTTTGTTTTCAGCCTGTAGAACATCCTCATGGTGGTGGTAACCATCAGCATATTGGTACACCCTCAACTGTCCGCCGAGACACTTCAGCTGGACGAAAGGTTGGTCTGATTGCTGCCCGTCGTACTGGACGAATCAGAGGTGGAAAGAAGAACCTCAAGGGAGACAAGGAAACAGATTAGATTGTACTACTCTCAGTTGCCAAATAAAATTCTCTGTAAATTTGATTGTAGTTTATGTTGTTGCTTCGATGAAAGGGTAAACATGCAGCCTCTGAATACAGTTACCTCTTAATGCTCCCAGTTTTTTGTGGTGTTACTAATGTGGTAAGGATAAAGTTACACAAAAACTTGTAGCAAGGAAAGGTAGCTGTAGTCACAGTCTAAAAGAGCAGGAAGTACCTTGCTTGCAAAGACAGTCTGCATGTTCTTTGGTTACTGAAGGGAATACAATGAATTTATTAACAGTCATGTTTGTACCAAAACACTCCTGCTTTGATGCAAACAGCAAGGAAAACAAAAGAGTTACATGTTTTAAGAAGTAACATTTTTTTTGAGAGTGGTGTATGAAAGGAGAGGCAAGAGCAAGGGGTAACTCTTGCAGATCACTTTGCTTGCCACTAAAAATGGAGAGTTCTTGTTGGCTACATTCATTGAAACCAGTAGGTCACAGTTGCAGTATGTTGACATCCAAACTCACTATCTGCAACCACTTAACTCCACTGTTAAGCCTATGATCTATTCATCATCACAGTGGAGTCAATGTGCCCTGCATTATTCAACTAGTGAATGGCTCTTCTTGTGGCTAGGATGAAGGTGACAGGTGTATGGGAGTATTTTCTAACTTTTTTTTTTATAAAAGCGGCCAATTTTATTGGTGGTCACAAACTTCTACTGTACAGAGCGTGCTATATAGCTAACCTAGCCTCCGCGGCAGACATCGAGACGGAAGCAGGGCGGGAAAGGGAGAGAAGATGACCAACAGGTCAGAGCCCCAGGGGAGATGGCAGTGTTTGAAAAAGCCATTAGACTCCTTTCAAAATGGAGGAATGATGCCTATTTTTAGAGTCAACCATTTAAGAGGCCCTGCCAGGGTAACTTCTGACAAGCAACATGGCCCAAAAAGTAGCGACATCGCGTAAAATGAAATCGCGATAAGCGACAACCTCCCTTGGCCAAATTGCGACAGTGACAGCAAAGCCGACAATAGGTGACAAGCATTTATAAACAACGACACGAGACGTAATCAAATTCAGATGGGCGACATGGGACCCCCCCGCCACCTGGCAGGGCCTCATTTAATAGTGGCTAAAAATCAATTTGTGTAACAGTTTTTAGCCTTTACAGCAAAAAGCCCAGACGTGTGACCACTTTGATTTATTCCCATTCTTTCGTGCAGATTTAATCCAATCAGAAGCCAGCTGGAAACTCTTCTTGACTTCTGATTGGTTAAATATCTCTGCATGAAAGAATGTGAGTTGATTAAAGGAGGTCACACTTTTGGGGTCCTTGCTGTAATAACCACCAGACAAGATAATCCCCATAAGGAGGAATTGCAAAACAATATTAGCCCAATATCGGAGGAAGATGCCACTATCAGTCAAGTCCAAAACAATATTAGCCCAATATCGGAGGAAGATGCCACTATCATTAAAGTCCAAAACGAGGCTGAATATACTGTAGAGCCCAGGTCCTCAATGTAAACAAGCTTAATCCCGGTCATCATGGCAGCTCTGTAGAGCTTGCAGAGAGGCAGTCGGATTTATTAAGAGCATTATACTATACAAAGGAAGATTTGTTGGTGGGATGTCCAGTAGTAAAAGACTTCCATGTCAGAAAGAAGCATGTGCTATTCAAAAATGTCTTCAAGGTAAACAAACTCTCGAATTTTGTCTTTTGTCATATCAATCGATCGAGTTGCACGAGGAAAAAATGTCAAAAAAATTCAAAGTTAATTTTTTCATTAACCTTATTAAACTTAAGCTTATCTTAATGTCAATTTTATTCTGGCCTGAAACTCAAATTTTTGAAATTGTTGATTTTGTGGACCAAAAAAATTCTTATATCGGAACAGCATGTCAGGTAATGCTGGCTAGTGGCAATGTTGCAGTTTGTTGCAGGCAAGTTGGCAGCAGCAGGCTTTATCTAGGGTCCTGTTTATACTAATGGGTTTGCCAAGACTTCTATTTTCGTGTTACAGGGGAAATAATGTTTTTCAAACAATTTTCAATGGCCCATACCAAACCATCTAAAAAGCATTTCTTGCAATGCAATTCCCTTTATACTCCACTCAGTATGAACAAAAAGTGATTTATATCCCTACCCACCCAATGGAGGGTTGTTGGAAATTCTGTTGGAATTTCTAACGGAAGGTATGAACCTAAACTGGAATGTCCAGTGGGGAGACGGGGTTCAAACAAAGAGAATCCTTTATGGGGTTGGGGAGGCGGGTGTGTGGATATTTTCTGGATCAGTATGTTTCCCATTCTTTTATGTCCAAGAAATGGAGATAGCAGCCCCCTAAATACAACAATCGGTACAGTTTGAACTCTTCTTAACAAACTAAATCATGATACAACTCACGTGATACAACTGACATGATACAACTCACTTTGACTCTGAAGATGACTACCGCACAGGTTGTCGAAACGTCAGTCACTGTCAACAACAACAGTCCTATTCAGGACTACGTTCACCCAAACGATCAAACTCAACCTTTTGAAATGACTCCTGGGTTCAAACCTTTCACAGACTAAACAATAATAATTTGAATCAAATGTGTCTCTTTAACCTTGACTACTAGAGTACAACTATCAAGAAGATAGATGCCAGCAGGTGATTGAGACAATGAAAAAGTGCTGTTCCAGGAATTCAGCGATTAACACTGAACTGTGCTTGGGCTTCAAAACAGAGCTTGAAGAACGAAAACTGGTGGCAGCCAACAAGAAAACTTAGAAACTTGCATTTCTATGTTTCTCTTTGTATTCAGACTATACAGATGAGCAAACCAAGGAGAAGTATAAGGACAGATTTGCCATTCAGAGTCATTGGCAGATCCAGACCTTTAGATAAGGGGTGGGGGGTGGGGGAGAAAAGGAATGGTCTCAAAAAAAATTGTTTTCAGTTTGGTCTAAACATAAGGGGGGCAGGGGGGTGGCTGGATCCACCCCTGAGAGTCATAGGATTTTCATGAATGGGTGAAATTTCATACCAACAGAGACCACCAGAGCTTAGGAATCTTGCCTTTTCTTTGAGGGTGATGCTAGGTGGGTTCGCCCTTCTCTAGGCAAGCCAACTTTACCATGTTTTGTATAAAGGAAAATATGTATGCAAAGTTGGCCAGCCCTGGGTAGCTCAGGTAGGCTGGTGACCTGTTACCTGGGACAACTTTTCTCTTTGTAAATGTGGCCTAAGTGCAAGGTGCAGATGGGTACAACTACTGATTGTCTGTAGGAATCACTTAAAGTAGTTTTTAATCTCCTTTATTATATTCTTATCATGTGCTAGTACAGTGTGCTTGTTTGATGCAATACCAGTATGAAGAAGGTATATTAAAACTAAATTGTATAAAACTACAAGCATTTAACTAATAAATTGTTGAAGAACCAAAAATATATTCTGAAGTGGTTTCAGTTTCTTGGACATTTCTTGGCAATTAAAACTTGTAATAATATTAGAATGCCACCACAAACTTTAAAATAACTTAGATCCTAGGGTGACATAAATCACAAAATTACAAAATTGCGACTGCTTGCCAAGAGAGTTTGACTGCAATGCTTGAAGAAGACTAAAAGAAAGGTTATTCTAAAATCTTGAAATTATTATGGTCATCTTAAGTAACTACTTAACTAATAAGTCACGATACAAGTGATAAAACACTATAGCAAAGCATTTTTTGGGCTGTGAGCACTTGCATCTTGGTGATAACATGTGTCACGATTGTTTAATAATAATTCCAGTGTTGTCATAAATTTATAATGCAAGGCCGAGCAGAAATCCACCAGCAAATCCTGAAGCTGCAGCCATGTTACGTCGAGCATATTTATAACCCTGTTGAAAATAAAATAATGAATAATTTATAATGCACCCAGGAAATACCAACTTTAAAGTTTCAAGTTTAAAAAAATCAAGCCGTCTTGTCTCATGAAATACTCCTTGGAGAGAAATAATAGTAATAATCAACTGAACAGAAATAGAGTAACACTTGACAGACCGTAACCTATCTTGTCAAATGAAAATTTAAAACTCTTCCTACCCTATTTGCAAGTGCAATAACTCCTTTCTCAACATCATCACTCTTTCGTATCTTTTTCACTTGTTTTCCAACTTTGTGTGTGATCTTATCCACATCTTTTTCCATTCTCTTCCAGTTTATGTTGATATAGCCTGCCCTATGAGCTACCTAAATGGCAATAACATGACAAACTGCATATTAGGAAAGTAAAATTATCAGAATTGGCTGTTTTCTCACTAGAGACAGATTATCCATCTTAAAAATCCGTCAACATTGATGGAAAATCAGATGGATGAAGTCAGGTGGATTGTTCATCCAAAATTAAGACTGTTCCTTGACTATTATCTACCTGATGTGAATTCTCCAATGGATAACTCGTTTCAGATGGATAATCATCTCTAGTATGAAAACGGCCATTATCAGACAATACAAACATTGAGAACTTATTTTTAACTTTAAAGTCCTTATACAAAAGTTGATTTAACAAACATTCTTTAGCAAAAATTTGGAGGAAAATACCATCTTTTGACAACCCACAACTGTTGTCTTTACTGAAGGTTTAAGTATTGGGCTCTCAAGTCTTTTAAATAGATAACCTTACTGATATTGTATTATTTTTAATTCCACAAATCATGGCTATAGATCTTCTGTTTTCATGTATAACAAGAAAACAATATAAATATTTTTTTTGTGTTATATGAAAATTTTACAATAAAAATTACACATAAGGAAACAGAATTATTATAATATTATTGAAACAAAGTACTAGCCTTTTGTGACTATCAGACAGTTCTGTCTTAAGACATGTTGTTTGTGCACTCTTAGTGGTGAAGCCAAAATGCATTACTTAGCTGCCCAGTGAATTGCCCACTGTGGCAAAAAGTCAAAAGAAAAGCAGTCAATCTATTCATTCAGTCGTCAGCCTTGGTTAAGGGAATGTATGTTGTGGATTTATATACCTGTAAAACAAGAATTCCTCCCCCAATCATGGACAGTGTAAGCTTGCCAACTCTTTTAAAAAGGTACCCTGCAAACCTAGAGAGAGGAAAACCAAATGAGTTGCACTTGAGTTGTCATTAATTTGTGATTAGGGTAATATGTGCAAGCTGTAATCTTCATGATGGCCAAAAATAAGAGAATTTCCTAATGGACTCTTCCTTGACAGAGAGAGTGACTATTTTATATAGTGAGGCTGGACCATCTTTAATATGTTGCCCATCATTTTTGGCAATCCCAAATATGCCCTGGGATAAATAAGCAGAATCATATATGTGGTGAGGGGTTAGGGATAGTGGTTTGACCATAAATTAACACTGTAAGCCCCAATAACTGAAACAAATTCTCAAAACCAATGTCACCTGCCAAAAGAAATAAGTGAGAAAATTTGATAAAGAATCACTGCAGTTCCCTTCAGTGATCATTTTATTAATTCTCCTAGCCTCTTCTTTGGATGATGTTAGGAGAAAATTTAAGTTGGTCATTCTTGTGAGTTAAAGGATTAAAACAACTGGGTTGTCCAATTAAAGTAAACACTCCACTGTTTGGTGTCTCACTAGTCTTAGTCTGCTACACAGCTGTTTTTAGTGTTGTCACGCAACAATCCTCCCCTGTGCGGAGAAGCGTCGTCACTGAGTTGACGCTAAAAACAGCTGCGTAGCAGACTATATCTCGCCAGCTGTCTGGTCCAAAAAAATTCTCTGTTTACAAGCTTACCATCCAGAGACTCCTCCAATGGTAAATTGCTGTACTGCGGGTCTTTCTGCTAAATCCATGCTGATGAGTTGTTCAACAAGATTTCTAGAGCCTGGGGTCTCAAGTATTTCATAAACATCTCCATCCTCTTCGTCTCCGCCTAATTATTGTTATTTATAAGAAAGCAAACAAATTATGACAGTTTAAAAATTAAGCTTCTTTACTTGTTGATCAATATTTTTGTTTTCAAAGCAGTGTGTCTGTTATTTAATAAGAAAGCTTCAAACAAGACGGTTGTTATTAAGTTGAGCTTATTAAAAAATGGGTAAAAGAAATGTTGGAAAATTCCTACATTGCACGGAAACTAAGTTTATTATTGATATTAAATGTAAGAGAAAGTTTAATATAAGCTTATTATATCAAAATATTTGTCGTCACAGCGTAGCAAAGCTAGAAATAAGAAATACATTCGAGATGAACTTCAACATGTAGATAACTACCCAATCTGTTTAAAGATAAGAATCAAGAAAAACTTACTTTGTGATGACATCTTGAGTGAAGGAACGCGATGTATTCGAAAAATATATTGCCTTTAGCTTGCCTTTAAATTCCCGTTTCCGCAATTCGTACTGTCCAGCGGAATATACAGAAAAAGATCCTATTACATGTAACTTTCATAAAGAGGCCCTTAACTTTTTTTCTGCTCACTGATAAAATATTACTTCTTAACTGAACTTACATAAGGAAAAGTTACCTTGACGAATTATTCTGCAACACAAATGTTACTGATTTAATTTTTGTCTTTATTTGTGGGTATTTTTCCAGGATCCGATTTCATTACTTTTTACATGAAGTGAATATTGCCAGTCGTGTCTTGGGTATCCATGGTTTTGGACGTTCTTGCTGTTTATTTAATATTTGTGGTAGAAAATTGACCAAATTTATCGCTTTTCACGTTTATTTCCACTACTTACTTAAAAATGGAGTAAATACGCCTTGTTGGGTGTTAAATATAGCCACAACGTGAGTAATTTTTGCACGCAAGAAAGACGATCAAAAGTTCTTTCGTCAAGCTTGGCCGCCATGAGTGAACAGCTGAAATACATCGTAGACGAACTGAATAAGGAGCCTTTCAAGAGGAATTATAATCTGATAAGGTATACATTTCACTTTTTTCATGATACTGAGAATTTCAAGGCGAATATATAACTTGTGAGCTCATACAATTTTGGAATTTATTGCCAGTGATAATAAATTACATATGTGACAAATTTATATGAAATAAATCATATATGAGAACCAAATGAAGAATGATCCCAGCAGTTGTGAACACATTTCTGCAGTTCTCATATATGATTTATTTCATATACATTTGTCACAATCATCTCTTACGGGAACGTATGAACACATAATTGACCAGCTGCCAACGTCAGTGGCTTCATAGCTAGGTAGTTGGTTAGAGCATCGCACTGGTATCGCAAGGTCATGGGTTCAAATCCCATGGAAGTCCTGAATTTTTTTCAGGCTTCATGCCTAAGTAATTGGAGGGTAGGTGCCATCACATGCACGCTTAAATGGCTTTTTTTTTTCACTGCTCGGCAAAAAAAATTCTTGGAATTTCTTGTGTTTTGATTTTAAAAACCTAAAATATCACAAATTTTGTTGTAGTTATGATTAATTGGTAGCAGATCTTCTTGTCATCCAATTTGGTCTGTAATCATACTCGTGATTAATCAAATCGGAGTCCCACTACGCGGTCGTCTGATTTTGTTTATCACTCATATCATTACAGACCGAACTGGACTCTGTTCCGTTACCATTATTTAATTTGATGATAGATGAAATTTTTCTTTCAGTTTTGATTCTCTTCAACCACTGCAGTTACTGCAAGTACTAAATGATGTGTTTGCAGAGATTAATCCTCAGGTAATGTAATATTGAGGTAACAAAAGCAAAAAAAGTTCATATGATAACAAAACATAATGTGCTTCCCATCTGACACCATACCAGTAACAGACGCTAGGAATTTGGTGGTCAATGTAATTTTAATATTATTGTATTCATATTTTATTTTGTAGCACAAAATAGATCTTCGTGATGAAGACCCTGAACAAATGGCAAAGAGAATGTTTACATTCTTGAGAATTCTTAAATTCAAGCCAAAAACAGAAGCAGGGAGTCTGTAAGTAATATCTAGATCTTGTTATCCATAACAGTCAAAACAGTGAAACTACGAACACTAAACCCCAAATTTTTCAGGAGTGTTTATTGTGTTATGACCAGTAACAACAAAGATCAGGACAGGTGATCTAGCTACAAACATGTAAATGTTCTTGCTTGGGGTTTAGTTTCTCACACCCAATTGGCTTTATTCTTGCAACCCAATAATGATTACATTCCAGAAATATTTCTGCTGTTCACGGTTTTCCCAGTTTGACTGTAAGAACTCAACAATTCTAACTCCTTTTAACTCTTTGAACCATTCTGTCAGGCAAAATAAATTTCTCTCTTTTTTTTATCATTCTTTTTAGGAGTGCCTTCCGTAATGGGCTCATCCAAGGTGACAAGCTGGTTGTGTATCCCATTTTACAATGGCTGTTTGAAAACCTGGCAGAATTAAAGAAAAGAGCTTACCTGGCAAGATACCTTGTTAAACTTGATGTGCCTCCAGACCAGCTGGCTGATCAGGAACTTTATGAGCTTCATGAAAATGTAAGTATAACCTTTAATAGATTAACCGTGGCAGGATTAGCTCAGTTGTTAGGGCGCTTGACAGCAGAGCAGGAGGTCGCGGGTTCGATTCCCGGGGGTTGGACCAATACTCAAGGTCTTGAAATAACTGCGAAATGAAGGTACTTCCTTTGCACTGCAAGCGGCTAGACCTTCGCGTGGCTCGGATGACCACATAAAATGGCAGTCCCGTCTCCAGTTGGAGATGTAAAAATATTGTCCCCATTTAGTACTTTCTTGCTAAATACTTTCACACTCAAGTAAAGTGCAGTTTATTCATTCTCAGAGACCCAGGGCAGCTGGTCCTGCAGATAACTTTTTCCTGGGTGAAAGATAACTTTGTAGTCCCAACTAGCTGACCCTGTGAATTTGAGGTGATAGATGGTTATCCTCACACATGTTGAAATATGAATTTTTGCCAAGGTTATTATGTTTCCTGGGGTTTAAGTCACTTGTACATGTATTGATAATGCGTTTGATTATTTCTAATTAGTATTTAGAAATGATGGAACAATTTAAAGAGTTGCACAAGACAGTGGAACAACTAAGGACATCTGGATTATCAACAGGAGAAATGAAAAAGGTTAGGCGATCATTTTAGCACCTGTTATTCTAATTTTGCGCATATTGCAGAAGGTTGGTTGAGGAAATGGCTCTGGTACCACAATTTAATTCAAAGATATCAGGTTAAAGTTCACTTCTGATGATGCACCTGTAAGTTTCAACCCCTCTTAAAATCATTACACTTTTATTTTGTCATACTTTGAACTTTAAAATTAATTTATGTATTTTTTTAAATTTTGCACAGGATATAGTGAATATGGAGGATGAAAAGGAGCAACTTCACAAGAGAATTGACAGGATGCAGAAAAAGGTATGGCACAGTTTACATCTATGGTAAAACGCCATGGCATCTTTGCAAAGATTTAAAATGGAAGTCATTATAACTTTATTTTCTGTTAAAACTTTTTAAGGTCGAAAATGTGAGGAACTACGAAAAGATGTTACAAGCAGCTCGGACTTTGCGGGTTGAAAGAGAGAAAGAACACACTCTTGCTCAGCAAAAACTGGAACAGAAAAACCAGGTTAGTTTTTCCAAAAATATCATTCATTTTGAACTGCGACAGCTTGGGAATTTTCGTTACTTTCCAGCTGAAAACTTTCTGATCAAGGAATATCATTGTTCTTTGATTGTAGTTTGTCCACTCAGAACAGCGTTATCAACGCATGCAGCAACAATTGAAGGATCTGAGAGCACAGGGCGTCGGCACAACTGGAGCAGGTACAGTAGACTCTCTCTTAATGGATAATACTTAGAGTTGTTCCCCGCCTCTGTTTACTCCCCGATGGACATCACTTATACTTTGACACTTCGTGCTGCTCCCAAAGTTGTCCATCTTAGAGAGAGATGACTATATCTTTTTTATTATTTTGATATGACCTGAAGTGTTCACAGTTTGCTGATCCAATTCAAGATCTGAGCCTCAATATTTTATACCTGCACAAATTTCTTTAGCCGGGTATTTATTCAAATTCTGGGCTGTTATGTTGTTTTAGGCCAATAAAAAGTGAATAAACTAATTTGCCCTGATTGATTTTTAAAATCTGCCAAATGGCAACTCCTAGTTTGGGCAAAATGTACTCTACTTTGCATCTAAGAAGAGCTTGATGTTGAATATTTCCATGAAGTTAACTGATGACTATTCTGTTGATGACAAATAAAGAGACAATTTAGATGGTGTTTTTACTTACAGATCTTATAAAGAGGCTGGAAGAGGAAAACAAGGTTAACATGTATCTTTGTCAAGAAAAACTGCCAAAGGTATGATGTTTCAGCTTCTACCTACATTAAAAACAGTCGTTGCCAACAAGTGGCCTCGCGAAGACTCGAGGCTGTGAGGCGATAGCATTATAAAGCCATATGTGAAACTTCCATGGCAGAATGAATCTTGAAGCAATGTACCATGAGTGCTCATACATTTGTTGTTTGAATTAAAAGGAACTGGAAGGCAAAAAGAAGTATGCACAAGATTTGCAGAAGGTTGCAGATGAACCAGCCATGGGACAGAATGACATTGATGAACTCAACAAACGAGTAAGACAGATATATTTTTACTTCAAAGATAAAATTCTTTTCGGGAAAACCACATTAATTTTGTCCATTACAGTAACAGTTAAGATTTGTTTTGTAACTCAAAAAACTCCACATAACTCTGGTGATACCCTTAGATTCATTAGCATTGTAGCATTGTACTAAGGGAAGAAGTGGCAAAACTTCTACCTCAGCTTGCAGCTAGCATCTGAGTTTTTTCTCTGTTATTAAAGGCAAATGAAAGGTATAAGAGAACAGGGCAACTTTCTGCTAAAGTGCATATTAAATATTTGATCAGTAAAGTTAGATCTTGAATTAATTGTATATAACTCGGGGTTTATGGCTCTGAGGACTTTAAATTTGGTTGGCCCAAAAACTGAAAGAATAAGACAGAAAAATGTGTTGAAAAGACGGCTGTCTCTTGGAAATTGTAATCAAGGAACGTTAGTTACTGTTTGTTTAAATTGCAGATCAAGCAGCTGTCTGCAGAGATCAACTCACTGATTGAAAAAAGGATGGTGAGGAATGACCCCATTGATGACAAGCTGTCCCTTTTCAGACAACAAGTAAGTGACTTTTTGACCTTTCTTTCATAAGTTAAGTTAATTTCTAAGAGTAAAAAGAATATTTAATTCAATAAATAGTGGTGGTAGTGAAGTTTTGAGTCAATTAAGATGTCAAAGGCATCAGAGATTGCCAAGGTAGATGGCAGGTTAACGATTGAAGCCCCATTATCCACATACAAATTCTCCAAACTGATCTCTATACATTCCCTCAAAGAATTAGTTGAGAGAATTTGAGAAAAGATCAAAGCATTTTTCTCGGATGATCATTTTATTAATTCTCATAACCTTATCTCTTGACAATCTATGGATATTGTCGGGACAAAATTGATGTTGGTCGCTATTGGCACCATAAAGGCTTAAGAGTATTTTCAAAATTATTTGGAATGAAGAGCAAAATAGTGAAGACAGTTGTGGCTTAAGTTCAAATAAACAACTGTACACTAGCTTGGCAGGCGTATCCTAGAACCACTGATGAATAAAGAGACTAAGTAATCATTTTTACATGTCACCGAATGAATGTAGTCCTTCAGTCTTTCATGAATCAATGTCCATCCTCAGAGGGAAGGACCTTCCATCTTTTGAGCAGTTGTATCCGTGTTTCCATCTTATTGTCTTTCTATTTCTCTTATTCCAAAGGCTTCAATAATAGCGCGCAAGAAAGAAGCCGCTGCAGAGAAACTTCAAGAGGCGATGGATGAGGTAGCTGACCGTTATTTCATGAAATAAAAGTGATTTATTTTGTAATTAATGCAATGATTGATCGAGGGTTTTTGGGCTTGTTAATTTCACGCCACAAGACGCCTCAAGACGGAGATGGATATATAAGGGGGTGGAACTGAAGTGGGGATGTTTAGTTGTACAATCGTTCTGTGAAACGTCATTGGAAATTCGTTCAGGATGGGGAGAGCTCTTTGGCTAAAATTTTTAAAAGAGAGTCTGAAGCTAACTGCCGTTTTGCAGGGGTTAGGGGCTGAGGGAAGGTTGAATGTTGTGGGAGCATAAACTTCTTTTGGAAGGGACCGTAAGTAACAACAACGGCGACGGGAGGGAAAACGTTACATGTACTTTCCAAGTGAAACTTTGCTGAGATTACGCCACTCAATTTGTCAAATATAGCCTTGGCGAATTCCCCTACAAGGTTCTAAAAGAGAACGAAGAATTCGCTGTCGTGTGGTTTTCCTCCTCTATCAGGACCATAAAACGTCGTACTGTTTTGTTTCGTATTTTTAATTTCGCGTTGCAATAACCGTAGTTCTTATTTTTATCGAGAGGTTTAAACTATTTGTTTGTGTGTAACTTCAAGGTTTCCAGTGCGGAGGCTGACTACCAGAAAAAGAAGGAACTGCTTAAGGAAAGTGAAGGATCCGAGGTGTTAAAAGGAGACGAGGTATGTTTCAATAGCAGAAGCAATCTCCGAATATTAGAGACCTTTAGATTCTAAGACGAAAACGAATACGAGTACGAGATTTTCTCAATAGTAAGTAGCTCTCGCGCGTGAGGCAGCGTCATTTTGGCGGGAAAACGTGATAGCTGTCGTCATTCTACTACGACGGAGTTTTAGCGAGAGTGTCGTAGTGACGGGAACAAGTTATAAAATGTTAGTAGTTTAAGCATTTTGCAATCGGGAGAGTTCTTAACCTCCTTCAATAACGATAACAGTGCTAACATCTCTGGTGAAAAAAAGGGCAATTAAGAACTCCGGGGTGTCTATTTTTTGACAATACGTTAAATCAAATCTCGTACTCGTAGTCGTTGTACTCCTCGAATCTATTAAAGGTCTCTATTAACCTTTATATTTTGCACTAAAACCTTTCACAAATACTATTATGGTCTCTTCCCAATTGCAGTTCAAGAGGTACGTGAATAAGCTGAGAGGAAAAAGTACTGTGTATAAAAAGAAACGACAAGAGGTAGGTAAATCAACTTGTTGTAAACCAAGAAGGGTATAATTATTTTCAGCATGTCTAAAGCATGAAATTTGACAGACGTACGCGAGCATGGAGTTTTTACTTATCCGAGTTTTTCATTTTCATAAGTCGCACCTTTGCGATGATCTTCTTTGCATTTATTTCTTCATTCCGCGGTCCCAATATATTCATCTGGTCATTTCCTCTTCATCTTTGCCGTGTATATTACGAACCAATTTAATGACCAGTTCCCAGTTGGCATAATAGCTCCGCTGCACTGGTATCGCAGAGGTCTAGGTTCATATCCCGACAAGGCTGAATTGTTTCAGGCTTTCTTTACGCAACTGCATAAGTTACGTTTTTAACACCCTGTGAGCACAGACGGTCCAAACTCACGTTACGAGGAAAAAAAGACGCGTGACCTTTGTGCTGGACGCGCCGGTGTCGCGTTACAGGCGACCTTTGAAAATAAGAGACTTTGTATGAGAAATAATATACTGAGATCTGCAAACGCTAAATAACGTTAAATCTCCTTCAATGAAATGAATAGAAAAGACGTAGCTGCGATGTTTTGGTTTACGGCGCGTCCAGCACAAAGGTCACGCGTCACCTTCCCTCGTAACGTGTGTCAGGGCCGCCTGTGCTGCGAGCGTAGCCTCCTTTTGCCTTTTTCTTGATAGAGGTGAGCGCGCCAAATTTGAGGAAGCAAAAGAAACGCTCTGCTAGCAAGGCGCGTTTTTAACTGGAGTGTTCTCCTTTGCACATATTTTTAAAGTTCTATTTGTCTTTTCTGTTTTTAGTTGGCGGAGCTTCGTGCGGAGTATGGTGTTCTTGCCAGGACAGAAGAAATCCTTAAAGCGAAGGACGACACCTTCCAGCAACAGATGGTAATGATTTAACCTTTTTACTGCAAAATTTAACTTTTAAGAGAGGTCTAATTTTTTGAAAAGGATGAATAATTTCATTTCATTGCTGCCATGAACGCTCACTATTTCATCAATGCCGACAATCTGTTGTTGAGTATGAAGTCCCTACTCACATGTAACCTGCGTGACAGGTGTTAAAAGGGGAAGGGGAAGGAGGAATTTGGGCGCGCGAGAGCGCGTGGGGCACTCCCCTCCTCCCTCCTCCCTCGCGCGTCGTCTCGAGCCCTAATTCCCTTCCCCTTCCCTTTCGAACGCCTGCCACGCAGGTTAACTCATATGGTGCTCTGTATTGTTCCTTTATAGGCGAACTTGGAGGCCAAAAAGGGCGTGTCAGGTTTCCATGAGACACAAGAACAACTGGAAAATGTGTCTACCAAGAAAAGTGAACTGGATGAACAGAAGGGGAAAACACTGGAGGATATCTCTGAACTGGTAGGGAGGAGATGGATGGTTTCTTATGTACAACAATTGGTTCATACGCAGGGGAGTGGACTAAAGAATTCAAACTCACAGGTTTTTCATCATGATGGGAAGGGGTTCCACGGTACCATTTTTGGCAAATGCCACAAGTGTAAATAATACAGGGTTGGTTCAGGTGTTGTTTTTTTTATGTTATTTACTAGTAAGTGGTCATTTTTTTCTTCAGGTTCGCCAGTTAAATGCCACAATTTCCGATAAGAAGAGCTCTTTGGCTCCAATCATCAAGGAACTGAGGCCTATGAGACAAAAATGCCAGGTACTCAGTTCTCGCTTTTCTTCCTTCGTTTCCCTTGTATGTCCGATGTTCATGTTACATATCATTGCGTTTTAATTTGTTTTTTAACATTTGTCGTTAATTCTCTTTGTTACAATCAACTGTTGTAATTTCTAAAAGGAAATGAGTGGAGAGTACGAAGAAAAGAAAGCTGCGTACGAGAATTTAGCTGCAGGACTCGAGAGCAACATGTCAAAATTAGAACAGGTACGAAAACTTTGCAAGAATTTCTTTAAATGACAAAATTCAGTAACTCTTATTGAAATGATCACACTCTAGATTTTCGTCCACAAACTCAAAAGTAAATAATAATGATGACGATGATGATAATGAATGCTTCATTTATCTTGCAAAAAAATAAATCAGCTGAGTTTAAAAAAGAAACAGCTGGTATAAACCTATGCGCGGTAATAAAATATTTCAAGATGAGAACGATAGAACAACTCAAATCACACCTCTCATCATTTGACTTTCATTGAAAGGATTGTCTTGCTTAATAACATTCGGCGTTTTTGTTTTTAGGAAGTACGCGTACTTCGTGAAGAAATAACACATGAAGAAGGCCGCTACCATTATTTACACTGCATGTTAAAGGTAAGACAAACCCGCTCGTTTGAGACGTTTTTGATATTGTTTAACTAATTTGATAAACTTGCATTAGGCCGAAATTGCACGCTGTTGTGTTAATTTATTTTTATTTTCCCCATCATTCAGGTACTTGAAGTACAACAGAAGCGAATTGATGATGAACTGAAGGCTTACCGTTCCGCGGATACTGCAGATCGTAAAAAGTCCTTCAGGTACTCAGATAGATGACTGTTTTATGTTAAACAAGTCCCAGCCCCCCTCCTCCCCTTTCCATTTACTAAGGCCCTGTTTACATGGAGGTGCAGGATCCCAGGTAGATGAGGGGTAACCTGCTGCGAGTCACCCCACCTATCATGTAAACGTGGTTGAATTAAAATTAGAGATTATAAGGAAAGGCGGGTTACCCCACCTACCTGCTGGCCCCCACCTCCATGTAAACAAGCCCTAAAACTGAATACGACCTACGTTGCGCAGCGATTGTCAAGCGTGACCCTTTGCTTAAAAAAAGAAAATGTTTATACTGGGTTTTAGCGCTTTAGTTTGATTTCGAGGACTTAACCAAGTATCGCAATAGGTTTTTCGGGATGCAGGATTTGACTTATTCAAAGACCGGGATTTAGGAAAGTATAAGTATGTTTGGGTTGAGGGATGCCGAAATTAACCGTCGGGATTACAGGATTAGAAGGTCGGGTTGATGGGATTGAAGACCCCCGTGAAATTTATAACCTTTCCTAAACATTGTGGTTTCTTTTAGGGAGCAGTTTACTAAAAAGATTCAAGAACAAGAAAATTTGGGAAAGGTATGAAAGACAACAAAGCATCACTGAACCTCGTTACCCTGTTCAAGCTCTTAGATTAAGCTTTACTTTTTGATTCCTTCAGAGTCTGCGCGATAAACAAAAATCTGTACGAGAAAACCAAGCACCTAACATGAAACAAATGAAGATGTGGAGCGTAAGTAAAAACCCGGTCAAAATCTTAGTTCAACAACTAGAACTGTTTTGATTATCAAAACACGGAAGCGTTAGTGTATTATTAATGTAGCATTACTAGGGGTAATGGTGGTATATACATGTATATGAAGTATGCGTGTAGATAGTTAACGTATAATGTGTGTGTAAAATGTATGTATTATGTATGCAATATGTATGTAGCATGTATGTAATTTGTATGTGAAATGTATGTAGTATATATGCAGTATGTATGTAACATGTATGTAAAATGTATGTAGTATGTATGCAGTATGTAACATGTATGTAATTTGTATGGAAGATGTATGTAGTATATATGCAGTATGTATGTAACATGTATGTAAAATGTATGTAGTATGTATGCAGTATGTAACATGTATGTAATTTGTATGTGAAATGTATGTAGTATATATGCAGTATGTATGTAACATGTATGTAAAATGTATGTAGTATGTATGCAGTATGTAACATGTATGTAATTTGTATGTGAAATGTTGTAGTATGTATGCAATATGTATGTAGCATGTATGTAATTTGTATGTGAAATGTATGTAGTATGTATGCAATATGTATGTAGCATGTATGTAATTTGTATGTAAAATGTATGTAGTATGTATGCAATATGTATGTAGCATGTATGTAATTTGTATGTAAAATGTATGTAGTATGTATGCAATATGTATGTAACATTTATGTAATTTGTATGTGAAATGTATGCAGTATGTATGCAATATGTATCAAGATGTATGTTATTGTATGAAAATGTATGTAGTACGTATGCAATATGTATGTAATTTGTATGTAAAATGTTTGTAGTACGTGTGCAATATGTTTGCAGCATGTATGTAATTTTTTATGTAAAATGTTTGTAGTACGTGTGCAATATGTATGTAGCATGTATCTAATTTGTATGTGTAATGTATGTATGCGCTGGGAAAAGCATATGATGTATCCATGCGAGTGTCTGGGTACTGCGATGAGGTCGAGTTATTATGCGGTAGCAAGAGAGAATGATCGTAGCTCATTCACTCTTGGCGGTAATGAGGGGTTTCAGCTCTGTAGCAGTCACCTAAACTGTTCTAAAATAATTTCTTACTCTTTCAATCCAGGATCTTGCAAAATTGTTAGAGTGCAAGAGAACCTGTATGTTGAAGCAAGAGCAAGACAACCAGAGTGGGGCGGCTACCCTGACACATCAGGGGCAAGATGGAGAAAATTTGTTGGTGCTTTGAGAAGAAGACATCTCAGTCAATATTTATTCAACAAGATAAACCATTCATGTGTAAAGTGTTCACAGCGCAATTTCCCCGGTATCAAGCATATAATTGTTAAGTTTCTGAGACTGTTTAACTTATCTTACCATGTAGTTTCGTTGTGTGAAATAAAACTTCAAAGCATAAAAATCATTTTCGAAGGTGGTCTTTCTTCGTGTGATTTGGATTGATCGCGGCGAAGTTTAGAAAAGCGCTAATCCGTGTCATAAGTGACGTTTTTAGTACCCTATCTGTCGTCGTAGCTAAATCTTGGTAATAATAAAACTTTCTCGTGTCCTTCAAAAGTTGGTGTCATTACAGTGTGATATCACGGGGGTGGGGAGGTGGGGATGAGTGCTTTCACTATAAAATCAAAACTGGTCAATCTTGACCAGATAACAAACTAACTTGATAGCTTTATTAAATCTCTCTTATTTATGTCTTAACGAAACAAAACTTTTAATGTGACGAAAGTACCATAGAAATTTTCCGACTTGCTGCGCTTGAGAGTGTCGCTGGTTAAATCTTCGGCAGGATTCGTACAACTTCGGACTGCCGTCGCCTCACATAGGTCGAGCGTAGTCTTAGATAATGTTGTCTATCGCACTGACTTTAGAGCCTGTCGTTCAGTTTCGTTATCTCTCTTGAACAAAGACAGTTTCTTGAGGGAACAGTCCCGCAGACTTAAGGGTCGTCGCAAAGTCCAAGGAAGTTAATTTTCTTCTTGGAAAGTTCGTGACAAGTTCATATCGTTCATTAGGATAACCTTCCTTTTGTACCATTAAAACAAGATCCTAGAAAAAAATAATAAATTAGAAATGAGCGAACTGAATGCTTCAGATGGGAGATGAATAAAAAACAAAGGAAACTCAACTTTATATAATAACACAAAACTAAATTTAAAAGCCCTTGTAAATGGTTTGTACTGTGTTCTATTGTCTGGCGGGAATATTTAGTCAAAGCTAAATAACATCTTCCTTTTCAAACGTTTTTGATCGAGGATGAAGGACCGGCTACTAAACCAACATGACAAACCCAACATGAGATGTTAATATTTTTCCTTTATAGGCGGAAAAAGTCGGAAGATTTGTTCCCCAACATTTGCAAACTTTCGCTCCCGTCCGAAAAAAAAAAACCGAACGCAACGTACTTTGTATCGAAAAACGTTTTTAGTCCTTCCGAGGACGAGGGGTGTTCAGTCTGGGTTTCCCTATGTTCTGTAAAAGTTTTGGTAAGCGCGCGCGAGATCGCGCCGCCGCTAGCTTACACCGTACTTACCTTTAAAGACGCCTCGGCGCTCAGCGAGAGATGAGTCCGGGATCCATTAGGAAATCGAACCATAATACTGCACATGGGTCCTGCTAGGAAACAAAGTGCGCACGTTACAGCGTCAAATCACTGAACTCTATGGCGCGAGTATAAAAGCGGATTTTCAAAAGCGAGTTTTGCGGTGGACGTTTATTAGACACGTGGTCAGTGCGTTATACAACGCAAGACGTTTTCAGAAATTTCTAAATGCCACGGACCATTTAGATAAACATTTAAGAGTGAAAAATAACTTCGGCTATTTGAAGGTTGCGCGTGAGTCTGTTTCGGTGTTGCGTTGAATTGCATTATGTGACTGTGCTTCTTTCTTTTTTCGAGGGACGCGGCTGTTAGCTGATTCTGCTTGTTTTCTTTACGTTTAACGAGGCTGCTGAGGAAACAGTACAAGATGTGCGCTCCAAAACGTTCCGATAATAAATGACACACGTGAAATTGGCTCAGTAATAGAGAATTTACTCACCAGCCTGTTGTTGCGTTCTTTGGTTGTTTGAATCTGATTTATCCTCCTTTTTAGGATCATCTTCATTAACTTGTACCTCATTTCTTTCTGCCGTGTTGTTACTTATCTTTGGGGAATCTCCTTTACTAATTTCAACCTTTGTATTACTGTTCGAAAGTTCAGTTTGTGGCGATTTGATTTCTTTGTCACTAACTTCCTTCTCAGAAGCCTCATCAAAATTTATTCCTCTTTTTACTTCTTTTTTAACATTCGAGGTCACGCTTGTTTTGGCGACTTTCTTTTGCGGCGATAAGTCAGAATCCGATCCACTAAATTCCAAATCTTCATAATCGTCATCATCATCATCACTGCTCGACTCAGTTTCGTTTTTAGACGTAGTACAAGCTAACGACGCCGCGATTGCTGCACGAAGCTGTGAATCTTCAGAAGCATCTACAATTGATTCCTGGGAAGAAAAAACAAAGCAAACAGTTGAAGGACCACTTGGCAATATTTTTTCTCTCTGGGTAGTCGTCTTTTTTGATAAGTTAGGGTCATATTTTCCTTCGGTGCGAACTTGGCCAAACAGTTTCGTGTAACATTTCTTCTAATACGCGTCTTGTACGATAACGACGAAGATACCACGGATAACGTGTAGAATGAAAATCTCGTTGATTCTCAACTACTTCACTTGAACAATGCCCCGGAACAATGCTATAAATTTGAAAGGGTTCGGTTTAATCAATCAAAACCCCTTCCCCCTCTCTCCCCCTAAAAAAAAGAAATGACAGCTCTTTCAGCCAATATACAAGTCAACCTAACCAAACAGTCACCAAGCCAATTTTCCTGACCTTTCCATTTTGCATCACTCATTTTCTGCCCATTTTTCTGGAACAATTTGTTGAAAGGGATGTTACCTGTGAACCAACAAGTCTCACTAACCACGTTTGGCCAATTTCGACAACAGAAACAATTTTACACTGCTTTTGACGTCCCCTCCCCTAGAAAAGTTAAACAATGAAAAGTATTCCTAAAGCAACTCACACTTCGTCTTTTCTTTGCTGGCGGAGTCTCTCCTTCTAGTGACGGATGCTCCAAGAGGAATGCAGCAGCTGGTACGGAAATACAAATGGAAATTGGAAAAGGAATAAACTTACTCTCAAAAAAACCTGCACAATAAACGTTACTCAATAATACGTTCTAAACTTCATTCAAGGATGCTGCAAACGATTTAAAATTTCCAAGAAAAAACACTAAAAGTTCTTTGAAGTTTTTAAGGCACCCACCACAGTCACAGAATGCTTGAGCATCCATGAAACCCCATTCAACCATTTTCTCTCCTGAAATAAAAAAAATAAAATAAACAATATTTGAGAAACAAGTAGCATCAGGCTACACATTCAAAGAAGGCAGTGAGATTTGGCTGATAATTTAAGGAAGTAAATCAACATGGTTGCGAGTCACACAAATTTATGAGTGACCGACTGTACAAAACTCCTTCATTACACACACGCACACTAATTCAATCGTTGAACTTGAATATTAAAAAATTAAGGAAATTCACTCAAGTTTATTTACCAGTTCTAGGGTCAAGTACTGCTAAATATGGATATGAATTCACATGATAAAACTGGATAAACCTCTCTCCTTCATTGCTGTCTCTGTACACCTGCAATAAATAAACATATATTTTCATTTATGTGAGATGTAATATATCAAGCGTAAGATGAAGTGTTTCATCTGTGAGAAGAGAGATGAAAACATGACACGCAGCAGAGTATTTTTGACAAACTTAGAGGTGTTTCATCTGGTGATGAAACACTATGTTGAATACTTGATATTACTTCTCCTACAAAATGATTTTAGAAGGAAAAATTAAGGATGCAAAAATGAGCAGTTTTTCATCTGATTTCCAAACATTCATTAAACATTAATTTCCTATGTAGGGGAAATAATTACAGTTGAGGCAGGTCAAGCGTACCCACTAAGATTCTATTAATGAATTGATTACTTGAAAAATGAATCCGTTAGTCGTTCCGGTAACTAGTGTTAAATTCAAATCGGCATTCCTGCATGTGTACTGAGCAGTGAATATTTTACGAGAGCTTCTCTGTATTGGGTCAGATTGAAAATCTTTAAATGGGTTAAATTTCATAGAAGACATTTACGTTAAATTCAGGGAAACTTAGCTGGTAGAAATTTCGTAACTGAATCGCGTGTGAATTCACAGCTCATTACGCATGCAAGAATGCAGGCATGAATCTGAAATCTACAACTACCAATGGATTCAACTTTCGAATAATAAATTCATTAATGTAATCTTGGGGGGTATGCTTGACTTGGGTTGACTGTAAATTTATAATTTTTATTAATTCGCTTGAGAATTAGAGCTCAAAAGCTTGCTTTGTTATCTTAAAATAAGAAGGAATAACTGCCAAAACTGGAGGGGAAAAAAACAACTATAAAGTAGAGGGAATAATCTACCGGTAAATAAAATAAGCTCCAGGTGGAATGGAATTTGATCTCATGTGATGGGTTTTTCAGGTTCATTGACCAAAAAAAAAAACATAGTAATAAAAATATCTGCAGTGACTTTGTTTGCTAAAGAAAGAAACAAAGAATCAAAGATTTTACTGAGACAACAGGCCCCAGACTTTATAATGTGAAACATTCATGCTTTTAAGAAAAATTCAAATATGTACACCTTTCCACCAAAAAATACTACAAAAAGGTATCCCACCTGCCAGAGAACAAAATTCTCTTTGATAACATTTCGAACTGCTTCATTGCTCCACACATCTCTGTTTAATTGTTGGCATGGAAACTCTTGCACATCTTGGACATTTACCAAAAGCCATTTGCTGTGTTCTTGACCATCAATCTTAGCCTAAGAAAATAGAACAAAATGTTGTACAACTGGATTGGTCTATAAAATGCCTTTCTGATTTTGATAATACCTTCACTGATTGATCTGGTGAATAGCTTCTCAAAACTCAAAAGACCAAAAATGGTCAATAAAGAACTAGCAAAAAGTTGCTTTGAAAGAGTTTTAGAGACCACAACAGTATCCAACTCTTGTTCACCTTCGTCTTTATCTTAATTTTTCCTTGTAATCAATTTTCAATACTGTTAGAGCCTGTTGAAAAGTAACAATAACAATATTAAAGAGGTATTGAAAATTGATCACAAAGAAAAAAATATGTACTAAACATTAACTGGAAACTTACAGTGTCAAATGTTCCTTTATGAAGAAGGTCAATTGGTGGTCGAAATAAGTCATGCAATGTCTTTTTCTTTCCTCTGGAAATAGATGGGTTGCTTCCAGCTTCTTGTTGTCCTAATTAAGAAAGTTTTCAGATATGATAAAACACAAAATCCTCAAAAAAATGTATTTAGAAAAATATTTCCAAGAGAGATTTTCACAGAAAGGACATTGAGGGATAGCTCAAAACAGTTTTTTTTTGCCAAGAGGTAGGGAAATACCATTAAGGATTTGTATTGTAAACTAAAATGCTTTTCCTGAAATATTAACTTTGCACTTCTTGAATCTGCCAGATATTTTGGGAAGTGCACAGTTGTCAGCCATCCTTGGTACCGCTTATATCTTGTAGAAAGTGTTATGTCTCTAAGCTGCTGGATTGATGCTGAGAAATGGTTGAGAATTGCCAAAAAAAGAACTGGAAAGGATCACACAATAATAATAAATAGTTATGGTTTATTAGAAAATCCAAATATATATTTGATCTCCTATGCTAAGTTGATCACATACTAGGAAACAATAATGACTAATATGCAAAATATAATGAAATACTCTACAAAAAGGAACTACAAGTATGTGCCTTTTCAACAAGCATTTCCTTGGATTCAATGAACATGTCTGGTGCCCCATCTCCACAGGGCCCCCACCTCACTGTCTATCTTTTTCCTGCACTTACTTGCTTCTGCTTGGAAATCTCGAAAAGCATCAAACACTGATTTTGCTTGACGTCTTCTTGTTGGATATGCTGAAAATAAAAAACTCGTCAAAACATTCAAACGTAGTTCCTTACGCACTATATTTTAGCAAAAATGAAACTTTCTATAAAAATATAAACATTAGTAGATCACGTATATAGTATTTTTTAAAAAATCATTTTCGCTCATTTCTACTGCAAATCACTGCTCATCATATCTTTTTTTTAATTAAAAAAAAGGCCTGATTAAAAACTTCGAGCTTTCATGTTAATTTGTTTTTGCTTAAAATTACTCATTTTTTTCTTTATAAGTACAGTAAACCTGCCAATCCTTAGAGTGCCAGAATTGTTCGTGGGGGACCTGCTCATACCTGAAGTTTCTGAAGGAATTCCAAAGCGTTCCAACATTCTCAAGAAACTGATTGTACCCCAGGAACTTTTTCTCTTTGACACTGGTTCTAATTTATATAATTTATTTGACTGATATATTATTTTCTTAAAAGTGTGTCAGTCAAGGCTACGTTGGCTCAAATTCTTCCACTGAGCATAAGTTAGGTGTCAAAATGTCAAGCTTTCCATCCACAACAGTGAGAGTTGGTTTGTACTGAATGTCAAAGGGAATCAGCAATGTTTTACTTGATTGAGCACAATATTAAAAATATTATTGATTAAAATTAACAGGCTATAAATTCCTGATTTCCTGTTTAGAAAAGATTTAATCTTTCACTTATTATTTGTATTAAAAATAAACCAGAGCTAAAAATATAAAACACACCTTGATAAGGTTCCACTAGAATGCCTCGAGTCTGAGGAATAGGTGCTCTCACATCACCATCATCAGTACCACTTGAAAATTGAAACAAACAAAACTGAATGAAATTAAAATTTTGAAAATATGAGCTTATTTGGTGAAATGAACATCGTTCATTTAAAAACTAAATTTTTCCAGGATTTGGTTGGACGAAATTTAACAGCAAATTGTGCGATAGGAGATGGTTGTAAAATTAAAGTGAGCAATCTACCTTAGCTCAATACAGGTTCTGGTAATTTAATTGCCCACAGGCTTTAACTGATAAATCGATTCAGACACCAAGACAGGATAGGGACATTGTCAATTGCATCAATCGTTTTCACTTTCTCTCTATAAACACATCTGCCTATTTCAGGCACATTTGGTATCGCAAGATATTAATTAAGGCCCAGTAAATGATAAATTACCACGTTAAATGAAAAATAAAGAATCTAACACACAACTTACCGACTAGGAAATCCAGCTGCAGTTGACTCGTGTGCCGAACAATTCGAACTTGTGGCCTGCGATTGGGGATCCTCGCAAGAATCTAAATGCATTTCCACTGCCATTTCTAAGTTTCCATTACAAGCTTCCAGCAAAGACTTTGCGATCGCTTTTGTGGCGCCCGTAACACTTACAAATTGATCTACAAGACTTGCAGGTATTTTCGATCTCGCCGCCATTTTGAAAACCACAGATGGCGAGCGCGGGAAATTAGCACAACCGGGGAGGGGTAAAGTCACGAACCTCTCTTGACGGATGTTGAGATGTAGTTCTTTCCAGAAAGAGCAAAAATCATTCAAGATGTCTAATTAAGAACATTAGAAACCTCTCTACCATATGTAAAGAGTTCTAAAAGAAATTTCGTATTTTTACGTAACAATAATTAATATAGACTAAACTGACCCCTACTCGGACGGGATATGGTACATTTCATAGGCGGAAGAGATCTGGGGAGAGTTGTTTGGCGTCCTTGCCGTGAGTCACGGTTTGCTTAGAGCTTGGTACATTCTTTCTTGTAGAAAAAATCACCGTGACAGACTTTGTTTTTGGGCAATCTCGAGTTCATCGGACCGAAGTTTAGTGAAGATGTGAACCTTTTGGTCTTTATCTTGCTGAGATCAGTGTTTGTTGTCATAATATGCTTTACTATGGTCAGCTCGCGGGGAATTTGAAAATATGCCATCCTCGTTTCCTCTCGATTGCCGACAGTGATGTTGTTTGTGAGTAATTTATCCATTCCTTGCCACACCGATGAACTACTACACAAAGAAGATTATCTGAATTCTCCCCTAACATGAGTAACGGTAAGTTTTTGTTTTTTCGTCTGAGTAAATTAAGCTTGTATGACTTCGAGCCAATTCCGCTGTGTAAAAAAGGGAGCGTTAAACTTGCAGTGGTTCGTAATGAGAGCTAACAAGCTCATTGTCAAGTCTATAAAACAAATTAAATTGACCTTTGAAAAGGCCATCGCTTTATGTTTCATGAACGGTTTGGAGGCGTGTTCCACAGGGTATAAGTTATGTGAAAACAGTTATCAAATTGATATTGAAGAAATAACATAAGATTAAAACATGTTTCTTGGTATTTGAATACAATATTTTCTCTCTACGAGTGAAATTATGTGGCTGCAAAGATTTTCTTTCAGAAAGCAAAGTAATTCCCTGCAAATGTTGTTATTGTTACGCGTCGTCTTTTCTATGGCTCCCGATTTTCTTTAAATTAGCACTTTATCAGTGCATACAAAAGATCAGCGTTTTACCTTTTCACAGTAGGTACATCGTAGTGGCACAAGGGGATTTGATCTCCTGAAAAGGTGGGAAAAGCTGGGCATTTTTTAATTTGCCTGTGATGATAAGGAACTACAAAACAACGAGTCCATGGCCAGTATAACCGTAGTTGTCTTGGCTCAAGTTTTGAAGTTTCTTGTGTACAGAGAATGTACAGTTGAACCTTTCTACAACAGGTAATTTGGGGACAGACTTGGGAGACCTCCTGGTGTGGGGAAGCAGTAAATACGACAGAGAACTCAATGTAGTTACATGTATATTTCAGACAACATTAACACAACATGGCGGTCATAAAAGTAACGAGCGAGGCAGAAAAAGGTTCTGTTCTTGTGACGTAAGCATTACATAAATGACCGCTGACCAGGTAACGAATTACATGAAAGGTAACGAAATACACGTTCAAATGTCACGATTTAACTATTTCACATCCTCCGGGGAGGGGGCGCGAATGTCCTTGGCCCAATCTGCAATTCTCCTTATTGCTCGTCGTGCTGCATCTCTTTGTGGTCTCCTCACAGGGGTTGGAGTTTCTACTGCGGTTGCTTGATCCTCTGTGCAACACTGTGCTTCCTTGGCGTGAACTTCTAGAGGGTGTAATCTTGTTATGGGACGGTTTGTTGTTCCATTGGCGGTGCGTAAATTTTTGAACGCACAAGTCCATCGCGACCTCTGTTAATGGATGTGACAAGTGCTAGTTTCCAGTTTACTCTAGGGCTATCATCATGGATTAGAACTACATCACCAGCCTTCACGGATTCTGTGTTGATTCCTGAACCTTTGTGGAACTCTCGGAGGGAGGTAAGGTACTCATGACGCCATCGTTGCCAAAAGTGTTGGATCAGTAAGGTGACACGTTTTGCCCTTCTTAGTAAATCTGTACTTGTTTGGTAGGTGGGATCACTCACTTCGTCACTTTCTACTGGTGGATGTGGTAATGACGTAATTGCCGGCCATAAAGTAGATGTGCAGGGGTTAATGCTTCCTCATCCTTAATGTCTGAGGAAACGAGGTTGGGGGGACGATCGTTTAGAATTGCCTCTACTTCAACAACAATTGTCTGAAGAGTGCACAGGTTGACTGCAGCTCTGCCGAGTACCTTCTTGATGGTGGATTTGGTGAGACCGATGAGGCGTTCCCAAAACCCGCGCCGTACCAAAGGCGCCTTCTTGGGGATGAATAGCCATTCAATGCCTTCCCTTGCTAGTGTTTCCTTGAGCGCACGAGATTGAAACAATTCCTTTAGTTCATTGTTCGCTGATACAAATGTTGAGGCATTGTCAGATATTAGTTTCCTTGGAAGAGATTTCCGACTTGCAAATCTGCGAAAGGCTAGTAAGAAGGCTTCAACGGTCAAGTCTTCGACAACTTCAAGATGAATAGCCCTGGTTGTTGCACAAGTAAACAGACATATGTAGACCTTTGTTTCGATTCCAGCATTTCGAACATACAGAGCTCGGTGTAGTCCACCCCAGTGACTTCAAAGGGTTGTGTTTGTTGTATTCTTGACTTGGGAAGGGGTGGTGGGTCTGGTGCATTGTAGGCTGTTCCTGAGACCTTTCTGCAGGTTACGCATTTGTCAATTAAAGTTTTGACGCGTTGTCGCCAGAAGGAACCCAATAAGTTTGACGAGGGCGGTGAGTGTTGAGTTGACACCTGCATGAAGCTGTTTGACATGGGTGGAGTGAATTACAAGATCTGTGAAATGGTCTTTGCTTGGAAGTAGCAGAGGAAACTTGGTGTTGCCACTTAAGGGTGCGTTGTGTATCCTTCCGCCACAGCGTAGAAGACCACCATCATCAAGGAAAAGGCGGTTGACGTACCAAAGTTGTGCGGTGTCGCGACTTGAGAGGAGGTTGTTAACTTCAGCATGAAAGACAACAGATTGACGATTCTTCACCCATTCTGTCATGGCATGATCATATTCCATGGCTGTAATTGGGCCTTGTTGACTAAGTTTCTTCTGGAGAAGTTTTACAAATCTGAAAACATAGGCTGTAACACGTAGAAGCTTTGGTAAACTGCTGAAACCGATGGATTGATCAGGCGATGAAGGCCTTGCTGTTGAACTGGGACTGTGCCGTCTGTGGTAGACCCACCAGGAGAGGTTTCAGTTGCTGATAAGTGAAGAACCTCTGTCGAGGCCATGAAGGCCACTGGGATCTGTTTGGTAACCATGTGGGACCATGTTTCCACAGCAAGGAAATCTCTAGTTGATGTGCTGTTATCCCTCTTGTGAGAAGATCGGAGGGGTTTTCAGTTGTAGGGCAGTACTTCCAGTTTGAAGTTGATGTCAGCTTCTTTACTTCTTGGATGCGAGTGTTGACGAATGGCTTCAACAACTTGGTGCTTTTGAGCCAGTGGAGAACAATTTGGCTGTCAGACCACAATGTGACTCTTGTAACTGGCAGTTGTTCTTGAAGATATGAAGCTAAACGTGCGGCTGTTAGAGTTGCCATAAGTTCCAATTCTGGAAGGGTGAGTTTCTTCCTTGTCGGAGCAACACGCGACTTCGCCATAGCTAACGATGACTGGTTTCCACGTACTAAGTAAGCAGCAGCTCCATAGGCTTTCTGGCTTGCATCAGCGAAAACATGTAGTTCTGTATCGCTGCTATCGACAGAGACATTAGAAGAGAAGTAGCGACGTGGGAACTCAAGTTTGGTTGCATCTCCAATCTCCTTTGCTACAGCACGCCATTTTTGATCAAGAGAAGGTGGAAGGGGCTCGTCCCAATCAATCCCTTCCTTCCACAGTTCTTGTATTAGAATCTTAGCCGCAACGGTGACTGGTTGAAGTAAGCCGAGTGGATCAAAGACTTTTGCTGTTTCTTGTAACACCTCTCTCTTGGTTGACAACGGGGGGGTAGAGGTTGCCTGTTTACATGAGAATCGTAGCGTGTCTGAAGTTATGTCCCATACCATGCCAAGTACTTTTTAGTTGGACTAGTGTCGAGGATTTGATTTTTGGCTGCAATATGTTGAACACCAGGACTGTTTGAACTCCATGACCTGAGATTGAAGCCCACCGGTGACATTTTGTTCCTGGCATCTTGGTAATAGTTGACTGCTGAATCATCATCGTTTGTTTCGAGGCGAGATCATCCACATACAGATTCCTTAACATATCCATGCTGACTTGGTCTGTAGACTGTGTGAGGTGCTTATTGAGAGTGGCATTTAAGATGAAAGGGGAACTTGTGGCACCAAACATGACAGACTTGAATCGGTAGACAATGAATTCACTCTCCGGGTCATCCGTGTTAGATAGCCAGTAGAAGCGCGTGGCATCTCGATCAGCTTGGTCTAGGTTTACATGTAAAAATGCCTTTTCAATGTCTGCAGTTATAGCATACTGGTGGAGACGGAAGCGTAGAAGTATACCAGTAAGATCATTGAGAAGTGGAGGACCTGGCTGTAAGCAATCATTCAAGCTGGGTTGTTCACCTCGTTTGAAGCTGCAGTCGTACACAATGCGTAGAGGAGTTGTGGTAGAGTCCTTGAGAACAGCGTGATGAGGTATGTAATGACACACTCCGTTGGTTGTTTCTGGATTGTCCACTCTTTCGATAAAATCGCGAGATTGTTGTTCTTGGATGATGTCATTGTACATGCGTAATTTATTAGGATCTTCAGCTAGTTTTCTGACCATGGAGCGGGTTCTCTGCTTAGTGATTTCTGCATTTGATGGTAGAGGGGGATGTTCTGGTCGCCAGGGTAGCTTTGCACTGTACCGCCATCCTCCAACATGATAGACGAGTTTTGATAGTACTTCAGAAAGTCAACCGTTTCTTCTGATGAGCTTGGCTGAACACCAACTGATTCAATCCGCCAGAAACGTTCCAAATCAAATTGTTCTTGATGATGCTCAGTCACAACATTTAAAATAGACGTGTTTAGGTTCTCTGAATGGTTACTGTTGGAGAGGGGGCCGAAAGGAGGTATCCTATCTTTGATTTGGCTGCTGTGGGACCTGGACCCTTGACAACCGTTTTCCACTATGTCCCAATAATGATCTGCACCGATTAGAATATCAACTGTGAAAGGTGAATCATCAACGTTTTGTGCTAATGACAGTCCCTTTAAGTGTGGTAGTTCCTTACATTGGCACCAGTGTAAGTAGTGAGGGGGGCAGCTATTGTTGGTACAATGATCACGCCGAATGGGAATGTTCTCCTCTTGAGCGGTTTCAACAAAAACGGTGGCAGTGTCAATGCGTTTAACGGATGATGTGTTCCCACCAAAGGTTGACAGGGATATGGTCTCTTGCATTTCTGGTTTCAGATCAAGTTTGGTCGCTACATCTGAAGTAATGAAGGGCGTTGAGACCCTTCATCAAATAAAATGTGTGCACTGATGTGGTTGTTGTGACTACCAACAGAAGCAACGGCTGTTTTCAGTAGACGGGGGTGTGTCTGCTAGTATCACCAATGTGGTAGGATGAGACTGAAGGTGCTGTAGTCTTGTCTGTGGTGGGTGTACATTGAGCCTTGTTTGTAGTTGGCGGTTCAGTGGATGACACTAGGGGAGTTGATTCTGCATTTTGGCAAAGACTGGTATGATGCTTTCGATGGCACACCTTACATCTGTTCCGTGACTTGCATTTAGATACTGAATGACGATTAAGACAGTTAAAGCATACCCTTGCATCACGTACAATGGAGTATCTCCTTCCCTTGTCTGTTACAACATTACAATCATTTGAACTGTGTTCGCCCTTACAGAAAAGGCATGTTCGCTTGGTAGGGCGCCGATCAGTGGGAGGAGGGAGAACAGGTGTAGGTGGCTTTGAAGTCGTGAGAAATGCAGCAGTAGCAGCAGTTGTTGAGTTGCTACTGAGTTCATAATCGCTAGAACTGTTCTGACCTGCTTCTAAGATTTCAATTTCGTTCAAGATTGCCTTACGTAAGTTGTCAAGCTGCCACTCCTTGTTTCCATTTTGCCTTGCTAGATTCCTCTTAATTCCATTAGGTAACTTCTTCTGAATGATGGGAACAAGAATATCTCCATACGTTTCTGTTTTCTTCCCTAGTGACTCAAGTCCCCTGATGTGTGTTTCAACTGAGTCATAGAAAAGCCTCAAACTACTTAAATGATCAGTGGGTGATGGAAGGTTGAGCAGTGCCTCCATGTGTGCATTGATAATCTTGTGGGGTTGAGCGAATCTATCTTTCAATAACTGGATGCTCTTAGCGTAATTGGCACTGGTTAATGGCAACCCGGCAATGACTCTTTCAGCTCCGTCGGCGTAACTGTGCTCTCAAATAATTGAACCTTTGGACATCACTGATCGAAGAGTTATCGTGTACTGCAGACTGAAAGGCGTCCCAAAACGATTGCCATTCAAGCGGGTTCCCATTAAACGATGGCAGTACAAGTTTAGGTAAACGATTAGTTTGGAATGTACTCACCGGCGGTGGTGTAATCGAGTAATCGGTGGTGTAATTGGGGGGATTCTCTGCTGAAGCGGCTGTGTTACTTTGAAAATCGCTACCTGACGCGTTCCAGTCGAAGGTGGGGAATTGGATTGTTGATTTTCTTGTTCCGTTTTTGCGGCGTAGATGGAATGGGTTGCTGATTTGTTTGTCCCTTTTGCGGTGAACTTGACGGAGTACTGATATTCCCGGGACTGTGAGACAACACGTACTGGTCGAGGTTTCTTTTGGCGAGCTCAATTAAATTGTCGGTGAGGCAAACCTTCTCCACGATAAGGCTGTCTAGTTCCTCTGCATCGAGTATTTCTGCTTCGAGTTCCTCAGGAGTTTCCAGTAAAACTGCTATCTTATCGTTAAGTTCCTTGAGGGTTTGTCTCTTTTGCTTTAACTGCTCCACGAGAGACTTGAGTAGTACAATTCCGTTGTCGGCTATTGTTCCTTCTGCAGTGTCATCGATTTTCTGTCTTAGTTTGGTTAAATGTGCTTTGTGAGCTCTTCTTGACGCTAGCAGTTTCGGTAACTCTTCCATCCTGGTCTCGGCACCAAAAATGTGGGGAAGCAGTAAATACGACAGAGAACTCAATGTAGTTACATGTATATTTCAGACAACATTAACACAACATGGCGGTCATAAAAGTAACGAGCGAGGCAGAAAAAGGTTCTGTTCTTGTGACGTAAGCATTACATAAATGACCGCTGACCAGGTAACGAATTACATGAAAGGTAACGAAATACACGTTCAAATGTCACGATTTAACTATTTCACACCTGGGACAGATCAGAATTAAATAGGGAACTTAAGTAACCACATAGCAGTGGGAAAAATAAAACTGTCACACAAATAATTATAACCCTTTAAGCCCTAGTATCCACTAACAAATTCTCCAGACCTCTAATTCTCCACACTGATCTCCATACATTTCCTTAAAGGATTAGTAGAGAGAATTTGATAAAAGATCACAGCATTTTCCTATAGGTGATCATTTCTTAAATTCTCATAACCTTTTCCTTTATTGATGTATAGATATTGTCAGGAGAAAATTAATGTTAGTCACACTTAGGACTGAAAGGGAAGGAGTGCATCTGTTTGTACACTGTTTTCTCTAAAATGGCCATTGTGGAGAGGTTGTTGTGGTGCTCTCACTGTTGTCACCGTTGTGTAGAGGAGGCTGTTGAATTCAATCACATCATTCTATGACACTATAAAGAAAATACATAATACTGCCCTCCTTTTTTGAAGTCAAATAATCAAACTGTTTACACTTCTTTACACCCAATTTTTAATTTTGATGAAGGCTCAAATAAACTTGAATAACCCTTCAACTAATCATATGAGCCGAAAGTCTGTGGTTAACTTCTATGTGCAATCATTGACATTAAATTTTTGTCATTATTGGTGTTTTTTTACGTTTAATTTGTTAAAAAAACCTTATTGTTAATAAGTGTTGGTCTTCGAAAACAGTGTTAATTTTCCATTGACAGATTTCAATTCTAGAGAAGTTGTTTTCTTTCCTTTTATTTAATAATTTATGATATGCTGACTACTTACCATTCAAGGATTAGTAAAAATGTTGCCAATAAAGTTTTGACTTGTCCATGCAATTTTTATTCCCAAGGTATAAAATAATAATTGTATTTTGTGTGAAAAGAAAGTGTGTTTTAGTAAGGTCGTTGTGCAAAAGTTTTTTTTTTTTTATCGGAAGGTATGAATTTTTCCTTTGGAAGACGGCAAGAAAAAGTTGATTGGCGAAGGCTTGGTGAGAAATTGTCTACAGTTTGTTGTTACATTTTGTGTTCTTTTTTTTTGCAACTTATAACTGCAGGTTTTCTTTCACTCATAGATAAAGAAAGCACTAATAATAAAAAGAGGTCAATGGTCTAGTAGTTCCAGTTGATGATAGAATGGTTTTAACACACATCATATGCTAGTCATTTTGTTGTTCTTTCACATTAGGGCCATTTATACGAGGTTTAGCAAAGACGCGTCTTATCGAGGAACAGGTGTTACCTGCTGTTCTTAGATTAGACGTGTCTTAGCTAAATTTCAAACGAAATGTGCCGTTTATACGGGATAGTTTGAGTCTTATTTAGGATGCGTCCTATGTGAGAGATGTGTCTTATTTTTCCTCGTTTAAACGGCCCTATTGTTTTTATAGGGATGATCTGTTTGTCAAAATGTAGAACGATATTTTGTTTAGGTGTCTGAAAGATGCCATTGGTTTTACATCAATCTGGAAATTTCAAAATGTTATTTTTTAGGAACAAAATTGAGTCAAATAATTAAGTTTTTCATTACATTACCATCTTGTTCTCAGTATAATTATGTTTACAGGACAATGTTACATTAATAGTTATGAAATTTTTATTTTAAACTTTAGCATCTGTAGATGTTGACCACATCTTAAGAGAAATGGATGTGAAGACATTACAAGACAATATTATGCATATCACATTCTGTAACATTGAGGCTGAACTGGTGGGTGCATTCATAACATTTATTCATTATAATATAAATTTGTAAAATTTATTTGAAAATTAATTATTCATCCCAGTTAAGACCAATCAATACGTTTAATCTGAGTCGCAAGTACATCTCTTTTATGCTAATCTTGCAAACAAATCAACTTGGTTAATGGATTATTAAACAGTATAATAAATTCCTACTCAAAATAATTAATTCAATATTATATTGAGTTACATTGGATACAGGTCTCTAATGATTGTTTTATTTCACTTGTAAAAACTCAATACAATAGTATTAGGCCTCTGACTGTCATTTACATAACAAACAAATATGTTGGAACAATTTAAGTTTCACCTACTCCTCTTCTAAGTCACAATTTTACCCTAAGTGAGAAGTAAGTGTTAGTGTTGACTTAAGGGAGGGGTAGGTAGATGGTCAGGTATCTAGAAATCTCTATTGATGAAATAATGTTTGATACTTATCTGACCATACATTACACTGACTAGGAATTAATGACAAAGATTAGAGAAGAGAATTTGATAAAAGATCAAAGCATTTTTCCTCTGGTTATCATTTTATTAACTTTCAAAATCTTTCTTCTTGGTGATGTATTGATCATGATATTGTCAAGGGAAAATTGGTGTTGGTCACTCTTGAGGCAAAAGGGTTGATCGAAAAACATTAGTATTGTTTCTAACCACTACATTTTGGTTTGAACAGGGATCACAGGGTGTAGGATACGATCCTAACTACATCAAGATGTTTAAACTGGCCCAGCTTATTATTGAGTATCTTCTGGTAAGGCATTGTGCTGCATAAAGAAGAATAAAAATGTTGTACATGTGTACTGTGTTCATGATTTTGTATATTGACAACAAGAACAATCGTCAAGTGGAGTCAATAAAAGATGTAGAGTGAATAACTTTATGATCTTAAGTGTAGTGGTCACAATTTCTATGTCAGATATTAATGGTTTTCACAAAACACATTGATTTATGCCTTTGCTTAAGCCATTAAAATTTTTGCTGAATCAGCCAGAGTTTGTGAGACAAGGGTGGCTCCTTGTTTCTAGTGATTCTCAGTTGTTTATCTTTATGTTTCCTGTAGCATTCTCAGCAGTTCCTTTCAGCAAACCTTGAAGCAGAGAACAAGACTCTCCAAGATTCACTGGAGGTAAAAATGATCAGATTAAAGTTTGATTATTATTTACATCAGTGATGGAACAGATTGTATAAATTCTGAAGTCAAATTGGAATGCTTAAGATAACCCATAAGCCCCGTTGAGGATCAGCCCTAGTAAAGGGACCTGGCTAACCTTGAGAGGCAAAAGCAAAACTCTTTGAACCGGCGATCACTGGATTTACCTTTCTAACAAAGCTATGATCATCAGTCTTAATATTTCTCCGTTTTTATTTTGGTAATGAATGCAGGAAGTTGAAAAAGCTAAAAAAGAGCTGGAGGAAAAAAAAGAAGCATACAAAAAACTGAAGAGAGAATGTCAGAAACAAAAGAAATGGATTGCTGAATATCAACTGCTGATGAGAGCTGGAGCAAGTGGACAACACAAGGTACTGCTCAACATTTCCACAGTACCTTCTTCTGATTGCTCTTGTTCCAACCCCTATGCTCTAAAGCTTTCGTCCTTTATTTCTTTTGTCCCTTTCCCATATTACATTACAGTTATGCTTGTCAGTCTTCACTGCTTTCATTTCCTCCTTTTTCTTTACCCTTCTCTCATTCTTCTACTTCCTCTCTTCCTCCTCTCCCTTCCCTCCCTTCCCCTTTTCTTTCTTCCCCCTTCCCCCCCCCCCCTGTCATGTTTATTTTTTTGTCTCTCTCTCCTTTCCATTCTGTTCCTCCCACCATCTCCTTAGTTACTCTACCTCAAGTTTTTTTTTATTTCCGTCCTTTTCCTCTTCCTTCCCTTCACTTTTTGCCTCTTTCCTTAAAATGCTTAACTTTGTAGCTCCCACCTTCTCCCCTTTCTTTCTTTTCACCTCCCTATTTTTCTTCTTTTTCTCTTTTTCCCTCTCTTCCTCCCTCCTAACCTCTCTGTTTCTATTGTTTTCCTTGTTTCCTGTCCCTGCTCTCTCCTGTTCTTTACTTTTCACTTTCCCTCACCCACTTTCTCTTTCCCTTTCCCCTTATCCTCTTCTTCCTGCTTTACTACATCAGTTATCTTCCTTAATAATTTTCCTTTTCCATAACATTATCCTTTTACTCTCTTTAACTTGTAATAACTTATCTGCCAACCACTTCTCCCGGTCATTTTCCATCATTGCTTTTTTCTTATAACTCTCTTCATCTTCTTTATTCCAGTGTCCTTGTTGTGCCAAATCATTTGTTAGCCATGAGTATGTTATATCCCATGTAACAAGACGTCATGAAGAGTACTCCAAGAAGATGAATGGAATGTTGGTGTCTTCAGCACCCATCAGATCTGTAGGTGCAGTCACAGTCGAGTCAAAGCCTGGCATGACAGAGCAAGAGAAAAATAATCTTGAAAAAGAGCTAGAGATGATAAAAGTAAGACTGCAGAAAACAGAGCAGGAACTAAGTGAAGAGAAGAAGCTAACAGAATCGCAGGTACATTCATTTGCTTTTCCTGTAAACTTGTCTGTATGCCTCTCTAAATTTTTCATTTGAAATCTTGACAAAAGCTTGTTCTCCCTGTACGTGTAGCGTGCCCAGCTTGAGTATTTTTAAGCTCAATTTGTGCATTTAAGAAAACTGTACTGAATTTAAAAGCACTTTAAAATCTGTTTCTTTTTTGTAACAGAGAAATAGGCTGACAGCCGAGCATCAGAGTATTGATGAACTCAGATTGATGTTTGAAAGATGGAAAGAGGAAGAAAAGGCTGAACAACAGGTCATTTTTTCCTTCAGTTTGATATTGTTGTACATCACCTGCATACAGAAGTTGTATTTTCCTCCCCTAACTTCAAAACTGTTCACTCTACCTTACTGCTCATGACACCATCCTTTGCCTATTTTTTTAATGCTGTCCTGATGTAAGAAATAAATATTTCTTATGAATACAACAAAATTAAATTAAGAATTCAAGTGGCAGGACAAGTAAGATCAAGGTGTTGAAATGTAAACTTCTGAGAAACAGCCTCAGCTAGGTTATGTAGGAGTCTAGGCGAGACCTCAATACAAGAACCAGATAAATGCTTATAGAATGAAATGAAAACATCTATTTATCTTCTTTTGTTTGTCTTTTTATTTATTTTCACCTTAGTTTATTTTTTATTGTAATTTCAGCAAGAGATGGCCGAGTTCAAAAGAAGTTACCAGTATGATCTAATGCAAATGCAAGCAGAAAGGGATGAATATTCTCAGGTGAGTTAAATACACCACTAAGATAACTATGTGCAAGAGAGAATAATATTAAAAGTGATTTTTTTTTCTTGACTGTGTCCAGGTATGTAGACTTGTCTGCTCCTCTTAAACCATTACCTATGCTCTCCTGAGACCAAAACTGAAATTCTCCACTCTTGTACCTTATTGTTAAAATAATAATATGTGAAGACAGGATTTCTTGGCATCATAATAAGAAATGTCATTGTGATCTCTATTGGTGTTCATAAGAGCAATATTTACAAAAAACGAAGTAGTAAACAGCAGTATTGCCTTTTTTTGGCAGAAAGTGAGTGCCCTGCAGGAACAACTGAGTAAGTAAACTTGCAATATCAAAATATCATGTCCTAGTTTTGTAAACGTATAATTTATTGTTCACTTCTCTTTTGAGCAGTTGCTTAACTAACAGCCAAAAATAAAACATGATGTTATGCGTCAACTTTCCTTGCAGATCAGCTTGTTATGCACGAGTCTGCGATGTTTCTAAATTTTATTACTTTATCTTTTATTCCAGGACAAAGAATATCTATGGTGGGATCTATAAGAGTAAGTTCACTGAAGTGGCCGAGTTGACATGTTTCACTGATTTTCTATTTTATTGACCACGAGTGGCATAGAGTTAGAGAAGATCAGCTTCACCCACACAACCCCTGTTAAGTTAATTTCCTTCATTGTTATACAATGTTCATGTGATACATGCTATTGTTTTTTAGGATGATGATGAAACCGATTCTCCAGCAAAGGCCAGCAGAGGTGAAATGTCTCAGCAAGCCTTAGCTCAGTTAGAGGACAGGGTAAGTATACGTTTTATCCAGTTATCATCCACCTTGTTCAGCAGTAGCTTTCATTTGAATGGATTTCATCCAGCATAATAGACAGTACTACAGGAAAGTACTGCTCAGTAGCTTTCATTTGAATGGTCACACTTTAGGATTTCATCCACAGACTCAAAAGTAAGAACTACCTTGTACAGCATAATAAACAGTACCACAGGAAAGTACGGCTCAGTAGCTTTCATTTGAATGGTCACACTTTAGGATTTCATCCACAGACTCAAAAGTAAGAACCACCTTGTAGAGCATAGTAAACAGTACCACAGGAAAGTATTGCTCAGTTGCTTTCATTTGAATGGTAACACTTCAGGATTTCATCCACAGACTCAAAAGTTAGAACGACCTTGTACATGGTAATAAACAGAAGTTCTTTGCCTAATCTTGTTTACTGTAGGTAATTCAAATGCAGATGGAAACACAGCAAAATTTACAAAAGGAGATGCAGAAGATGCAACAGAAGTTTAAAGCTCGGGAAGATAAGTCTAAGAAAGACCACAGAGAGGAGATGACGAGGGTATGTGACCACGTACAGCAAATTGGAAAGGGCACGAATTTTTGCATTTTTCTTTAATAGTAGCAGTAATGAAACAAAAACAAAGTAAAATTTAAGTCGACAATGGATTGAAAAACAGCATTTCTTTGTAGTTTCAGGAGATGTTAAGTCAGTATGAAGAAAACCTAAAGAATGAGAGATTAGAGAAAGGCCAGCTCTCTGAAGATTATGAGAACAGAATACAGATGCTGAACTCGGTGAGAGCCATTATCCAAGTTCTTTTCTCTGATTATCATTATCATCACTGCGAAAGGTTTGAATCCAGGAGCCATTTGATAATTGGGTTGAGCATGACCGTCCAGGTGAGGTTAGTCCTGAATAGGACTGTTGTTGACAGTGACTGTCAGTGACTGTCAGTGACTGTGAAGATGACTACCGCGCAGGTTGTGCAAATGTCATTGTCAACAGCATGCTCTACCTACAAGTCGTTATCGTCGATCACTATTTACGTGTCATAATTCCGAAGTATTTGTATGTATTTAATGACCCGCCTTGTAATTCAGTTTATGCTGCGAAAAGGTTGAATAAACGATCATTATTTATTTATTTATTTATGATTTGAAATTTCTTTTTGCAGCAAGTACAAGACCTCAAAAAAGCGCTGGATTCACAGAAGGTAAGCTACAATGAACATGAATATAATATTGATGATGATGATAATGGTGATGATGATGATACTGATCATGGTGGCATGATGACGGTGATGATGTTGACACAATGATGATGATGATGATAATGGCGTCTTGGTTATCATGGTAAACGTGAGGCTGGGGAAGTGATGAAGGTTTTTTAAGTGGTCAGTGTTGGTGGTGATAACAATAATGATGTTAATGGTGATTATGATTATGTTGTTAATGATGATCAATGAAGATCAATGATGACAACGATGATGGTGGTGGTGATAATAATGATGACGACTATAATGGTGGGGATGATGATGTGCCTTGGTGGGATATGTTCATGATAGGAACAAAGAGGCGATGCTGATGGCTACACTTCTAATTCGCCCAACAAATTTTTGTTGCAAAAATTCAACATCTGGCCAACTGAAATTTTCTATGGCTATAGAATTACTTTCGTTATCAATGCGCCCAGTCATAAGCCATTTCCATGCTGTACTCGCGATGCTGTCAGGTCTTGTTTTGTGTAACATGTTCTTGCTTTTTTATTTATTGCCAGGTGGAAACAGATAAGGTACAATACACCTTCAACGCTCAACCGCCAGCAGCTCTTGGTACGTAATGGAACTACTCCTCTTCAAGTAATTTGCGTATCGGAATTGTTTTCTCTTGCTCTTTGCAGTCGGGACCTATGAACGACACCCTGAGTTCTGTAAGGAGTTCGTTTTAGTCACCATTCATAGATTCTCGGGTGTAAACTTTTATAGTGATGGACTGCGGAGCTTCGTCTTGAAGCCTCTTTCTCTTCTTTCTCGACTTAGGTGTATAGATTGTTCCAATGACGTGTCTTTTACCTAGAAAATGACTTCCGCCAGAAGTTGTCCAAACATTAGACTGCAGTAACAATCTTTTTCACAGCCCCTCACGTTCTCTTCTTTTGTCGTCTCCGCAGCATCTGTACCTCCCGTCCCTGCTCCTAGGCAGACTAGTCCTGTCCAAGGTTAGCATGCAAGACACGACAACAATGATTTTGTTGTTGTTTTTTATTTGTTTGTTTGTTTTTATGCATCGGACCTGTAGAGCAATTTTCTAATGAACTTCAGTTGAATATATAGGCCATTTCCGAGTTCCCCCGAGCCTCTGTTTCAAAACAAGAGTAGGTGCTCAGCCTTTGATATGGAAATCATTTTTCATTCTCATGCAAATAAAACTCGTTTTCACAAGAAAGGTTGTGTACCCAGCCTCATTTTGAAAGTGAGGGTTTTTGGAACTCGAAAGTGGCCTTTTGATTTAGGCAAGCAAAAAGGAGAATAACTGGTTTCCAAACGGAGATAAAACTTTCCTTTCATAGCTCCTGGTTGGTTTAGCTAACATACACGGTCAGAGAATTGCATGTGGATATACGCTTTGACCCCACTTCCTTTTTTATTTATAGCGCTGCTTGTATATTATTTCGTTACTTTTTTTAAAGTTCGTATTGTTTTGATTTCCTTTTCTAAGCTGAACCAGTTGAACGAGAAAGAGCCAAATCTCCAGAGAAGAGTGTAACAACTGCAGGTACTTGATATAAGTGCGAATATTGAGTTATAACTGAAAAGTGTGAAAATAAAAAGCAATCGTACGACAATAGAGAGGAAACTAACCACTTGAGACAGAATTCATGTTATGGCCCAGTTGCCAAGTTTCCCGCCAAACGGAAACAGCAAACATTTTGGCGAGAGCTTAGGAACTAATAACTAGAAAAACTAATGTGGCCACTGATCTTGAAAGTGCAATGAAGCAATGATGCAGTTTAAGAGGGTTTTTTGTTGTTATTTCGTTGAAAAACGACTATAGGTATCCCTGTTATTTGGAAAGTGATAAGAAGTTTAGTTTGTCTGTTTATGCAATAAAGAAAAACTACTTGGACATACGAAACATCTCTTTTCTTTTCATCTTGCTGGTTTTCTCCTCTTCAACATCTTTTAAGTGTAGCTTCATTTTTATAGGAGACTCCATCACTCTCTACGTATCCACCAACCAAAACAAACAAGGCCAGTACCGACTTTGGCGTCAATCTTCCGACGGCTCGAATGAATGGTCCAACGTTTACGCGTTTACCGGCTTCATAAAACCCTCGGGGAACTTTACCTACCCGCTGTACGTCTTCGCTGCCGGGGGATCCCCGTATTGGCGTCAATACATATCCGCACGGTCGGCCCCACCGAGTTCAGAATACCGCCTTGATTATATGTTCTACTGCTCGCAGAAACCTCTGCCCGGAACACAGCAATATCATGTTCTCGAAGCTGGGAGTCTTCCTGTTATAAGATCATATGTTTCAAAGTCTAAGAACGTTCCGGGATGGAAGGACAAGGGGTTGAATTTCTACGCTCCGAAACTGGCTCTTGCTGGCGATAAAACCTGTAAGTCTATACAGAATTTTTTAAGAATTCAACTTGCGATATTTTTGTTTCGCTTTGATGTTAATTGCTCGCACAGGAAACGTTAAATTCCCCTACAGCATTAGCATTCCTAGAATTACAGATTAACGATTTGTTAAGTTGTTGTTTTTTGTTTGTTTTTGTCCTTTTCCAGTGACGAGTATTTCTGCATCGTTTGAATCGACTTTAACCACGGACAAAAGTCAAGGTTTGTTAGTCTTGTTGTTTCCAAACAATGGAGGCGTAGTGACCGGGTGGTTAACACCTCGAACTTCAGATCTTGGGCCTGTTTCTGGAAAGGCCAGTTAAAAAACGACCCCGGAAATCTTTTGTTGTTTACGTTCAAGATCGAGGTTTCAATAGTTTTGTAGACAGCATGATAAAATCATCAGTCAATAAAACAAAATGGACTGGTTTCTTAGCTAGGCCCCAAGCTCTCATTCTTTATATTTTGATTTGAATATTTGTTTTTGGGCCCGGTAATTTCGACAAACGGTCCCCCGGGGCCCTGTTTCCAAACTCTTTCAAATTCGTCCCATGACTGTTGGACGTGTGTTATAAAAGGCATCCAAATGAGCCTGTGAACGCCCTATATCGTTCAGGGAAAATTTTGAGAAATTTTAATTTGCTCTTCATTTTCTCGTCCTCTTTACAGATTTTGAGGAAAGTGAATCCGAAACTGAAGAAGAGTCTCCGGCCCCTGTCGTAGAGGCTCCTGTCATACCAAAAGTGTAAATATCTATAGTCATTTTTTTAAACTACACCATATCGTGATATGAACAGTACCACAGGAAAGTACTGCTCAATAGCTTTCATTCGAATGGTCACACTTAAGGATTTCATCTACAGACTCAAAAGTTAGAACCACCTTGTACAGCATAATAAACAGCACCACAGGAAAGTACTGCTCAGTAGCTTTCATTTGAATGGTCACACTTTAGGAGTCATCCACTGACTTAAAAGTTAAAATCACCTTGTGCAGCATGATAAACAGTGCCACAGGAACATACTGCTCAATAGCTTTCATTTGAATGGTCACACTTAAGGATTTCATCCACAGACTCAAAAGTTACAACCACCTTGTACTGCATAATAAATGACACTACCACAGGCAAGTACTGCTCAGTAGCTTTCATCTCAGTGGTAGCACTTTAGGATTTCATACACAGCCTCAGAAGTTAGAGTAGTAGTAGTTATAGTAGTAACTTTATTAAAGTGTCGGTCGTGACTCTTTAGATGGTCCAGTTTTGACACACACTTCCCCTCACAATTTGAAGTTACTCAGACTATTCGTTTTACTTCAGTGAGATCGATGAAGTTGACGGGAATGACAGTTTGGAGAGTGGTGAACTCGAAATCAAGGAATTGACATCGTAAGTTTCTTGTCCTCTTATATTTCTACCCAATGTTTAGTAGTTTTGCAAATGTTTCAAGTAGAAATCAGCAGTTTTTTAAAATATGAACTGAGAAACGACAAGAAAATTAACAACAACGCTGGCGTTCACAGCAAGCCACAGAAAAAGCAAGCATACTTCGTAACATCCTTTCAGCACGTGCATTACTCGCAGTACAAGTAAGTGTGATCTTCTAGCAAAACAGGAGCGCTAGAAATACTTTAAAATTCACACGCGTTGCAAAGTGACGAAACTTATGTCTTAGTTAGAAAGGGGAACGCCTTTTAATGTTGTTTTTCCCACTCATTTGTGGCCCCGCAAGGAAAGGTGAATGTGTTGTTTTAGCAAAGTCATGAGCTTACAGGCAGTTACAGCTTGTTACTTTGTTAGTTAAGTACTTGGTTTTGTTTCCTTCACATTTCTCTTGTATTATGGGATAGCTGGTTGCAAAGTATATTAGACTTTGATTTCTTTTTTGGTTGTTTCTGATAAATATAAATAACCTTTCAGTTCATTTGGAATCCTGTTTCCAATTAGTTTCTCTTCTTTTCTAGGGGCGTGTCAAGTTCTGAATGGGTAAGTGGCGTAAATTTCTCACCGCGTTAATCTTACGTAAAGTGTGTCCCTTAATTCTTAAGTTTCTTATCTAAACTAACAAATTATTTTGTTGTTTTAGGGAACAGCTACACTTGAAGCCGGCGAGTTTCGTCCTTTTCCTCACAATCAGCTTATAATCAGTAAGACATGAAACAGATCGCAGTTGCTTTAGTTAATGTGAAAGTTTGCTCGGTTTATGCTGTAGTGTAATCGTTTTGGACAAGGTTGAGCAGAAAGGGCCTAATTTTTTATCCTAAAATTGCTGAGTTGGTAACCAGCAGCGACAAATTTTTCGATCTCAAAGAGATGTCCAGTAGTCAATCAGATGTGTGAGGCCAGCGGGAAACAAATGAGACTTTTCTCTGATTGGTTAATATAAACCACTCTGCAATTTCATTGGTTGATCCCCTAAAATCTTGCCAGTTTTATTCGAAGCGCGGGAATATGACAGACAGCCACGGGAAAAGAGCGGGAAAACGGTTGCCAGCAACACCACAAGTCACATGGGGCGTCACATGGCGCTTAGATTTTACTCCTGAGTGGTTGATAAGGCGTCAAAGCTAATATCTTCAGCCAATCAAAGCGAATCGGTGCAGAACTGTTGACTAAGACTCTTAGTTAGAAAGCGCTTTGAGAAATGACGTAAAACGTTAGCTTTTGTCCCGTTTTTTCTTTGTTTGTTTTGCAGCGCGTTTCAAACACAGACCAGAGGAGCTACAAGCGTGTAGACAAGAGATTGGCGAGATACTGGATCAAAAACTCACTAAACAAGGATTGTCTGGTGTAAGTATCAATTAGAAAGTCTACCTATTTTCCTCGCTAAATCTAAGCATATGCCCCCTTTAAGTCATTATTCTTTTCGCATGGGGGGGGGGGGGGGGGAAGGGGGCAGATCCTTCGGAATTGTAAGGTATGGCATTTATAAATCTCAACTTGTGCTTACCGGTCAAAACACATCTCTGAAGATGTTGAACTGGGCTCCATTTTTCTTTTGATTTTAAAACAACATTGACCCCTGCCTAAGGGAGTGATACACTGCAAGAAGTCCTATCGCTTTTTATCTTGTGCATCTGATTGAGACAGAGTTCCTGAATTACGATTTTTTTTGCCCGATAGCAAAATGCGCGGATGTCTTCACAGAAGATGGAGGAAAAAATGGCAGCGCTTAGAACTGAGAGGCAAGCACGGAGTAAGGTGAGTTGAAGAAGGTTTCAAAAGAAAAGAAAATTCTTAGAAAGTGCAGTTCCGCCATCATCAACCGGTCGATTTTGTGTAAGCTGAACAAAATTTTGAAATCTGGAGATTAAATCTTATCTGAATTTTCTTTGAAAATTCTTTGATTTCGCATATAGTAAATGCGACTCTCGTTGGAAATAAAGATCCTCCGTGGACAAAATTGTTGTGAATCACCATCTGTTCTAACCAAATTTTCCATTTCTTCTTGTAGAAAATCAAGAATTATGCTGAAATTAGACAACAGTAAGTTGAAAGTTGTTGTCTCCGTTTGTTAAATGTATTTTGTTGTTGTTGTTGTTGTTAATGATGATGATGATGATGATGATGATGATGATGATGATAGTTTGACACCCCTAGGTTTTCCGGTTATACCAACCTCCTTTCCAGGGCCCAGTTGCTCGAAGGCCGATTAGCGCTTAACCCGGGTTTCGTTTTTCATATGTTCAAAAGTATTTTCTCGGATAATTTTCTCTGTTATTTTTAGAGCTTCCGATCATCAACTTGTAGACAAAAAGAATTAAAACTGAAATGCTTTTTTAAGCTTTCAAATCTTAATCCAAATCTCGCACTAACCCTGGGTTATCTTAACCCAGCTTTGAACAACTCGGCCCAGGGGAATAAAGTGAAGAGACCCTGAAAATGAGATCCTTCTTTTGTCTCTCTCACTGACATGTCCGTCCGGGGTCTGGAAACCTGTGTAGAATTTCCTCAAAATGCAATGCTGAATGATAGGTTGTCGTTACGCAGGAGCATTTTATCTTCATAACACTTATCATAAGTGAATTTATAACTGGTGTTTCTATCTTGAAGGTGTGTTAAAGAGGTAGAGGAGATAGTTAAGAAGACTTACCGACGTAATGCCTCTGGAGAAGGAAACGCCGGTTTATCAGGTATGGAGTCAGTAAAGCTAATAGGCCATTTTTGAGTTTCGAAAACCCTCACTTTCAAAACGAGGCTAAGTGCATGAGCTTCATTTGCATGAGAATGAAAAATTTTCATATCAATGGCTTCGTACTGAGCCTCGCTTTAATACTGAGGCTTGGGTTAACTCGTCGGAAATGGCCTAACAAGCTAACCTTTGAATGGAAGCGAGGCTGGCGATGACTTTGTTTTGCAAGAAAGCTCTAAGAACACGTTTTACAGTTGGAAAGATGTGTGGTTATCATAGTCAATTGCAACCTCGCTTCCACTCATGACCAGGACACTCAGCACACAAGGGTACTTGGTGGGTAGCCTGTGGCCCGCAGTGCGTCTTTGCCTTCTCCTGCTTACGTAAGACATTAGTGGTGTGGAATAAATATTATATAACAGTTGCCGCTTTTTTTTCAGCTCCCACAAAAACTGGTCCTGTTAGCGCTAGCACACCGGCAGCGAGTTCCCGAACCATCGGCGCCAGTTCTCCCTCAAACAAACGTCCCACCTTCAAGACTACTGCTACCGCTGTGCGAACTTCCGCCTCGCTGCAACAAGGCCGGAAGTCACCTGCTCTTAGAGGAACCCTAGGGTCGACTGGGTAAGTTTTGTTCACTCATAGTTCGTATTGTCACGTGAAAAGGAAAACATCTAAAACAGAGTTTATAACAAAAAATATATACGATGAGGCGAGTAAAGTTACCTTTGGTGTGTATGGACAAGTAGCCTTCATTAGTAGCCGTTTTGCAGACCTTCGCGTTCCTGACTAGGGCATATGTAGGAAATAGATTTGCAGCAAAACTTACAGAGGTCGCTAAGCAAGGTAGTTGACAACGATTGGGACCGAGTATCGATTACTTTGGTATTGACACCAGCCCCCCGTTTCCTGTCCACTCAGGTTGAAAACTTTGAAGCACACGAAATAATGATATTTTTATGCATGATTCTCAAGGAGCGTTGTTCATGCTGGCTGGAGTTTTTGTTCAGCTTTACTGCGCTCTCAAACTAAAAATACCAGCGTTGTTGAGAACTTCTGATGGGGAACACAAACTCTGAATTGAATGTCAAAGTGTGAGTAACTTTTATGAAAAAAATTAATCAAGGTTTTGCTTTACCAGTAATTATTTACTTCAGTAGTAAACAATTATTTCCCAGAAATTCCGGATAATTGCTGAAAATTAGAGTGACCTTAACGGTGGCCTTAACAAGATAAAACTTAAAGTTAAAGGTATAGTTTGTTTTAAAGAAATTGGGAGTGGAAGTTTTCCTTTTTTTGCTGCTTTTGTGGGCGGGTTTTATTTACCTGAATGTGTTAAAAACCGATAAGTTTTTGCTCTCGAGTCTTGAGTTCTCAAAGCAAGAATACGACGTAAAAGATATATCGTAAATCTAAGGGGAAGTTAATATCGACATATCATTGAACATCGTAGTATAACTTTTGTATCAAGTATTTTGGGGGGCTTAATGTTTTTAAAATTAATTTAAAAATTGAAACCTAAGTTGTTGCATCTTCTTCAAAACACGGTTGTTTAATTTGCCTTTTCTGACCTGTATTTCAAATCTAACAGAATATTATTTCTATTTTCGTTTGGTTAAAAGATTTTTGACCATCAATAATTTAATTTGAGGCAACGGGGGGCAAATTTTTCTGTTATAAAACAAACATTGTTTTTGTTCTAGCGTTTTAAAAACAACTTCTGATTTTGTTTCTGGCCCTTAAATTTTATATCCTGTTCTTTCGTATGACCATCAAAGAAGTATTATTTTCATTTCCGTCTGTCAAGAATTTAGTTTGTTCAGTTTCTTAAGTGATGGCCTCCCAAGCAGCTGTTACTTGGATCATCACGCAACGTTCCTCCCCAAATTAGAGTGTTGCGTGACTATCAGTGCACGGTTTGGTTAAAAAAGATAAGACCTCGGCTCGCAACAATTTTTGTCACGCGCTGTCTTCATTGAAGTTTTGTAATGTGTTGCGTTACTATTTCGCACTACTGTAGCTCTACTACCGGCGGCGGTGACATGACCGTTAGCGTGACAACCGTTACAGACCGTTCTTTTAGTGGTACATCTGTGACAGAACGGACACTGAGTGAGTCTGAAGAGGAAGTGAGTGTGACAGAAGGTTCACAAGAGGAAGAGGAAGGCGAGTCCAACTGGGATTCGGAAGAGTGAGTACAGTGAGCTTATATGGCGTATGTTCTCAACGGAATTTGCCCTTCGTCTTTTCGTAAATTATCCATGTAAATGCAAGTAGATAGGATAACATTTAGTTATCTGGGGTAACATAACATGGTCTGAATTAGGAAAACAAAAGGCTAAAAGAGTCTTACTCTGTAGCTCGGAGATTAGGGCGTCTAAACGGTATTCAGGGATTCCTTAAGTTTTAACTCCCGCCGCCCTCGCTTTTAGCGTCTCGTAGCTTCGCCACTAGCGCGAGTGATACTCCACTAACTCTGAAGAAAAGCAAGAGATTAAGAAATTTGTTTGTCTGTGTGCTACCTTTATGACTTAATGATTAAACATCCTTTCTTACCGCCATGTTAGGTTATAAGGGAACGCTACCTTGTTCTAACAGTAATTTTGTGCAATCTTTACAGGGAAGCTGCTAAACCTCCCCCACAACCTACGCATAAAGTTGCAGTTCACATTCCTTCGCAGAAAAACTTTGATTCTGATTCTGAAATTGAAGAGGTGAGGCGTCGAGTTATATGTCTTCTCTGAAAGCCTTCGTGTGTTTTGCTTTCGTTCATGGACAACCTACTTTCTTTAGCTTCTACTTACATTTGTCTTGTTTTCCAATACAGCTTACGGAAGTTAAAACTATCCCTACACCTGCTCCACGGGGCGAAAAGGTGAGTTCAGCCACACACATCCGTATTTGACTCGTCACACAACGTTTCTCCCCAAGAATAGCAAATGAGGGAAAGGCAGAGAGAAGGCGCGTTGCGTGACGAGTCGAAACCTTTCACTTTCCTTTCACCTGGTGGATTTCGTATGATCCCCTGGGTCCTGCTTGATCTTTTAATCCCCCCAACCCCCACCCTTCCCCCCTCTCCTTGCCCTTCCCCTTCCTCTTCACTTACTCGTAACTTGGTTTATTTTTTAAGGTTCGCGAGTTGGCTGAATCATTGGAACGGAGTTTAAGCTTTGGCTCATCTGTTAAGAAACCAGCTGGCGGCGTATCACTTCACTTCCAGGGAGCTGGAAACGAGAGTAGAGAGCCTCAAACGACTATACAGAAGACGTCACGACAACAAGTGAGAAAAACATATCAACACATTCTTGTATCCTCAATTACCTGCCTTTTTTTCGCATTTTCTTTACATTTTCGTTCATTTTGTTCCGCAGAATGAAGATGACGTAGACAGCGACTTTTCCATTTCCTCAGTAGACGACATGTCAACTGGCCCAAGGTAATGTGGACGAATAACTCTTGAACAACTTTAAACTTACCGCCGTTTTTAAATGTCAAACGTTAGGCGCGCGAACATTTCTAAACGTTGGCCAAAAAAAAACTAAGAATGTAAAACATCGAAGAGACTGGAAGAAGAGCGGGTTTGTTCTTCCTCTGTCATCGCTAGTAACATATATAGAGGATATTACATGGCCGCACGGAGATAAGAAATTTCTTTTCGAGTGTTGCAAAATATTTCACGAGTGAGCGCAGCGATATCTTGAATGCTGCGTTCGTTTTAAATCATCAAGCAACGCCCCCACTCCCCACAGAAGCTTGTGTTTTGCGGGTTGGTACGAACTTTACTCACAAAAAGGCCAGCCAAAATAAATCTGCCACTTGTATTTCTCCGGTTTGGCCTCCTCGTCAATGAAAAACGAGGTATCAAGATTGGGTGAATTTGAAAACGCCGGCAAAGTGTGAATTTTTAGGCGATTAAAATAGAAGTTTGTAATCCCAGAAGAGTGTCACTGCGGCCATGCGGATATCTGAAAAAGGCCCTCTCTGAACAAGGCGCGCACAGTTTACCGTTTATTTTTATCTTGGATATTATCCATGTTTTTATAATAAGCGTTTGTAGACCGAGATAGTGTTTACTTGTAACCAGAAAACGATACAAAAGGGAACACTTTTCGAGGCGAAACGCCGTTTTTATAGTTATCCGCATCAGTGTTTTAATGATTGTTTTATTTTTTCTATCAGGGCACCAGTTCAAGGAAGAGGAGGACAACAAACGTCCGGTGAGAAACCTTAGTTATTTTCCTGGCTCCTTTTCTTTTTTACCTAACAAGTTTTTAGAAAATCCAGTAAAATTAGAATCCAATTCAAAATTGCGGAGTGGACCTGGGCGTTTTTTACAAACCCCAAAACTCGAATCTGCGATGAAACGAACTTCATGCAGAGTTTAGAGGAACAGTAGACCTGCTTTAAATACATTCCCTAAATTTACCGTGACAAAGCTGCAAATACAGTAGTCCTTCATCGGACAATGTCCGACTGTGCCCATGTCCGACGAAAGCCTAAACGCAATATTTTTGTCTCATTTCATATTCAGCTGCTAGACAATCTCAATCTCCAGTGTTTAAAAGACCTCAACCCCAGGCCACACGCGTCCAAGCGTTCACTGATGACGATTTCATTTCCGATTTTGACGATGATTGAGAAGTCGCGCCCACGTTCGTCGCTTCTCGAAGTTAACATCGATACCTGGTGAACTTTAAAGCCATTGAGGATTTGTAGACATACATATATTTATTGCAAACATCAGGGGTCACGAGCACACTTCACTTGTCTCCAGTCTCTTGTTACCCCGGCTTGCCCCCCTTAGGTACGAGTCTAAGTCACGTGCATAGACCTCTTTCAATCTTCTGTTACAATCTTCTAAAAAGTGGTTGATACGTAAAGCCAAGAGTGGATGGGAAATTTGAACCCCCCCTCCGAAATCAAGGATAGGAAAATGGCAGGGTTTGCTGTTCCATTTTATTCTGTCCAAGATTGTAGACTCCCTTCAGCCTGAGGGCACAGGCAGACCACCCTCTGTTAGTGGGGGCCGTTGTTGATTGAAATCTGAGCAACGATCTTTTGTTATTTATAGAAGAAATACATATGAACAATACGGTGGCTGTAATTTGTTCCAAAATGCAGAATTCAAAGCAAATTTTTCAATAAACGTTTGAGGAAAATGCTAACTGAGCCATGTGTCATGTTTTTTTCGCCGGTTGTGGTGCTGTTTTAACCGCCTATTTTTCAGATGAAAATATAAAACAGCACCACGGCGAAAAAACATGTTCACATGGCTCAGTTAGCATTTTCCTCAAACGTTTATTGAAAAATTTGTTTTGAATTCTGCATTTTGAACAAATTACAGCCACCGTATTCAGCATATGTAGTGTTGTCCAGCAAAAGCGTTGCTCAGATTTTTCAACAACGGCCCCCACTAACAGAGGGTGGTCACGGAATTTGAGAGGGGACACGGAATTTGAGAGGGGCGCCTCTCTCAACTTCCGTGTCTGTGCCATGTACCACACTTTTCATCTATCCTTCACTCAGTTTTGAGTCACCTGAAGCCCGATTTCAATACTATAATCGAGGCTATTCGGATGATTTTATAGAAGCTATGCCTTATATGGGGGCTAATGAACATCCAGAAAGCACAAGCTGGGGTTATCAAAGTCTCACTTGAATCAACTTCGCTCTTGTACTCCGATTTGAAAGTAGCCGATGCATTGTATTAAAGTACTTCTTTACTTACGATTTAGCCTACGTTGTTAAGTCTACACTAGATTGTTAGTGACTACGAAAGGATTCGGGTGTTTCCATATTGCACTTGAGAAATATTTTTTGTATATATAAATCTGGGTGAATAGTAAGATTGGTATTTTTCATGTGCAAAGAATATTCTTTTATAGTTGTAGCGTTTTCACTTATAGTTATAGAGTTGGCATACATAATAATTATAATGGCTATTTTAGGGCCATAAAAGAGTTGAAGTGATATTTACTAAGCTGTAAAACAAATTTCGATGTTTGTAATCGAAAAGTTTATATACCGGTATTAAATTCTCTTTTCAACAAGATGTAGAAAATTGTATTTACTTTGTCCACGAAATTATTTGTCCTCGAGCGTTGCATGCAGCAGCAAAGACGTCAACGAAGTATTTTTGTGTATTTTTTATTCTAAAATACCTCGTAACTTGATCGATCTTTACAACTATAAATACATACCCATACACAGTTCACTGACATTGTAGATCAGTGACACGGAATACTTCTCGCAAACTGTAATGCGTAAAATTTGTTATACCATCTCCCTTTTAGGAATCCAAGACAGAAATCGTCGTATCTTCTCCGGACTTGAGTTTTTTTTTTAACGATACCGGGTTATTTCACATAGCAACTGTTGCTTGGGAACATCGTAAACTCGAGACCAAAAGCAAAGAAGCTAAGTTAACTTACACCCGTAGAATTTACAAGAATATCAAAACCTCTGTACAATTTCAACGTCAAAACGTTAACTCAAGTAGGATTATAAGAAAAGATTTATCCACAAAGTTTATTTCTCAGCTCGGAAAATTTTACGAAACACAAAGATATGCCGGTTAAGCCACATTTCAACTAGCAAGCTTTGCTTGTCAGTGAAAACGCAAAATAAATGAAGTTTTTTTTTTACTAGTTTCCATGTTCTGAACGTACATAGAAACTATTCAAGAGGACAAGGCAAAGCTTGCTAGTGGTAAAGTGACTTAAGTTAGTAAATAGTTTTGTGAGGTTACTTTAATAATTACGATAATTTAATGACTATTCATAACCATCGTAATTATTATAGTTATATAAGATTGTTATAATTGTTTCTAATCGCTGTAGTTGCATGCGGAAGAAGCCTTTCCGTCCCTTTTGTCATCACAGGTACATCAATTCAAATAAATTGAAATCTAAGGAACTGGAGGATGACAATTTAGTTAAAGTGAAATTTGAACTGGAATCCTTCGCCGAATGGAAATCCCCCGTGTTGCCAAGGGCCACCACCACCCTGCTGGGCTTCTGGGTCGAGTGGATCTTCACCGCTGTCGTATTTCGCCCGTTTTTCTGTTGAAAACAAAATAGATAAATTTTATTCACTGGAGTCGCTTGTAGTAAATACAGGCACGTTTGTTTCTGAAAAGCCATGTCTAAAAATGTGAGTCTATCCAGTCTCCTAGGCTGTCTAGCCACGCTCGAAGATCTCTTAAAGTGTATATGACAGAAATTTTTTTATTTGCTTGATAGAATCTATACAGTGTTTTGATAAGGAAAGCAAAAAAAATTTTTCGATAGCGATTTTTCTTCCCCGTGTTTTAACCTGCCAAAAACGTGAAATTTTACTTCCGGTGAGCTACAAAACCGCGCTAGCGAAAACAGAAGACTGGGAATGATTATGACGTCATTTCAGGACATTCTATTTCGCGGCAGGCAAATTACATGGTCATTTTCTTATTTGTGTGGCAGTGTTTGGAGAATGTTTTTTGAGTTTCCCTGACCTTTTTTGATCAGAAACAGCAGAAATCAATAAAAAGTCGCTTAAGCTCGAATTTAATGGACTGTGAAAAAGAAAAATGAGTTTTGAAAGCGATACGGAACAGTCAGACGTGGAATCGATCGGGTCGCGCACTGACATCTGCGAGACAGAGCTAGGATCAGACGAAGATGAAGAAGATATGTACTATCCAGATCCAGAAGGACCGTATATAGATGAACCTATTACAGACGAGGAATGGCTAAACAGAATACAACCGAGAACTAGAAGAAATTTAAAGGAGAAACCAGGAGTTACAAAACCGCTTTGACAGGATTGTCGAACCCGAGACTTGGTAGGTGTTCGCTCTATTTCTCACCTTTTAATTATTAGCCTGAAGAATCTTATCGTACTAAGATCACACCTTGCCGATAAAAAGAAAAGGATAAAAGTTGTATTCTTCAACTTAAATACTACGTTCCTTCTTTTTAATTTCAAAGGTGCCCATGTGGCAATTGTGCTCTTGATCGGCTGCAAAATCCCGGGGAATGCCTCTGCTGCAAGGAAATCGAAAAGTGTGTGGAATCACTTGGTAGTACCGCCGTTCTGAATGAGGTGGAAATCAGTCCCGAATGTATTACATTGCATCCAGGTTTCAGTGTCGTTTGCCTTAACAGATGGTCTCTCCGATCAGCCGCAAGTAAATACAAAAGGATAGACGGTACAAAGTATCGTCAGACTGATACAGAAGAAAAGTGAGTAATGTTTTGCCCAGTTTTTCTGTCAGAGCTATCTCTAATTGCTAATTTACTGTGTTCTCCAAAAGCAACGTTAGCCGGCAAAAGCGCCCGACAGTTGCAACAGAAGCAGTGGTTATTTGTTCAAACACCATTTTAAGAGAAAGATAATCAATCGATTGTTTTTGTTGCCCATTATTTTGTATAATAGAGAGATTTTACCTGACCCATGAAAGACAATAGAATTAATGCATGATAGCGTGTTCCATTCTACTACCTGTTTAATCGGTTGAGTAGAATCACTATATTACAAAAAACATATGATAAAAAATAAAGCAAAATGTACTTTGCAGAACCCCTAAAATCAAACTTTTCTCTGGGCCTGGGTGTGTGTGTGCATGTGGGAGAGGGGAGGGGGGTGCCAGCCACACCAAACCCCACACAAAGCATTTTGATCTCATCTTTTGCTGACTACTTTCATCTTTTCTTACTCTGCTCTACTCTTCAACCCTGGTCCTATTTTCAACTATATTTGACAGTTGATTTGATAATGTTCAGTTCATAAGATGTTAAAAGAAATGGGGATTTTAGAGACACAAAGGAAGGGCACGATTGGAATAGAAATGCATCTGCCACTGGTCATGTGGTAATACTGGGCTCACAGAGTTGAAATACAGGGCGAGGTCATGACTTGAATATTTATTTTTATGTCTTCATTCTTTTAAACAGGTTTCTTGGTGGAGTAGCCTACAGAGAGTTTATGCAACTAGTACATGGTTTTCTTGGGGGAAAGCGGATTCCACTGCCAGCAATAAGAACAGAACTTTCAGAAGAGAATGAAGAATTTGTTGGTTTTGAAGATAATGAATAAAGATATTGCCTTTATGACCATCATTATTTTAAAATGCAAATAGCGAAACAGAGTCCACTGACAAATTTTATACCAGTTTGGACTAATATTGACGCAAAACATCAGCTGATTGCACAGAAACTATCTGTATCTTAGTATCTACAGTCCCAGGGGGGGTACTCGGGAATTCAAGTGACGGGAATGATCGAATGGAGCCAAAAGTCAAGACCCAAAAAATCCCTAGGGCTTCCAGCAAAACCCAAAAAAATCCCTGGACCAAAAATTAACCCCCAAAAAATCCCATGCCGGGCACACGGGACAATGCAGACTATTGTATAACACGTGCGATGTAAAGATCTCTCCCAGTTTGTATTAAGCAATTACCAGGCAACTTATTGACTTTGCCTGAAAATAAAAAATAAAAAGGTCTGCTATCACTGTCCACTGTTTTGTCGTGCCTGGTTCTTTGGACAATCAACTAGAAGGTTGTGCCCTCTCATGGGTCTTTTGCAAACAGTGCAATTCCTTGTTCTTCCTCCACTTGATGACTGTGCTGTAGCTGCAGCTGCCTCTTGGGCAAAAACAACAGATACTGCAAGCAAAATAGGAAAAATATATTTAGTCCACCTTGATTGCTGATAAAATGATAATAATATGTAACAATACAATAATAATAATAATAATAATGGGAACTTTATTTGTTTTTTTGAATGTATAATTGTAAATCTCGCTACATATAGGCAATTTACAAATGCTGCTTGAGATTGGATTATTACAAAGAAAAAAACAAAAAACAAAACAAAACAAAAGCCAAAAAAAAAAAGAAATCAAAATTGCATTAAGTCTGGGCTATCCCAGTTCCTAATTCTACAACAAAAGATGTAATATGTTGCTTTAATGGCTATATTTATCATTTTCTTGATTATAACAGTAATATTGATAACAATAAAAATCCCTAGATGTCCAAAAAAATAAAAGATTTTCCCAAAGAAAAAAGTGACTTGAGAGGGGCAGAAGGCTCAGCCAGCCTCAGATAGGGCTGTGTTCTAACAGCATATGGTGACCCCTAGCACATAAGCTTCTGCTCTACGGCGACAAGAAAATCTTAGAGATTATAATATTATGCTAGGCATCCTTGATTTCACAGGTTCAGGGCACTGGGCTCCCTTCAATTTGTCTTAGAACACAGCCATGATTATGGATTTTGCAGCCGATCAAGAGCACAATTGCCACATGAGCACCTTTGAAATTAAAAGAAGGAACGTAGTATTTAAGTTGAAGAATACGACTTTTATCCTTGCCTTTTATCAGCAAGGTATGATCTTAGTACGATAAGATTCTTCAGGCTAATAATTAAAAGGTGAGAAATAGAGCGAACACTTACCAAGTCTCGGGTTCGACAATCCTGTCAAAGCGGTTTTGTAACTCCTGGTTTCTCCTTTAAATTTCTTCTAGTTCTCGGTTGTATTCTGTTTAGCCATTCCTCGTCTGCAATAGGTTCATCTATATACGGTCCTTCTGGATCTGAATAGTACATATCTTCTTCATTTTCGTCTGATCCTAGCTCTGTCTCGCAGATGTGAGTGCGCGACCCGATCGATTCCACGTCTGACTGTTCCGTACCGCTTTCAAAACTCATTATTCTTTTTCACAGTCCATTAAATTCGAGCTTAAGCGACTTTTTATTGATTTCTGCTGTTTCTGATCAAAAAAGGTCAGGGAAACTCAAAAAACATTCTCCAAACACTGCCACACAAATAAGAAAATGACCATGTAATTTGCCTGCCGCGAAATAGAATGTCCTGAAATGACGTCATAATCATTCCCAGTCTTCTGTTTTCGCTAGCGCGGTTTTGTAGCTCACCGGAAGTAAAATTTCACGTTTTTGGCAGGTTAAAACACGGGGAAGAAAAATCGCTATCGAAAATTTTTTTTTGCTTTCCTTATCAAAACACTGTATAGATTCTATCAAGCAAATAAAAAAATTTCTGTCATATACACTTTAAGAGAAAATAGACGGTCTGTGAACCCTCTAAGTCTCCTTTGTTCCTTGACGCTTGCTGAGGCCATCTCCAAAAGTCGAAGCCTTTCTCAACTTTCAACTTTCCTCTTTAATAGCAAGTAACCTTTGGGTTAAATCTATTGTTTTGCGAATCTGACTCTTACCGCACGTGCGCACGTGCAAAGTGTGTTCTTGACGAGTCTTTCGTGCACGTGCAATCGTGCGAAGTTTGTTTGCTAACTTGAATGTTACGCATGTACAGTTGTTGTTTGTCTAATTTCAAAGTTTTCAAGAACGACGTCATCGCCCTGTTTCTGAGTTGGAAGAAAGAAAACCCACTAAATAACCAACCAAACGTAAATAGGTGAGTTCCATTTTCTTTTTCGATTATCTCCTTGTTAACTTGTTAAATTATTCTTTGTGTAAAGTGTGGCAATTCAAATGAGCAGTACGATACTGTGGCGTTGCGTTTGTTTGTCACCTACTTACGATACAAAGAGTTTAAATGTTCTTGACCAAGGTCAGTTTGCGATTAACTGTTCGAATGAAAAGCCGTCAGAACACAGAGCACCGAGTTTCTCTTACCTGGGTCAGACAAGACTTCTTTTGCGGCTGCGATATCAATGAACATTTTCTCGGCTTTTTTCTTATCATCGCCTTCGTAATGGTCGGGGTGCCATTGCACAGCTAACTTGCGGTAAGATTTCATTATTTCTCTCTTTGTTGCCGTCCTAAAAAGCAAAATAAGCAAACGGCCAGTGAGTTACAGTGCAAAAGTGATGAGATTTCAACGTTGCCCAAGCCTCTGCTTTTAAACCAGGGCAAGCGCGAAGCTTTTGATATGACAGTGATTTTTAATTCTCATGCAAATAAGATTCATTTTTGCCCTTAGTCTCATTTGAAAGCTGAGGGTTTTTGGAACTCGGAAATAGCCAATAACAGCGTCTTTTTAAAAACAGTCAAAAAGTGATCAATTTGGCCAATCGGCATTCAAGTAGAAAAATAAGAACCAATCAGATAAGGGACTAGCTGACGCAAAGCGCGGGAAAAAGCACGGGAGCAGGTGAGTCGTGATTGTTTCTGATTGGGAGAGAGGCGTGAGATTTTCAGCCAATGACAAAGCCAAGAAAGTACTAATTAGGGGCACTGATTTTAGGTCTCCTACTGGAGACGGGACCATGACTTCTTCTCCGAGCCGCGCGAGGATGTAGCCGTTTGCGAGGCAAAGGCAGTACTCCATGAGTGTTGGTCCGGCCCCGAGGACCAAACCCGCGATCTCCCACTCTGCAGACTAGCGCAATTCCAACGGCGGCCAGCTCTACCGTAGTCTAAGGCAAATTAAACACCAAACAAGGAAATCACGAAATTACTTTCAATACTCGGGAGAAACGGGAGCTCAATGCGATGTAGCGTTTAGCAGAAAAAGAACGTTACCTTTTCAAGCCTAATATTTTATAATAATCCCGTTTCTTAGACTGCTTTTGTAGTCTCAATGCTCTTTCAAGTCCTTCCTGAACCTGGGAAGAACAAACAAACAAGGGGTTGAAAAGTTTAACTCCGCATCTACAGACTTTTCTTCATCTGTCTAAAATTGTAAGGGAAACTCCAGAAATTTTTTCACCGGCCTACCTTGTGTAAATTCTCATTGATGTTCTTCGCTTTTTGGTAATCATTTACAGCTGTGAAGAAAGAAAAAGTTTGTCGAAGTTTAACAGAAGATATTAAAATCAAAATCTCGTTACATATGCAAGTATGCAAGTGCTCTTTACTGTCATATTAGCTGACATGATGGCGATTAGAGAATGCAGAGTATTGAAAGGTGGCCAAACGAAAACACCCAAATGTACGTATAGGCAGACTTGACAAATCTAACAAGAAAAAATAATCTTTTCAGGTAAGAGGATAAGAGGGCGCGCAGTTTCTAACCTACAATGTAGTGTAAAAATAGAAGTTTGGTGCATCTTAATTGGTAGTGAAATTAAAGGAACTCACCTTCATCGTACTGTTCATTAAGTATATTGGCCTCGGCTCTGTCACAAAGTGCATCAACATCGTTTTCATCAAGTTTTAAGGCTTCGTTACACTGTCTGATTGCATCGTTCGGATTTTGAAGCTTAACATTAAAAAAAAGCCGAGAAAATTTCATTAAACCTCGACCACATGCAACTTGAACGTATTACAAGGCCATCCTCATTGTCTTAGCTCAAAACTCACGATTATTTCACCCTTAACTCTTCAAGCCTAAAGATCTACACACAAATTCTCCAGAATTCTCCATACATTTCTTTTGAGAATAGTAGAGAGAATTTGGTTTAAGATCAAAGTATTCTCCCTTTGGTCATCAATTTAGTAATTCTCATAACCTTTACTCTTGATGATCTGCTGATGTTGTCAGGAGAAAATTGATGTTGGTCACTCTTGTGACCTAAAGGGTAAGAGTGAACAGCACTTCACCCAAGTCAAGAAAAGGTCTTGAGAATAAATTTAAAGAATAATCTCCAAGGAGTTTGACATTCACCTTCAGATGGCAGTGACACATCTGTCGCCTAAGTGCTCCCACCAGAGAAGGGATTCTAGACTCTGTTTTGAGCGCCTGCTTTAGTTTAGATAATGCTTCTTCGTATCTGCAATAAAGCAAGCAATAAATATTACTTGAAACGTTACTTCTTGGTGGTGAAATACCACAGCTTACCCAGTCCTGTCCAAGGAGAATTTCCTTTAACAGGGACACCAACAAGTTTCTTTTGAGTTTTTCTCAAAATTTGCTTTAAATTGGTCTGGTTGAAAATCGACATACTTAATCAGCCTTTTGCTTTTAGGAAGTGTGTCCATGATGCAGGGTATGACTAAGTGTCTGTAAAATAACAATCATAATTTTTTCACAACTTACTCGCCCCTGTTGATCAAGTCCTGTGCTGTTGTCATCTGTTTATTTAGTTTCTTCATTTTCTACAAAAAATGGTGAAATATACATAGTTCTTGAGCTACTCGTAATTTATGAGTAAATTTTGCCCACAGTCCATCCAATGGATTTGCACAAAAGCTTTTGATCATAGTGTAGCAAACTATGCTGTGTCAAAACAAACCAACACACCCACTTATCACCTCCACAAAATCAATGCTCTTTGAGTGTCATAAATGAAAAGGAAATTGCAACAAAAATTGTTTATCTAGTTTGCTCTCATTATTTAGTGGCTTGTTGAACTTGCTTGAATAACTTGCACTAAATGTAAAAATAATTATAATAATAATTTTTATCATAATAATAATAATAATTGTTATTATTATTATAATCATCATCATTATTATTATTATAATTATAATAATTATTATACTGACCTTGTAAAAAGGAAAGCATTCCTTGTGATCAGGATCAAGCTTCAGACATTCTCGAATTTCTCTGAAAAAAAAAAATCATATGGACGCATTTTAAAACAAAACCAACACTAACGCATTTAAGTTCAATTTTAACTGGAAAATTATAAGCAGGGATTCTCATCACTCTCAAGTCAGTACTTGTAAAACTAAGAAGTAAAAAAGTCGTAATCCTGGAATCCTACCTGGCTTGTAAAACATTGGTTTGAACAATAATAAAATGCAAGTGATGAAAAAGAATAAAAACTACGTAACCCACCTTAGGGCATCTTCTAATTCACCCATATCATAATGTAATTCACTAAGCTGAAGGTATGCTCCTGTATTATCACTTATTAGCTTTGTAGTAGGCCTGGTAAAAGAATGGAAAAAAAAATATGAAATGAAAAATATTATACAATTTCCCATTATTTGTAATTATGTCTTGAAAGGCCAGCAGTGAGTAGGAATGTAGCTGCATTGCTTCTGTAGTTAATTAACGCTCACTTGATATCTGAAATAGCACTGATATAGTCTCCCATTTGTTTATGACAATCAGCTCTCATCATTCTAAGATCAGGATCCCATGGAGTAATCTGGAAGTAATAATAATAATTAATAATAATAATTTATTCATTTATAGTGCGCTTAGTAAGAAAAAATAAAGAAATTTGACATTTGACATTTAACTTGCAGTTGAATGCTCCTGGATCTACCTGCAACTTATACAATAATGTAAGCTTTTGGAATTGACTCTGTAAAATGTTAGGCAAAATTACCTTATACCCTGTACTTATAGTAGTGAGGATTCTCCAAAAAATAATAGAGGGAGCAAAATATAAGTTGGCATCCAAAGATTAGATCAAAGGACACAGAGCACCTTTCACTCTGCTGTGGTTGGGTAGTCATGGGCAGGTATGACAAAGGGGTTAGGGGTTAGGCTTAGGATAGTCAAGTCCTTCCATTTCCGTTATTAGTACTGTATTATTATAAATGTTACAGGTTAAATTTTTTTTAACCTAGATTGATCCTCAATCTTTCCTTTCTCTCCCATCCCTATTTCATGAATAATTAGGGCTAGGGGACAAAGGAAATTGAGAATCAACCTACAATCAGCGACAAAATTGTTGAGACATTGTTCTTAGATGGGGTAATTTCGGAGAACAAAAGAATCCGCACCCCTCCCCTGTCCCCTCCATTCAAAGTTGGGGTGTTTGTTGTTTTCTATAGGCAGCGAGAACAAGGGCACAACATTGCACGGAGGGGATGGGGGAGGAAAGCTATATTTCCTCCTTTTGAAGTGAATAAAACGTAAAAAAGCCCAGTTTTGGGCGAAGTGTCTCAACTCATTTTGTCGCCGATTGTAGGTTAAAAAAATTCAACCTGGATATAATTTTGACCTGTAACATAAACAATAACTGATTATTGACAAAATTGTTATTACCTCTATTGCTTTTCCTAAAGATTCTATGGCTCTGGGGTAATCCCCCATGTTCATTGCATCCCTAGCTTCTATCACATCTCTTTTGATGGGTTCTATTATGCTTAACTGAAAATCAAACAGAAAACACATTTCAGACAATGCAAAAGGAAATAGGTTGTAACATGGAAAAAGTTGATATTTCTTAAATCTTTCCAACTGCATACAAACCTGCTGCAGTGCCTCAGGATTATCAGGGCTTTTCCGTAGCTGACAATCAAATAAAAAACAATAAGATTATTTTACTACTGTTATTTTGTAGTAAATTAATATTCTGTGTGGGTATATGATTATAATTTTCACAGAAAAAGGTATAAAACAATTATAAATACTAGACTAACTTATAAACAATGCCCTTTGATAGAAAGTTGAACTTACCACTGCTTCATAATCAATGTGCGCTTCATCTAATTTTCCTTGTTTGAGTAAAACATTTCCTCGTTGTAACCGTGCCTACAGAAAAAACAAGGAAACCAACAATCTTTATAAAATTAATTATCTATCATGATCACTCACCCCTATAACTAATACCAACTTACTCAACCCAACAAAACCCTAAAGAGGGATGATGATGATGATGATGATGATGATGATGAAACCTTTATTAAAGTGTCAAAACTGTAATAGCGGTGTATAACCACTAAGTGGGGACAATACAAACCACATGGTCATGGTACCCTGCGCAACAGACGAAACCAATCCTCTGGTTAAGTCTGTTTGCGAAACAGTGCTGAAATCCCTTGCTCCAGGACCCCACCTGTGTACCAGGATTTTAGTATGTGTCATGATTGGCCTGTTAGAATTGGAGAAATGCCATCATCAATTGCCAATCATGTTGAAGGGAACTGAAATTCAAAATGTTGTCTGTCTGTAGTCTGTTGGAGGCCCAGGGGTTTCAATAAGCACCAACTACTGACGAAACCCATCAGCTACATTGTTCAGAAAAGTTGGCTACTCTTTCCCCCGAACTAGAAGCAACTAGTTTCAATAATGTCATGGGAAAAAATAGAATTTGTTCACGCAGAAATGTATGTAACTTAGTATAATTATCATTTGTTCATTGCTTGCAGGAGTTAATTGTCTGACTAATAAATCAAAATTTGACTAAAACCCAAATCTTCTTGACTAGAAAACTCACTCTTTTATACTCAGTTTAGTCCCCTAGATGCTTGAAATCACTTATTAGGGCTTTGCAATTTTAAAATTTTCTGAGGGAGCATGTTCCCAGACACCCCTTGAAAATGTGGACTGTTGATACAGTCGGTTACTCTATTCAAATCTGCTGGCTACTTAAAACCCCTGGAGGTCCAAAACATGGATATCATGGCCGCTTTGCAGACATTACTAACGGAGGTTAGGTTATGTCCGCAACCCAGGCTAGATCATGGATGACAGGAAAACAAGAAAGAAAAAAAGGATAACACAGGGATCACTGCCTCTGAAGTTGTCAGTCAACCTGTAAAACTGCATTATGGATAAGAAAGGAACTTACTTGGAAAAAGTCAGGTTTAAGCTCTAGAACTCGATCCAAGTCAGGTAATGCCGCCTTTGAACGACCCATGGCAAGAAAAACTGTAGCCCTTTTGAAATATGTTAAAAAATTGTCTGGGTCACCCTCTAAAAAAGAAATGCAAAAACAATCTTTAATCTTTAATCAGTTAATTGCCAACAGCACAAACTAATTGTGGCAATAGGTGGTCGTAATTAGCTAGGCAATAGGTGATGACAGATAGCTTTTTTTCTGCGGCAATAAAAAGTCAGTATCTGCACGTTAAATATATTTTTTTAATGCCTCACAAAGCAGCATATTAAAATCAACATTCAGAAGCCTAAACATAAATTTCCCAGGGAGAATGCTCCTCCTTTCCAGTAATCCTGAATCTTCTCAGCCTTAGGATTATACATCTTTTATAATTATCATCTTTCAGGGAAAAAATTATCAACAGTGCTGAATCAACCAGAGGTATTTGCATTACAACCTACAAAATACAATGCCTGGCAAATTTCTATTGGTCGGATTCTCATTAAATCACTGGCGCAACTTTCACGCGGTACTATTATGTCAAAATCAGCTGATTTCCCAACGAAAATTACGCTTATATTTTTCAGCTCCTTTTAACTTGTATGAAACAAACATTTTTATCTTAAATACTACTAATTCTTTGAAGAAGGGGTATCTATCAAAACTTATATAGCTGAATGTTTACAAATAACTATCTGTAGACTTCTTACTCCTTGTGTAATGTCCAATCGATTTCACTACTTCACATCGCCGATTATAAACATAGCGGTTTTAGCTCCGCAGAAAGCCAATATAAACTGCAAATTTGGGCAAGAATAGCTTGGGAAACGGAAATAATTATATGGTATCCAATTAAAATGCTAAAACAATCGCAATCTTTATAAGTAGGTTACTACAGTTACTACCAGAGACAAGATCGACTTCGGATTTGGCTTATTATATAAACACTAACTGAAAATTGCAATTTATAGAATATAAAAAATAAAACTGATGAAATTTAAAAAGGGCGATCAAAACAGTTAAAAATTACAGTCGTCAAAGGACAAGAAATAGAAATTCGCACCGGTACAAATTCACAGGGTATATACAAGCCGGTTCGATTCGATCGGAAATGTACCACTCCGTCAAGATAAAAGACGCAACTTTTTTACTTACCTACTGCAGCATGGTAATGCACTAAAGCATCGCTGAGTTGTCCTGAAGACAACAATCGTTTGCCTTGTTCTAAATGGTTTTCAATCTCCGATGCCGACAATTTACTGGAAACTCCTGCAAGAATTCGGAGGCACGTCATCATTTTATACCTTCATAGTTCCACACCTTGCGTAAAAGATCCCTTAAAAATCCCCATACGTCGAATCTGACACATTGAAAGGACTCACCGATTATCTTGAGCTCCAGACTAAAGAATATTAAATGAAGAGAAGAGAAAAGTTGACTTAAAGTACACATTTTCTGTCTGACATGGACTATGTTTTGCCTTAAATTTCTGTTTCTACTCTGTGTCCTAAGGAAGTCAACCGCAGATCATTTCAGTGTTGGCGCACATTGTCGTGGTCGCGCCTGATTGGTCAATTTTTCGTACTCAGTCCCTTCTAGATCTTCACTGTAAGTCGCGATAAATCAAGGAAAATATGCGCGTTCATTTCAAGCTTTAACTAAAGGAATGGGCTTTTAAACATTAGCGAAAGTTAAGAGAAAGGCCAGTTTAGACAAGGGGTACATCTAAGGGGGGGGGGGATGGGGAAGTGGCGGGGAAGGGGGCTCCTTGGGTGTACCCAGGAGCCTATAAGCACGAGCGAGCAGCTTCCATGCGCTCGTGTCGCGGCGTTTTCACGAACCAGTTTATTTTTAGAACGGTTTTGGCGCGAGTTTTGAATATCTTTTAAATTCCACAAACCAGTCACCAAAACCTACCGACCTAAACATGACATTTTTTGCCTTTTTTAAAATAACGTTTAGTTTCCCTTTTTGATATCTCATACTTCAAATGGGCTCATAAATATAGCGGAGATTTTATTTTCGCGGGAAAAAGTGCCCTAAAAGGTGTCTAAAAATAAACTGGTCCATAAAAACGCCGTGACATAGGCCTAGTATGGGAGTTGCTCACTCTAAGTAATGGGCTCATGGTGTACCCCATCATGAACCCTGGTTTGGCCCAGCCAGGTGGTGACGTGGTATCCACCTAATGTATTTGGAGAAAGTTTAATTTCCTGATACCCCTCCCTCAACTCAGAAAACTTCTATAAAATATAAGCCTGCAGTATAACAGACAGTCTAAATCCCTGGGCCCAGTTCCTCAAAAGATAGTTAACTTTTTTCTTGTCTAAGATCATGCAACTCGAGCTTCCTGTTCAGTCTTTACTCCAAGACACAGCAATGATAACACAAAATGCTACTCCAAGCAATGCATAGGAAGGTAAAACACAAAAACGGAACAAAGTTTTAATCCTGGATTAGCACTAATCGGCCTTTCAGGAACTAGGCTCTGATACATAGACTATATCGAGTTCTCTATCTGGGTCTCCAGTGACAAGTCTGGCTTCAAAACAGGCTACTTGGTAAGAGCTCTCTGAGCTTCTTAGTTTTGCGAGACAATTTGACTATAAAAAATATGTCTATCCAACCCTTTGAGTCCCAGGAATGACCAATGTCAATTTTCCCATCAAAAACTAAGAAAAAAGGTAATGAAAATTTATAAAATGATACCGGTATTTACCAAAAGAAATATGCTTTGATCTTTGATCAAATTCTCTCAGCTAATTCTGTGAGATATATAGAGTTACGTCTGGAGAATTTGTGATGATGCATAATTTAATTTTAACCTTGGTTTCACTTTTATTTTTCTTCTTTTATTACCATTAATTAACAATGATAACCCAAAACAAAGGAAAATAAAATTTCAGCCAAGGATAAAGTTGAGCCTCAACATGGATATTTGGGTATTATTATAACCAAACAACATTATATGGTATTATACCCAAACTGTTGTGAGTCTGTATGTAAGTATTAGAGGAACCTTCATAAGAAGGTTGAGTATGATCGCGTGGGTGAACATAGTCCTGAATAGGACTGTATACCTGCAAACTCTCACGCCTTAGGCGTGAGTCTCGATCACGCCTGCGGGTTGAAAACTTCGATCTCACGCCGGCTCACGCCTGCGGGCCAATTTCTCACGTCTGATTGAAAAATGTGAGTTGTTGCCGTCTTGCTTGACACAATTTCCAAAAATATGTTAACTCAGACCCATGTCAGGAACGAAAACCATGTGTAAATGAATAAATAACAATACCTTCCTCGCGATCTCTGATTTTGTGGATGTTTTTCGATAACCGTCGGACGTCTTCGGACTTCTTCGAAGACTTTTCGGACAAGGAATCTTCGAAATGATGATAGTGTCGTCTGCAAAAATCCCAGAACTCCCAGGATAAAAATCTCACGCTTATATCTCAGAAAAAGTTGGCAAGTATAGGACTGTTGTTGTTGACAATGACTGATGTTTCGACAACCAGTAGGGTAGTAATCTTCCGAGTCAAAGTGAGTTGCATGACATCAGTTGATGGTATTATATACTCTGTGGAAGTTGCGTTATCCAGTGGATAGCTTTGTCCTCTTTTTTGAACAACTGGGACCAGTGTGGGCTGCATTAAAGTACAGAAGGGACCAGAAAAGGATTAAAGAGATAACAAATTTGAGAATGAAATATTACATGATAAATAGTATTGTTCAAACTATACTTCTCACTGTCTTCCTTATTAAATTTGCATAATTTCAATACAAAGACTTGTAAATTAATATTTATTACATTTAGTAAAATTTCTAAATTTACAGAAAATTAATCATGCATGTCATGTAAGCTTGTCAAAGTCGTGGAAAAATAGAGAGAGAGTGTATGAAAAGAATGTTTGAAATAATTTTGCTCTGGTTAGCAAGATCACCATATGTTTCCATGAAGCATAGACATTTACACACATACACTGTACCAGCTGACAGTTGGAACAGCTAATCATAACTTTGAACTCCGCATTTATGCTCAACTCTCCAAAACCTTTGGGACCAGCATGCCGACTAAGTGTCCGTCTCAGAGAGATGTCCATCTTATAGCTAGAGAGTCAAATAAAGGGCCAGTAAAGAAAGACAAGGACCAAATCTAGGTGTCTGTTTCACAGAGGTGTCCTTCTTATAGAGCTGTCTGTTAAGAGAGAGTCAACTGTACACTTCATTGGTTAACTGTTTTAATTTATCCATGCATAAGGAAAAAATCCATTGTCAAGCCAAAAGTCACACTCCTTCTTATGATATCCATCCCTCTCAAGAATTTTCTCCCCTCCATCAGTAAAGACAGAAGTATTTTGAGGATATTTACCCCAACTTGTGAAAGGTTTGTTATGAATGAATTTACTAAACTCTGTTCTCAGATCCCTCATAAAACTCAGGTCTTTTTCAGAAGGACAGTACTGAAAGTCTTTTGGAAAACCAAAAAATGCAACCAAGTCCCACATGTGGCAAGCAAGCGTCGCTTGAAATCCAATTAAATTTATCGGGGCAGATGGGGAATTTGTCACCACATAACGATAAACAGGACTCTTGAAAAATGTAGATGCATCGTGAGTGAGGACATTATTCGGACAAGTTACTCTGACATCAGATGCCATGGAAGTGTAAGAAAACTGAAGAGCAGAACCTTCAGATACACTTCTGTTGTACATACTCAACACTTCACTAACATTATCTCCAATAAAAGGAAAAAGTTTTTCCTTGACATAAGCACTATAATCAGCCCATGTAGAATTCTCAAAGTTTTTAACTAGCTGAAAATTTGTCTCCTGTGCTGTTGTTCCAATAATCAATGGTACATCACTTGCTCTTCCTGTTGCTATAGCAACAAGGGGAGGATGTGGCACTACAACTTTGTCGACTACAGCAACGGCACCATCAAACATGTTTTTAGTGGGCAGATCATTTTGATCTGTCATGCGCCAGTATGGATACACATCCCATGGAATTGCATCTTCAATTTCCTTGGGAGTAAGTGAATACAAACATTCTCGCTCAGCAGATGAGTTGTTTCTTACGCAGTTAGACTTTTTTACAAAAATCTCATTGTCACGAGCTGCATCCTCCGATGACTTGTTGAAAATTGGTGAGCCGCTCATGAGAATTGCACGACGGAAAAGTCCTTTTGCAGCAGGTGCAGCAAGAAGCGCTAGAAGAGACGTTGCACCAGAGCTTTGACCAATCAGAGTAACAGAGGCGGGATTACCTCCAAATTTCTCAATATTTTCTTTAACCCATTTTAATGCCAAGATCTGATCCATAAAACCATAGTTTCCAGAGGTTATAGAAGGTGAGGCATCTGCCAGAGACTTCAAAGCTAAAAAACCAAACGCATTCAACCTGTAATTAAAAGAAACTCCAACCACGTTTATCTCAGTCACCAATTCAGCAGACGGACATAGCCCATTCCAGTTTCCTGAGGAATACAGCAAGTATCCACCGTGAATGTATACTAGCACGGGCAGCAACTTTTCACTGGGTCTTTTTTTTGGCGTCCAAACATTAATAAACAAACAGTCTTCGGTACCGATGACTCTGGTGGGATCCGTTTTGTTTAGCACATCTTGCTGGGCACACATAGTTCCAAATTCACTAGCTTCAAAAGTTCCTCTCCAGCAGTTGTTCATTTTACAAGCAACAGGCGCCTTCCAACGTAGATCTCCTTCGGGAGCCAGTGCATACGGAATTCCCTTAAACACAACAGCATCATTCTCGAATATTCCACGTACGGAACCACTCTTGAGTTCAACTATGTTGCTCTGAGTTTCCTCAGCATTTTCGTATTCCTTTACTTTGCGCGAGAAATAATAATACAAAAGCCCTCCTAAGATGACGATGAAAAGAATGACAACAAACACAAGTGCACAGCGTCTTGTTCTGCGCTGTCGAGCCAAACGGATCCGTGAATCGAGTGAACTATAATGTACACCATCTTGTATTTCCATGTAAGAGTCTGAATGTTTTCGATCAGGAAGAAAAGGTCTTGTTTCTTGCGATTTTCGCATTGTTGAAGACTTCCCATCGGTAGATTTGTAGTCGCCATGCATGCGCACGTGACACGTAATTTACTATCAATAGAAGTGACATGTCACGCACCTGTCATGCTGTACAAAGTTCTTAGAACCCACTCGTCTCAGTGTCGATACAAATACATGTACTAACATGATCTCCCTCTTCACACGAAAAAAACTACTGAATAGGTGTTAAATCCATTATAAACATCCAGTAAGTTTGTTTAGCTCGTTGACCCTTATGCACCCGTGGGTGTCGATGATACCGAGAAATATTGCAAAAGTTAAAAATTAGTTACGGTAAGCAAGTTTCAAGTTTGAGGGAAAATTTGGATTCCATGGAAGGCTGAAATCCAACACAGCCAAAACAGACTGATGGAATTTGGGACAAGATACAGACAAAACCAAGGCTATGGTGTTCAGACGAAACAAAACAAAAACAATCAAAGCGTACCTTACACCTAACTGAGGCGTCTGGGTCAATTTGCAGGTTGCAGGTTGCAGGTCGCAGGTTGCAGGTTGCAGGTTGCAGGTTGCAGGTTGCAGGTCGCAGGTTGCAGGTTGCAGGTTGCAGGTTGCAGGTTGCAAGTCAGAATTTGAAGAACGCGCGAACGGTCAACGCTAAAGTGAAAACACTCGAACAGCCTGATTTTAAAGCGAGCAATATTCAAACGAAGACAGAGTTATAAATCAGTTTAAGGTCGGATGCTGTGCAATATATGCCCGGGGGGGGAGTCACTTGAGGGGAGTTTGGGTGTAGGTGAGCCGCCAAGGCCTTCAAACTCTGACCCTGCCGTTCAAACCCTGTTTAAAACCCTGTTTAAGACAAAATGGTTTTCCGTTTTCATTTTGCCACCCTGAATAGGGTATCATTTTTTGAGAGTTGCTTGAAGATTTTTCTGACTGACTAGGTTTTAGACTAGGGTAGCAAAATTCAGCTGAACCCAAATAAGGGTTCCAGGGTCCCAGCGGCACATCCCCACCCAGAAATTCCTAAAGTGCCCCCCCGGGGTTTAAAACAAGAGTGTGTTTTTTGTGACTGTTTTAGACTGTAGCCCTTAAGGAGATATTTTCTTTATAGATAGAATAAAATACAATACAAAATGGGGAAAATATATTTATTTAATTTGTTTGCGGAATCACATGAAAATTTTTTCGAGATTACTGACAGAACAAAAAATTATTTTAAAAAAACTTCGTTACACACGTAGACCGCACACCGCCAGAATTCACACCCCATTTAAGACTCAGAACGCATACCCTGTTCAACGGCACAACAAAAAGAAAGCAAAATATTGATGTTATTGCCGATCTGGCGACAAATTACATCCGTCCGGCCCTTAATGTGTGCTCTCTCTAGGTACCTTCTTTTTATTTTGTTGCTTTGAAAGTGTACTGTTTTGAAAGCATTATAAGCGTGACACTTCCGGCGCGACCTTGTGTCACATATCAAATATCTAACGCGGTTAGCCGGCACGTGGAAATTTTCACATCTGTTTTTTTTTACGATTCGTTTTAATTTTTAAAAGTGTGAAGCTGAGAAATTTTGTACCTATAGGGCTTCGGCTGCAAAATCTAACTCCCAAAAGACAATTTCCTGGGACTAAAGATATTTCTAGTTTGCGTGACGCTGAAAAGACAGTTTTTTTCTCAAAACACTTAGATATGCGTTATTCTCAAACTCTATTGAATAACACTTGCATAAAAATAAAAGATATTAAGCTTCCTGGTGTACAAGGAGCTTTTGTCACGAAAACGCTTGACTGCCTCAACAAAAGCCATAACGGAAGATTCTTGACGCTGTATTACAGCCGCTGTTAAGATGAGTCCGAATAGACGAGAAACGGATCTATCAAATCCACTTCTGTCGATGAGCGATGATGAATCAGATATTGAGGACATGATTTTGTCGGAAACAACAAAAAAGACGAAGAAGAAGAAAATTGCTGCGATCATTATCATGCTCATTGTGTTTCTCGCTTCCCTTGGAGGGATCATTTATTATTTCTTTTCCAAAAAGGCAGGAGTATCAACAATAGAGCAAACAGTTGAAGTAAAAGTACAAGGCGGTGTTGTTCGCGGACAATTCGAAAGTGGCGTTGTTGCGTTCAAGGGTATACCGTACGCTAAACCACCCGTTAAAGATCTACGCTGGAAGCCCTCGGTTCTTTGCGAGATAAACACATGCTGGAGTGGAACCCTGGATGCCACAAAATTCGGGAGTATGTGCTTTCAACAAGATGTTACAAACATCCAAGACCCGACTAAACCAATTGGAAGCGAAGACTGCTTGTTTATAAACGTCTGGACGCCTAAAAAACGTAGTAAAACATTACTACCCGTGTTAGTCTACATTCATGGCGGATATCTGCTGTATTTTTCGGGCAATTGGAAAGGGCTACATCCAACACCTGAAATGGTTTTAGGATTGGACATTGTTGGAGTATCTTTTAACTACAGGTTGAACGCGTTTGGCTTTCTTTCACTTAAGTCTTTAGCAGACGCTTCCCCGACAAAATCCGCCGGTAATTATGGCTTCATGGATCAGATATTAGCACTTAAATGGGTGCAAAGAAACATTGAGAAATTTGGAGGTGACCCGGCATCCGTTACGCTAATTGGTCAAAGTTCCGGTGGGACTTCTGAACTGGCACTTCTAGCATCGCCAAGTGCTGCTGGACTTTTTCATCGAGCAATTGTAATGAGCGCTTCCCCGGTTTTCAACAAGTCATCTGAAGATGCGGCCATTGACAACGAAATCTTTGTTAAGCACTCTAAATGCGAGAGAAACAGCTCGGCAGATGAGAGGGAATGTTTGTATAGTCTAACTCCTAAGCAAATCGAGGACGCCATTCCTTGGGATGTATATCCGTACTGGCGAATGGCTGATCTTATGGATCTACCCACAAAGAATCACTTCGATGGCGCAGTCGCGGTGGTCGACAAAACTATCGTAGCGCAACCCCCTCTTGTTGCTATGGAATCCAGAAAAGCAAATGATGTACCCCTGATTATAGGAACAACAGCTCAAGAAATTAATATTTCGCCAGTGAAAACCTTCGGGAACTCAGCTTTCAGAGACTATAAGGACCATGTTGAGGAAAAGCTGCGTCCATTTCTTGGCAACGATGTCGATGAAGTATTGAGTATGTACAACGAAAGTCTGGCTGAAAGTGTCTCCCTTCAGTTTGCCTACTCATCAATGGTGTCAGACCTGCGTGAAACGTGTCCCACAAATGTCCTCGCGCTGAATGCTTCCAGAGGTTTTAAGAGTCCTGTGTATAGATACGTAATTACCAACAGTCCCTCCGCTCCAATCAATGTATTTGGTTACCCGGCCTCGCTTGCATGCCATATATGGGATCAAGTCGCCTTTTTTGGTTTTCCCGCCGAGTTGAAGTATACACCATCGGAGAAGGACAAAAGATTTATGAAAGACCTCAGAAGACAATTCGGTGAATTCATTCACAAAGGAACTGTTAAGGACAACTCGTGGAAAAGGTACCCTGAAAGCACCGCCCTCTTCACAAATGACGGAGTCACCGTAATTAAAGAGGACTACCATAAGAAAGCATGTGATTTCTGGCTTAAAAATGGCTTTTTTTCGTATGGATGGATCAACTGATTTACTCTTCCACTGATAGTTACACTTCCCATGCATCATTACCCTAACTGTAAAACAATGGTAATAACGATAAACAATGTTGTGTATAGCAATGGGGTATGTAGCAGCTACTGTAGAGTCTTCTTTAAGGACTACGGATATGTAAAGCTAGTATTTCTTAAAGAATTGTCACACCAATACAAAAAAATACTGAGGCCCAGCCTAGTCCCTAGTCGTTCTCTCTCTCTCCGTTGTCCGCGCGAAGTATTGGAGACTCTACGCATGCTCATTACGTTTTTCCGCCCTGAAGTTCTCGGCGAGTATCTCTCGGTGACGTCACAGCTCATGGTAGAGTCCAGGAATGACCAAGCCGAAAACGCCTGGGGACTAGGCTGACTGTGCCATCTGTTACAGTTGTTGTTGTTGTTGTTGTTGTCATTTTCTACTTTTCCCAAGATATTCTTCTCTCTATTGATTCTCCTGGTCAACCTTTCTTCTATTTAAAGGATCATGATCAAGTGACTACAATGCATCATTAAACACCTAGCTTATAACAAACGAAATCATGGTAATCTAAACATACACAACAAATATGGAGAACGAACATGTTACAGAAATTATACCACTGTAAACTTAGTTAGACAGTCTAGTTATAGAGGAGCTTATTAACTATTCGGCACATAGGATAAAATAGTGTGTAAAGGGATATTCAAACCCCGTAGCACCAACCAGGCTGGAAATTTCAGCCCGGTCAAACACGATGAAAACCCTCTTCTGTTCAGAAGAAGATTTGAGATCTAGAAGTTTCGGAACATTTGTTGTAAAATTTCTTGCTTGCCTGCCTCTCCTAGGATTTTCGAACATCTAAAAAGATGAAAACCTTCTTCTTTTCGGAAGAAGATTTGAGATCTAGAATTTTCGGAACATTTATTGTAAAATTTCTGTTTTTTTTAATTTATTTATTTGTTTTATTTTTTTTATTTTATAATCACACTTGGTATTCACTTACAATACAGCTACACGGTACTTACTTACAACAAGACTACAAAATTTACTTACGTTACAGCTTTACTACTTACTTGTTTGCTACTTACTTACATTAAAATACCTAAAACTAGTTTACAACAAACAAAAGGACTACTAAAGACAATAAATAAATGAAAAGAAAAGAAAAGAAAAGAAAGAAAAGGCGACTCCGGTTTTTAGCAATAACTACTTGACATAACATTGACTACAATTGCTAATATTAATAATAAATCATAAATATGCATAATTAGATGATTAATAAGATGATTAATAAACAGTGCGGAAAGATATGTGAAATAGATACTTTAATTAAGAAATATTGGCGGTATGTCTAGCTCTCAATTGCACTTTGGCCTTGGTCCATTTACAGAAAATGGATAAATAGGAAAGCTTTTATTTTACCAAAAGCTATGTAATGTTGAGAAGTGGACGTAAAGGATTCCATTTCTTAGAAGTTGCATCAATGTTGTTGGACTCTATGTAAAACTGCGATTTAAGGGACATAAGAAAAGTTGTTAAATTCGGAATTTTCTGGTTGACCCTGCAGCTCCATATATAATATCTTGCCAGGAGAAAGCAGAAATTTAGTTGAAGTGAAAACTTGGAGGTGTCTGGTTTCATACCCAGATATACAGCAGTGTATTCTGGATAATCTATCGTTATTAGATTGATCTGCTTTAGTTTTTCAGTCAAATTTTCCCAAAAGGTGGCTACTATTGTACAGTTCCAGAAGAGGTGGATTAGGTTTTCGGGATGGATGGTACAGAAAGAGCAGTTCGGGTCCTGCTTTATATCGATTTTTGTTAGGAAAAGGTTCGTTGGTAAAATTCGGTGAAGGAATCTAAATTGAAAGTTTACAAGTTTTGTGCTTTTTGTACACCTAGCTGCCAGACATTAGGCGCTGGTCCAGTCAGCAGAGCAAAGTAGAGTAAAATTTCTTGCTTGCCGGCCTCTCCTAGCATTTTCGAACATCTAAAAAGGGTATAATTGCCCATTTTTAACGGATTTTTATCCTAAAAAGGTCACCAATAATTTTCGGGAGCCTTTTTTCTGGCTGAAATTTTCGAAAAGGTAAGTTTTGATTCCTATAATTTTCGGATCACTAGACTTTCAGCTAGGCAATCCGAACAGATGAAAAATTTTCAGGGGATAAAAATATGCCTATATCTAGCGTTAAAATACTAAAATACGTTTAACAATGCTATGTTTAAATGGTTTTGAACTAAATTCCCTTTGGGTGCCCTTGAAATTTCAGCCCGGACTGAATTATTAACGTAACCCGCATGCGCACCACCCTGAAACTTGATTGTGAAACACTTAACTGAACCCGGGATGGAATTCCTCACTTAACCGGCTCTTAGTAAAAGCGTTTAAAAAATACGCAATCATAATTTTTAGCAATCTTTCATCCGGGTCTTTAAATTATCATTTTGCCAGTCATATCAATTAAATACGCGATGGAGCTTTCTTTATTTAGCATTTTTCTCTCACTGAATAAATAGATGATATGGAATACTGTTCAAGAATAGTACATTTCACTTCTCATAAAATGCGGCCATTAAACATCTTAGTATTCTCTGAAACAGCAAACGATAGATCGTAAAAGTCGTTTGGAATTCTTCCTGAAGGCTTTGTTGCTGAAAAAGTACACCAGAGGATTCACAGAGGAATTTGTTAATCCAATGGTTACTGCCCATACGTAGAAAGTATTAATGTTTTGTTCTGGGTCAGTAACAAGAACATATCCGTATGGAACCCAGCTTAGAGTGAATAAAGCAATTACCACAGCAATTGTTTTGGCCGCACGCCGCTCAGATTCCCGCCTTTTCTTGGCAGCAAGTGTGTTAGCAGATCCTCTTCGTTTTTCGGTCGCACGCGCACTACAATCCTGATGACTCTTGCTTTCGAATGCATCATTGACTTTTCCGTTGCTGAGTTGACAAGCACTGTTGTTTCCCTTATTATGAAACTCTTTTACTACTACTGTTCTCGCGAAGTGCACTTTGAAATGCGTTCTTGTTTTTAGCAGTAGTATTCCATAGCTGGTTAATATGACTCCGTAGCAACCTGCCAGTCCTATAAGGACCAGTATTGAAGACAACCTTGTCCCTTTTCCAGCTATTAAACCAGATGTGCCAAGAAGGCAAGGAACTCCCCAAATGATAATCAACAAAAAAAGAACCCTTCTCCGAGTGAGATGTCGGAGTTGCCTTTGTCTTAGCGGCCACGCAATAGCTAAACACCGCTCCACGCTCATAAACGCCAGATTCATAAGCGAAGCGCCGCACGTTATGTAGGCTGCCAAACGAAACGCATCTCGCAGCTCGTGATCGCAAATCCCCTTCATGCGCGCGAACGTGAGAACCGCTTCCATCGGTTGCACAACAAGATTTACCATCAGATCAGCGATAGATAAACTGCAAATAAAATAACACCATGCCTTGTGAAGTCGCGGGCTCCAGTACACTGTCGAACAAACCAATAGATTACCAAGACTTCCTAAGACAGCGGAAAGAATATTTACTGAGAACGCGCTGATTCCTTCAAGTTCACGAATTGCGCAACTTGAATTTAACATAGCTCTGAATCGAGATAAGTCGGAAAAAAAGTGATAAATTTTCCAAAACAGCTTCTTAAGTAACCTCAATGAGTTGTTAAAATCCAAGACTTCAAGATAATGCCTTGAAATGGAGTTACGTGCAAAATAAATGATCAGTATAATGAAAAAGCGGACACTCCTTTTCTGCCAATGGTGCTCAACATACAAAATTAGTACGGATATAGATGGTTGGCCAAAAGTATTTGTTTATGGAAATTTCATAGGGACATCTTTATTTCTGGAGGAAAGTGCTATCAATTAGATTTGTTTCATGTTTTAAATAAAAAAGTTAAGGGGAACAGTAGGGTATTACCGAATGTAAAAATAGGGCTAAGAAACACTCTCTTTTCAGTGAATAGAAAGGAGTTCAAAGAGCTGTTCTAAAGTATTGAGACATTTCATTTTATTAACAGTATTACGAAAATCCCTTTTGACTAAACAGGGAAATCAGCTTTCTTTTTTGTTTGTAAATACTAATTTATTCAGGAGCCTTCATCTTTGTCTACGGAAACAGGTCTATTTGCTCTGTTTTATTGTTATCTTAGAAGTTTATTTTACCGTGTTTAGTTTCTGTCTAAATATATAATTCATTGAGAATTTTGCTGGTTTCAAACACATTTGTTCCACTATAGGTTACGAAAAATACGCGACATTATCTTTAAAAATAGAGACGCAAAATAGCAAGTCCTGTACCCGCCTACAAGCGATTATTTGAGGCAAAAAAAAAAAAGTTAAATGTAATCGCACAGTTGGTTTAATAAACCATGTGCTGACTGTCAACTTTTTCTTTTTTTCTCTATTTCAAAATGAATAACTCAAAAAGCTTAACCTTTCGTATAGGAGCTTTGCTTTAGGTTTGCCTGAATCTAGAAACCATGGTTTTACTTTTTAAGAGAGCTACCGGACATTGGAGCTTTTAGTTGAGTGGTCATATTTTACTGCGTTGTACTGCAAAATAAATCCCACCACAGGAAAGTACTTCTCTGTAATATTCATTTGAATAGTCATACTTAAAGATTTCACATCGGAAGATCGACTCAGTTTTAGTAATTATTGTTAAAAATACATTGTTTACTTTCCCAAACCGACCCCATCTAACGAACAGTACAGTGTTACATGTAGTGTCGCAGTGGCTCCGAAATCTTATTAGAACTGGAATCGGTGTTAAGCCTTCTGTCAAATAAATGTAATCGTTGATGATGGCTTTATTTGAGTTAATAGGGCAACTGCCGTCATTTGAATAAATTACAGTCTTAGCTATGACCATAAACACAATCGTAATCACAATCGAAGATTATTAAAACCGTCACCATCAGTAAGTCAGTCTAATAGCTTACGAGAGAGGGGTGGTCGCCGAGGAAGAGGGGGGGGGGGGAGATGTTATGTGAAGTGGTCGCACATGGAGGTTCGACTGTTTTCCGAAATAGCCAAACGATCCTCGATAGTGCCGACAAAAAAAATGAAAATATTTTATTTTATTTTTCTAAGTGTATTTTAAGTGTGTACAAGAGACACACCTTCCCGACCCTCAGGCTTGGAGCGATGCCCGCACTGCCATAATAGCCGACGTTCAATATATTAACACTTTAACGTGACTCCGAGGCTTTAGGGTTAAAATTGCAAATTTTTTACGACTCCATTGTCTCGCAATTTCCAGACGAGACTTTTACACAAAGAAAACCAAACAAAATATAGAAAAATGACCAGAAAGCCTCTAGAAGTGGATCATTTTACCTTTCTGGGAAACTGCCCACCTGCCCCTCCCCCCTCCCCCCCAAGCCAACATTAATACTTACATCTCACTTAAGGCAAAATTTTGGCTTAGGGGAGGGGTAGCTACGAGGTTAGATCGAACATGGGCTATTGTTTGGGTAGGTACTTCATGTATGATTCCTATATCTGGATACTGAACCTTTTCGACCGTTCTTTGATCATTACACTGACCCATATTGTATATTAATGTGTATTCTGCGTAAATGGTAAGAATATGATTCTGAATAAATACACTTTACGATGATGATGTTACTTTTAAGTTTCTTTATCCAATGGGCTTAGTTCCAGCGCAGCTCTGTGGAAACTCCAAGTGAATCTTATGTCAGTAATAATCGGCTTTCTAAAATATAGCCATAGGACTGACTTGGTCTCCAACAGCGTCGATTTGGCATTAATATTTAAATAGCGTGATTACAATCGATGTGTTTGATAAGTTTAAAGAAATCCTTTATAACGACTGTCAATTTGGGCTTCAAAATGCATCATCCGTATAGACGATAAATCCCAACCTACAATGTAAAAATTGTGTTTAATTTGATAACTCCTTAAAATCTGAATTTACTTTCAAAGTACATTGTAAACGGTCGGTTACACCGAAAAGTGGGAGCCTGTGGTGAAATCCATTCAAATTATTGGTATTTGGCAGCCTGTGCGCTATTGCAAGCATGCTGTGTAGTGACGGTATGAGTTCAATGCTTCTCTATTGGAGATTCATCAGCAAAGCGAGTGAATCTCAGTGTTAGATTGATTTGTATGGAACCGGGGCATATTTTAGCTTATCTCACACAGAGCGAAAACAACTTTTCGATTCAAGTTTTACAAATATTTCTTTTATCAATTTGTGGTGAAATCATATTTTGGCTAACATTCTTATACGAAACTAAAGGAGATGCATTTTTTGTGTAACTGGATCGCATCTTATGCAGGGCCTGTTGTGTGAAGAACCGAACAAAATCTGGCCAGAGAAGGTAAACCGTAATTTGAAAGAACAAGAAACTATTGAGTAGATATCTCTAGGTACTTGAGTCATATCTCAATTTTTTTATGTTTAATTATAATGTTTTCTTTTTGGTTATCATATCTCATCCTCTAAACTCTTGCTGTATATTCCTCAGAAAGTATTAATTTGCTATTTCCAGCGTTTGATAGCTATAGCGAATCTGTAAGTTTTTAAGCGGTTATTGTCACATTTATCAACTAAAATCTGACCTTGAGTTTAACAAAAGCAAAGCTAAATATCCTCGATATGAGACATCTTGAAATCTCAAAAACCAGCTGAATATTGTAATTCGCCCTTCAAATGTAAATGAAGCCTTCGATCAGTTCGTTAACAGGACCTAGCGATTGTTAATGTAACCCATTCATGTTTTTCACCAAGTAATCAAAAATCTCTATCATCAGCTATTAGGACTTCAAAAAAGAAATACCGTCATCTGAAATTAAAGAATTAGGCGACTTATTTCGATTCAGTCAGATTCAAGTGGCATGCATGACTAGCTGTAACATTTTTGTCTGTGACTAAGGTTTGAGGCTGATCGAGTAGCTTTCTCGTTGTGGCCTTGGCAAAATGCCAGAAGGGTCATTTTATTTCTCCGATATTAAGAGTGTGCATACTTGTTGGTGATAAAAGGTAGTGGAATGAAAGGCTGATTGACATTGGATCTTTTATCTTTTCGCCTTTCATCGAAAAGATAATTCAAAGGTGGATAAATTCGTCTTTGAGGTTACCAGCTGCCTCTCGCGACATTTCCATAAATCCTATTCAGGTCACGAGCGTTCAGTTTATCATATCATGCAGAGCGTCTTGAATGTTTGTCTTAAGAAATCAGAGTTAAAACTTTCACGTCAATAAGACAATTAGAAAAACACAGACAAGCCAATGTTTTTTTCAGAAAAAAGATATAGCCTCTACATCTTTTCGTTTTCAGATATTGGGCGAACCAAGATAGACCAGAGCTTAAATTTTTGCCAATAAAAGTAGTTATAAGATGTCTTAAAACAAATTTATACCCATCGGCAGAAAATCCATGTCACACAGTTTAGTTAAGTAGTAACGGAACGATATATTACTTTCAAATTCTCTTTTAATCTAGATAATTAAGAATTTTTAAGGTAAAAGGAACAGAAAAAGAATATCTTAATCCGGCTCTAATTGGCCCCTTACAGCTAGTAGTCACATGATCTTACTTATACAAAAATTATTATATAATCAAGAAGGCCTATTTTGAGGTGTTTATCACACATCCCTAAGATTTTGTGGCTGTTGGAATGGATCAGTGGAAAATTATAAGAATTTGTATGAATATTTCTGGACCACAAGGATCCATCCACACATACCGTATTTCTTTGTCATTTAAACCGTCTTAAAAATCTTACTGTTATCCTCTCTTGTAAGAAGTTAATACTTGAAAATTGTAAGAACCACTATTTTTTTGTGTTCTTTCCATTTCTTGTATTTTTAGGGTTGTATCCCATAATTTATGGCTGGAGATAGGTCACGTGAGCCCTAGCTGCAATGGACCGACCTATCTGCCTTTCATATTGAATGGCCGAAACATTTTGTTATTAACCGAATATCCGTGTGTTCTTGATTATATATTTGTCACTTATCTTGAGAAAGAGACATGCTGGGAGTAGATTTGTGTTTTGAAAAAATCAAAACTGTATATAGAACTAAAATGCCGCTGTGGTTAATACAACGCAAGTGAATTCGATAAATTCTACCAGGAATCCTCAACATAGGATTAGTAGTAAAATGGAGTTGTCAAGAAAGAACAATCTGTTTAGCTAATGGCGCAGAGTTCTTTTATTGGTATTTAGCGGTAAATTTTCTTATTGTTAGCTTCCAAACTGTTTATTGTGCTGTAGAAGGTCGTTGTAACTTTTGACTGGGAATGAAATCCTATTAAAGTGAGTGAGACCACTCAGATGAAAGCTTCTAATCAGTACTTTCCTATGTTACTGTTTATTATGCTGTAAAAGATACCGGTTCTAACTTTTGAGTCTGTGGATGAAATTTCAGTGTGTGACCATTCAAATGAACCAAACGACTAAACCAGTATTTTGCTATGTCGTGATGTTCTGGTAACGTTCGTTACGCTATCTGATCAATGTTAATTTTTCCTACGGAAAACAAAGACCCAGACGCAGTTGAAGTTTTAATTTCTTGCCAAACCGCAACGGGTTGCAGGGTACTTGGAAAGTGAAAATGAAAGAAAACCAAAACAAAAGTTAACTTTGTCAAAATTACAGATCAAGATATGCCCTTACGTAAGCTTATAGTTGAAACATAGTTTGTTTCTCAGGTTTCAAAAAGTGAAAAACTGGATCTAAAAAGAGCAGTTTTCAGTTTTTTTATTTTAGTTTTTTCAAAGTAAGTTGAACAAATTATACCAAGGTACTGCTGTGTAATCTATCGGTTGTCGGATACCCTATGTGTGTTGTTTTATCATCGTTATATATTATTTACAAAATATATTTCTAATTAGTGCATTTGTAATCTAGAGAAAGTACGGTTTTGTACTTCTGTGCATTAAACCTTGTACAAAATCAACTGATTTTAAATTTCTCTACCGGCAGAAATGTTTTTACCATGCAAAACCCGGAAGACGTACCGACGGGACAATTGCTGGAAAATGACGTCTTGAGGATATTTTGTAATAGTCTGTAAGGTAAGCAAGCTTTTCATGTTTTAGCGAGACTAATTACGTAATAACCACTTGAAATAAGTCAAAATCAATAAAAACTGATCTATTTTTTTTAAAGGGGAATCGGACAAAGTCAAAATATGTTTAATTCTAGTACCTGATTTTGGATAATTTACTTCCATACTTTACAGAGACCAAAACATGGAAAGATACCAAATCTGTATCAAAATATCAATTTAGTGGTTAGTATTTTTAGAATAACAAAGCAAAACAAGTCTATGTCCGTACAAAATGATTCTCAAGAACAGTTTAGATTTGCGAAGCTGATTTTCAGTTCGAAACTGAAGAAAAGACTAATCAACGATGTGAACCTTGGATGTGAACCGACGGATGATTAATTTTTTATCACTTGCAAACGTTTTCATTAAGTCGTTTACCCTCTGATAAGTTGTGTTGGATTGATGGGAATTCTCTGTGACCTGTTCTCTAGAATGTCTGAGTAAAAATATTTTGTGCGAAAATTTATTGAATGACATTGAATAAATTCCGTCCCTGTCTTCGTTAAATTTCACGCAAGAAAAGAATGTTTACGTTCGAAACTATTGGCAAATCGGTTGCAATGGTTTTGTCATGCAGTTATTTAAACAAACAGGTTAAGATTTATTCCAAGGTGAATTCCTGACAACTCTCTCTACACTGTTTCCTTTTTTCATTTAAATGCCAGGTTATTGGAGATTTATTCTAAGTTGAATTTCTGACAGCTCTCTCTATACTGTTTCCTTGTTTCATTTAAATACTATCTAAAACCATCCAGACTTCGTCGCACAATGTGTGTAAGTATGAACACCATCCTAAATAGCATGATTGGAATAATCATCACAAGACTTCTTCTTTTAATGCTGTGCACTTCATAGCCCATAACGTACACTAATCTCAGGATCATTTGCTTTCTATCTAAAAATCTGATTTCGAATCTAATTTACAGCGCCATCTGGTGGTCCGTTTCTGTTACTTAATATTAACTTTTAGTTTTGTATCGGGAGGTTTGAACGATAGATTTTAAAGAAGTTGGTTTTTAAGATTATGGTAGCCTATGACACGCCCACAGGACAAGCTCAATTAAAACGTTTTTATTAGCACTTTTTTGGCATATGAAATTTGAATATGATTTCATTGAAGGTTTTCAAACAAGTTAAGTTGATATAGAAGGATATTCATTGTGATTTTCTTTTCATCTCTACAGGGTCAACAAGAAGAAAGAAATTCATGATAAATATGGAAAAGTTTTCATGTTTAAAATGTGGAACAGTTATGGTAGTATTAATTATACTCGTGCAGTTCCACTGGAAAACAGAAGCAGTGACTTCAGACAGGTACACCCTCTTTTTCCCAAAAATTAAATGATAACAATACTTATGAAATTAATGAAATAAATAACGTTGTTTTCATTAATTCGGATCTGTAACATTCAATATCGAGCTTTACCGTATATGTGTCTTTTTCTACAGATCTTGTTGCTCTTTAGTTTAACATTATTATACGTTGCGCTCGTGAAAGTACTCCTTAATTATTAAGAACTGATCAAATAATAATTGACTACAGAGTACAAAGTTTAAATATTAAATAGCTTAAACGGTTGTTCAAATTTTGGTTTCAGGCTCCCTGAATATTGTTTCGATGGCAACGAAACATCGCACCTTCAACCAATCAAAAACAGCTCATGGAAGACGACGTCAGCTGCAGAGCTGCTTTATTACATGTTCCAATGCTATGACTCAAGGGTGCGAGTTGAGAATATTAAAGGTACTACCTAAACTACACTGTCTCGTAGCTTAACCCTTTAAGCCCAGCTAAGAGTGATCAGCATCAAATTTCTCCTTGTAATATCAATGCTTTGTAAAACAGAGTGGTCATGAGAATTACGGACATGGTCACACAAGATGAACGTGCTAGATATTTTATCAACTTCTCCCCACTACTTCTGTGGGAAATGAATAGGGGTAAGAAATGAGAATTCAAATTTTGATCTTAGGGTTTAAAAGGTTATCAATTTCAGGCCGAACCCTAGCGGTAGTCTGATATATTTGACATATTTTGAACCTGCTTCAAAGTTTTATACATGTATATAGCACCTTTGCACTTGCGGTTCAGCTTTTAAATGTAAGAGTAGCACAGTGTATATTCGTTCATTTGACGCAATTTGGAAAAATTTGAAGTTGTTCGAGCTCGTTCTTTTGCTATCAGGTAGTTCGAGATATGACGTCATGAGTGCTTCGAGAAAAAGCCCTTTGAAGTAAAAACATGCTACTCTTTTGTACGAATACTGAGCGTTAGCATACTTAAAACCTCTTATCACCCCATATTTTATAGTCTGAGTTTGTAGACTATCTGGGTAAAACTGAACTTTGTGTAAAAGCGAAAACGGCGGCCATTTTGAATAATGTTTGAATTAAATATTCTTTTTTCTTGGCCATGTAAACTGGGACATATGGCTCGCCACATTTTCTGTCATTCCTTGACAAAGTTGTAAAAATGTACATGTGAGGAGCACCATATTCCATTTTATCTATATCATCTTGCATAACTTATATAAGGCTACCTATTCCAAAAGTTTAATCTTTTCAAAATATTGCTCTCCACCAAAAAAGCTGGGGAGAGCTTTAAAAAAAAGCAAGCGCCCGAAGGATGATAGGAAAGTTCGCTCAATTGTTCACTACAATTTGTATTATTATTTTCTTATTGGAAACAGAAGAAAAACCCAAGCGAGGAATTGTAATCAGCCCCCTCAGCTTTCACTTGTACTAAGGTTAATTCACAAGGGCTTTAATCCTGTTAACACGCGTCAATGTTTTGCTGTTGTAGATAGCAAACCCACAGATGTTATTGTCTCTCTGTACTTACTGTCCATCGGGAATTTCAAGGTGCGCCAGATGGTGAGTATGGGACGAATTTGATTATAGCGCCATGTTTTTAAAGTTAAGTATCACTTGCATAAAACCCCGGGGGGTGGACTCCGCATATAAAAGGGGTGGGGACGCTCGTCGTCTCGCTTAGGGGTGTAAATTTCGTTTTATTTACTCGATTCATAAAATCCAAGTTTTCTCCTTTGTCTGTGTTTTAACATGGTCTCTTTCGGGGGTTAAAAAAAGCTTGGGCCACGCCCAGATCGGTCTCCTTTAGGGGTTTAATTCAAAATTTCCGACGAGCATCCTCACCCCTTTCATATGCGGAGCCCCCCCCCCCCGGGCATAAAACGATCCATGCTCTTGCAACATCACGAAAAGTCAGACTCAGCTCCTTGAACGCTGATGGCGCTGGCACCACGCAATCCAATTTAATTTTGTTCAATTCCAAGTGGAAAGCGTTTTAAAACATTCTTTCCTAATTTTTTCCTAGGATTTTCAGTTGTCATTCTACTACAGGGAGATCTGGCGAGACCCTAGATTAGCGTACGGCAATCATTTTCCCAAGGATGAAATCGAACTTGGTGGGGAAATCCGTCAAAACATATGGGTCCCTAACACGTATTTCGTCAACAAGAAGGGATCGGCATCACCTGCAGATGCCCAGTATTTTGTGAGAATTTCCCGGAATGGAACATTGAGTACAACTACCAAGTAAGTTCAACAAAGGCGGGGGAATGGTGAGACTCATTGTGGGCGAGAAGGACTGGGACTATATTAGCAGCTTATTTGGATAGACTAGTCACGTGACAGAACACGAAAGTTTTTTTTTCGACTGTTTCCTGTTTTTGGCTTCACCTTTCCCCTAGAAACCTAATCGTTTGTTTTGTTTTTGTTTGTCTTTATTTTTTTACCTCGTCTATGCAGACCAATAAAGGCGCGAATTCTTAAACGTTATTCTCTTTATTCTGTTCTTAGAAATACGATTACTATGGACTGCTACATGGACTTGCGGAACTTTCCATTTGACGTCCAGAAGTGTAACTTGAACATAGAAAGCTGTAAGTTTGAGAGTTTTGACTACGCTTTCGAATAAATGATGAAGGTATACTACAAGTCTAGTGATTTTTTTTTAAGATTAATAACAAACCTTTCGCCACATTTTGAAAACAAATAACGACGGTGTTTTCTGGTACTTTGTTCGTAGATAATGATCGATAAATGCCAGTGTACAATTCAGGAAATTTATAACATTATGTCATTTATCTTTGGTTTAGTTGGTTTTGCTGCTGACAAAGTTGTTTACAAGTGGATATCTCAGGATAGCAGCGAGGCAGTAGAAAAAGACCCCGGAATGATGATTTCAGAATTTGATCTTGGGTCAATTCGAACATTTGAAACCACCTCGTACTACAAATTAGGTATGATGGCGTATGATGACGATGATGGAATGGTGATTGGTCAGTTCTTTTGTAATTGCGCCACTCTAGAAACGGGATGGAAACTGGGGCGCAGTTAACATTCGCAAAGATTTCTGGTACTGTTAAAAGGGACAGGGAATTGGCCAATAGTTACACAGGTGTGTCTCCAGTAGCAATGCCAGAAACAACTGCGGGGCGCATTTCTGCCCAGGTTCCCTTCTTAGTTTCTAAAGTGACGAATAGTGAGCTTGGTCAAAAAAATCTACAGCTTGCTATGGTTTTGAATTGCTGCGTTCTGTGATTGGCTGTTATAATATCTCTCGCCACTTTGTCAAACCACTCGTGACTTGTTTGCGAACATTTTCTTGCCTTTGGCTTCAAGGGTTTATTGGCTCAATTTGCCGGATTATCTTTAATGTGATGTGGTTGGCCCGAGCGACTAATTTCGGCCGGCCTAGGCCACTCATTCATAGCCATGTTTCAAAAAATGATTACAGATCAATTTTGATATGATGAAATGAATGCTTTCATTTTTTTACCATAACTGGCACGTCAGACCAATTTAAGATGTGTAGTGTATTATACAGATTCCAATACTTTAAAAAAAATAAACAGAAAACACATGATCTCGTATTCTCCTCCTTGAGTTTCAGGAACCAACTTGACTGAGCATGCCTAAATTGTTAAGAGTTCTCAAACTTGATGATTAACTGAAAATGATTTGAAATCATAATCACAAGACCCTCGAGAAGGAACGACTTCAGAAGACGGCTGAAGTTCAGGATAAGTCCTGACAATATCGCAGCTAATTTTAACGGTGTTGTTAAACCTTTTTAGGGCCATTTTCCAACTTGCGCATGGAGCTGACCTTCTTCAGAAAATCTGTTTATTACTTGATACAAATCTACATTCCAAGTGGCATGATAGTAGCACTTTCTTGGGTAGGTGATTGGCGAGAACTTGTCCTAATAGTATCATGATCATTATATTAGGGACTGTAAGATTCCACGACGATGACGACAACGGGAACGTCAAAAGAGCAATAGGTTGAATAGGCAAAACAACAATTCTGCACGTTCATCATGCGTTTTTGTACATTTCTTTGCCGGCAATGAACGACTACGACGGGAAAGTAACTAATTTCACGCGACGTTTTATGGAGGACATAAACAAGCGACGGCTAAATTTTTCTTTCTCTTTCTTAACTTGAAAAGGAATTCGGCTCAAAAAGAGTTCGCTTGTATTTGACAATGCAAATGAGTTAGAGTAACCGTGATAAACATTAAGTGACGTTTTCGTGGCCGTGGCCGTCGTGGCATCTTTAGAACAACACGAAATTATATAGGTCATTTTAGAGTTGCCCCGAGCCTCTGTTTCAAAGCGAGACTAAGCGCGAAGCTATTGATATGAAAGTGATTTTTTAATCTCACCCAAATGAAACTCATTTTCAAAAGAAAGGTTTTATACTTAGCCTAGCTTTGTTTTTCAGCTGACGTCATGGCGGCCATGTTGGTTTACAAAAACAAAAGAGTTTCTCCGTAGGGAACTAAACTCTTTTTTTTTTATGCAAACTCTGCGAACGAAAATTGCATTGTTTCGTCAACCAACCTGGCTGCACGGCCCAAGTTGAAAAGTCACGTGGCTGCAAACCAAGAATTAATCACCACAAACTAGTTTTGATTTTTCTAAGGAGAAAAAACAAAGTATAATCGTTCCTTTGAGCAAGGGACTAAGCAGATAACCAAGGGCCGAAGAATACGATAATTTATTCTTCTCTGCTTCCAAATAATGTGCCTCGACCACCGCACGAGATTCAGATTCAAATTCAGTAACTGTCCATAAACAAAAGTTATCAAGGATTTCATTATGAAGATCGGACATCAACTTAGGGCATCAGACAGACGAGAAATCTACGAATTTTCAGCTGCAAATTTTAACCTTTGCAAGCAATTGAAGAGAGGGGATTAATTAATGGTAATTTTCCTTACTAGGTTTCATTCTGGATCGATAACCAATCAATTCCCGCCAGAACAGCGCTTGGCATCACCACAGTACTCGCCATGACAACGCTGTTATTTGGAATCCAGTCTTCTCTCCCAAGTGTACCTTACATCAAAGCTGTGGATTTATTTATGATCGTATCTTTTGCCAGTGTGTTCGCCGCCCTGATAGAGTTTGCGGTTGTCAATTATACGAGCATGCGCGAAAAGGAAAAAAGAAAGATCCGACCAGCCAAAAATACGTACCATGTTGTAAGTACGACTGTTTATTAATGGTGGAGACAGTCATGTGAACATTGGTTAGATATGAAGAGCTGTGCATGAAAAGCCAAAATACTTATTTACATTTACGTTTTGTTTTTTCCCCCAAGGGAGACAAGTTGAAATTTTAATATATTTAATTTCATTATGTCGAAACTGTTTTTCTCGCACCGGCTGTAGTAGATAACTGATGTTTTTCTTTTAACAGAATCCCGACATCCTTATGCTAAGTTTCCGCAACAGGTCGTTCGAAAGTGACGATGAAAACAAAAATAATCTTCAAAATGGCTCCGTGCACACAGAAAGCACCAGTGCCAATAGTTCATTAAACAGATCGAATCGCATGCCAATCACGAATGGAACAGCCAGTGCTGAATACCATCCACGTGATCAAACTGTGTTATCACGTGATTATCCACATGTTCAGGAAACTTATAGCGATCGTCCAAGGTGCCGCTGGCAATGCAAGGTTACCGCCAATGCCATTGACGCTTGGTCACGTGTATTGTTTCCACTCTCTTACGGCCTGTTTATTGTTGCGTACTGGATTATCTACTCATCGAGTTCTCAAGCAGAGAAGAACTAATACAAACAAGTTTATTACAAGTAATGATGGTTATGATAATGAAGATGATGATGACAATGAGTATGATGATGTGGTGATGGTGGTTATGATGATAATAATAATAATTGTAACGATAACGCCTATGAGGAAGATGATGATGATGATGGTGATGATGGTACGATGGTGTTGGTGGTGAAAGTGATAATGTGATAGTGATGGTGGTAAGTGTGATGATGGTGGTGTTGATGGTAGTAGTGATGGTTACGGTGGTGGTTGTGATGATGGTGGTGGTTGTGGTGATGGTTTTGATGGTGATGGTGGTGGTGTTGATTGTTGTGGTAGTGATGGTGGAAGTGGTAATTGTGATGATTACGATGATGACGATGACAGTGATGGTAATGGTAGAAGTGATGGTGATAGTTGTGATGATGGTGGTGGTTGTGGTGATGGTTTTGATGGTGATGGTGGTGGTTGTGGTGGTGGTAGAGATTGTGGTAGTGGTTGTTGTGGTAGTGGTGGGGGAGGTAGTTGTGGTGATGGTAGTGGTGGTGATAGTGGAAGTGGTAATTGTGATGATGATGATGGTGGTGGTGATGATGGTGATGGTAGTGGTGGTGGAGGTGGAAGTGGAAGTGGTGGTGGTTGTGGTAGTTGTGGTGATGGTAGTAGTGGTGATAGTGGAAGTGGTAATTGTGATGATGATGATGATGATGATGATGATAGTGGTAGTGATGATGGTGATGGTGATGGAGCTGGTAGTGGTGATAGTTATGTTGCTAATTGTGATGAGGATGGTGGTAATGATGGGTTGACTGATGGGGACGAAGGTAACCATGACAGTTCTGGTGGTGATGAGGGATCATCATGATAATAACGTCATTCCTTGTCGCGAGAGCTTTTTTAGTTTCATGTTTTTGGTCCACATTTGAAAAGAGTAGCTTCAGGTTAGACAAAAGTTATGAAGAATTCATAACTTCGTCATTTGACCATGACGGTGAAATATTGGTTGTTGGTGGGTCATAATTAACCCACAAGTAAATTCGAAAAGAAAAGCAAGAGTCCTGTAGTTATGGTGGCCAGGAGCCCATATGAACTCCTGTAGTGGCAAATCTTGTACAGAAACCTACTGGAAGGTAGTATTTTACTCCCTTTAATACAGAAATATCAGAAGTTACACTAATGTCCCGTCCTAGGCTAAAGATAAAAAAGAGTTCATTCTCAGTCTTTCCCCTTCTGAGCATTTCTGAAATGTAGTGAATGCAAATCAGTTTATTGTTTCTTTCAATGTTCAATGTTAGATTTCCAGTAGTATCCATATTTAGTGGTTTGTACATATTCAAAATAAAGTTCCTTAAATAAGGTGTACAGAAACGAGATAACAGTATGATTCAATTCTTGTTGACTTTTAATTTAATAAATCTATTTAACTTAAGCATGTAAGTTATTTGTGTCTCTCTGGTGTGTAAAGCCAAGTGGTATTTGATACCTTTATACCCTTTTTTCACAGTAATTATTTATGAGCTTGCTAGTTTTGAATCTTAGATAGGATTATGGCACAGATCTGTACCTTTCTTTGGTCAATCTTCACGATTTTTTGTGTTTTTATGTGTTAAGCAAGTGGCAAGTAGCGGTAAGATTGTTGCGGTTTCGTGTTAAAAACTTAATGAGGTCGAAATAGGTTTATAATGAATGATTTAAATCCATGCTAAACACGTGATAAACTCGTGTTAGGCTTGATTTTCCTTGGTTGCACTAGAAGAGGCCGTGATCGACCTAGGAGGACTGAGAACCAGGCTGGAAGCGACCTCGAATTTATATTATTATCAAGGATTTACATATGCAAAGGCACCGAGGTAGTTCACTGTTTTGTTATTTATTCTTTGTAGAGCACTTAAGGCGCCACTGTGTTGATAATCCATTTTGAGCACTTTATGAAAATGTTTTCTCGCTTCTTTTAGTGAGCCTTTGATCTCTAGAATCCGTCCTAAAATGAATTCACCGTCTTTACTGTTTGCATCATATCTGAGAGCTAATCGCACTTCTGTTTCAGCAGAGTCAAAGTTGCCCTATAAGAAAGAAAATCAAACATCAAGATACACAAAAACAAAACGTAGTTCTCCGAGGCGGCCTTCAAGAGTTACTTTCCCGTAAAATGACTATATTACTTCTACTTGTTTCCATGCTGCGTGGCGACAAGGTTAGCTATTGAAACCTACGCTAGCTCATATAGTCCAAAATTGGTGGTGGACAAAACACCGACCCCCAAGTCCATGGACTAGCCCCATGGACTACCCTAAAATGGACAACCCTGCTGAGGTTTTGAGATGAGGGTTAAGAAACTGAGTGAATCAAGTTACAGGTCAGTTTTTCCAGTGTAATAAGCAGAACCTAAATGGAAGCTGATGTACTCAGTTTCCTAACCGTAATCAATGAACTTCAGCAGCGTAGTCCATTTTAGGGTTGTCCATATGCGTAGTCTATGAGGGTAGTCCATGGACTGAGGCTTATCCACCACCTCTGGAATTTACATTTCTAATTAAAGAGAAGTGCTTTCCAAAAACGGGTAGTTTATCACCTTAATTAGGTAAAGTTGAACCAGTAAAAGGCGGCTGTATGTATCTGGAGGCTTTAAAAGCAATCCTTTTCGTAAGAATCCTTCCGCCTGAAAAGCAAACAATAACAAAGGGGATCTTAGTCAACAAACTCTGTTTGACATCATTATGTAAAAACATCTTTAATGAATGCAAACATTTAAAACCGCTGTATCACTAGAAAATAAACCCTTTCGTCATGTGACGATTAAAAGCCAGTAAATCAAAGTGAAACCAACAGATCTAACCTTTTTGAACGCTTTTTCGGTGTTAGTTTTAACTTTGGATTTCAGAAGTGGAATAGCATACATCCTTCCAAGTTGGCGAAAAGGACTCGGATCGGTTGGAGTCAGTTTTGCAGTCTTCAAGTACTTCTCTTCCGCTTTCTATAAAGAGGAAAGTTTTTCCAAAAAAAAATTGATCAATTCAGGTTTCTGGTTAACAGACCACCTACCCCTCCCTTAAGTCAGCATTAACACTTACTTCTCACTTAGGAGAAAATTGTGACTTAGGAGAGGGGTAGGTGGGAGTTACACAGAAATCTCAACTGCCCCAAAGATCTCATTTTAAAGAATTAACTTGCCCACAGCTAATATATGAGAAAATGATATATTTGGCTATATTAACGTTTCCAACTAAGTTTCACAAAAACTAGCCTGCGAACGGCAGACGTTTCTCCTTGCTCATCGCCGCTGAGGGACGTTTTGTAAGGAGGAACGTCCCTCAGCGGAGATGAGCGAGGAGAAATGTCTGCCGCTCGCAGGCTACACAAAAACAAAATTTCTCCAATTAAAGGACACAAAAACAATGGAATAAACAATCATTAGACTGTGGGAAGAAGCTTAGCGTTTTTATATGAGCAGAGTTACGATACGGTAAACTGAACACATATTCGGGCTCTATTCGCCTTCTCTTCGGCTCTACGGTGGAGATTTTCTGTAATCTCTGATAATGATATCATTTTAACTGAAAAAGGACACGATACCTTGCGATTTCCAAGCTTTTCCAGGACGACACCATGGAAGTAGTTAAGCTGTGGATGATTGGGTCTAAGGGTTAATGCCTTTTGGTACTGGCCATCCGCCTCGCGAAAACGCTCAGTCACTCGTAACAAATGCGCCAGATTAATGTTTCCATCGGCACTGTTAGGTTTAATTGATAGCGATTTTAAATAGCACTTTTCCGCTTCCTCGGGTCTGCCTGGAGGAAAGCAAAAGAATAAACAACAAGAATTAGCGTTTGCTAACGGATAGGGAAACACGTTCTGAAGAGAAACGTGACCCTGGTTACGCTGTGGTATTCGTACCTGAATTGAGAAGAACGATTCCAAGATTTTCCCAAGCTGTGACGTAATGTGGTCTTAGTCGCAATGCTTCACGGTAATGACTTTCACAAGACAAGAGTCCCTGGTAACAAAAAAGGCATTGTCTCAATACATATCCTTGATTTTAGCAGTTTACAAGAGGGGAGGCGCTAACTAACATGATTTAATACCATGATAAAGAAAGATGTACCAATGCAGGTGAGCACTACGATACGATCGACAACTTGATTAAATTTTGTGTCCGCAAACGGAATTTTTCACATATAAAATTAGCCTGTGTACAGACCCTCAGGAAAAATCGGAATTTTCCTGAGGGGAGGCAGGGGTCTGTACACAGGCTAATATAAAATTGGAAGTTGAAAATTTTTAAAAGCAACTTATAAGGTGAATCTTACTGTCAATTATTGAGCCTTCTTTAGTTTGTAAAGGACATTATTGGGACGGGCGAAATAGATAATACGTTTAAAAACATCTGCAGTCGAATAGGGGTATGGCTTCATAAGAGAACTGAAGAGGGATCAACAAGACTCTGTGCTTATGTGCCCGTTTGGTCTTTTTACCTTCCGCAGTCTGCCTACTTGGGGGGAATGTAATTTACCAATCTTTCTATTAATACACACCTTATTTGCCAGAACATTTCCTAATGTGACGTGGATCTTAGCGTTCGTAGGATTAACCTTTAGTCCAGATCTCGCCAATCTTTCTTTTGTCTGCCATTCAGAATTTCGGTGAACTGTCTTTAAAACAAACATCAACAGAAGACTGTAGACGATGATCCAGCCTGGCATGCTCAAACTCAAATTCCAGTTTGTTGATTCCTCTTTTGTGATTCTTTGATCGTTGTTCGTTGTATCCTGAATAACCCATGAAAAATGTAATCAGCAATGGCCTTTTGAATGAGGAGTTTGATTTAAAGAAGGAAAAACAGGAAAGAAACAAGATTTCCTAAATTGGCTGTCCCTTCTCCAAATGAAAGGCTTCCAAAATATCAGCAAAGTCGTTTTCTCTTTGTGCTACTTAAAGACGCTGGACTTAAATGCAGCTGTTATAAGTCAAAACCGCGGGCTACATGGGTAACCTTTTTGAAATCTAGTGAACATATGAGAGTATCTTTGTGAAATACTGGAGTTAAAAACTTGTACAGATCTATTGAAAATTGGGAATATGTATAGCACGAGCTGGTGGCCAGTTTAAAAAGCTTTTAAGCCAGATGTAAGAGTCTAGTTTGAAATGCCCTGGTCACCGATTGCAGTTCTATAAGTACAAGCGTATGAGTGGTATATGGGTATACCATGGCCCGAGCCAATCAAAGAACGCTGGAATAAGTTAATTGCTGGCTTTTGGTATATACCTCATTAAATATATCCCCATAGTCGGAATAATGCTTCTGAAAATATTTGTCACCGATTGCAGTTCTGTAAGTACAAGCATATGAGTTGTGTGAAGGGATACTATGGCCCGAGCCCTGCAATCAACGAACAACACTGTGAACCACGTGGCTGCAATGGACCAATCAGAGCTGGTTCTCTTAATGTTCTTACCTCATGTTCTTGATAGAATGATAGTTCCTTCCTACTCGGAATCTTTGTCGCGCGGAACAAAACTAAGATTCCGAGTGAAACCAAGATACAGAATCCCATGCTTGGAATGTAAAGAATGCGCTCGGCGATGACAAAACCAACAGGAAAGAACAGGTTTGTAGCTGGTATGAATGGAATGATTATCATACTTAACGCCAAAAGTACAATGCGTTTCCTTAGAGAACCATCCAAATTTACCTGGAGGAATTTCAAAAGTAAATCACAAGGTTCTTTTGGGCAATACAAACTCCATTTTGATTCCAAATTGAAGTCAGTGAGCATTTAATGAGATCGTCAGCTCGGGAAATTTATCGGCAAGGAAAATAGGGAGAGGGTGTGCGCTTGACAGAAAATTACGCCTTTGAGGGGTAGGGGTGAGGCTTTGCTTGTTACCTTCTGAATGAAATCCTGTTACGTTTTCAGGCCTAAACCGTACGTGATTTTCTTTATGATAGTACCAACTTTTTTAGTTAGAAACACACAGCTGAAATACAGCCGAGAAACATCCAAACGAAAGACGCCACATTTATGACGTTAAAACAATTATTCTCACCCTTTTGTCTCCAAGTTGGTTTGTTTCCTTTGCCTTTTGGTTTTTGTAAATAGTATTTTCATTCGAATCTAATGCAAGTGATTTCGAACAGTCCTGGTTGGATATCGCAGATACAGAGATTGACTCGTTTGAGGGCTTAAAACCTATAAGAAAAAAAATAATTATCAGAACGACATTTACAATGGTCACTGGAAAACTGAAATCGCTTTTCGAAAAGAAACTTTACCGTAAAAACACAGCCAACCTAGGATTAAAGCGAAGGCAAGCGTTTCAACATTGCGCATGTCCCACCATGATTCTATCCGGGGTATGCTGTCCATTGACCAATCATAGCACAGAGTATTTGGACACAGAAGGAGACGAGCATTTAGTGCGCATAAGTAAGAATATGTTCTAAAGCGAGTCCAGAAATCAGGGTGAAATAATGTTGGATTGTCAGACTCAGTAAATGACACCGTAACTCCTCCAGAAATTATAACTATTCTGAAATAAAGAAGGACGACGCCAGCAGTAGATAGGATGGAGACTCTTTCGAACAAGCGAACAAGCCATCTCGGTCGTGATCTGAAATGTAAAAGACAGATTTAGTCAGCCTAAGGGAATAGCACTCATACTATATAACTCGTGTTTTGAAGCACTATGTGCAACATTTATCACCTTACCACAGGAAAATACTGCTTTCCTACCGCGGTGGAATTAGCGCTAGCTCCGGTTGGCAGAGCGCTTGACTGCAGAACTGGAGGTGAGAAATGAGGGTACATCCTTTATCCTGCCAAGGTCTAGGGCTTCGGGTGGCTTGGTTGACCACGTCAGTAAAATAGTGGTCCGGTCTCCAGAAGGAGACGTAGTGTCCTCATGATCAGTTAATTCGTGCTTCCAGTTTATTGACACGCAAATTAAGTACGTTTTTTACATGAGTAGCTTAGTTACACAGACCCATTCTATGGTCACATCCGCCTGCTAAAAACTTTCTCTTCACAATACCCTAACAATAACAGTAATAGTAACTTTTCAGCGATTACGTAGGGGATGGTCGGCCAGTCTCTCGAATTAGGGTAGCATGAAAAAACGCCCCAGGCTTTCTGTAATTCGATCACAATACTCTAACAGTAACAGTAACAGTAACTTTTCTGCAATTACACGAGGGATGGTCGGCCAGTCTGTCGAGTTAGGGTATCATGAAAAAACGCCCGAGGTATTCTGGAATTTGAAGGGTTACTAAGCCTGTCTTACCTCAACACGGCTAAGACAGAGAAGTTGCCTTTGAGGAAATTCTGTCCATTAAACTTGCGGACGAATATAACATCGTATACAACACAGATTCCAAAGGCCGTTATACCCTGTTCTTTACTGAAAAGTGCCAAGATACACCAAAATATACTCAATAACAGCCAAAGCTTTGAGTACCTCCCTTGTCTTTTATTTCCCTCGGATGTACTTGCGTCAGAGAAGCAGTTTATGTACGATAAAATTGTTAATAAGTAAAATAATCCACAGAGGAGATCGGCTCGGCCCACGACGTTTGAAACCGCCTCGGTGTGAATCGGATGGGAGGCGAAAAATAATCCACATAAAACCGACAAGGAAGGAGCTTGCTCACAAACGTGACGATTAAATATTCTTGTACAAATGTGAAAAAATAATACAGAGACTGTTGAGTGAAGGAGGACATTGATGATATGGTATCCAGTGGGATTCAGGCCCCCAACGAGATAGTTCCAACGGAAAGTAAGGATCGTGATCGGTCTGTAAGACTGGTGCGAGTCGTTGTGTTTTAATGGAATGCCCCAAAAGTCGTTTGTGAACAAGTTGGAGAAAGGAGTTGAAGGTCTGTAAAAAAGCGGAGATACTGTTAATATTTTCACAAACTTTTCACTTTTTTATTTTAAACTTTGTAGCCGTAATTGTTTTGGATTCAGATTTCAGATTTTTTTGGTTTTGTACTATTACCAGATGCTACACTCGTTTTTTATAAGAATGTTGTTTTCCGGCCAAGGCTGAATATTTTTATTTTTCTGTCCTTTTCAGTCTCAAAATATTTTTGTATCATTCTTAAAAAAGAAATAATTTATCATGATTCTCCATACCGTTATATATATTTTACGCTTAACGTTCATCGAACTGTCGTTAACATGAATATCTGTCAATAAGTTCGATTAAAAACATAGTATAATTGTCCACTGGTATTTACCGATTTTCAATACACAAAACTATAGCCTCCTTTTTTGAATCTCAGCGGCCTTAGGTTTATTCTTAAAATATTCTTGAAATTTCGAAAATTTCAGCCACGATATTCTTATGAAATATATTCTTACAAAGAAAAAAGAGTGTACCATATACATTTGCAAGAATTCACAATATATTACAAGAGAAAAAAAGAGGAACAACAAAGTAGATACGTAAATGGTGAAAGGCAATATGGTCGTTTATTTGCCAGTGTATATTAGAATTCGACACATGAAAAAAACAGTCTCATTATAACCCGCTTAGATTTAGCTATTGCTTTGAGTTAAGCTCATAATCATTTCACGGACTGCCAGATTAAAGTCGAAATCTTTTTGTAACTCTTTTGTTTTTCGAAGCGTTGGTGAATATAGGTCAGTAACCAGATGTTTAGAAGCTTTAAATTACAGTGAATCTTAAAATGTATCTTACATTTTCGTGAAATGGCAGAAAAGCGGGGAATGGAGATATAAAGATATCTGCATGTGTTGCTGTGAGCTTCTTATCGTTCCTTTTGCTGGATTTGTTAAAGGTTTTGAATGCTTTGTCTTCTGTTTTTCTTTTTGCGTTCTCCGGGTTTATTTGCTCACATTAAATGACCTTTTTAAATATCTCAAGTGGCGTGCTTAAATTCGTCTATTTTTAACTTCCTTTAATAAAGAAAAGTTTATGTTTCGCAAATGGTAAATGTTTTCTGAACAAACGTAAATAAACTAAAACAAATAAGGACTTATATCACAAGCTTTAGACATAGACTTCCTTGTAAATGTAAATTTGAAAAAAGTAACTTTCCGGTTGCATTCAGTTATTTTTGTGAATGAAACCGACTGAGTGTAAAAAGAGTTTTAAGACAATTGTCTTGCAACTCTGAGCTCGACAGATCAATACGGCGGTTTGCTGACACTTTAGTGCATTGAAAAATGCCTTGTAAGGGGCAGCATAACGCACAATAGCTCGGATGGCCATTGAAAAGCCGCCTCAATTGGCCCCGACATTTAATAAACGAAGCATTATTTTATTTTCATTTTTGACTCGGGAAAATTTGCATTTTGTTTGAAAATCAATTTTGCATGAGGTATTAAAATTGTTGTCGATACCACAATAGCGACAAACTTTCGTATATCTATTTTAGCTAAAAATAAATATCCGTGTTTCACGATTTGTTTATCCACTTGAAAATAAAAAACTGGATATATTTACCAAATTTCTATTCCTTTACGCTCGAAGTTGGATTCTTGTGATTTTATTAAATAATTAAAATGACTGGGTCCATCAGACTTGTCAAAAACAATTATGTTAAGGAAACTGCTGTCATCTTAGGTTAACAAAAGTACGATATAACCGTCTTTAATTTTTCGCCTTTAAGTTAACGAGGTAAAAATAATATATTTATAGGCAAACACACTCTGCGCCAAAAAGGTGTAATAAAAACCTGAGTCGGCGTTCTGTCAAAATTTACGATAATTGAACCTGTAGCATAAAAAGTTATTGTGGCATGCGTCATCCGTGAAATTACACCGGTATTAAAATGCTAGTCTAAAATGCGACGAAAGCCTCCCCGTCTGGTTAGATTCGTTTTGTATTTGAAAAACTTAATACTTACATCTATTTGGCTGACTTCAATTTTATCCCCATCGAAAAAGTCCGAAATTTTGCTGCTTGTGGTAACCGTAATGTTGTAAACAAAAAGAGCTTAAAATTAGACCCGATTCGGTTGGCTTACCTTACATCTGCGTTGGTCTCTATAACTTCATAGTCATCATAAACGAACTCGCCGAACAAGGAATTCAAATAGCAAACGATTGCTGAAATTCCTACAATTACGTAAGGGTTGAAATTACAAGAATGCTTTGGTGGGTTTGGATCTTGTTTTTTTTTTTTTGTTTGCAAAACCAAAGCGCGCCATACACCCGGCTTTGCCTCAAAACAACACCTGGTTACTCGACTCGCGCATAATTTGTACTGTGGGTGGGGAGGGTGAGAAGGAAGAAGCTTAACTAAGGGATCAGTTTTACTTGAGAAGATAAATAATTTTTTTTATTAAAAGATAATCGAAAAACCTTCAAAAAAAATTCGCTTAGCATTCATTCAAAACTTGTTGTCTTTTGAAAGAAAAATAAACTCGCAGGCTAGTAAACTTGAACAACATCTGTTCTTCAAGCATGCTGAATTTCTTATTTTTCTTTTATCTTGAAGAGCTTATAAAAACAACAATAATTGTTGTCCGGCATGTGTTGGTCGTTTTTGACTGTACAACATAACTGACAACCTGTCCTTTAACCTTATAGCTTCATCAATGTTGATGAATGATGGACCTTCCACAATCTTTGATGAAAATTCAGCAATCTCCCACCATAGGAAATAAAAATCATATAATTTTTTCGCACTAAGTTTGAGGAAAGATATCTTCTTTAAGGTATTTTCTTCTGATTTCCAAAGCTTGGTTAAAGAGTTCCATATCCATTCCATCAATGCAGGTAGCTATCCGTGCTTGCAAAGTCAGGTTTTTATCAACACTAATTTCGCCAATGAACTGATACATAGAGCCTCTGTTGAAAGCCATTGGTTCCACAAGTGAAGTGTCAATAATAATTTCACAGCCATCTTCGCAAACTTTCAGTCGACTATTTGTTATGTCATGAGCCATTGCTCTACAAGAAATTAAAATTAAAAAAAACACATTATAACCCAAGAGCCATCAGTTTGATGGTTGTAGAAAAACTAATGACCGTGTTGATGATAACGAGATGATGATTATGATGATGATGATGATGATGATGATGATGATGAGGAGGAGGAGGAGGAGGTGGATGCTGATGATATGATGAATCGCACTTGTTGGATTATTCTAGGTAACATCTATTCTATCCATAAGCCACCCTCTCCTTACTCCAAGGAAAACAATGGCGAGGGAGTCAAGCATAAGTGATTTTGGAAAAATGGAATATACACATTTTAGTTAAGTTCTCAAGTTCTTAGGGGGAAACCAATAAAAACCCTTAGAAAAGTGGGAGGGATTGGGGGAGGGTGCAGGGGGGCACCCCCCAAGTTGACCTGGGTCCCTAATAAAAACTTAAATAAGCAAGAGAAAACCCTTTCCTAAAAAAAATCCTGGATCCGCTCCTGTGAACTCCCAACCTTTTTCCCTCCTTCCTGACAAGTAAAAATAAATATGAAACAGAATGTGTCCCATTATTCCATTCACTTTTTCAAATGAATTTAATTTTTACAAAACGAAAGGATTGAAGACCATTGAAAGCCTAAAATTTACATTCGGACTAGAAGTAGCCCACTCGTTCTCACTTTGATTTCGAGAAATTTAATGATTTAATCTTGCTGTGTGAATAACTTACCTTCCCCAAGTCCTGACAGACTTACTATCCAAACTTTTTCCCAACGCAACGACTTCTTTCAATCGAAGAATCTGACCGCTCGAAATGCCCGCCATTGTGCGAAAACTTGAAGGAGGGCAAGTACTGGGGCTAGAAGACTCTAGTTGGTTTGAAATAGCTAGGGAGGGTGGGTAGAATACTTAATTAAAGTTCGCAGGAATCATTTATTAAGAAAAACAGACGTAAATCAAGTAGAAGAACAAAATAAATTAAATCAAAATCTGATTTAGTTTCGAAGGATAACCACTTCAATTATCAAGAAATCGTATGAAATGAATCTTGCCAGAACCGACCCATCCCTAGAAACAGAATACGATGGACAATGTGCCACAAGTGGAACGCCTTGCACTTTTGATCTTTTTACGCTGATCGACATTAAACTTTAAAGGTGTTTTTATCAGATCACACAAAAAAGGAACAAGTAAGTGTTCATCAGTTTAAAGAAGAAACAGTTATTGCTTTTCCTTGGAGTTGAGGGTAACTAGACTTAGTTGATCAGAGATTTAGAGATTGATTGCCATTTTACGCCAGGAGTTTCAAGATGGAAAAACTTTTGCTTGGAGTCATGAAATTCAGAAACCTCGTTCAACCTTCAATTTTACCGTCACTCAAGAAACTTGCCAACAAAGCACAAGTAAGGAAGCACTTCCTACTGATACTGTCTTATAGGAATCAACAAAATCTGGATGGGATCGGATTGGACAAACCTCCAGTATTCCTCTAAATAACAACTGGTTAGGTCTTTGAATGAATGAATGAACAACTTTATTAATGTGTCAATCTTCTAGCTGGCTACACGTAGCTTACTAATCGGAGATAAGTCTTTCAAGGGTTGATCTGATCTGGTCGCGGTCCGATCCAGGTTTTGTCATCCACTGAAAATCAAACTTTGTTGTTTTAATTATCAGTTATTCAGGACTAATGAACCTTGAATTGAATATTGAATTGAAAAACTTGAATGTGTTGGCATTCCTTGTATAGGAATAATGGATCATTATACATTTCTGGGAAACTGCCCACCTACCCCTCCCCTAAGCCAACGTTAACACTTACTTCTCACTTACGGCAAAATGTTGGCTTAGGGGAGGGGTAGGTGGGCACCCCCAGAAACATATAATGATCCGCAATAATTTGGTAAACATTGTTTTGTCATTTACTTCTCCCAGCAACTTAAACAACAAGATGCTCTTTATCTAGAGTCAATAAGCTAACCCCTCTCTAATCTCTAGCCTGAAGCTGAAGAACCGCTAACGTCCACTGGTTTTCCCACAGAATGACATCATTTTGCAGGGAAACCAGTCTTGGTTTTGCAAAATGTCAGCTGTTTTCTTATGCTGCCTTATCTCAAATCCTTTTGTAGCCTCGTATGTTAATGATCACCTGTATGGACAGCCGTTTGTGTCCGACCAGCTTCACACAGGCGGATCCCGGAGATATGTTTATTGTTAGAAACCCAGGTAATATGATGCCTCATAGTCAGTTGTTTGGAGAGAGTCATCAGAGTGCTTTGTCAGAACGAGCTGCTTTAGAATTGGCCGTGTCAAGTGGTGTTGAACATGTAGCTGTTTGTGGACATTCAAATTGCAAGGTAATAAACATCATCAACACAAGAGAGTCATTTCTCAGTTCATTCGTGAGTCATTCTTGATTCATTCACAAATTTGCATGAGAATTGTTAGACTGCAAGAGCTATGCATGGCGAGTGAAAAATTTAAATTATGCAAAGTAACAGTAAGTAGGGGCAGAGGGAGAAAAAGAGGACAACTGGGGAAGTTTCATTGTATATATTGAATTAATGTTTCAGTGAAACAGAATTTATTTTCTTTTTTCTGCCTGGGCTCCAACCCACTTCACTACTTGCTTTTCATATGTGCTCTTGATGATTCCCTGTGATTCAAAAAAAAAATTGAGGCACTCGCAGCCTAGGCTAGAATATTATAGGTTTGTATGAGTGAATGAGTCATCCTCATTTTGTTTGTTGCCCTCAGTTTGTTTATGTCATCTCTTCAGGGTCTTTTGTTTAATATGAGAAGGCTCCGCCCCGAGATTAGCCTCCCCTGCAGACATTCTTTGGGGTGCGTCATGCGTTGCTTCCCCACTTGGCAAGGAACGCATGATGCACCCCTAAGAATGTTTGCGGGGAACGCTACCCCGGGGTCCAACCCCTTGCCCTTTTTTATACCATTTACGGTATATTTAGGTACTTTAGAATGGTGAGGGATTTGGGGAGTTAATGCTAAAAGAGTGAAGCAAAATTCAGCTGAACTAGGACTGGTGTAGGTTAAGGTTTCCAGGGTCTCAGTGGCACATCCTCACCCAAATCCTAAAGTATCAATCAAAGGATTCTTGATGCAATTTCCAGGCAATGTCATTCCTTCACCAATCACTGACTCCAGACGAAAATACCGCTCAAAACTCTTGGGTGTCAAGTTGGCTTAAGCGTTATGCACAAGCTTCTTTAACAAAGTTTGAACAGCTTGATGTCCATGCCAGTGAAGTGAACAAAGTTACTTTTAGCAGCAACTCAAGAGAACAGGACAAAATGGAACTTTTGTTTGATAATGACAAAAATCTCTCAGCTGTTGACAAACTCTCCCAGGTAAAAATATTCAGTATATCTAGGTGATGCTGTGTTACTAAGACAATCATGACCTAACTTTGTATGGTTTGCCATCAAATATTTGAGTTTCCACAGGCCATTTTATTATCTTTGTATCTCAAAACAAGATACAGTGGAGCCCTTCTCTACAGACACCTGCTTAATATGGACACTCATATACTAAGTGGACAGTTTTGCTTGTCCTGACCTGACACTGAAAAATCTCATGGGAAAGCGTTATTGTACGTTTTCCTAGAGAAGGTCACATATTTTCTCTAAAATTTACCCACTTAATACAGACACCCATATAATATGGACAATGTGGCATCTTCCCTTGGTGTCCATATTAACTGGATACCACTGTAAAAATGGTTTGAATTAATTTGAATTTAAAATGGGTGTGTACTTTATTTGCGAATTGTCACGGACTGTAAGCTGTACAGTCCTGTACATTCCTTATGCTCAAAGCGAAACACATGGTCACCACAGCTTCAAAAATATTATCATTATTGTATCATGGCCCTTGTATCCAGCAATCTGTATTTTCTTGTGGGAAATTGTATCAATTGAAAGCTCTATGCAAAAAAATCCTCTAGTCCCCTCTTGATAGGGTAGTTTTTGCTTGGCGTCCTTCTTTGTAACAGCTTTACCAATACTTAGTGACAGACCTAGCCTGTTGAACAAGCGCTATGTTTTAGGAAGAGTTTTTCAGGCAAGCACGAAATGGTTGTGGAGTGCGAAACATACACGATGGGGGAAGACATCGAAAAAAGACCTTCCTTCGTCACGTGTCTTGCTCTCCCTATCTGTTTTGCGGTTGCCAAAAAAAAACTAACTACATAAAATAGCACCTGTTCTTCGGGCTATGACAGACCTGTCTCATTGTTGTAAGAGTGAGTTGACTGTCATTTAACCATTTTATCTGTATTTTGTGATAACAGGTTCATGTTCTTGAACAAATACAGAACATTAAGTCCTATGGCTTTGTGCGCGATTTGCTTGACAAAAGAGCACTTCAGGTCCATGGCCTGTGGTTTGACATTGGGGATGGTGAGATGTTCCTGTATTCAAAAAACGACAAGAAATTCATCATCATCAATGAAAAAACCCTAGAAACAACATTGAGTCATCTGATCACTGCAGACTGAGATGTAAACACTACCTTTGTGATCATTCACTGCCAGTGGACCAACAGCTAAAATTATAGATATTAAGTAAATAGTAATTTATTAAACTTTTTAGCATCTGTTACACTTAAAATATCCCTTTCAACTTGTTTCATGAGATAACTTGTCCAAGACATAATTCAATATTTTAACACCCCAATCAAATTTTCTTGAAATCCATTCAATATATATACTAGAGCCCTCCATGGGTTTTTTAATTTTTGTTACAGAGCAATCAGTGTATATCCATCAATACTGCTGGAGAGAGGGAGTTAACATAAGGTTACTTACCAAGTTTAAAGGTGATACGCCTAAAGGGTGGCAGAGATATTGCACCACAAAGCCGCAAAATTTTATAGACGTTTGTATGGTGGGGAGCGCGAACTCCCACCCCCCCCACCATGCATACATCTGTTAAATAACGCGACTTTTCAGCTGAGCTATATCTTTGTTAATTTTCAACAAATCCCATTTAAACTTGGCATCTTTACTGATTTTACGGCATTCTTTCTGGCTGTATTGATGAAGGTCTATGTGAAGGTCTATTTTCACTGGAACATTGCAGCATGCAGTGTGAAAAGTGGAACTTGATTTTAATTTCTGCAAAGTTAATTTAAACAAAAACGTTGCAAGATATGTTCAATTTTAAGGGGTGTTCAGGAAATTTTCAACGCAACTTGTGTCACAACAAGATTGCGAGGCACGGTGCAAGAAGAATTGCCTCGTGTAACAAAGCCTTTAATTTTTGAAAGTATAAAAGTTTGGTGATTTTAGCCAGTGTATGGTTAGACGAGACAAAATGATTAACGAAAAAACAACAAAGAATACAAGAGCTACAATGCAGCTTGGCTAACAAAACTAAACAAGGTCTAAACATGATAGAACTTAGGAAAGTCAGAAATGAAAGACCTTAAGCTCATATTATGTAAATGATGAATTAGTGAAATATTGCATAGCAAAGTACAGTGGACAAAAAACAGCTATAATAAACCTTTAAACGTGAGTATTATGAAAAACAAATGTTATTGAAATTTCGTGGGCAAAAATATGTTTGTCATAAATAGAATGCCAGGCTTGTAGGAAAGTCTTCCGAAAGCTCATCACATGGGTTTGAATGCAAGTGAACACTTGGTTAAAAAAGGATTCTTCACCTTTGAATATATTTCAATATTCCAGACCGTCAACTAAAAATTAAAACACTAGCAAATGGGAAATTTCAGCTTTCAGGATTCCCGCTGTCCTCCTATTAATTAGGGAGCTTAGGCAACGATGACGGCGAGGGCAACGAGAGCGGCAAAAAAGCAACAAGTTTTATCAGCAAACCAAAAACTTTGCACGTCCATCACGCTTTTATGTACATTTCTTAGCCGACGTTGCACGACTACAACGTAAAAGTGCCTAATTTCACGTTTTGTCCAGGACGGGAACACAAGACAACAACTTTCCTTTTCTTCTCCTGAACTTTGATGCAGTCCTTTAGAATTCAACTCCAAAACAATATGATGCCAACATTTGACGAATTAAACGAGATGGAATAAGCGTGATAAAGTTTGAGGTAGCGAGAATTCATTTTCAGTTTTTAAGTGACGTTTTCGTAGCCGTAGCCGTCGTTGTTGCCAAGCTCCCTAATTTTACGGCCGAGGTAGATACATTTTCTCTTTGACCATGCAAGAATAAATTAAAAATAACAATCACAATCAATAAGGTTTACCTACCAATCCGAAAGCTGTACTCGCTCAAAAGCGACATCGGGCAAGGCAGTAACGATAAAACGGGCAAAGGGCAGTGCATCGAGAATCTGATGAGGATTCAGTACCTGGGCCTAGCTAGTAAAAAAAATTGTAAGTTTTTGCGTGTTGTGATTCATGATAAAATGACGTTTACCACAAAAAATGCCAACTATATTTCTTTCTTCCTTTTTTTTTTGCTTGAACAAGTTATCAATAGCTGTGGTAAACACCGGATCCCCAAATATCCATCCATTTACATTCTGAAGAGCTGATAAATTAATAGACATTTTAAAATTTGCTTCTCATAATTCCCAGGTAAACGGGAAAAGAGAACCCAGAGAGCCAATGTAGTGTCGCTGCCCGCACCTTACAGAGAAGCGAGAGTCTGAATTGTTGTTTAATGAAAAATAACTGGATTATAAGAACAGATAGCATTGAATGTGCACCAGAAGAGATTGGACCCTACGGGAACAGTCTGGTTAAAAGCATTATTTTCTTTCTTTTTTTTTTTCGTCGTCATACCCTTTGAACAAGCGTTTTGAACGAACGTTCTTAGCCCCATTTGCTCTTTCCCTAATTACCCCACCCCTCCCCTTCTTCCAAATTACCCCACCTTTCCCACCCCTCTACTACATTGTACTTTGAACTTCCCAAGGTCTCTCTTTATGCTTGAAAAGCATCTTAGCCTGTACATCAAGCTTTTCAAGGAGTAAAGTCTTCGTATTTCCAAGTCTACTCCCCCCCCAACCCCTGGGGAAATTACTAAGATTCCTGGATCCAGCATCTGACATCTGAATACGGTAATCAAGTGTTTATACGTTACTTATACACTTATGTTGCTCAGCTCGACGTAACACTCTCTATCCGCGTGTAAGAGTCAAAATACGCAATATCCCTAACGATCAGAACATTGAGATCGGGCCAAGGAATGTGACAAAGCTCAATACTTGTTAATGTCCACCCAAAGTTGAGAGAAAGCTTTTAGAGAAAAAAAAAAGAAACATAACAAGAAAATGTCGACAAAGGTCTATAAAAAGAACAAAGGAAATACCGATGAAATTGTTCTGAAAGTTGATTACGACTGCGAGAATTGGAAGGACGGTGGCCGGGGATGGATGATATGTTTTGCAGCCGCAATGGTGCAGTTTGTCGTCCTGGGTATTCACAACAGTTTTGGAATACTGTACATTGTGTTTGTCAAGGAATATGGATGGAGCAAAGCTTTAACTGGTAAGGGCTGAAATTTGATTAACGCATGATTAACAGGGGATATCGTTAGGAGGTATTAAAATCAAGTTCATGTTATCTCCGAAGAAATATCCGTTTTGGGGTGTTCAAATTGTAGGGAGCGGCGCGATTTAAAGAAAGCGAGGGAAATCACGGGTTAGATTTTTGCCTGCCTGGGAAAGCAGACCAAAGTGCTCGCCATGACTCGCGCGCGGTTAGGGCAAGCATACTATAAAAGACTCAAAGTACTAGTTAGAATAGTATGCGTCACGGGTGAAAGGTTTTTTAAAATCGGTTTTGACATCAAGAACGCAGTCAGAACTTTCTGTCTGGAGCTTAACTTTGTTTTTATTCCATTTTTTTTTTCTTGCACAAATCCTAACTTTTACGCAACCCCGCAGGGTAATGGCAGGTTAACAGGGGTTTTTAGCACCCTAAATTTAGTACGTATCCTTCGCATCTTTGGACAACATTTTCAGATTATTCAAGTATAATTTCAATTTAGATTAAACGGTATAACCTGGGTTTTTCCTAATGTTTTGCGGGCACAATTTTCGGAAAATATCTGTTCGGAAACAACATCGCTTCGTCATCATCTAAACAATGGTCAGTTGCCTATTTTTATTCAAGAATTTTATAATTTCAATTTAGATTAAGATCACGGTAGGAATAACAGACGAAAATTTTTAAGATAAAAATAAGCCTATTTTCGTTTAAATCTAAAATGTTTAACAAAATGATTTAATTTAGCTTCATATGATCGTCACCGTACACTTGTCATAAGGCATTGTTTTTGTCTGTGCGAGTGCCACTTAATCTTTTTTTCCCCTACAAAACAAACAAAAGAAACATGTGAATGCAGTACGAGGTCGCTGAGACGTATCCCAGTAAAATTTGACTTGATCCCGTCTTCGTGAGAGCAAAAATAGATCGAGAACTTAGGACGTTCTACTATCTGAAGGCCTGGAACCGAAGCAAACCAACCCTTTTATTACTCTATTTAGGAAAATGGACAAATTAAATTGATGTTTCTTTGCAGAAAATGGCTTAGGACAAGCTCGCAGGGCCAATAAACCACATTCTATCCAGTCGCAATCCCTGTAAGGAAAAGAACGTGTTCCCGGGTACTGTTGCCTATGTGCAACACTCAGCTCGCGTGAGGTCTTGCGACACACCTCCATGATCTCTATTCAAATTTCCCAAATAATCGAACTTTGTAGAGCAAAAATTAAATGGAATGAAACGGCAGGAAACCAGGTGGAATAAAACGACCGCAAGTGTGCATTTTGCAAAATGAAAAAACTGTTCTAAATCGAATGATAAAAATAAAGAACACATAAGTTGTTTGAGGCTTATTCCCCTGGGAATAAGGCAGGGCATTTAGGATTTCCGGTATGGATACTCAAAACGTGACTTTTTTTACAACCTGCGAGGCAGGAAAGCGTTAAAGGGGAGGGGCCAGGAGGGCTTTAAAAACGCCTCTCTGGGACTTTTCATTTGTTGTTCCGGCCCCTCACTTCCCAAAAGTGATCCCTCTCGTTCGCCTTTTAAATGCATTGCCAGAAAGGTGGGCCAGGAGGGGACGCCTCTCTGGTCTCGCACACTTTTCATTTGTTGCTTCTGCAGAAGAAGGGTGGGAACTTAAGTCTTTCACTTGCAGAAGTGATCGGCGTATAACTTCTCCTTATAATATCCAATACATTCTCACACAGAAAGGTGATGAGAATAGGTAAATTTATCAGCCAATGGATGCCATATTGCAGATATTGATATAACCCCAAATTCTCTTAACTAATGCACAGTAAAATGTATGGCAGCCAGAAATGAGAATTACTGATCAGATCGTAGGAGTCAAAGGCTTAAGCCTTCGATCCTCACGCTAACTGGAACCAGGCAACGTCGATTTTCCCTGGATTTCCTTCTTACATTTACTGTAATTTTACCCCCGGTAACTCGAAGTAATGTCTTGTTTCCCTTTAGATCATTTCTATACAATCCTACCTGCCTGTTTACCTTTATGGGGTTTTCCCTCGACTAGACGTGAAGGCAATTTGTTCGTTTTTGTTTACGCAGGTTACATAGGCTCTATGGGACTGGGTATGAACTTCTTTTTCGGCCCCTTCACCAGTGCATTATGCGATCGTTACGGCTGCCGAGTGGTCGCCATGATCGGTGGAGTCATCTCCGTTGCAGCAATGTTCGCAACGTCTTTCGTCAACAGCCTCGTTCCCATTTACCTGACCTATAGCGTTCTCTGGGGAATGGGCTCCAGCATGAGCTATGTTCCAACATTCCTTATGGTCGATAGTTACTTTGAGCGGCGAAAGTCCTTGGCGAATGGGTTCATAACAGCTGGGAGCGCTATCGGGGCTCTGGTAATGGGACCCACTCTAAATGCACTCTTATCTAAAGTTGGTTGGAAGAACACCATGAGGTTTCTCGGGGGCGTTGCTTGTATTTTGGTGTTCGCTGCGTTTAGCTACAAACCACCGCCTGTGAAAAGAGAACCTGCGAAAAAGAAGAAACTGATAGACTTGTCTGTTTGGAAAAATAAAGGATTCATTGTCTGGGCGTTGGCACTGGGCATATTTAATCTGGGTTACTTTGTTCCTTACGTCTATTTGGTAAGTTTGAATTTCCTCCCGTCCTTCATGAAAAAACTTTCTATTTTTTTGCGTCGACGAAGGAGACGCCCCCTAATCGAGTCGTTAAGTTTTCTGTGATTTCGTGGGCAGTCTGTGCATGTTTCTTAGAGCGAGAAATCGAGAAAAGAGATTGTCGGTTTATGATTAATTTTGAACGTCAGAGTAATTACCTGATTTATAGGAAATATTTCGCAGATCAATCTCTTTCTTTTTTAGATATTTCGTTGATCAAAGTCTGATCAGGAACGTTTTGATTATCCCTATGTAACCCAGATAGTTACGAAATTCCCTAATGCGACGCACCATAATCTTTGATTATTACTAGGAGGAGGATATAATTATAAACCGGAGTTAATAAAATACATCGTCTACCTGAAATAGATTCAATATCTGACCATGATCTGGATAATCCGTGTACTCACAAAAAGTGCTAAGAGTTGCCGTTGAAAGTCTTGAAACGTTGCTTCTTTAAAAGACGTCTTTTGTTGTTGCCCGGTTTCTCTTGACTAATAAAATGCTCTTTCAATCAACAGCCGACCCACGCAACCTACTTACAGATTCCCGAATCCAAGGCGTCGTTCCTCATCGGCTTTCTTTCGGTTGGTTCCTTATTTGGTCGACTCTTCTTCGGTCATGTTTCGGATCTTCAATGGGTCAATCGTCTGTATCTTTACCAGACGGCACTGTTGGTGATGGCTGTTACGACTACTCTATGCCCGCTGGCCACCACGTACTACGGGCTGGTTGTCTACACGCTCCTGTTTGGAATATTTGATGGAGCGTTTGTATCACTGATCGCTGTCCTTACCGGAGATGTTGTTGGTCATCATAGGCTGTCATCAGCTCTAGGGTTTTTATATCTGGTATTCTCCGTTCCAATTATGACAGGCTCACTCATCGCAGGTATGATATCAAGCAACAAAATGGCAAACGGCTCACACATTAACTATACAGTGGCTGGTCACCCTCGCAGCCTTTTTGCGTCGTCACGCAATGCTCCTCCCCAACAGGAGCGTTGCGTGACGAGACAAACACGGCTGCAGGGGAGACCAGCGAGTGGCATGACCGCCAACCTCGTTTCCAGAGGCCGCGATGCTGTTGGTCATCGACACGATGGGGATCTTATGACAAAAGGGACCCCTGGGGACGAGGTTGCATGCCCGCCCAGTCCGCCCAACTTACACACAGGGAACCCAGTGCAATTCATACTGGAAACTTACTTTACGTGTAACAGAATCCTCCCCCGACAACCCGTAGATATCTCCTTTCGAGAGATATTTTGTTTGTATTTGTTGTTTTATCTTTCGAGTTAAGTATTGTGTTATCTAACTTGACTAAAATGGCGTAAGTCCTCGTTGAAAGTAGGCAAGGCAAAAGTAGAATAAATCTTGTTTTTACAACTGTTAAAAAGTGTGTGTATGCTACTTTCTGATTATTTTTCTAAAGTTCTTCACTGCGACACCAACTACATTTTGTTTTCTCAGGATTCCTAAGTGACATCACAAGTACTTATAACGAGGCTTTCTACTTCTCTGGTGCCGCCATTGCTCTGTGTACAGGCCTGTTATCATTCGTTCCAGTTTTAACGCCCATGAGATCACCTGGCGTCAGAGAGATGAAAATGACCTCTGATGAGCTCGGCAAAAAGCGAAGACCTTCGTTCTTTGAAAAATATGTGCAAAGATACTTAAGCTCTTCGGAGCCTAAGCCTTCTGAAGTTGAGGAGTACTTGTTTGTGGTGGATAAAATCACAGCGGTGTGATCTTCCTAGCTATAAGAATATGATCATACGATGGTGAGAAATTAAACCGCGACAATGTACTGCACTGTAAGACAGTGAAAACGGCTTTCTGTAACTAAGAACTTTAATATTGATGATGATAATATTAATAGTGATAGGCACGTTGAAAACAAAGAGAGAGAGAGAGCGAGAGAGAACCTAAAAAATAGAATATTCAAGGAAATCGTTATCTTTAGAGAACAAGGACAATAGTTTTTGCCATTTTCTGTCTTGCAGTCAGAACTTTGCAAAAGACCGCACTTTTTGAGAATGGTCACATTTTGAGAAAAGTATAGTTGAAGTCAGTAACGTCCCGGCCAGGCGCCGGACAAAAATGTTGAAATGTTTTTGCCTGGACGATGAATTCTGTGAAAAACAGAGAAAATAATAACCATTATACCACTACATGAGAAATTTCTGCAATTTGATTGGCTTAGAGCAGTGGTATTTCAGCTAAATTTGAAAATTACAAAACCTTTGCAGGTAGTAGTATAAACAAATAATAGCATGATTTGTACGTGATATTTGGCATAAATACCACTCGTGATATTTCAAAATTGTCACAAATTTCACTCGCCTAACGGCTCGTGAAATTACGTATAACAATTTCGAAATATCACTCGTGGTATTTATGCCAAATATCACCACTAATCATGCTATTACCTATACAAATCCTAATTAACTTTTTCCAGAGAGGATTAAAACAAATAGTAAAAGACTGATAACAGGGGTAGAATGGCCTTTAAATTAGTATGCATCAGGAGCGTAAGAACTCCTACACGCACGGTACACAAGTGCGTACCTGAAAGAACCGGGTGTAAAAAATATAATTATGTCATATAAAAAACTCATCTGAAAAAAGGAGATAAATAAAAAGCATAATTTTCCTCAATCTTCATTTAACTCTGCTTGATCAGAGCATGCAACTGCAGACCTAATCGGCGGTTTAACAGATCAGTTTATTGCGGTTAGACACGTCTAAAGTACTTTGCGCACGGAGATGGAAAATGTACTGCGTGTTTGATAATGAGAAAAATCTCTCACCTGTTGACAAACTCTCTCAGGTAATAATATTCAGCATATCTAGGTGACACTGTGTGATGGTTTACCATCAAATATTTGAGTTTCCACAGGCCATTTTATTATCTTTGTATCTCAAAACAAGATACAGTGGAAACCTTCTCTACAGACACCTGCTTAATATGGACACCCATATACTGAGTGGACAGTTTTGTTTGTCCCGACACTGAAAAATCTCATAGAAAATTGCTAGTGTACGTTTTCCGAGAGAAGGTCACATATTTTCTCTAAAATCTACCTGCTTAATAAAGACACCCATATAATATGTACACTATTGTATGTCCCCTTGGTGTCCATGTTAACTGGGTTCCACTGTAAAAACAGAACAGAAAAAAAAAAAGAAAAGAAATTGGAACGAATCGGAAAAAAAAGGAGAAATCGGTGGGAATCGAACCAGTAGCAGCTAGATGATGTCCTTTCATACATATTTTGCCCTACAGTCAGGGGCACTCATCGAGAATATAGTTCAAAAGCACTTTAACATAACATTGTTGAACGTATTTTAGTATTTAAACGGTAGATATAGGCATATTTTTATCCCCGTAAACTGTTTTTCATCTGTTCAGATTTCCTAGCTCCCGAAAATTCTCGGTGACCTTTTTAGGGTAAAAATCCGTTAAAAATGGGCAATTATACCATTTTTTAGGTGTTCGAGAATCCTAGGAGAGGCAGGCAAACAAGAAATTTTGCAATAAATGTTCCGAAAATTCTAGATCTCATATCGTCTTCCGAACAGATGTATTCCGAAAATTGACGTTGGGCGCCCCTGTACTGTGGAAACTTTCTTAACGGACACTCTCGTAAGTAGCCTGCGAAAACATCCGTTTCTCCTCGCTTCCTCCGCGCGAAACGTCCTCAGCGACGAAGAGCGAGGAGAAACGGATGTTTTCGCAGGCTATCTCGTAAGCAGCTTTCAGGATTCCCGCTGTCTTCCTAATAATTAGGGAGCTTAAGCAACGACTACGCCGACGGCAACGAGAGCGGCAAAAAAAGAAACAGGTTTTATTGGCCGGGCAAAACAAAAGCTTTGCACGTCCATCACGCTCTTTTAATTTGTACATTTCTTAGCCGACGTTGCACCACTACAACGCGAAAGTGCCTAATTTCACGTTTTGTTGAGACGGGAACACAAGACAACAACTTTCCTTTTCTTCTCCTGAACTTTGATACAGTCCTTTAGAATTCAGCTCCAAAACAATATGATACCAACATTTGACGAATTAAACGAGATGGAATAAGCGCGATAAAGTTTTAGGCAGCGAGAATTCATTTTTTAAGTTACGTTTTCGTCGCCGTCGCAGTCCTTGTTGCTTAATCTCCCTAACAGGGCAGAGGTAGGCACATTTTCTCTTTGACCATGCAAGAATAAAAACAACAATCACAATAAATAAGGTTTACCTACCAATCCGAAAGCTGTACCCGCTCAAAAACGACATCAGGTAAGGCAGTAACGATAAAACGGGCAAAGGGCAGTGCATCGAGAATCTGATGAGGATTCAGTACCTGGGCCTAGCTAGTAAAAAACAATGTAAGTTTTTTCGTGTTGTGATTCATGATGAAATGAAGTTTACCACAAAAATGCCAACTATATTTCTTTCTTTCTCCTTTTTTTTTTGCTTGAACAAGTTATCAATAGCTGTGGTAAACACCGGATCCCCATATCCATCCACTTACATTCTCAACAGCTGATAAATCAATAGACAATTTAGATTTCTTTCTCATAATTCACAGCTAAACGGGAAAAGAGAACCCAGAGAGCCAATGTAGTGTCGCTGCTCGCACCTTACAGCGAAACGGAGACTGAATTGTTGTTCTATGAAAAATAACTGGATTATAAGAACAGTTCACTGTATGTGAAACAGAAGATTGGACCTGAAGGGGGGGGGGGTCTGGTTAAAAGCATTATATTTTTTTTTTTTTTCGTCGTCATACCCTTTGAACAGGCATGTTGAACGAACGTTGCTTCAGTTAGCCTTACTTGCTCTTTCCCTAATTACCCTACCCTTCTCTTCTTCAAATTGCCCCACCCATCCCACCCCCCCTCTGCTACATTCGACTTTGAACTTCCCATGGTCTCTCTTAGGAATGAGGTTAATACTGGTATTAATGTTTGAAGAACATCTTAGTCTGTACATCAATCTTTTCAAGGGGGAAAGCCTTCGTCTTTTTAAGTCTACTTCCTCCCCCCTCCCCAACCCCTGAGGAATTCACTAAGCTCCTGGATCCAGCATCATGAGATCTAAATACGGTAATCAAGTGTTTATACGTTACTTATACACTTATGTTGCTCAGCTCGACATAACACTCTCTATCCGTTTGTAAGAGTCAACAATGCAATATCCCTAACGATCAGAACATCGCTCGAGCCAAGGAATGTGACAACGCTCAATAATTGTCAATATCCATCCAAGGTTGAGAGAAAGTTTTTGACATAAAAAAGAAACGTAACAAGAAAATGTCGACAAAGGTCTTTAAAAACAACAAAGGAAATACCGAGGAAATTGTCCTGAAAGTTGATGACGACTGCGAAAATTGGAAGGACGGTGGCCGGGGATGGATGATATGTTTTGCAGCTGCAATGGTGCAGTTTGTCGTCCTGGGTATTCACAACAGTTTTGGAATACTGTACATTGTGTTTGTCAAGGAATATGGATGGAGCAAAGCTTTAACTGGTAAGGGCTGAAATTTGATTAACGCATGATTAACAAGGGATTGTTAGGAGGTATTAAAATCAAGTTCATGTTATCTCCGAAGAAATATCCGTTTTGGGGTGTTCAGATTGTAGGGAGCGGCGCGATTTAGCGAGGGAAATCACGTGTTAGATTTTTATGTGCCTAGGAACTCGCGCGCGGTTAGGGCAGGCCTACTATCAAAGACCCAAAATACTCTGTTAGAATAGTATGCGTCACGGGCGAAAGGTTTTTTTAAAATAGGTTTTGACGTCAAGAAGGCAGGGAGAACTTTCTGTCTGGAGCCATTTATATTTCTTGCGAAAATGCTAAATGCTTTCGTGTGTGATTTCAGTCAAGCACCTTGGTTTCCTGTGGGTACTTCACAACAACATCGCTCGACATCGTACGGTTTATTCAAGTATAATTTCAATTTAGATTAAGTACGGTATAATTTAACAAGAGATAAGTTTTCATACTCTAATGTTTTGAAATGATTTAATTTAGCTTCATATGATCGTCACCCTTCACTCGACATATAAGGCATAAGGAAAAGCAGATGCATGACGTATTAATCCCCAAAAAAGTTTGTTTTTGTCTGTGCGTGTGCCACTTAATCCTTTTTCCCCCCTACAAAACAAACAAAAGAAACATGTGAATGCAGCAAGAGGTCGCTGGCTATTCCAGTAAAATTTGACTTGATCTCGTCTTCGTGAGAGAAAAACACAAGAACGGTTTAGGACGATCTACTACTATGATCTGAAGGCCTACATGGAACCGGAGCAAAACAACCCTGGTATTTCTCAATTTAGGACAATGTACAAATTAAACTGATGTTTTCTATCAGAAAATGGCTTAAAACAAGCTCGCGTAAGGCCAATAAACCACATTCTGTCCAGCTGCAATCTCTATAAAGACGTCTTTCCGAGTATACTGTTGCTATACTCAGCTCGCGTGAGGTCTTGCGACACACCTCCATGATCTCTGTTCAAATTTCCTAATCGAGCTTTATGGGAGCGTTTTGCCGGGGCATTGTTTTATCGTACCTTGCAAAATAAAATGGAATGAAAAGGCAGGAAACCAAGTGGAATAAAACGACCAAAAGTGTGCATTTTCCAACATGAAAAAAAAAACAGTTATAACTCGAATGATAAAAATAAAAAGAGGTTTATTCCCCTGGGAATGAGGCAGGGCATAAGATTTCCGGTATGGATACTCAAAACGTGACTTTTTTACAACCTGCGAGGCAGGAAAGCGTTAAAGGGGAGGGGCCAGGGAGGGCTAAAAAAAGGGGAATTCGCCCCTCTCCCTCCCCTCCCGTTCGCCTTTTAATGCTGCCGCGGACGCCTCTCTGGTCTCGCACACTTTTCATTTGTTGTTCCGGCAGAAGAAGGGTGGGAACTTAAGTCTTTCACTTGCAAAAGTGATCGGCGTATAACTTCTCCTTACAATATTCAATACATTGTCACACAGAAAGGTGATGAGAATAGGTAAATTTATCAGCCAATGGATGCCATATTGGTATAACCCCAAATTTTCTTAACTAATGCACAGTAAAATGTATGGCAGCCAGAAATGAGAATTACTGATCAGATCGTAGGAGTCAAAGGCTTAAGCCTTCGAACCTCGCGCTAACTCGAACCATGCAACGTCGATTTCCCCTGGATTTCGTTCTTACATTTACTGTAGTTTTACCCTCGGTAACTCGAGCCTCCCGCTAACTCGAAGTAACGTTTGTTTCCCTTCAGATCATTTCTATACAATTCTACCTGCCTGTTTACCTATATGCTGTTCTCCCCTCGACTAGACGTGAAGGTAATTAGGAGGTAATTTGTTTGTTTTTGTTTATGCAGGTTACATAGGCTCTATGGGACTGGGCATGAACTTCTTTTTCGGCCCCTTCACCAGTGCATTATGCGATCGTTACGGCTGCCGAGTGGTCGCCATGATGGGTGGGGTCATCTCCGTTGCAGCAATGTTCGCAACGTCTTTCGTCAACAGCCTCGTTCCCATTTACCTGACCTATAGCGTTCTCTGGGGAATGGGCTCCAGCATGAGCTATGTTCCAACATTCCTTATGGTCGATAGTTACTTTGAGCGGCGAAAGTCCTTGGCGAATGGGTTCATAACAGCTGGGAGCGCTATTGGGGCTCTGGTAATGGGACCCACTCTAAATGCACTCTTATCTAAAGTCGGTTGGAAGAACACCATGAGGTTCCTCGGGGGCGCTGCTTGTATTTTGGTGTTCGCTGCGTTTAGCTACAAACCACCGCCTGTGAAAAGAGAACCTGCGAAAAAGAAGAAACTGATAGACTTGTCTGTTTGGAAAAATAAAGGATTCATTGTCTGGGCGTTGGCACTCGGCATATTTAATCTGGGTTACTTTGTTCCTTACGTCTATTTGGTAAGTTGGAATTTCCTCCTGTCCTTCATAAAAAAACTTTTCTATTTATTGAAGACGCCCCCTTTATTGAGTCGTTAGGTTTTCTGTGATTTCGTGGGCAGTCTGTGCATATTTCTAAAGCGCTAGAAATCGAGAAAAGAGGTTGTCGGTTTATAGATTGATTTTGCACGTCATATAATAAACTAATTAAAGAGAAGAAACTACAAGGGAAGAAAAAATTCCTTCCTTTGTTCAATATTTCGTAGATTAATCTCTTTCTTTTCTATTTATTTCGTAGATCAAAGCCTGTTCAGGAAAGTTTTGACTATTCTTATGCAACACAGCTGGTTGCGAAATTCTTTAAGGCGACGCACCACAATCTTTGATTACTACTAGTAGATAAGAGGATATAATTATAAACTGGAGTTAATAAAATACATCGTCCACTTGAAAGAGATTCAATATCTGACGTTTCTATCCATTGTTAACCTTCTTAAGGCTGAAAAAAGTGCTACGAGTTGCCGTTGAAACGTAGTTGAAAAGTTTTTGAATTTTAAATCCCTTTGTGGTGGCTAATTTACCCTTTCTATTTAGCTGCATTTCCTGCGTTAAACAGACTTGAACACATCTCTTCTTTTCTTTTGTCACGGGGAGAACGTTCAAAACCTTTTAAACATAGCATTATGCAGTAGATATGTCATATTTTTATCCCCTAAAAATTTTTTTAATCCTAGCTGAAAGTCTAGTGATCCGAAGGGTTACCTTTTCGAAAATTTCAGCCAGAAAAAGGCTTCCGAAAATTTGCTGACCTTTTTCAGTCTTAAAAACGGAGATGTTCGAAAATCCTAGGATGGCGCAACAAAGATTTCAAATCGTCTTCCGAACAGATATTTTCCGAAAATTGTCGTTGGGTGCCCCTGTTTTGTATTTACCCGGTTGTCTAATATAATGCTTAGAAGGGTTATTTGCTCTTTCAGTCAAGGGAAGCAAGGGATGGCGCAGTAGTGACAGCGCTAGCCTCCCACCCCGGTTTCACTTCTGGCGTCGACGCCATTTGTGGGTTGAGTTTGTTGTTGGTTCTCTCCCTTGCTCCGAGAGGTTTTTCTTTGGGTACTCCGTTTTTCCCCTCTCCTCAAAAACCAACGTTTCAAAATTCCAATTCGACAAGAAATCAGGTAGACGAAGAACCATTTTGTGGATGTGCTCATTTTTATTTATTTATAATTTATTTGTTTTTCAACAGCCAACCCACGCAACCTACTTACAGATCCCCGAATCCAAGGCGTCGTTCCTCATCGGCTTTCTTTCGGTTGGTTCCTTATTTGGTCGACTCTTCTTCGGTCATATTTCGGATCTCCGATGGGTCAATCGTATGTATCTTTACCAGACAGCACTGTTGGTGATGGCTGTTACGACGACTCTATGCCCGCTGGCCACCACGTACTACTGGCTGGTTGTCTACACGCTCTTGTTTGGAATATTTGATGGAGCGTTTGTATCACTGATCGCTGTCCTTACCGGAGATGTTGTTGGTCATCATAGGCTGCCTTCAGCTCTAGGGTTTTTATATCTGGTATTCTCCGTTCCAATTATGACAGGCTCACTGATCGCAGGTATGATATCAAAAATCAAAATGGCAAACGGCTCACTCATTAACTATCCAGTGGCTGGTCATCCTCGCTGTTGGCCAGAACCTCTTTAGAACCTCTCATGATTTGATAGGTTCTTGTTGGCCCGAAGCTCTATTGTTTCATTGTTAGTTTTGTTTGGATTAGGGCTATCTATTGTTTTCTAAACCAATCCTGTGAGCCGTTCTTAGAGCTTCCGGCCCACCCCACCCTCGCAGCCCTTTTTGTATCGTCACGCAATGCTCCTCTCCAACAGGAGCGGTGCGTGACAAGACAAACACGGTACGGCTGCATGCTATCGGGAGACCAGCGAGTGGCATGACCGCCAACCTCGTTTCCAATGGCCGAGATGCTTTAGGTTAGCGACGCGATGGGGATCGCATGACAAAAGGGACCCCTGGGGATGAGGTTGCATGCCCGCCCAACTTACACACAGCCAACCCAGTGCAATGCGTACTGGAAACTACGTGTAGCCGAACCCTTCCCCGACAACCTGTAGATATCCCCTTTCGGGAGATATTTTGTTTTGTATTTGCTGTTTTATCTCTTGAATAAAGTATTGTATTACTGTATCATCTAACTTAACTAAAATGGCGCTTCGTCACTTGAAAGTAGGCAAGGCAAAAGTAGAATAAATCTTGTTTTTACAGCTGTTAAAAAGTGTTTGATACCATTTTCTGATTATTATTCTTAAGTTCTTCACTGCGACACCAACATTATTTTGTTTTCTCAGGATTCCTAAGTGACATCACAAGTTCGTATAACGAGGCTTTCTACTTCTCTGGTGCCGCCATTGCTCTCTGTACAGGCCTGTTATCATTCGTTCCGGTTTTAACGCCCATGAGATCACGTGACGTCAAAGAGATGAAAATGACCTCTGATGAGCTCGGCAAAAAGCGAAGACCTTCGTTCTTTGAAAAATATGTGCAAAAATACTTCAGCTCTTCGGAGCCTAAGCCTTCTGAAGTTGAGGAGTACTTGTTTGTCGTGGAAAAAATCACAGCGGTGTGATCTTCCTAGCTATGAGAATATGATCATACGATGGTGAGAAATCAAACCGCGACAATGTACTGCACTGTAACACAGTGAAACGGCTTTTTATTACTAAGAACTGTAATATTGATGATGATAATATTAATAGTGATAAGCACGTTGAAAACAAAGAGAGAGAGAGAGACTAGAGACAGAACCTGAAAAAATAGAACATTGCAACGAAATCGTTATCTTTAGAGAACAAGGACACAGTTTTTGCCATTTTCTGTCTGCCAGTCAGAACTTTGCAAAAGACCGCACTTTTTGAAATGGCCACAATTTAAGAGGAGTAGTTAAAGTCAGTAACGTCCCGGCCAGGGGCCGGACTAAAATGTTGAAATACTAATTTTTGCATGGACGATGAATTTTGTGAAAAACAGAGAAAACAATAACCAAAATCCTGTTAAGTTTTTCCAAAGAGGATTAAAACAAATAGTAAAAGACTGATAACAGGGGTAGATAAAGCCCTTAAATTTGTATGCATCAGGGGCGTAAGTACTTCTATGCGCACGGTACGCACGTGCCTACCTGAAAAAGAAACGGGTGTAAAAATATAATTGTATGACATAAAAAAATTGTTTGAAAAAAAGTAAATAAATAAAAAGCATAATTTTCCTCAATCTTCATTTCACTCTGCTTGATCAGAGAATGTAACTGCAGTACCAAACCTAATCGGCGTTTTAACAGATCAGTTTGTTGTTAGACTTATTTAAAGTACTTTGCCCAAGAAGATGGAAAATGTACTGCGTGTCATGATGCGCGGCTCCTTTGACTGAAGAAACGACTGAAGGTAGACCAAGGTAGGGTAACTATAAAGATGGGATAAGAGAGGATTTTAAGAAGGAGCGCCAAACTTACGCGCGTATCCCTGTGCGTGGCGGGTCGAGATCAACCCTGTTTCAAAAAGGAACTTGATCAAGATACAGCCATCTTGGCAGAGAGAGATTAGTCGATATTTTTAACCAAGAGGGAATGGGGAAAAGTCACTTCGCCTTCATTTGCCTAGCCTGCGAGAACATCCGGTTTTTTTGGCTCAAGTTTCTAGTTTCACCCGCCGAAAAAACTAGAAACTCGAGCCGAAAACCGCAGGCTATAATTTGCCGAACTTCGTCGAACTTCGCGCGTCGACTCGCGCGTCATGATCGTTGTAAGACCCAGTCTCTGACGGAGACATCACGAGGCTCCTCAGCTGTTAGCGTCGTCGAGAAAGATCAAAGACGTTGAAGTGGAAAACAGCTGACTGTTTTGTAAAATAAGTTGGCAGATTTAACGAGATGTCCACCACAAACATCGACAGATCTCTTGGTAAGTGTTATCGCCAGTATCTTGTTCTCATTTTACTGAGAAATGGATCACCCTGGTTAATTTGGCGTCGCGTTTTCCCTGAAACGATTCCTGCAGCAAACGTTCTGACTGATAGTAAACACCGCCAAGCGCTCAGCTGTTTCTTAAAATAATATTAATAGTTTTATTTTCTTTCATGATTTTCGATCTTAAAGGTGTAGAAGATGTACTGAGGGAAGGTATATTCTATGCAGTTTTAAGACTCAATTGTTATATGGCTGGAGCGCTATTCATTTTTAGCTAACCGATTGCGTGACTTGTCAATTTACCTTTTCTCACAGTAACTTTTCCAACATTTCAACATTCTTCACGTCTTGAGATTTTTGAGAAGCTTATACATCCTCACTCTTGTATGAGGAGAAACCATTTTTTTGTTCTGGGAGTAAAAATTACATGCAATTGTACTTGTGCACGGGTCAGTTCAATAGAAATGATTTATTAATTGTGTTTACATTTAATTTTTCAAGAAATTTAGTTGTATTTTGTAAGCCATTTCTAGTGCGAAAGATTTTTTCATCTACCAAAATTTTCTCCTGTATCATATTTACCCTGCATGGGTGATTGATAAGGTTATCAATTTAGATTTCAGATTTAGAAGTGTTACCAAACTTTAAAGATGCCTTCAAGAAGATTTGGAGGCCTACAATTTTTTTGTCTGGCGACGACGAAAATCCTTTGTTCCTCAATGAATATCCTTCCTCAGGTCATCTTATTTCACAAACATGACCAAGATAGTTCCTTTATCTTTTTTTTTTCGGTTACTCAGAAACTTTTGCCAGTCTCAGGTGCAAACATGGTTACAAAAACAAAAAATTGGTAACTATTGGATTTTTAAAGTTTTTGCAAACACCAAACTTTATTTTTTGTTGTAGTGTGTACAGGGTCATATGTAATGTTTTAAGCAAATACTTTTATTTTACCATAAATCCTCTATTAAACCCCTCTCTCAAGTAAGGCCCCCTCCCCCTCTCTAATAATATGCCCCCCCTTTTCAGGGAAAGAACTTAATAAGCCCTGCTCCCTTTTCAAGTTCTCCCCCCATTATTGGTGAACTTATGCGACAGGATGGGAGAGGAACGAAGATGCCAAAGCTTGTGGCATGACAATTACTTTGTTTAAAATAATTATTTTTCTCCAAACTTCACTTCCCTTTAAACAGGTCTTTTTGTAAAATGCCAGAAAACATGAACAATAAGTTAGTGAAGGTCACAACATAGCATGCAAGTAATAGCCTGGCACATTTGTCATGCACAAGTGTTTTGCCGTCTGCTTCTTCCTGTATTAGTGACAACTGTAAAACTTTGGGTGACTGATCTGGGATGGTTTTTTTTTACTACCAACTGGAAGTTTGGATTTGTTTTTGATCCTCGGTCGCACAAGCTCCAACTTCTTGTACTTGAGCTTTTTCACTTTGTTTTCTAGTTCTTTATGGAGAACTGATACCATCGTCCAGTGGTTTCAAAACAAACCGGTGACCGCTGGAGTTCCCCTGGCTACTTATTGTTTGTCACCGGCTACTCTACATCCCCTAGCTTCAGGGGCCTTTTGCTTCTCGATTGTCATAGCCGCCTACTTTTCCAGAGTCGGCCAGCCAGTTCAAAACATTTTGAAACCCCTGATTGTCTTTGCTAAATTAAATAAGCTACTCGCCTCTATTAACCTACCGAAATGTGTTTGAAATAACCGGGTTCTTGGTAGAGGATTGAAGGTATGTTTTACAATATTATTAGATGACATAATCAAAGAACAGAGAAAGCTGAAAAAGAAAGCACAAAAGGCCAAGACACAGCAGCAGCTGCCGAGAAAAGGAACTCAACAACGACAAGGCAAGAAACAAGTTAATCAGAAGCAAGGAAAACGTGTTGCTGTGAAACAGAACAATCGGCAGAGACAGCAAGGGTCAGGCCAAGGTGCTCAAGGAAGAAAAAGAGGATTAACTAGGAAACAGAGCAACCAGTCTGCACAGCAGAGAAAAGGTGCACAGGTCAACCAGTCTGGTCCCAAGGGTATTAACAAAAGAAGGCAGAATACTGGTGGCCCTAACAAGGGGACTGGAGCCCCAAGAGCTGCTGCTAACCGGCTAAGGAGCAAACAGGGAATAATCCAGAAGGTAATATTAGCCTACATGGGCAATTAACTTTATGTCTGAACAGTGTTTAAAGGATTTAAGATTTCTTTAAAACCTTCTCTTAAAGGCTGACAGATAAGTAAAAAATAATCTAACTGTTCATCCACTCCACAAATAGAATCACAAAGTGAGTCTTTTTGTAGAAGTAGAACATGATACATTTTGGCATCAAATGGAAACTTGGAAAAATCCAAACCCCAGATGGCTCAGAATGTTTTCAAGTTTTCAAGTTTCCTTTGATGCAAAAAACATATCATGTTCTAAATACAGAATCCTTTATTTATTTCTCCAACTGGAAAAAACCCGATCTCAATCAACAACTTACCTGTAATTGTGTTAACTTAACACTTGCACTGTAAGCTTTGCATTGCCTTGCATTGTGACCTCTCTAGAATTGCCTTTCATTTACTGATTTCTTGACCATTTGTTCTCCAATTCATGTTTGGACTTTATAAGTGGTAAGTGAAAAAATATTATTATCAATCTTTAATGCTGGGTGTTCTTCATACATTTACAGGGTAAGAGAATTCTGTCCAAAGCGAAACAGGTTCAACTCAACAGACTACCACTAAACAGACAGAACAGGCAAACACAACAGAAAGATGCCAGGCTGAATATTTTAAACAAGAGAAGAGGATTACAGGTTTGACTTAAGTAAACTTTGAAGCAAAATAAGGTGTTTTGTTCACTTTTCACGTCAGCAGGTTAACAGCAAACTCTGAAATTTAAAGGCCAGCTTACAATAATAATATTGCGGCCAATCATCATAATGATCACAAGCAGTCAACCTTGATACACAGAAACACAAAATGGATAGAAATCCACCAATCAAAGAGAAAAAAAGGCATAAACTATGACGATTGACAGCAACAAAGAATGCAAATGTCAAATGGGGATCATTGTTGAAGATAACAATAATCTTTTCTCAAATTAAACCAGAATTTTAAAGTCTCCAAAGATTAATTAGGGACAGGAAACTAAGGAAATTTCAAGTCAAACTAGGTTAGACCACAACATTTTGCGTTGTCATCATAGCTGTGTCTTTTTGGTGTGAATAAGAACTGGTAAATTGTTTTATTTTTTAAAAAAAGTAACATGTTATATTGTATTATCAATATAGGGACCAGTGAAAGGAAAAAGACCAAACAAGGCTCAAAATGCTGATACCTCCAAACTCCAAAGAATAAACAGGTACTGACTTTGTTTAGTGTCAGTAATAACTTAAATATTGCTGGTTTGTTTTACTGTAAATAAATATAACAGCTAATTATGTGCAAAACAAAAACCCATTTCTATTTGGTTTTTACAGGAGAGGAAATGCATCTCCTCAGCTTACTGTCTCCATAAACAATCCACGCGTAAGGTTGGTAGTTATTAAAATACACTGGTCTATCTAGGTCTTGAATGACAACCGATCCATTGTTTGGAAGGCTTGTGCCGGCCAATTTGAAGACCCATTATCTGTATGCAGGGTTGTCAAAAGTAGCCGGCTTCCGGCAAAAATCTCCGCCTACTTGGTTAGTATCAGCCGGCTACTCTGCTTTGTATTTCTTTACAGAGGGCTTTTTTTAAATTAATATATCCCTGGGCTGGCCGCTTACTTTGAAAACTCAGCCGTCTACTTCAAAACTGTCTGACAACCCTGTTAAGGCCACCTTTTTAGGTTCAGTTGTTCATGGTATTACCACTATGTAGCAGTGGTATAAATATGACATAAATTATCAATAATGATTGACATTCTTAGGATAACAAGAACTCCACAGTGGGAACAAGTAACAAACCAACTCACAAATCAGAGCAGGAGTAGAAGATGGAGAGGAAACAAAGCATCTGTTGATACAGGGGATCTGAGAATTTCAGTCCCAAATAATTTACACCAAGTAAGTTTGTTCAAAATTATTTGGCTCAGAACATGGGTTGCCAACCAATGCTTGCAAACCTCCAAAGAGGTACATTGAAAGTTAGAAGTATTTGGAAAGGGATGTGCTGCTGGAACCTTGGAACCTTAGCTCACTAGATCTGGTTTGGCTGAATTTTGCCAGTCTAAACTAGACTAAATTCCCAAATCTAGAAGTATCCTAAAATTGGTATTTTCCAGAAATTACTGAGATGGACTTTCTTTGCTATTAAACTGAGTTGCATGTAAATTAAGATGTGGACCTTTTGCACTCTTGGTTAGCATAAGAGCCTAAATTTGTTGGTAAATTGTCTCCATAGATTTCCATAAATTTTTTCTCCATTGATGTGGCGTCAAAAAATTTTAAAAAGAAAAATGGCCTTACCGGTACTTACGGTTGATGTGCATCACTCAGGAAGACCTTTAGTTAAGCTTCCTTATAATATTATTTAACCCACGTTGTGGTTTTACCTTCAGCCTCTGAAAACACTTTATGCTGCTGGTTTTAAGTCCCATACGGAAGACTCAGCTTTTGGCAAGGTACGAACACAAAGATTACATGTACTTAGCTGGATCAGCCTGGTGCCATTAATTAAGTTAGATGATGGTGGTAGAGGACAGAGGGTGGGGGCCTAGCCTGAGTATCAGGCCTTCCTAAGGGGTTGGGGGAGAGGAGATTTTATATTTTGGCTTTCATCTTTGCCCTTTTCCCCCAGAAACGCCTGATACTCAGGCTAGTGGGGACCTAGGAGATAAGGGGACGGGAGAGATTCAAAAGGTAGGAGACGATAGGGAGAGGTGGGAGGGTAGGTAGTACGTGAAATAGCAGGGAATTATGCAATATTTCAATGTTGAAAAGGGGCTAAAAAAAGACACTCAAGAAAAAGGTAGTGAAAGCTGATCGTGAAAAGTATGGAAAAAGGACATGTGGACGCCCCTGCCCCCCCCCTCCCCTCCGTCCTTTCCCCTATGATAAGATAAGTCTCGAAAAGAAATTTGTGATGCTCTGAAATTAAAATGACTTCACCATCCTTCCCCTCCACATATAACAATAAAATAAAATAAGGCAATAGTCTGTTGACAGGTTTTTGTAGACTTAAAAATATAAGAAAGTGCTCCATAATCAAACTAATGGAAAAAGTCCCAAATTTTGTATTGTTACATGTGTAAGCATGTTTTCAGAGTGAGATGGTGTTTTTATTTATCAATAAAATCATTTCATTCACAGAGTCAAAAGTTAGAATCACAAGCTCAGTTGCTATAAAACCAGGCATAATCTTCATGATGAATACCATTAGCTAGTCTTGCCTAATTGACAAAAAAAATTGTGAAGAAATTTTCTATACATTGGTTTTTATTTCTCTCTTGTTTTTTGTTTTGTTTTGTCTTTCCTTGCAGACGTTTGCTACACTTGATGAAAGGTTCTCCAGCATACCACAAACCCGTCGAGTTGGAACGATATTCATTGATTAAGTCTTTCACTTAGTAATGTTGGTCAGTTAAAAAAAAAGGAAAAAAAACCAATCAAACCACATTATTAAAAAAGTGAAAAAAATGAAGGAGTCTGTTAAGTACTCATAGGCTATCTATTTGGGAGTTATTAACACTGTATGTTAAAAAAAAAACTGTACCTAAGAGAGTTGAACTTACTGCTCAACAACTGCTCAGCAACGTTCATTTGTAATTAGTTGTCACACCTCAGGATTTCATCTGTGAAGCCAACATTTAAAACCACTCTATGTAGTTTGGGGAGTAAAGCCCTTTACCAAACGGTTGAATTTGTTAAGTTATTTTATGTTTAAAACAATTTTAATTGAATTTAATATTTTATGATCAAACAGGTAATTTTAATGAACATTAAAATAGCCAGTAAAAACATATTGAGTGGAGTGTATTGTTCCTGGGCATTTTAAGACTGTTGTTACTGGGCCATTGCAGCTAAATCAGAAATAAAACACAAACAGGGGTGATCTGCTTGATTATAAATGCATACATTTTTAAAAGAACTTGACGTTTTGTATGCTAGTCAACATATTTACATTTACAAAAGTGATCAGTACATTTTTCACTTTTGTGTCAACTTTTTTGTCATAAACGTAGCCTGTACAGAGACGTTGTTGTTTTTTTTGCGCGCTCAATGGACTTTGAAGAGAAAATAGAGGGTCTGTGAACAGGTTATCATAAACGACATCAGTAAAATGTATGTTGACTAGCATATGAAACACTATTTAAAGTTGATATAAAAATTAGCAAGTTGGCAATGTTTATTACTGCTGTTGCTTTTTTTATTTCTTATTTTTCATTTTACGTTGAGTGTATTTATGTTATTCAATTTACTTGATCAATTCAAGAAAGTTGATAAAACTAATTTCTGTCATTTCAGGCAAACAAAAAGTAAGTGCTTGCTCTTAAGCCTGTAACAAAGCTGAATCCCACAGGGTAAGAAATAACATCCAAGTCTGGGGCCCTCTTTGTTCTTAGTGCTTTTCTCATTGAAAAGAGTCTCTCCTCTCAATTTTCAGCAGTTTAACCATTTCAAGTATTAAAATAAGTGTTTATGCACACGTATGCTAGCTCTCAAGTGAAAAGGAAGAGCTTTTATAGAAAAAGTGAACTCCAGATGTTTTTGTTGATTTCCGGAGGCCTTATTGGTGGACCAAAACTGTACACCAATATGGCATCTCCATGCAAAGCTCTACAAAGGTGCGTGAAACGTTTCGGCAAATAACTCAGAAACTGTGGGCCACAAAGACCTGCGATTTGGACAAATTTTTTAAATAGTAGTCTTTTATAACATTTCATTTTATCAATTTCTTCCACCAGACGGTTTCCAATTTATTTTTTGTGCCGTGTTTACTGCGTGACAGTGAAAAAGAAGAATTCCTATTTTGTGAATAGCGAAGGTATTATATTTTCATTTATGTCTCACATGTTACCACCTCATTTGAATGCTGGACATGTCGTCATCACAACAATCAACCTAGTCTCCATGCCTTTTTCCTTAGTTGCTCAATACACCACATTTCATCTGTTTGTTTTAGGAAAAACCTCAAAATAAATTGTCCTCTTTTGATGTAGAATATCACCTTCTCCAACCTCGTTCTTAGGTTCTCTCTCCTATCCATTTCTCTCGCTCCATAGACGGGTGGGAGAGAACCCTTGGAACGAGGTTGGAGACTCCGATGTCTTTTAGGGCGACGGAGAAAATCTTGAGGACAACGAGAGGCAGCCCTTTCCCCGCTTCGCTTGTTCGCCGCCACGTCCCACCTTTAAATAAAAATGACCCGCGCCTGTTACCCAGGCTAGAGCTGTTGTGCATGATGTAGTGTTGACTTTTGGATCATGAAATTTCTCGCTCTTCCTTCTCGAATGTTATTAAGTAAGGAAATTGTAATAATTTTAGGGCAATTATTTTCGATACATGTCTTACGGCTCGGGCTTGGGCGCGGTCATGATTCATGTTGGGCCATGGGAACGAGTATGTCCCAAGACTCGACCCAATCTCTATTGCGTTCCCTTAGCAACATGGAGGACGTCCAGCGTTCGACTGCTCATTTACTTGCTATGAAACGTAGATTTTTTCCTGCACAAAAATAACTCAACAATGACAAGAAGATAGTTTTCTTTGGTGATTGTTTCCAGCTGTCGTCAAAGATGGCGATGGAAAAGTTTGCAGTGATCAAAGACACCCATAATAAGGGAATCACTGCGCTCTCCTACAACCCCATGAAACATGAGATTCTTGTGGGTTTTAAAGGTAAGTGAGAGTTTATTTAAGCTTTCTTAACCTTAGTTGAGATTGTAGCGGAAGATATTCACGAGTGATATCGATTAAGGAAGCCGAGTGCCGACGTTTCTACTAGTGTCAGCTGTTTTGGGATCGCCCTCTTGATAAAAAGTACATTGGATAGTATACCGCTTAGTATAGGAACTATTATCCAGCAATTGGTAAATTTGGCGGGCTATTACAAAATGATGATTAATCCTTATTAAGCTCTCTCCAGATGGTGCCATGGAGAAGTCAGTAAAAAGTTTTAGTTGAGGGTCACAGTAAAGACAATGTCAAAGTAATGCACTAGTCAATTGCAACCACGACCCCCAAACCCCAGGGGAATAGTGGGGAAATTTACAAAAATATCCTCGTGATGGAGAGGATTTACCCAAGGCTCTAGGGACTTTAAAAATGCGGACGCGTTTTCTTTCTTTTTTTTTTTTGAAACTTAAAGGAGCTGTGTCACGAAATTCAGCCAAATTATTAGGAAATTACAAAATGCCCGTTAAATTAAGAGAAACATAAATATCCATTTAAAACTTTAAAGGAAGGATAAAATAACATAACAGAAACAACAGATGCCACGGATGGGCAAAACTGAAGAAGATTGAAATGGATTGAAGTTGATCTCTGCTGCTCGCAACTTCAAAAATTATGCTCAGGAGACATATTTGTTTGTCATGGATCTCTGATTTTGTCACTTACATGTAATTTCTTTGCTTCCTTTAAGTTCGATAGCGATTGAGGGCGAGTAATCAGCAAAATTAAACAAAATTAACTGGACTGTCGTGACTCAGCCCCTTTAATACTCGCACCTTAATAAATAATTGTATTTTAATATAAGCACATGCACATCTGCTGATCTACTACCCTTTGCAGATTATACGATTAGAACTGGAATTAGAACTCAGCTTGTTGTAATTTCTTTTTCAGATGGAGTCATCAAAGTGTGGGATTATTCAACAGGTGAAGCAGGAAAACTACTCCGCTCGGTTCGGGAGCATGATGGATGGGTTACCAGCTTCCTGTTTTGGTTAGTCAACACTCCAGCTGATCATCAAAGACCAACTTGTTTTTTCTTCTCCGGCACATTTTTTTAAAACCAACGGATTAATGAAAATCACTATCTAGTGGAAAAGTATTAGGGAAACCAATTTCATTATCCACTTGATATAATATCTGGTGCCTGCTTTTCTCTTTTGGTATCTAATCTGCAGTTTGCAGCTTTTTGAAGTAGAAACTCCAAAATTAGTGGGGTAGGAACTTATTGATCAAACCCTTTTGTTATGATAATTTCAAATAAAACTGTTTTGTGATGCTGTTTCTTTTCTTTTCCTGCCAATAGGGGAGATGCTAAACTTCTCTTTTCCGCCGCAAATGATGGAACTATTATCGCCTGGGGATCTGGTGGAGCAGTTTATGACAGGATTCCAGTAAGTTATTAACTTGCTTATTCCCCTTAGTATTGCACTGCATACTAATATTATTTTGTTGTATTTTAGATTGGGTCTCCTGTGTATTGCATGTCGTGGAATGCAAGAAGAAATCAAATAGTCGCAGCTGTGGATTCAACTGTGCAGGTCTTTAATATGAGAGATCCAGGTGAGTTACATTTCATGCTATATGAGCATTTTTTTATATGTTCTTTTTAGGTGCATTGACTGGCCTTATTGGTAGCAATAGTTCACCACATCCCTGAAAGTTCTTTTGTTATCTAGATCCAACAATCTCTCCCTACTATTAGTGGAGAAGGGTCTGGTCTCATATTTAGATCATGTTGAAGGTTGATTACATTGTATCCCGGGGGGGGACTCCTATATGAAATAGACGGGGATGCTCGTCAGAAATTTTGAATTTAACCCCTAAAGGAGACCATCTGGGCGTGGCTCAAGCTTTTTGTGACCCCTAAAGGAGACCAATCTGGGCGTGGCTTAAGCAAATTTTGACCCCTAAAAGAGACCGCTTAAAAACACACAAATACGACATGCAATGAGTTTTAATGATTTTAAGACATAATCATCGAATGCTTTTATCTAAAAGTAGTTTTTAAAAGCGTTGTCATTAATCTCAAGTTTTTCGCGGAACCCTAAATGAGACCTTGGCGGCTTAAAATATTGGCGCTTTGCCCAGAACACCCTAAGCGAGACCAAAATCCAAAATTTACACCCCTAAGCGAGACGACGAGCATCCCCGTCTATTTCATATGGGAGTCCCCCCCCCCGGGCATTGTATTCCATAACCAACTTGAGCTTTCATTGACCTTGCCCACAAAAGAGTAACTTATAAACAGCACAATAATTTTTTATACACACACTGTATGCCTGCTTTTTTTTTTTAATCATGCACCCCACTCTGATAATAATACTCCACAGGTAACCCAATAGACCCTTGAAGTCTATATTATAATATATCCCCTATGCACACATCTCAGTTAACAGACAGCCCACATTTTTTTGTACAGATAAACCTTTTTGTGTAAGCTGTCACTGGTCCAAAAGAATGGTGCCACTCTGTGTAAATACATGACATCATTATTGCTAATGTTACATCTTTTTTACCTTTTTTAAAATAATTTCAGGCAGAGAAATTGGACATGTTATAGACACAAAAGGTAAATATTTATAAGCCTTAATATCCAGATTCAAATGCTCCAAACTGATTTCAATACATTTCTTTTAAGAACTGGTTGAGAGAATTTAACGAAAGATCACAGAATTTTTCCTTGGGTGATGACTGATCATTTTAATAATTCTTAGTGCCTTTAATTTCTTCTTGATTTTGTGTATAATAAATGGTGCTAGTCACATGTGGGACTAAAATGGTCAAGCAGTGATGCTTGAAATTTTTGCAAGTTTAATGTTGACGTGGAATTATGAAATTGAACCAGCTGAGCAAGTCATCTCATGTTGGTCTGAAATACATGACAGCCCGCAGCAAGTTGAGAGGTTTTTTTTTGTTTTTTTTTTTTCAGCTTATGTTTCCAAAGAGCACTCTGATATTGTTAAGTGTGTTGTTTGCTATGAATCAAGAGTTTATAGCGGAGGGTAAGAAGTTTTGGTCATGATTGTCCACGCATATTGTCTAAAGCTGTTGTATGTAATTCCAATTCTTTGCTGTCCATTTCTATGGCGATGCATTTAATTTAAATACAATATTACCCTTATTTCTCTGTAGGTATGATCAGAGGTTCATTGTCTACGACTCAACATTTTCCTACAAAGGAAACAAGAGCTTGTCAGTTGTAACAAAGTAAGTTTTTTGTTGTGATTTTTGTTCTTTATAGATAAAGTTCCATTATTTTTGATGGAACATTTTTACAATGCATATCTTTCTTGTTCACTTCTCAGACTACCTAAGGCCCATGATGCTGGAATAATCTGCATGTGTCTGGCACGAGACTCAGATAACAATACTTGGTTAGTATGTCCCTACAATAAAACATTGTCTTGTTAGAAGTTGGCCTAATTTTATTAGATATGTCAAGGATTACAAGTTTAATACAGGATTAATCAGGGTTGTCATTAAGAGCCGGGGGCCGGGGATTTTCCCCGGCTACTACGAGAGTGGCCCCCGGCTACTTTTATTGGAAAATAGAAGAAAAATAGAACCAAAAGAAATCCCTAGCCGTTTGATTCCCCGCCTACTTGTTTTATTTACCCGGCAACTTGAAATCTTAGTGACAACCCTGATTAATAATATTAATACAGGATTAATAAGATTCATGCTCGTTATGATAGACATCACAATGATTATGTTATGATAGACATCACAATGTGTCCCCCAGCAATGATCCTCACCTTAGAAGGCAAGCAATTTTGACTACATGAAGTCATATGGAAATTTAATACTGTTGAACATGAAGTACGTCAGTTCCACATATTCATGCATTACTGGGCATGAGTGAACTGTCTGTACAGGGTGTACTTGCTGTTGAGGCATTATGGGAAACCAATTTGCCGCTTTGATTTTATCCAATAAAGTTTACTTCATATATTTTTGTAGGGTTTTATCTGGTGCATTTGACAAAGTTGTTAAGGTGTGGTCCCAAGATGGACAAGTGATGCACAAGTTTGATGGATTCAGGTTTGTAGCGTTTACCAGTGAGATACTCATGCCCTCTTCTTGGAATCATATATTCCAAAATGATGACATCATTATTATTCTTTTATATGGTAATTGGCCCTCAATGCCTCAATTCCAGCTGGAAATTCTTTTGAATTCTGAAGATGTGATTCATGAGGCATTGAGGACCGATTAACTTAACAACAGCAGGCCATTATTATGGCTACTAAAGTGGAATAGTTTGCTTACCTGTAAGTATCAACATCTTTAATATGTTGTTTGTTACAGCACTGCAGTCACTGGAGTGTGTTATGTAAAACCCATCAAGACAATTTGGGTGGCCGCTGGAACTGAAGAGGCTGCCATGTATGATCCAAAATCTGGAGAGAATGTGAGTGTCTTGTACATTAAATAATGCTTTTTCAGAGTAATACAATGCTATAGATTAAGTCATTAAGTCAATTCGATTAAGGTATGATCAAAGAAGTGGTCACGTTTGAGTGTTTACCTAATTTCCTATGCCATCATAGTTGAGTATGATCAAAGAAGTGGTCACAACAAGGATATAGTTGCTTAACATAGCATTTTAACGTATTTTAATTTCCATATTTTTATGCCTTTTCATCTGTTGAGTCTAGCTGAAAGTCTAGTGATCTGAAAATTATAGGGAAAAAAAGGGTGAAAAAGTCCCGAAAATTGCCTTTTTAGGGTCAAAACCTTTAAAAATATCATAGATGGATATACAAGAAATTTTACAACAAACGAAAAAATAGATCTCAAACATGGAATTTTGATCCAGGCCCCAATCAAATTTAGCATGGAATTGATCCAGCTATATTTGTGATAATAAAATAGTTTTCTTTATCAGTTAACTTTAAGGAGTATCTATCTTTTTGCTTATAGGTAACAGATTTTATTGGAACATTTCAAGATGAAGAAAACAATGGGTGAGGCAACCTAACTTTTGTGTTGACTTAATTATATGATCCATTTTTCAGTCAGATATTTGTTATTGATTTATTTCAGCTTATGCTCTTTATTGTATCTCTCTCAACTCTGCAGAGGGCTCCGGGGAGATGAAAAAAAGAAAGCACATGGGGTTCGAATATTGTTATTTTTATTGAGATACCTAGTGGGAACCTCTGCATAGGAAAGACTATATTTTTATATCCTTTGATTATTCTTTCTAGGTTCCCACTGGTAATGTTTCACTACATTTCTGACCTGGGGCATGTCATAGGTAAGTTGTTTTTACATGTACCCTGATTTATATAGATTTAGCTGGGGCTAAAAGTGATGCTCTCATTGATATCCTTAGTTTACTCAAACAAAATATAAAATTGTGTTATGCTAAACGACAACGGCAACAAAACAGCCAAAAAAATCAGTAGGTCTAATAACCAAAAAAACAACAATGCATGTGCAGCACACTTTTATGTACATTTCTTTGCCATTGTTTTGCATTTACCGTCGAAACGCACAGGTGCTTGAAATGCAAAATTTCACCCTGGCTTACGTGAAGGGGTGGATGTACATACAGACGTATGGACGATTTACCAGTAACACCTACCCTTCCTTAGAACCAAAATTTCTTTGATGCATAGGTAACCAAGTTTTCTTACCCATGCAGGCGAGCTCCGCTACAACTTCACCCTTTAATCCCCAATAAATTATCCACATAAAAATTCTCCACACTGATCTCCATACATTTCCTTAAAGAATTAGTTGGGAGAATTTATTCAAAGATCAAAGCATTTTCCCTTAGGTGATTATTTTATTAATTCTCATAAATGTTTCTTTTAATGAGGTATTGATACTGTTAGGAGTAAATTGATGTTTGTCAGATCACTTTGCCTAAATTGCAATCAACCACATCTTAACCCCATGTCACTAAGATTTCAAGTTGCCAGGTAAATACAACAAGTCGGCTGGGAATAAAAAAGCTAAGGATTTTTTTTGGTTCTATTTGTCTATTTTCCTATGCAACTAGCTGGGCCATGTTCAAAATACTCTAAGGTAATCCCCAGGTTAACGTCCTAGTCTGAGCATCTCTGCTACCTACAACAATTTAAGCCAAAGAGCTAAAGAATTTCATGATTTGTCATTTTAATGTTTTGCTTTGTGTCAGGTACAAATAGTAGGCGACATCTGATCTTGTGGAAATACAACTCATCTGGCTGCTTAACAACATTGAAAAACAAGTGTGCAATGGAGTCTCTTACTTACAGTAAGTTTTTAACTCGTACTGTTTTATTTTGCACTACATTGTACAGTGTTATAAACATTACCTCAGAAAAGTACCGATCAGTAACTTTCATTTGAATGGTAACTCTATAAGATTTCATCCACAGAATCAAAAGTTAGAACCACCTTATGCAACATAATAAACAGTACCACAAGAAAGTACTGCTGAGCTCAGAAACTTTCATTTGAATGGTCACACTATAGAATTTCATCCACAGACTCTAAAGTTAGAACCACCTTGTACAGCATGAAAAGTAGCTATCATTTGAAGTCGCACTTAAGGATTTTTCAGTACGTCCAAACTACATTCTTTCCTGTTGTTTTTCCAGCTCGTAAAGTTCCCTTGTTGATCTTCAGTGGTGGAAGCAATGGCCATGTGTCAAAATGGGAAAGATTACAATCAAACAACTTCATGTACAGGTTACTAAAAACATAGCAGTCTATACCACCACAGAATAATTTAAGATTGTAAAAATTTTATTAAAAACAACTTTCAATTTCATAGTGTTAATTTATGGCTCTTGCATGAAGCCTGTCGACCATAAATTGGAGAGAAAACAAATAGGTTCTCCTTTGACTTTTTTTTACTTCTACAGTTCATAGTCTAGGTGAATTTATGATCTCAGTTTCTTATAGAGTCACGGCGGCCATATTGGTGTCCCAAACCAATCCTGTGGGAGTTGAACTCTTTTCTTATGCAAACCCTTTCTTTTGTTCCAATAAATTTGCATAGATGCTGGCCACGTGAGTGAAAACACTGTGTTTTTTTCATTTTGGATTTTCCTTGCTTACTTCTAGCAAAGAGATATTTTTGCAAAGCGAGGCCAAATCACGGCTGACTGCACAGATAGCTGCAAAGTATGACTGGCATGGACCAAAGAGGATTCTGGGTAATGAGAGCAGACCCAAGCCATCCTTCCTGAATACTGTCAACCAGGTAAAGAACTCAAATACTGCATTAGCGTATTATCACTATTTTTAATGTTTTCTTAGCAACATTTTTAAAAGATCATGCTTGAAATAAATGGCCTAACAGGAGAGTGTTAATTATGACCTTGTTGCTCGCAGTTGCAGAAACTTGGATTTGAAACTTGTGTTCAACGGCGTTTTTCCAAAACGTTTCAGCAAGGTTTTCACCCTGTAGCTCAGAACAGTTTTAGTGCCTTGTAATTGACTCAAAACTCTCACGGCACGTTCTTAACCAATCAAAATCAGTGGTGATTTGCTGACGTGTTTTCCGGCGCTTACGACAAGCGCTGATTGGTTCATTTAATTTGCAGTGCATATTAGGGCCATTTATACAAGGAAAAATAAGACGCGTCTTACATAAGACGCGAACTTTTTCCTCGTATAAATGGCCCTATTGTGACTGGATAAAGATTAAAGAAATCTCCATGGTTGTGATTTTTTATTGTTTTTACAATTAAGTAGTCGTTCATTACTCCGGAATTAGCAAGCTTAGAAAATTAGGAGTATCCCAGTTCTGCCATTTTCTGCCTTTCTGTTTTTATCTATAGTTATCATCTGCCTCTGAACACACCAGCAACATTTCTCTGTTGAGGTCCATCTTTGTGGAGAACCTTGATTTACTAGTGGTCGCCTCAGAAGACAATAATATTTGTAAGTAATCGCAATAAAGACAAATTAACCTCTTCAGAACGTGGAGTTCAAAAGCGTCGACGAAATAAACGTTTATCGTCCACTTGAAATCACAGAGACATGAACAGCTGTGTGAACTTTTTGTACCTCTACTGATTTTAGAGAAACGTCAACCGTCGATGTTGGGAGGGTACATGTTCTCGCGCGTACCCAAATTCTTCCTTTTCCTTTCCCAGTTTGCCACGCATGCTAAAACAGTACCATGATGCAAACAACAGCTTTCACTGAATGGTGCTGGATTCCATCAGCTACCGTTAGAGCGCCTATGTGCAACAAGATTTTGTGGTTTTGATCCCTGGCCAGAGTCAGACCAAAACTTGTGGTCGTAAAATAGTGTCTAAAAGAATGTTTGCTGGGCTTCACGTGACATGGATAATCACGTGAT